TTATTGCAAGAAAAAAAATAAATAAATAAAATGCTCGTTTTGTGTTATCCTACTCTTCACAACTTAGGAAAAAACAATCGTTAAAAAATGTAAACATACCGTAAGGGTAACTAAATCAATTTGCCACAGCATCCATACACACACAAACAAAAATTCGTACAAGCAATTTTACCAAAAAAAAAAAAAAAAAAAAAAAAAAACACAAACTGAAACTGAAACCGAAACAGTCCTTAAAGAAAAAGCAAAAAGCGAAACGGTAGAAGAAAAAATCACAAGATATGAGCAACGGAGTAAGAAAAACTCCTAGCGCACACATATATAGAGACTACACATGACTACACACAATAGCATACCATTGTAAGGGACCAAAATGATGAACATCCTTCAAAAAAACATCTGCAGGAAATGTAACTTTTCCAGATTTTACAATAAAAGAAATATTTTCAGTCTCAGTCAAAAGAAAAATATGACGGCATATAAAATATACACAGATGGACTAATTCATTCCGAATTTTCAACTGAGTTAAAAACAGTGAATGATGTTAATAAACTTCCTATATTTCGTATATTAGACACGGAAGGGAATTTATTAGATGGCCACAATGCTCCATTTGAAGATGAAGAAATAATAAATATTTATAAACGCATGGTTGAATTTTCAATATGGGATGAAATATTTTACGGGATTCAAAGACAAGGTAGAATATCCTTTTACATTGTAAATGATGGGGAAGAGGGGATACAGTTTGCTTTAGGAAAAGCACTAACTCCTGATGATCATTTGTATTGTCAATATAGAGAAACTGGAATTTTATTGTCAAGAGGATTTGATTATCCCGATATTATTAATCAACTATTTGGAAACAAATTTGATGAAGGAAAAGGTCGACAAATGTGTATCTGTTATACTAGTAAAAAATTAAATATACACACAATTACAACACCTTTAGCATCCCAATTATCTCACGCATCGGGTTGTGGTTATGCACTGAAATTAAAAAATCAGAAAGCCGTTGCAGCTACCTTTTGTGGTGATGGTTCTTCATCCGAAGGGGATTTCTATGCTGCTTTAAATTTTGCAGCTGTAAGAGAATCACAAACTATGTTTATTTGCAAAAATAATCTCTATGCTATATCTACATCTATAAAAGATCAATATAGAGGTGATGGTATAGCACCTAGAGCACTAGCTTTGGGAATTGAATCTGTTAGAGTTGATGGAAATGATTTATTCGCTAGCTACTTAGCTTCCAAAAAAATGAGAGAAATTTGTACTGAACAATCTAAACCTGTATTTATGGAATTTATGGCGTATAGATATGGACATCATAGTACCTCAGATGATTCTTCCTTATATAGACCGAAAAAAGAAAATGATGCTTGGAAGAAAGAAGGGGTTCATCCAATAAGTAGATTATTTTTATACTTAAAAAATAAAAAATTGTATACAGATAAGGATGATGAATTACATAGAAAAAGCGTTAAGGAAAAAGTGCTAAAGGAATTAAAGAAACATGAAAGCATTAAAAGGTACAATATTGTAGGGGGATTATTTGAAAATGTTTATCATGAAGAGGATTGGAATCTAAAGGAACAAAGAGAAAATTTTGAACAATTTTTTAAGCAAAACAAAAGTTGTTACGATACATCAAAGTTTGAAAATTAGTTTATGTATTATATAACAAGAAGTGGGGGAGGGGGGGGGGTGGATATGTGAAAAAGTAAAACTTTTTCGTTCCTGTTTCTTTTTATTATTTTTTTTCACTTTTTTTTTTAGGGAAGAAAATTAGAGAAGAAATGGTACATGTAGTGTGCAACTATAGCGTTACATGCTTACTTTTACACTTCTCAGTATACTTAGTTGTTTCCATTTCTAACGTAAAATTATTCTGTAACTCTAATTTCACTTATAACCCTAAAAATTTAGGAAAAGTATCATGAACAAGCACACGTAACTATTTTTATTCTCCCTATGATTAAACAAAACGATTATTTTTACACACATCTTAGTTACATCTAAAAAGCTTTTAACAAATTATTTTTTCTTGCAATAATGACAGTGCAGTTGTGCCGAATATATGTAAAAAAAAAAAAAAAAAAAAAAAAATAGAATTTAGGTGTACCTTCCACACAACCTGTTGCACAATATTTTGATATTCTCCGAAGAACCAAATGCACATAATAATTATATGCACACGCTTTTGTGAAGAAAAAATAAATGTCAAAAATGAAACCTGTTCAATAAAGCCACTGTTCCCTTATTGCTGTGAATAATTCGGTTAAGCACGTGACAACACAAGTTCCTCATTCACATGTACATGCATGTGTGTGTCTGTGTGTTTGTATGTATGTTTGTATGCTTGTGTATACATATGCAAGACTACAATGGCATATACCATCAGCATACACACACAGTCGACATTTTCTTTCATGGATGCAATGGTAAACAAAGGAACAGATAAATTGTAGGTATCTAATTTGTATGCTCACCAAGTTGTGAAAATGTTTAATGGGTGTGTAATATTCTTCAAAGCAAAAAAAAAAAAAAAAATAAAATAAAACCTTGTACACATACGCGTGCAACCAAGCTGAAGCTATCATATGTTATAGTTATGAGGAATAACAGAAGAGAAAATATTTTATAATTTTTCCAAATATTTATAAGATTAAGAATAACTCAAGTTGGGAAAATATGAACAAAACAAATCGGTACAAATGTGTAAATTGGCTAACTGATCAAGCTGCAAAAAGGGTGATAATTCCATTACCCTTACGTAATAATTTTTTAAAAAGTGCACACAAAAAAAATCGAAATCAAAAAAATAAAAAAAAAAATGATAAAAATGAAAAAAATATTATAATATGATAAAACAGTAATGTAATCATGTAGAAAAATGTAACAGTCAGGCAAAATAACAATAGTGTTAGGGGGGAATGAACATCACCCCGAAACAAACAGAATTTTGAAAATTTACATAAAAAATGTCAACACTACAGTAGACACAAATTCGCTGTGTTGTGAGAATGAAAAGGTATTCGTTTTTTTTATCTTTTCCTTTTTTTTTCTTTTTAACTGGAATCAAAAAAAGAAAAGAAATTCTTCGTACACATACGCAATTTTGCGTAGTAAAAGCATGACATATTATTGTATGTAAAGAAAAAACAAAAAACAAATTTCTTTATAAGAATGCACGGGCTGAAAACATCAAGGTGTTACATACAAAACAAAAGAACCCTGTTACGAAAAAAAAAAAAAAAAAAAAAAAAAAAAAGGAATAAGCGAACATGCATATACAATTGTATATACACATATATATTTTTTTTTTTTGATGGGTACATTTTTGCTGCTAAGGAATTGAGAGATTTTTCCCAACCTGAATCTACAAGTGTTATGCTTCCAATTTCATCGTTAATCAGAATGATCGGATACCAAAAATAACAAGGGCTCCATTTTACACCCCCCCACCCCTCCCTTTTTAGCTATTCCTATCAGATAGACTTCCCTTTCCTTTGTTTTCAGAATCCACCTCATGATTAGTATTTTCCATTTGTGTCATCATTCCAAAGGGTAATATTGATTGAACATACTTGTAGTACGAATTATTATCCTCATTCCTTCCTTCCGACATATACCCGTGCGAATTTTGTGAGTATTTTGAATCAGACAATGACGGAGAAGTTCCCTTTTTGTTATTGGACGTCAATTTCACATTTAGTTTTGACTTAAAACTTGATAATCTAACAAAGTCCAAAGAATTTGATGAATTTTCGTCTCGTTTTCTACTCCTTTTTTTGTTATACTTTGACAATTTTGTACTATTCTCTTTGCTTGAAATTTTTTTCGAAATATTTCTTTTGAGTATTTTGTTCTTTTCACCAAGATATAAACTACTGTACATTACATCACCAAATAACTCCCCAGTAATTTGGCTATCCGAGCTCATCACATATCTCTCAATTTCTTCATTCTCCTTAGCCTCGATTTTTTCTTTTATGTAATTACTTAAATGTTCTGATGAGGATAAAATGGGCGTTTTAATTTCTTTTCTTTTGTTATGTTCTTTCGTTTCTTTCTTATCTTTTTTTTTTTTCTTTTTTTTTGTATCTGTCACATTATTCCATTCGTAACTTTTACTACTACACTTATACTCTTCTTCCCTTGCTTCTTCATTCACATTTTTCAAGATTCCCTCTGATATTTTATTTCCAAGTGAATTACACTTTCCTGAGCTACAGTCGACGGAATTACAATTACATTCTGAGAGGTTATGATTAGACATGCTGTAACCAAACCTAGGTGATAGCTTCTGACCGTTAAAACTATTCTCATCTAAAATATTTTCATTCAGAAACTTTTTCCCCTTGTCAATATTACTACTCTTATGTACGGTGTTCAATAAGGGGTTCATGTCTCTATCCGTTTTCTTCATCTCGTTCATAATGTTTTCATTGGATACACTCATACTGTTTACTGTTTCCACACGGCTGATAATATGAAACGAGGGAAGCAAATTCTCATTTTGCTTTATTGAGACATCGCTTTTTGTCTCTTCAAATATTTTATTTCCTATACCTTCCTTTGGATAATTCATCGCTTCACCACTAAGAGTTACCTCCATTTCGGTGGAAATTCTTTTTTTGTCTTTCAGTTTATTTATATAAGTATATAACTTATCTACTTGGTTGCTCATTTTTCGCTTGTCCTTCTTATCTTCGCTCTTCTTACTCAAATCACTATTTGATAAGAAGCTCTTAGAAATATACTTCTGCCCGTGAGTAATAATCTCCTTAAGATCATCACGTTTGCAATCTTTTTCTAATATCTCTTCATCCAATTGGCCATCAATGTTTTCATTTGAAGCGACACTAGGTACACTATTTAAAATTATATCGTTCGTATGGGCTGACAATGCTTTGGGCTTTTTTTTGGAGGACTTGAAGCTAAATTTTCCTAAATTCTTAAAAAATTTATTAAATTTATTTTTTTTATTTCCATTCTTAATAGAACCTAAGCTAGAAAATTTGTCGTATTTATTACTCGTAGTATCCTCCATCGCCCCCTCTACATCCTCTTCCAATTCTTCTTCCTCATCATGTGAATAGTAAGAAATGTCTGAATGTGCAATAGGGTTATTTTTTTTGTTTTCATTTTTTATTTCTCCACCATAGGCCTCCTTAGTTAATGATTTTTCTTCTACTTCTACTTTTTTCATATAAAGATTACCTTCTTCATAACGACTCCACCGCTTTTTGTGTTCATCCATCCTACAAGATTTATTGTTGATAAACGATATAGCCTTCTTATCTATTATGTTCTGTATTTGTTTCGAATTTTTTCTTAAACTAATCGACTGCATCTCTAAAGAGGAGTTAACCTTGTTTAATTCGCACAGTTTTGCATGAGCTAAAGGGATTGTATTTTTTTCCACATGTTCATCAATTTCCTTCGTCGAAGTGTGTTCTGTTTCACTGTCTCCACTATGTTTCATAAGTTCCTTTTTGTCTAGTTTTTTATCTTTTCCTTTATCGTCTTTCTTGTTTTCTTTCTTGTCTTCCTTCTTGTCTTTCTTCTTGTCTTCCTTCTTGTCTTCTTTTTTGTCTCCTCCCTGCAACTTGTTTAAACTTGCCTTTATGCCTCCATGACTGCTAACATTAGACTTTGTAAACATTTCACAACACTCTTCTTCATTTAATTTATCAATAAGCATTTTTTTTTTCTTTTCTTCTTCCAAGTGCAAATGGTCACCCACTTCCTTTTCTAAAATTTCATATTCAAATTCGTCATCATATTTAAATTCATCTTCAGAGGAAGGGGATTTACCATTTGACGCCATGTCACTCTTGTTGACGTTGCCTTTGCTTACACTTCTTCTACTTACTTTGCTTTTTTGACTTATTACGCTTTTTTTATTTTCCACTTTATCTGCCTTGCTTGCTGTTTGTCTTTCATTTGAACGTTTCTCTTTTTTCTCACCCTTCGCAGACGAGGAAAACGAAGATTTATTGCTGTCCGTGGAAATTTCCTTACTTTTTTTCTTCCTGTTTAGGTAAAATATTTTTTTAAATGCACTCATATTACTCTTTTTGCTCTTTTTCTTTTTTCTGTTATATTTACCAGATTCCTCTATTTTGGAATATCCCATAGAATATTCATCTTCATTATGTGAATTGCTGGACTTGGATTTTCTTGTGGATTTAGAATTATCCGACTTGCTTCCAGAACTCTTTTTATTTGGTTCGCTTTTGAAAAGGAAGAAGCTACCCAAAAAGGAGCCATTGTTTTCTTTTTTCTTTTTAGTAGATCGTTTTACACTTCCGGAGGAACTAGAAGAGCCGCTATCGTGTGACCTGCTTTTAACGAGCGAGCCGTTTGTAACGTGAGAACCGCTTGTTACATGAGAACCGCTTCTAACATAAGAACCGCTTCTAACATAAGAACCGCTTCTAACATGAGAGCCGCTTCTAACATGAGAGCCGCTTCTAACATGAGAATCACGGATAACACATGAATCATTACTCAAGTAAGAAGCATTTAAAACGTGCGAATTGTCGCATCTGTTGTCGTGTGTTTTCAATAACCCTTTCACCTCTGCTTCATCCTTGTTGACATTCTCTTTTTTATTACTTTTTTCATTATGATTATCATTCTCTTTGTTTATCACATGCTTGTCATCTTTTGTATTGGACTCCTTCACCGAAATGCTATTACATTTTTGGTCAGAATGTTCATGTTCTTGTTTCAGCTGAGAATTCTTTTTATTACTATTGTGCTTATTTGATTTTTTATTAAAACTGTAAATTAATGATTGCATATATCCCTTTTTCTTATTAAAATGTTTCGTATTCTCTGCATTGGTAATGCTTCCCTTCTTTTCCTCACTGTTAATAAAATTAACATCATCATAAGCAGTGTTCCTTTCTTTGCATTCATCAATTTTTTTTACTAATGAACTTGTCTTTTTATTATCCCATTCTAGATGTAATATCTTTGCATACAAATCTTGGTAGCACATTGCATTTCTCTCATAATCCAGTGTAACATCGTAAATATTGTTGCTTATAATATTATTTGTTCTAAAATTTTTTATTAATTTTTTTTCTATATCGCATAGTCGCAAGTTCATTAGCCCTTTCATGCGGCCACACCACAATTCTTTAATTTTTTTATTTATGCATTTTTCTAAATATTTTTTTTTTTCTTCTTTAAGTTTTTCTAATTCAACATTACTACTTATATATTCTCTCTGTAATTGTAAATCTATCCATTGCCATTTCGAACAATCCTTAATCCATTTTTCAAATAGTTTGAAACTTCCCCATTTATCATTTAAAAAATTTTCCAACTTTTTTATGTCTTCCTTACTCGATATTATCTCAAACCCACTGTATTCATTAGAATCTTTTATTTCGAACTTATTTTCACATTGACCATGCCCACCTGATGGGGTAATGCCAATATCGCCATTATATAAAGAGTAATTCATCACATTGCCCATAGTATTAGTATTACCATTTGTCATGTCATACTCATTATTCATGTATATACTACGCAAGTTACTAGTTTTTCCATTCATCATCACTTCTCTATTATTACGCGTCTCCACAATATATGGCATCGTGCTACACTGAACAGAATTGTTGCAAACCACAGTTTGTAATATCTTCGGATGTTGATCCACGTTTTCATAAATGAATATATCTCCTTTTTTCGCAACATCGAATACATTTCTTCCATCATATTGAACATGCGTATTATTCCCCAAAATATGTTGATTATGCTTATATTCTTTATAACTATCCAAGCTTGTAGCTGTTCCTATGTCATTGCAAAATAGGGAACAATGTTTCGTATCACCCATCATTAGAAGATTGTCCCTATTATTATTGTTTTGTATTATTTTGCCACTATTTTTATCATAGATGCAAGATGCGTTATTTTGGTGATATTTCTTATTGAAGAATGAAGCATTGCCACTACAATTATAATTGTTCAAATTGTTCATGTAATTATCTCTTTTTTCTGGCTTCACATGTGGTACATATCGATATGGTATCTGTGTTCCTTTCGTCAAATCCATCATACTTATAGGAATACTGTGAGAAATAAATTTATGGCAACTAAAATTGTCGTCGTTCCTCTTAGGCCCATTTTCATCCACACAAGAATTGTTAAAAATGGTAGTTGGAGGATCACATTTTTGATAATTATTTAGGTTTATCATATGTTTATTGTCAACAATGCCTCCGATATTATCACTAAATTTTATATTTTTATTAATCAAATAGTTTTCACAAAGGTGATTATCCTTTTTTGTGCTACTTAAAATACAAAAATTTTTAAATTTATCTCTGTCTATTCCTTTTCTACCACTACTGTCCTTTTCTACATGCACATTATCATATAGATGAAAAAAGTTATTCAAATCATTCTGGTAATCTGGAAACATGGTCTGTTTTTTCCTCATATTTATTTCATATTTCATATTCGTTTCATTCATGTGATATAGATCCTTTGGATCTGGTAGCAAACACACATTATTTATAGAATTAAAAATAATATTTATAACATTTTTTTTTAAGTTATGTATATCATCGTTTAGATTTTTTACTTCATTGTAACAAGATTGTACCTCTTCTTCTAAGCAATATTTCAATTGCTTGTATAAAAAAGTCAACATGGTTTTTCCAAAGGTTAACTCCCCATTTTTATCTACTATATTTTTCATTTCGTCCATTTTGCTATATATTATTTTTCTTATTAAAGCATTAAATTTTTTCGTGTCATACACGCATAGAATTAATTCCCTCAATTTTGTATTGATATATTTAAATTTCAAAAGATCCAATGTTATGTGATTTAAAATCATTTTATTTATATCATCTTTAACTGTACTATCTTCTAACAAATCATATTTTGTTCTTAATTTATTTTTTCTGATATCTTCAATTAGTATATCAATTATTTCATTTTGAAAAAGTAATATATATTTTAAATCATCATAAATTCTTTTTACATTTCCTTTTTTCTTAATTTTATCTATATCTATTTTTATTTTTTCAATTTCTTTTTTCAAATCTTCATGAGGTTCAAAATTCATATTTTTGTCTTCTTCCTCATTTTCACATTTTTCTTTGCTTTTATAGTTTGTAATTTTGTCATTCTCTTTGTTATTACTATAAATAATGGGAGATATATTTTTTTTCTTTTTTTTAGTCTTTATTTTTTTCCTATTCTCTCTTGATATTTTATTATCTAACAATTTTTCTTTTTTTTTTTTTCTCTCTTTCAAATGTAAATTGTCTATATTTTTTTTCTCATCTGGATTGTGATCCTCCACAATTTTATCAGACATGTCGTCACATTTATTTAACTCACTAAAAGAAAGATAATATTTATCTTCATCCACATTCTTTGGATTTGTTAACACACAATTCGAATCGTATATTTTAGAAAATGTCTCTTTCAATTTTGTCGATTTTTTCTTTTTCTTTTTAAAAATTTTCATAAAATTATTCTTCTTTAAATGTTTTCTTTCCTTATGACTGCTCGATGATTTTTCCATCTCTTCTTTTTTCTGAACAATAGCGTTTGAGCTGTTCAGCTCATTCATTTCCTTAATTTCCTTTTCATACACATTCTCCGTTCTAAAAAAAAGCATGTTCATATAAGTAAGTAAAGTGTATGCATCTTAAATGTTCATACATAGGAGGTCTGTTGAACAAGCACAGTGATGGATTCTTATCAAGAATCATCTGAGAGGGAAAATACATTTAAAGAAGTATATTTTTTTGCTCACATGCAAGGATATGCATATGCATATACATATATATATATATTATATAAAAATATGTTCAAAAAAAATGTGTTATAAAAAAAAAAAAAAAAAAAAAAAACTTGCTTGAATTCTCATCATCTTATTATTTCAAAAAGAGCATACTTATAATCCTATTCGCAAAATAACATTTCAAGTCGTAGTTATAAAAAAAATAAAGTATAATTCCCAAAAAATTGTAATGAACAAAAAATATTAAAAAAAAAAAAAAAAACATTTCTTCACTACAGTAGTGTGACGGCAAACATATAAAAATAAAATAATGTCTAATGTTTGTACCATATTATTCACTTAAGAAATAACAATGTTGCATAAATTTATATAAAAGACAATAATTAAACAGGATATTTGAAGTCACGTTATGCATATATATAGCCCATAAAATGTATCTTTTTTCTCTCTTTCATACTTTTATTTTTCTACTATTATTTTTTCTCTCATTCTTTTGCTTTTTTTATCTTGTTCGTCAAAAAATTCTACAACATAATATTTCCTAATATACCTAAAATTGCATGTATTATATAGGATATACTTGTTGAACCTTTTTGATACTATTAAATAACTTCTACATCTTTATAGTTTGTGTTAATGCTTTTTTTCTTTTTTTTTGGAAAATAATTAGTAATTCGCATGGATTGTATAAATTCTGTGAGCTTTGCGTGTTATACGCGTCTCACTTGTCGCATGAAATGTACATATATTATGGAACTTGTGAACAATGTCCAAGGTTCACCTTGTGCATTTACGCATACTACTTTCATATCACTTCATGCGTGCCACGTACGTTAAACAAATAAAAGGAGAGACAAGCGTATTAAAATTATAAATATACTTAAATACCCTCTTATTACATAAGCACATAATGTATATAAAAACCAAACGCAACATAAAATTTTTGCATATACTTGAGATAATATTTAGGCAGCATTTGGATATCATTTTTTCTGGTACTCATAAAAATCATTTTAGTTTATGCATACTGTGTATATATAAATGTAAATACATTATGAATATTATTCAGAATTTCGCACTATATAGAACTTAAATATTATAGTTATATTTCTTTTCTTTTTCTTACACGTCACTGATGCCAGAAACATCTTGAGTTTTCTTTGAGGTATCTAAGTTTAGAAAGTAGCTCATTATAATTTTTTTCCCCCTGTCTTTATTCTTTTCTCTCAGTTAGGTTTATCTGCTATCACAAAAATATTGCTTAAGGAAAGAACTTATAACTATAATTTGCTTCTTTCGTCTCTTCTTTCTGTTCTTTTAAGTATAAACACTAAAAATAAAATAAAAATAATTTTAAAAATTAAAATGGTTAATCTTTTTTAATTTTCACGCCTCATACATGTATATATATATGAACTAAGTAATGGTGAAATGTTATTTTTCCAATACTTTGAAAATATAATTATTACCAAGAAAAAGCAAATACATGTACTGTTTTTGCCTTGTTCTTCATTTCTCTCTTTCTCTTCTCTATTGTGCGTAGAAGTAACATTCCGCACCCCAACAAGTTTATACTTATATTTCTGCTGAATTATAAATTTACATAGTTCCTTCGACAAACTCGTATGTGTAGTTTGGGTCAAACAATTTAATGAAGAAATGTTTTAACGTAACGGTCTTTTGTAAATAAATAATGAAAAATAAAAGAAAAAGTTGAACAAAAGAGGGAAAAATTGCACAAAAGTGTGCGACATCTCACACACTTAAGCAAACGTGTACAAAATTGTGTATATTGTGGAAGTTATACAGAATGTACAAAAATGTGCCAAATTACAATGAAATTGTTGTAGTATATTTCTTTCAACGCACGCTAAAATGAAATAGTTTGTGAAGGAGTAAACGATAATTTTGCCAACCCATTTTAACTAAACCTGCTAAGACTATCCATACCGTAAAAGAAATCTTTAAAACTAAAAAAAAACATTTTTATCTTTTGTTGCAATTTTCATTTAAAATTTTTTTTAATCTATGTTTCACTTTTATTTTTCGAGAAGCACAGGCTACTGCTTTTTCATAATACACACGTGTAAAAATATATGTACATTTATTGCGTATAAATAATTGTTGTTGTTTTTTTTTTTTTTTTTTTTTTTTTTTTTTTTTTTATGGTTAACAACTTGTACAAAAAACACAAATACCATTTTGGTTATTTTTTGAAATTTTGGACCATGAAATTTAGCATTTCTTTATAATTTTTTCCTAATATTTTACTCAATTATTTTGTTATCAATTCATACGCATAAATTTATCATGCAACTTATTATGCCACAAAAATTTCAAAATTTTGGCAGGATAGTGAAATGTAGATTTCACACTTCTTTACCTAAACATTCATAAAGTATTTTAACAATTTCATACCAAATCATCGGATTAATAGCTGTTTTTTTTTTTTTTTTTTTTTTTTTTTTTTTTTTTTTTTTATATATATACGATAAATCATCTGTATTAATCAATTTTTTATTTTTATGAACGGTTCGTTAAATTGTATAAACAAAAGATGTTTATATAAACATACATACAAACACATGTACACTTTGTGTGTCTTTTTTCTTTTAAACAATACACTTCCATTATATTTCTAAGAATGTGCTATTATTTTTATATATTCATCATTCAACAAAATGTGTGCATAAAAACATATGAATGAATATGCTATAGCAACTTTTTCATATTGAATAACCTTATTGAAAGACGCTGAGATTACAACCTTTTTTTTGGAGGACTGATGCATTTTTATTGCACAACTCATAATACTTTTTTGTATTATATGTATTAATTCGTTAGCACTATTTATTTTAAATATTTTAAAGCTGCATAAAGCAACGTTTATATATTTTATTTTTTTCCCGATTTTTCTTGTATATAGTGTGATATAGAGAAATTTAAATTTTCATTCAATAAAAAAGCAAAGGTACTGCTTAAGCGTAATAATTTGCAAATTGACACTTCAAACTACTCTTGGAATTATTCAAAATGTTGATGGAATTATGACATCAAAATATTCAAAATAACGCTATTTTAAAAAGACGATGGAAAACAATTGGGGGAATAGTTAATTAATCCTCTTTGAGGCGACATAACTCACAAAGGATAATTTTTATGTACAAGCATGTTTTATATACATAAGTACATATATCTATATCGTAATATTTATCAATCCCTTACACAATGTGAGAGTAACAAAAATGTAACAGTGAAGAGGTTGAAAGGTGCATGGTTTTTAATACCCTTTTTTGTGGTAAAATGTCTGAAATTCCACTATAAAATTAACCTATGTCTTATTATTGTATATATACAATTATCATTTACGTGTTTACACAAGAAAAAAAAAAAATAAATAATGATGCGTTGCGTAAAATACCCCTGTACATAGTTAATTTTGCATATGGCATATCGGCTCAGGCATTCGAAAAAAAAAAGAATAAATAACTCACACATAAGACCACATAACGTTTACCATTTTATTACACTTTTAAAAGGTCTCATTCTAATGCATGTGAACATATATATACACCTATTTAATAATACATAAAGTACTTTGGATTTTTACCTATCTGAATGAAAATACAGCCTCATTTCTTAAATTAAAAGGAGGAAGTTAAAAAAGAAATAAAAAAAAAAAAATAAAAAACAATTTTTATCCAATCCGACTCATAATGCAATTTTCTAAAGTTTTGTTTTAAAAATAATAAACTCATAAAAAAATGAGAAAACGTTGCATTCTGCTTAACATTCCGAAAAAGTGTAATAAACGTGCTTTTTTAATCCCTTATCATAACTTGCACATGTAAATGTGTTGCGGCACATGCTCCCTTGTAGTGCATCACTACCTTCTTTCAATTTACTTGGTGATATATATATAGCAAATGCGTACTTGTTAATTGCAGAAATAGTGTATCATTCCATAGTGAGTTTTTTCTTTTTACTTTTTTCCTTTCTTTTTTTTTTTATTTTTCCCCAAAATCCGTTAAATTAAGCCAATGAAATACGTTGGATAAAGCATTTTTGAGCAATAAATAGTGCTCTTATAAAAAAAAAAAAAACATAAAACACTTTCACCACATTTAAATTCGGTAATTAGCAGGATCGTTATAACAAAAAAAAAAAAATCCTTAAAGCATTATTGATTATAGTTATCATATACATTTACATATATATATATATATATATATATATATATATATTCTTATATTTTTTATCTCAGTGCTAATGTTGCTTGTGTATGCCCCACTTGTACGTGATGTGCCATACAAGTGAACGCATGCACTTTGTTTTCTTATCCCCTACACGTTGTAGAAAGTAATTCATAAAAATGTGAAAAAATACATTTCTTTTAACTTGAAAGAAATTCAAAAAATATTGCTTCGAAGTCAAAGCATGTTGTTTCTTTATGTTAATAAGCTTTGTTCCTACCTACATGAGCTTTGCATTGCACGAACTGTATCTTTTTTTTTTTTCTTTTTTTTTTTTTTACAATGTGGCAAGAATGCAAAATGCTTTTTAAAATTTTATAATGTATCTAAATTTATATATAAAATAACACTACATATATATGTTATTAGTGTTAATGTATATATAGTAACTTTTTTCTTTTAATTAAAGCACTACTTTAACATGCGCGGGAAAAAAACTGACAGATAAAACCTTTAATAATTTCTTAACCTCCCGCCACTATCGAGCAAACACATTTTTTTCAAAGCATCTCTTTTTTTTTCCATTTGACGAGTTTTACGACATTTTCTTGTGTTATTAAAATTACGTAAAAAAAAATTAAGAGAGGAAAATCGTAGTTTTTTCCTTTTACATTCAGTTTAGGGAGATAATTGTTCGCTTGTATCTTTATATTTAATAATGTGGGGTTCATATATAACGACTTTTGTTTATATATTTATGTATATATATATATATATTCATACATATATTCTTTTTTGTAGCATTAAAAAACAAGATTTTGTCATACTCAGAAAGGCCACATATGAGTATGTTTATGCGTCAATTATAAAATCCAAAATAAAATAAAAAGCAATTGTATAAACATACATAATTATGTTATTTACACCACTTTTTTCCAACCAAAAAAAAAAATATATGCGTATTGCATCCATGTACATTTTAATAGATAAATATATAGCTCATATATTGTTCGAATATATATATACATTGTATACATTCGAACACCACTATATATACGTTCATCAATATACATGTATAATATGTACGTACATAAATTTTCACGATTGCATCAAATACATTTTCATTTATTTCATTACATCTTTATTTTTTCCCCAGGGATTATTTAAAAAATAAATAAAAAAAAGAAAAAAAAGAAAAAATTCCTCTTTATTTATATAGTTTTATATCCCCAATATATGTATATAAAAATTTACGCAATGTTAAATGATTACAATTTTATATAAATATACGCAATGTGACACAAATTGTATTAGTTGGCATTTTGAAGGTTTTAAAATCAATAAGAACGCGTAAAATATCATTGCATGCACGTTTTGTATTAATATTTTTGCATACCCCCACCCAACCCCTTCACATGTACATACTTTTTTCTCAACAAATGCATATCATTGTATATACGCTTATATATTTATATATATGTGTAACACATATATATATATATATATATATATGAATTTTTTTAATTAATTTTTTTACAATACGCATTTACGCCGCGTATATATGTTTCCCCTTTTTTACAATTTATATGCTTTAATTTTTTTTTTTTTTTTGGCACGGGGACTTTACTTTCGTAGGAAATTTATGAATTGCATAAAACACTGCATTATACATGTATACGTACGCACAAATAATATAAACACGTATAGCAGGACTTGAACTTGTACATATATATATGAAAGCAAAAATTCGAAAAAATACCGAAATACACATCATACATATAAGTGTTCTTTTTTTTCCTATTATTTGCAAAAATCATTCATTAAAGTGAAATACCAAAAAAAAAAAAAAAAAATGAGTTGCATGGATATGAAACAGGAAAATGTCCAAAACAATGAAAAAAATATGAATGAAGTAGGATAAATAGAACATAAATACATATATATTCATTTTTACATATATTAAAGTTATGTCGTGTGTATATTTACACGTGCACATGAACACATTTTTTTCCATTATACAAATGCACATATTTTCCCACTTCCAGGCCCAAATCAATACAACTACAGACGGAAATAAAAAAAAGGGAGACGACGAAAACATGAACAGGTAGAAAAAAAAACGACAGAAACTTATGTGCAACTAATGTTTGTATATATGTGAAAAATGCGACGTTGAAATGTATGAAGCTGTGGTAGTATTTTATTTTATATTACACATATTGTAATTGTATATGAATGAATACATCACAGATCAGAATTACATTTCTTTTGAATAAATAGAAAACAAGCGCATCCATACCATCGCTTCCGTTACCGTACACTCGCCATTTCAGGTTTAACAAGAATTCCCGAAAAAATAACGCTTCTGGATCATACAACCAACAAGGTTCAATTAATCACAGTTCGAACAATAACCCTGAAGACATGGACAACGAGTGGAATAATTTGAGAAGCGGTTCTAGTCACACCTTTAGAAATGCAAATAAATCTATGGAAAATAACAGTTTTTCTTCAATGAATAAAAAGAATCATGTGATGGATCAAGGAAATTGGAGATCTAAAAAAGAAGTGAATGGAGCAAATTATAGAAATAACAATTTTAATAAAAATGAAATGAATTCTAACATGAACAGCTCAGACAATTTAAAGTTTGAATTTGTCAGGAATTTTAAGAACAGTAATAATAGAAATGTAAGTACGAACAACTCTGTTATGAAAAACATAAACGCTGGAACGAGTGCTAAAGGAGTAAATAAACTTTTTAACAATAATAATAGCAATACAAATAATAATATGGTTAGTGGCGCAATCCCAGCGAATGGTATGAATAATGAAAACTCAGATAACTACACAAATAGAGAATCCGTGTCCAGCAATCAAAACAAAACGATAAATTCAAATCAAGATAATTTTACGAATTTAGGAGGAAATTTTAATAACAATTTTAGCAGTATGAATAACAAAGATTTTTACAAAAATACAAATAAAAATAATAAATTTAACAAATCTAACATACAAAATAATGACAGTACAAATAACTTCAACAATAGCTTAGATGGAAAGAAAAATATGAACTACAAGAACCAATATAGTTCGAATTTTAAGAATGATGGAAATGTAAACAACTTGCCATATAGAAATATCAACATGGATGAAGGTAATAAAAATTACCCAAATGATTTTAATCAGAACATGAATAACAATTATACGCAAACCAAATTTACTACACTTATAGAAAATGATGCAGAGGGTAAAAATATCAATATTTCTTCAGGGTATAACAATGCATCTAGTAATTTAAATAATTCATCTTTTTACAAACAGAAGTATGACAATAATGGTACCATGAACAGCTTGGACCAAGGGAAAAATGAATTTCTTCCATTTGGAATTAAGGGAACGAACAGCAAGTACTATGGAACTCTGGACAGTGGCAAGAACATCCATTGTGATGATAGCAGCATGGATGGGTTCTACAATCAGAATACCAACCTTACGAATTACAGCAATCAAAACAAAAAAGGTAATATGTACAGTAACGAAAATGTTAGCAGGAGTAATGTAGATTTTTCATATAATTCAAACGTTGGTAACATTGGCCACATGGAAGGGGGATACCCAGAGGGAAACAACCCTTCCATTGTTAACCAAGGGAACAGGGACGTAACTCAGAATTTTTACATCAACTCATCAAGGAATGATAATTCAAATAACATGGGTATTGGTAGTGTGGGCTATATGAACAATATGACATCAAATGATAACGCTAATTTTACCAAAAGGGAATGTGTAAATGTAGATAACCATTTTGCACTTCGAATGCAAAACCAAGCCAATTGTAATTTTGAAAATTCAGGTAATGGAAACACAAATGGAAATTTTAATGCACAACCCATTTTTATGAATAAACCAATAACAAACACATTCAATAGCGCAAACAATATGAAGTCAGATATTAACAGCAACACCAATTTTATAGATAATAATTCGAACAGTACCAATTTTATTCCAGGAGCAGGAAGTAGCACCAATAATGTTAATATGAACAATGTAGATAATCGAAATAACAATGATGAAGAGGAGGATAATGATGATTGGGGAGAATTAGGTGAAGACAAATACATAGACATTAACTCAATTATAAAAAAGAAAAATGTCATTCTAAATCAGTTAGCTGATTTAAATGAATCTTCTAAAAAGGGAAATGATAACAAGAATAAGAAAAAAGCAAAGTCGAAGAAAGAGGAGGACAAACTATTTTTAATAGGAGCCGATGGGACGAGTACATCCATGGGTGATAAGAAAAAAAATAAAAAAAATAAAAATAAAAATTCAAAGAGCAATAATAATAAGGAGAACGAGAAGAGTGACAAAACAATTGGTACCAAATCACTAAACAGTGAAATAAGTCCCAAGGAAGCAAATAGCAGTAATAACAATGCGTCAAATAAGAAAAAGGGAAAGAATAAGAAGGGAAACATTGGTAGCGAAACAGAAATAAAAATGAATGAAGGAAGTATAACATATGAGGGAACAAACGAAAAGGATAATAACACTATTTCAAAAAAAGAAGAAAGAAATGAACATGAGGAAAGCTATGCCCAGAATGAACTGAACCATGAAAATTGTGAAAAAAAAGAAGTCACGGAAAAACCAGCGAAGGCTTTGTACGTATTTAAAAGAAAGGAAAATATGTCTCCTCATGAATATATGGAAAGACAAATTAAAAGTTTACTGAACAAATTAACCGTAGAAAATTTCCCAATTATAACAGAAAAAATGTGCCAAATAATGGACTCACGTACAAGTATTGATGAAATTCAGACAGTTGTAAATGAAGTTATTAATAAAGCTGTTTTGGAACATGACTGGTCAGAGATGTATGCTGATGTTTGTCAAGCCTTGAAATGGAGATCCCCAAATTTTGAAATGAAAAAAAAATCCTCCTTTGAAATTGCTCTTTTAAAAAAAATTCAAGAAGAATATGAAAATTTACCGAGTACGTTCGAATCAACTATGAAAGAAAAATTAAAAAATGATGAAAATGAAGAAGAGCTAAGTTTTGTTGAGCAAAAACAAAAAAAAAGGTTATTTGGAATTGTAAAATTGATAGGAGAATTATTTCAGCGTCAAATCGTATCTATATCTATTGTGATAAGCATAGCACATGATTTATTAATTGCATATGATGAACCGAAAGAATATTGTATTGAGGCTTTTCTTCAACTAATTTATTCCACTGGATTTTTCATTGATAAAATGGAAAAATATAAAAATATATTAGACACATGGTTTGGTAGATTAAAAGAATTACAAAGAAAAAAAATGTATTCAAAAAGAATAAAATTTGTAATTCAGGATGTATTTGATTTAAGGTTGTCTGAATGGAGAAAGAAAACTCATAAAGACACAGCCAAAGGATTGAATGAATTGAGATCCCAATTAGAAACAGAAGAAATGATGGGTGGCTCAATTCACCTTGCACAGTTAGGAAATATAGTCATAGTTGGAGAAAGGCATAACATTAGGAATAATGAATCCTACTCGAAGTATATGCAAGAGCAGGAGAGACTCAGCAAGGCAAATCAAAAGAAGTAAAATTCTTCTGGTTGTATTAAGAAGGTGTAATATGTTGTAGTACTATGACCACAATTTTAATGTTTTGTATAGGCAGCAGTTTTGATATACCATAGATGCAAAGAAAAAAAAACAATAAAAAAAAAAAAAATGAACAAATAAACAAAAAATGGACATAAAAAAAATAATAATAATAAATAAAATAAATAAAAAATGAACAGATAAAAAAAAAAAATAATAATAATAAATAAATAAAATAAAATAAACAAAAAAAACAAACAAAAAATAACTCTCCCAATAGATAAAATAACTTGCAATAGCGCTTGTTCTCGAAGGTCCCTATTTTCCTCAACTCCCATGATCAATCGTTCAAAAGGAAGCGATGAAAACTTCTATTAAACTGCAGATTTGTTTCGAAAAAAGAGTTGGCTCATACTTCACTGATTGCATTTCAGAAAGGTAAAAAGAGAAGTCGACAGGTGATCAGTAAGTTGGTAAAAATAATTTTAAAATACAAAGGGAGAAAGTAGCATATAACAAGGGCATCAATAGCGAAGAATACATATATATACAGAAAAGGGAAGAAGATAACAAATTAAATTATTTATTTTTCTCACGCATACGCACACAATATTTCGTGAACACTGCATGACAAAAGTGGCCCTCCACCGTTATTTCATTTGAACAGTTTTCGTATCCCTCTGCAAGTGAGGTATATCATGTATATATATATATATATGTACGTCCATCTCGTCACACATATATACATATACAACCATCTGTTTGTTCTAGTGATAATGATGCGTGCAACACACTCTGCAGATGTATTATGCATGTGACATCTGGGCATTTAACGAAAACACAAATAAAAATAAAAAGCGCCATGCCATGATGCAGAAATGCAGTATTGCACGAAACTGCTTTATGTGTATATACAAATGTGTACGTATATATACATATGTGTGCATATTCACAAAATGTGCATTTTAACATGATGCTTCTTATCTCCATATATTTTTATGCTTTTGTATGCCAAATATATATATATGCACAGTTGTGATGGACGATATACATTTTTGTATGTGGGAAAAGTGTAAATTCCCTCAATATACACAACACATGAGCTTACACGTTCATGTATAAAGTTGTTCATCATTTTTTTCGCATAACACGATGAAAAAAATGGAAGTAAAAAAAAAAAAAACAGAAAAAAAAAAAAAAAAGAAATATTTTCAAGGTTATATACTAACATACACAAATACATCGTTGCATCACGGTGTCACAGTAGTTTAATAGTGTATAAACCTTGTTTCTTTTTATAACACACATTTACAAAAGAGAAAATTTTTGTAGTACATAAAATTTTTGTTTTTTAAAATTTAAAAATGTGTATATATATAGATGCACATGTATGTATATATATATATATTTTTATGTAATTTCCATACCCTTCATTCATAACCTTTATTATTTTTCCTTTTTTTCATATATGTATAGATTTCGAATACTCCCCACAAATGTATGGAGTTCTACTTTTATTGTAACCATTAAAATTGTATTTAAAAAATATGAATAGGTGAAAATAATTAAGTATACACAGTATAGGTATACCCACGAACCTCTTCATATGTTATATACGTTACGTACAGAGACAGAAATATACCCTTTGGAGGGTTGCTCGAACAAAGCCTTTGTTTATTGTATATCATTTTTGGTGAAAGAGAACATATCATATTAATGAACTCATGAAGAAGTGAGTTAAATGCTATGCAACATTTTTAGTTCATAGCATTTTTATACCCATGAACATGAAAAAAAAAAAAAAAATGTTAAATTGAGGATTAACAAATATCAATGCCTATTTTGCTAAAGTGTACGTTCATCAATAAGTATCACGTTTAGAATGTAAAAGGGATATTACCAGACATTGTAAGTTCATGGAGAAGAGGGGGGATATAATTCTTCTAAATTACGAAATTATGAATTTGCAAATTTACGAATATATGTATAAATATTGTTTATATGTTAAAACAAAATTTGTACTTTGTTCAAATGATTACCCGTTTTGTAAAACGAAAAAAAAAAAAAAAAATGATGTGTAAGAAATAATGTGCATGTTCAGTGAAATTGCATAACCCTGGATGGGATAAATAAGTAAAAATATGTTTGCAAATGTTGAGAAAGCATATTATTGTTAAAATTTGTTCCTGTCAATAGTGTCCTCCTCTCAGTTGTAAAATCATGTGAATGGTTGAACCAGGTACAACTCTGTAGTCGCTTAGTTTCATGTCGTCGTGCATTTGTTTTCCTTTAAAAAAAAAAAAAAATTACAAATATAAAATTACAAAATTGAGTTTACAAGTTGGAAATGGTGAAAGGGAATGTGCGAACTGAAAAGTACACACTAAATATTTCTAACTTTAATAGATAATGCAAAGTACGTTAAGAAAATTATATGGAACAAGTTCAAGCAATTATGGCACTGGAGTGGGGGAAGAATGTAATTTCAAATATAGTGCCCATATGATTAACACAAAAACGAAGACGAAATAAGAATAGGATAAAATAAATAAAGCAAAATAAAACAAAATAAAACAAAATGGCCATAAATTTAGAAAACAGGCAAACCTGAGTATATGAGCCTTATCTGTTTTGCGTCTATTCCTTCTTTTTCTTCAATAGCCATCTTTATTTGATATACAGAACTGGATGGTTCAAAATTAAATGATTGTCTTTTCCCGGTTAGCGTTTTTACTAATATTTGCATCTTTTTTTTTTTTTTTTTTTTTTATTTATTTATTTATTTCTATATGTACTCCTAATAGTTTGAATGTTTTACATTTCACACCACTTTTCTTCTTATGCCTGAGGTTCGTCAAGTATATATCACTTTACTGTAATGTTTTGTATTTTCTTTAGGGGACCGAGCAGCACAAGTTCAAGCTATGGTATCTTAATGGCATTATGATTTGTATTTTGTTTTTTTGTATTTATTTTAGCTCATTTCTTGCTTTATTTATTCATTTGTGTATGTATTTTACTTTGCTTTGTTTTACTTTATTTTTTGTTTTAAATTATATAATTTAATGTTTTTTATTGTAAAACTGTCGTATGTGTATGGGCATGCCTAAGCGACTCTTTTTTAATTTTTTTTTTTTTTTTTTTTTTTTTTTGTTACTGGAACTTTCTACATACTTCATTAAAAAAAAAAAGAAGAATATTACATTGTTTTTTATTTAAGATTATGAGGAGTTTTTATTTTTATTTTATGCGCAGCTAATCCGTATTCTTACATGAAAGGAAATATAATACATGGTAATTTTAATTGATGCCTTTTATATTTTCTGCACTTTCCACAATTAGTTAGCCCTAAATAAGTGGTCTCGAATGGTTTTCCTCTTCTTTTTTTTTTTTTTTTTGTAATTCATTTCATATGCTAATCGTCTTTAGGTTATTACCGAAAAGGTGTGTTATTAATGATACCTGGGAGGAGAAACAATTCAACATTTTTTGAAAAATGAAAATAGGAAAAGAGAATTTCCAGCAAATTGTTAAGATACTTTTTATAGTAACACAATTTGCCGCACGTACATTTGCACACCGAATTACATAAAGAGAGTATTTACATTTCAGTGGGAAATTTGTAGGAAAAAATATATCTCATAATATAGAGGCCTTTACGACGCCAAATGAGGTAAAGGGAAGGACAATTTTTTTTTTTTTTTTTTTATTTCATACGCACATATGCTATTCCACAAGCTACTCCACACATGCTTATGTGCATTATCACATGTGAACGTTCTTAATTGTTGTATATTTATTGGAACACATTTATGTGTATATGTTCTTATGTACAAAATGTTGAAACGCTTAAATCCTACGACTCTCTTTTCCCCGCTCTCTTCAAAAATTAGGGAAATATGAAATGGTCATTATATGCCATTCCAACTCATCTATATATATCTTGGATATAAAACTAATTGAAGTGAAATTTTCCTGGCATTCTTCAAAAAGTAGATAAAGTTACCATAGTAACAGTAATTTTTCGTATAGACCCAAATGTTAAGAATCGTAAAACATTTTTGCATTTGTTTTAAAAAAAATTTATATATGTGTATGTCCATGTGGACACACATTTATGTGAACATATAAATGATTACGTTCCAGATACAATTTATGGAAAAAAAACATAATTTTTTTTTTTTTTTGAACAAATGACCCCCATTTTATTTCATTTTTGAGATACCTCACTTTGGTCCTGTGCATATGTGAGCATATTGTAAAGATTATTCATATGACAGTTGTGGAATTGTGTAACTTAGTTGTAATTCTAGATTCACGGGTTTACATGAACATTTTTTTTTTCTTTTTAATAAGTTCATAGAATAATGAAAAACATGCTTCTGTAGTTCCCTCATTTATTCCTTATAATATTTGCAAAAAAAAAAAGAGGGGATAAAAAAGAAACATAATAAATGAAAAAGGAACAAATGATATGGAAAATAAGACGAAAAACTAAGAAACCTCATTTATGCAAACCAACCGAACGGAACGTGTTCTTCATTTAAATAACCTCCATACTCTATTATTCATACGTAGTTTAAAAGCTATAAATAAAATGAACTTACCCGAGTGGCAAACATTTATTTACGATGATTAAAAAAGGTATAAATGTTAATTTTGCACACCTGCAAATCTTTACACAAATGCGTAGAACCAATTCGAGGATTAATAGAATGGAATAGAATTTAGATCATTTTATGTTGCACAATTTTTTAAGCACAAAAAAAAAAAAAAAAAAAAAATACAAAGTATAAATGATTATGTTACTTAAAAATTGATTATTAAACAAATACATATAAAATAATTTCTAACCCCTGGGGGTATACGCACACATTTCCATCGTACAAGGTAATTTCTACGTCGTGGATTTACACATTCTTGTAAAGGAAAAATAAAATTAAAATAAAAACTATTTAGAATTAATGCACACATATATTTATGTAAAAATATGCTTACATCATAAGCACGTGTATTATTATTTGTATATAATGTAGAATTATTTTAAAAAATTTTCATTTGCTCATAAAGTATTTAAAAAATGCAGAGGGCAGAAGTTGGTAAAAAGGAAATAACTTCTTCCTGCATTCATTTTCTGCCGAAGTGCTTTTTTTTCCTTCAAATGTAGAATTTTTTTTTTTTATTTCTTCCTTCCTTCTATTCCCCATTATCAATCATTTCTGAACGCTTTGGCTTTTGTCTTCAAAAGTTTCCCTCCTTGCACTCTTAATTTACCAAATCCACAGGACGCGTACATATTAGCAATACAACTATTGTCGAGAACGTATTTTTCTGGAGTGGCAATTTTGGCACTTCCAAAAAAAGAAAAAGAAATTGTATATAAAGCAGAGTTATGAGAAGCAAAGTCATGAAAAGTAAAATGATGAGAAGTAAAGTGACGAGAAGCAAAATTATGAGAAGAAAAATGGTGATGAGCAAAGTGATAGAAAAGAAAGGCACCGCGAAGAAAAATTCTAAAAAGCAGAATGTCGTAAAAAAGAAAGCGTCATAAAGCAAAGTGCCAAAAAGCAAAAATATATAAAAAAAAAAAAAGAAACATTTATTTCTTTATTTGAATATTCTTTGGAGGATCATGTAAAACTGGTGGAAGAACACAAACCTTGTTCAAGTTGAGTTTTTCCAAAATTATTTAAAAAAAAAATAAAAAGGTTTATTTTAAAATACAAATTCTACAATTTTTATTTTTTTTTTCCATGTATTCATAGTGACAATTTGTAAATGCAACCATGCTTACATCTACATTTGTTAATTTAAGAGCACGCTCAGTAACTCTGGAAATTCACCACAAGAATTATTCTGTTAAAGAGGGTTCCAAGATTTTGACTATGTTACATGATACAGAATTTTATAACATTTTTTCATATATCTTTTCTTTCTTATTTTTTTTTTCTTTTTTTTCTTTCTCTTCAAAAATTTGAGTTCCAAAATAAAACATTTTTAATAATAAAACTTGCATGACTATCTCTTACGCTGGGTATATTTCATGTATAGTATAAAAATAAAACAACAAAAAAAAAAAAAGCATTTAAAATTAAATTTATGAAAATCCAATAATAAATAAGTTGACAATATATGAATGCATGATACTTTAAACACATAAAAGCATTACATAATTTATGTGATATATCCCAATTCAGATTAGCCGATTTACTTATGTGTTCAGCATTTTTCACTGCTTCTATTTTGTGCTTTAAAAAAAAAAAAAAATACAAACCCTAAGAAGGCATATTATTGTAACACACAAAAGGGTGCACACATCCCACTCTGCATATATATATGTGCATGCTATGTTAGAGGACATATTGTTACATACATTATATGACGTTCTTTGCATCCTAATGCATCCCATGAAAAAATCACAATATGTGGTTTCTCATAGGAAAAACATATGATTCTCATGAAATAGTTTATATATCTAGTGTGGATTAGAAGAAAATATTACTCTTAAAGGACACACACGCAAAAAAAAAAAAAAAAAAAAGGCACATATTTATATTTGCTCAAGTTTCTTCTGAATCAATCCAATCATGGAGGAAGATAAATATGAAACACCATTAGAAGTTAATTGTATAGGAATTGAGGAACCTCCAAAAAGAAAAATAACCAGTAGACGTAAAAAAGTAAGACTACTGAATAAAACAAAATCAAATGAGAAACGCAAAAAACCATCTAAAAATTTTAAGAACCTTAAAACGTTTAGAAATTTTAAGCCTTTCAAACATTTTAAGAGTTTGAGAAATATTAAAAATTCCAAAAATAAAAAAAAGAGGGAAAAGGAAAAAGTAAAAAAGAGACAAAAAAAGAAGTTCAAGAAAAATACTCTCAATGAGCGCTTACCCATCGAGCAGGAAAATTCGACGGAACTTCTGAATAAAGACATGTGTAGGGAAACTGAATGCAAGGACAATGAAGTTTTATGTAACCAGAAGAAAATATCCCCCCATTTTAAGAATGAACAAAGGAACATCAGTCCTCCTATTATCTGCAAAATGAGATGGCGAAAAAAGAGTAGCAATACTGGACATACTGCCTTAACACACAATAAAATTCTTTCTAATCATTCTGATGAACAAAATGGACCAAGTATAAATACTTCAAATGAAATTATAAAGAGTGTCTACAAGGAACAACTCCTTTCGACCCACATAGATTTAATTGTTGGAAATACAACATCTTTGAAAGATCAGGAAAGGCGTGTTGTCCCGTATGCTCTTCTCGATAAAAATTCCACTAAGCAAGTGTTTCAAGAAGTAGTAACAGGTTGTGGTAAGTCCATAAATCATGGGGAAGAAAAAGGATGTAGAGGAATTAACAGGACTGTTTTAGAACATCGAATGGATGAAGATACTGAAAAAGTCTTACTGAACCAAAATGAAGACAATGAATTAATGAATAATGGTAAACGTCTGGGAGAAAAGCTCACAAATGAGGAGCACACAAATCCGGAGTACACAAATTGGGAGTGCACAAATGCTCTAGGTTCGATGAATGAGAATGAGATGTCACGAATTCAATTCAAGGATCTAATAATATCAATGAAAAATGATACAAATAGTATAAGTCTTGTAATGGAAAAATTGAGCGAAGAAAAGCTACTGTATTTTTCCCTACCATTTAGCGAAAATTACGACATTGTAAAGTACTTCAGTTTGTTATCAGTAGAAAAAATAAGTAAAATAATAAAATTATTACATGTAGATAATTATAAAAATTTTATTTTTTTGTTTAACCAAAAGAAAATCACAGATGTAGTGAATTATGTGTCTGTTAATACATCTATTAGTATACTCTTAAATTTATCTCATAACAAATTAGTATATATATTGAATCATATAGAAGAAAAAGTGCTTATAAATTTGATAAATGGAATACCTTTGTGTAAATTTTACCACATTGCTGAATGTTTGCCAATTCCCAAAATAAGTCTCCTATCAGATCATATTACATATGATAAATTATATATACTTCATAATTCCATGCCACCAAAAAGATTATATGAACTGACGAACAATTTACCTATGCACATTATTAATAAGTTGATAAATGAATTACCTTTATACAAATCTATAAGGATTTTAAAAATTTTGTCACCTTCAAAAATTGGATGTGCGATTAACACATGTGAACTTACCCCCCATTTTGCTTCAGAAATATGTAGATCATTTAATGCACAGGAAATTATCGAAATTATAAATTATTCAAATATGGAAAATTCAGTAATGTTATTAAGTAAGTGCAATTTAATCAAAATTATTCTCTACATAAATTACATATCAGTAGAAGAATTTAAATATATTGTTCCAAAATTGCCCATCCAATTCCTCACACAAATTGTCAATGACATATCTTTGAAATTGCTCATAGAGCTTTTTATGTCTCTTCCAAAGGAGAAGATCATTCCTTGTTTGTTCGCTATAACTCCAAAAAAGTTAAATTTTATTGTACGGGTCATACCCACACAAAGAATAATAATAGACATTATACTAAGACAAGCGAGGGATGCTGAACAGGGGTTTCACGCCACCACTACCATGACTACCACTACCACTGCTACTTCCACGGCTAGCAATAATAGACACATCGATCATGTAGAAAAACAAAGGAAACTGATTAATTTGCTAGATGAATACAATTTACTCCTCATCCTTAACCATTTGAATGATGACGATTATGGAGCATTCTGCAATTTACTGTGCATTGACAAGGCAGAAAATATTATAAACTCCTTTTGTGTCGATTACAAAAGCGCTGCAATGGTAATCCTGTTTTTACCCATTAGCAAAATGATCGAGATTCTACAAAGGACAAATGGTGAACGAAGAGATGAAATTATGAAGCATCTTCCAAACTTTGTTAACCATATTCTTTTACCACGACCATGTGATAATAAACGAATGAGCACAATAGAACAAATGTTTATTATTTGCAAATTGCTAAGACTGAATAAAATTTTTAGTAACAATAAAAAAATTCAATCTTTAAAAAAAAAAAATAATAAAACAAAATATTATTACACTATAAAGAAAAAAAACAATGATATTATACATAGTATTAATATAAAAAATTATTGGAAATTTTTAAACACAATTTCTTGCTCCAAAATTCTGGAAATGAATCGTGTTGTCGATAGCATCATATGTAGAGATTCTTATGATGAATCTGAAATTATGGATTGTGTTTTGTTTTTCTTTAGTATCTATCGACAAAATAAAACTACGAAATGGAAAAATGGAAAAAAAAAAAAAGAAAGAAAAAACATACAAAAGACAAGTAACATCAATTTGCAAAAACAAAAGTCATTTCTTCATCAAAAATTCTATAATAACACCAAAGTGTATGACAATGATATGGGCATAAAAAAAGAACATTTAAAATTATACGAGGAAAAATTAAATATGAATAGCTCCTTAGATAGAACCAAAATAAAAAGAATTATAAGTCACACAGATGAAAGAAATAAAAGCTGTATGAAGGTTGAGTTAGGAAAATATAATCCTATCATCAACAGGAGCGTTAGATGTCCCTTCTACACATTTTTAATACATTTTATTTGTTTTATAAAAATGCATATCGAACAGCATATTCTTCTGAATTGGAAAAATTCACAATATAAAGGAGAAGAAGAGAAAGACATTAGCGAATTTTTAGAAAATAATTTACTCTTAAAAAAACAACAAGTACTGAAAAATACATCCTATTACAATAATACACAAATCAATAATAACTATAATGTGATTGAAAAATCAAGTTGCATACAAGCCCATTTATTAAACCACATATGTGTAAACAGTAAATTAATTTTTAAAATTGTTAGAAAAATTATGAAAAATGTCTTCTACTCTGTTAAGAAAATAAATCAAATGAAAAATTCTGCCCTTATCATTAAACAAATTTCTATGTTTAATATCATCCATGCTGATATAATTCAATATAAAAATCAAACATCAAAGGAGGACCTGAAAAGTCTGAATGAACAGAACTATTCCACGGGTAATAAAATGAATGATCAAATTAGCCAAAATGAAAGTGAAATCACCGTTGCAGTTAAAAGTAGCACTAGTTGTGTCTCACGGTGTAACAACTTTTTGAATGAAAATTGCCCTTATACAAATGCCAATTTTGGAGCAATGGATGAAAAAAACAGCAAAAATGGGATAATCTCAGAAAATGGAACTAAAGAAGAAAAAGCAATTCAAGATAGTGAAGAGACAAATGAGACTAACTACAAAAGTGGACAGTTGCAGATGCCGTTACATTTGACGTTACAAAATGATAAAGCAGAATATGCATTTAACAAAGGAAAAACACCTTTGAGTGTGTTAGGAAATGAATTACTGGAACATAAGGAGGAAGAAGATATTTTTCCCTACTTAGGTAAGTCTGTCACAAATTCAATTCGTAAAAATGGCCCTATTTTCATAGCGAACAAAAAAAAGATATGGAAATATGACCCTCTTATTAATGGTGACGGTTCAGGGTTCAGGGATTGTAACTCTGGAGAAATCCATATTGAGAAAATAAAAACAGAGCAATGTAATAAGATTAACAAAAAAATTAAAAAAAATTATTTTAAAAAATTAAAGAATATTCAAAAACTACCCAGTTTTAAAAGATTTACACAAAGATATAAATGTATCAATAATAGACCAAATAATAATGCACCTCCAAATAGAAGTTTAAATTGTTCTATTGACAGTAGTCAAAACATTGGACAAAGTGGAAATATTACTCCTAACGTAGACAATAATGAAGAATCCATTTATTCTACTAGAAATAATCAAACAGAAATAATATCATCCGATGTTTCCACGAAAAGGAAGAAAAACAAAGTGTCCCTTTTAAAATTCATATTATCTTTTAACGATTCTACTTCACAAGACTATGATAATAACATTACATTAATTATAAGTTTTTTTTTTTTGAAAAAAAAATTTTTTTTTAGCAAATATAGAAACAGAATTGTAGGAACTTCTCTAAATATACATATAAACAACAAGGAATGTAAAAAAGTATTGAATTTTAGTGCACCCCTTAGCGACACTCTATGTTACATCAATTCGAATATTATGTCTTTACAACATGAAGACACCGAATCTATTAAAAATTTGTATTCCCTAGCATCTAGCAAGTGGACTTCGGGACGTTATAATTCACGTGATATAACTTCATACAATGGTGCACAATCATATTTATCGAATGACGAAGAAAAGCGGAAAGATAGAAACCATTATGATAATAAGATTTACATACCTCAGATGATTAAACAGAATAAAAACAAATCAATTAAAAATATGTGTAATAATTTAAATTCTAGCATTATTCTGCTTTGGAAATCTACTCAATTTGGGTACATACTTTTAGATGCACACAATTCTCTTCATGTGAATATTAGAGACCCCTCTAGACAGTTCTTTCTAAATTTATTCAGACAAAATGATGACATGTCCTTAGAGGGAAAAACTTACAGAAACATAAATTCGTTTTTTTCAAAATATGAAAGGAAAAAAGTAAGCCTCAAAAAAATAAAATCAATGTTTTCAAAGATATTAGATAAGAAAAAGTCTACCGTTGTAGCGAGTACAGAGAATGATGCCAAGATAGAAAGAGGACAAGCAAGTGTGGAAGAAGAAGAAGAAGAAGAAGGGAGAGAGAAAAGTCAAGCTGTTGCCAGTTTCGAAGGTAGAACTATTTTATACCAAAATGGAAAAAATTACATGAACGAATGTGAAAATGGTGTACCTAAGGAAGTCTGCGATGCCAGGGATACCATCGTCAATGGACTAGGTTTAAAATCGGAGGAAAGTATTATGAGTGACGATAATGAAATATATTTTGGTGATGAATATTACAATTCTTGTGAGAGGGAAAATTCAATCAGGGTTAAGAATGGGGAAGAAGAACGTGGTGATAAAAATAGGGGAAAATGTAGTGACAAAAATGTGGACGCTGTGACAGAACAAATCGGGATTGGGGAAGGGGCCTTCCAAATTGGGCTCACTGATAAATGCAAAAAAAGGGTGGAATTGAGCCAATGCCATAATGTGATAAACCAAAAGATCCAAAAGAGAGATCATATGCACCATGATGAAAAGGTTAAAAAAGAGCAAAACGGAAAAAACCAGGAATATAGCATGTGCAGGAAATACGACAAAAAATACACCTCAACCAAAAAATATTCCTCAACTAAAAAATACCCCTCAACTAAAAAATACCCCTTAACCAAAAAATACTCCTCAAGTAACAAACACAGCATTGTGATCAACAAATTCAGCAACATCATTAGTGAAGCGCACAGAATCCTGTCTCGTAAGGAAAAAATTATTAACAAGAAGATATCACAAGAAATGCATATTAGCAGAACATCTCCATACCTTTTAACGGAAAGCGAAAAAGAAAAAATGAGAGAAATAAAAAATAACGAACTTAATAAAATTATGGAAGAAGAATTAAGAAAAGCAAATAAGAATTATAAACCAAGAAGTGTTTACTCACATAGAAATACCACGTATACAGATGATGAACTTAATATAATTCACTATTTAGAGGAAAAAAAAAAAAAAAAAGACAAAAAAATGATAAAATGGAAACAAGTTATTACTACTAATAAAAAAGAAAAAAATTTCTTTCCATTTTATATTAACGAAAGTAAAATATTAAAAATAAAATTATTAACACTTATTGAAAATTCATTATGCAGTTACGACATTATAATGGGTGATAAAACAATTATGAAAGTAAATGAACACATAAAAGATGAAATTGAAAAGGAACCTACATATTCTTCCCCTAAAAATAGTACTACTGGATGTCATTTCTCCCTTGAACAAATTTCTTCCAACAGTTCTCACAATTATGGGGAACAATCGATATTTCCATTTTTAAATTCAAATGATTGTCAAGAGAAGCTACATGTGAAAACGATTACTCTGAATAATAATCTAAATTTCAATCCAAATAATATATTAAGCAGCAAAGCAAATGAGGATAATGCTTATTTCTTACATAGTAATGTTTTTTGCATTAAATACCCTTGTGGAATGGTCACAGAAGGAGAACTGTATCAAACAAGTGTACAAAATGAAAATTGTAAGATAACCTCAAAAGAGATAAATGAAAAAACGATACATCAAATGAATGAGGGTCTTCAAAATAGAGCACTTTTTTCCCCCTCTGAATCCTGCAACAGCACTACTACAACCCTTTTGGCAGATCAGCGTGCACTAAATAAATCCTCATCACTATACCTAAACAACAACTTTCAGAACAAAACAAATATTATTATGAAAAAAATAAGTGGAAATACATACGAAATTTTAAATAATATTGTAATTAATGAGAAAAATAAATCAGAAAAAGGATCATCAGCGAGTGAATCAAATAAATGCTTAAAAAGTGATACACACTTAAATAAAACTTCAGCCTTTGTAAATCTGTCTTATGAAACAGATAAATCTATTCACCATTCGGTAGATGGTACCTTAGAAAGAGGAAGTGTTTCTACTACGAATGAAAGGAATGAGAAATGTGATGTTGGAAAGGAAATAATAATACCTAAAAATTTGCTTAACAAATATGGTAACAACGATCTTGACATTTATTCACATGAAGCAAGGAACGATAATTTAATGAACAAATTGGATGAAGTTAACGACAATTCTCTCTTATTGAAAAAAAATGAACAAGACGCAATTCAGGAACATATGGAGTACACGAAACAACAGAACTATTTTTCATCCACTTTAATGGGACACAACAACCAACCAGAAAATTATGCACAGATGAGTTTAAGAGAAACATGTGCACAAAGAAATGACATATGCAATAACAAAGTTGAAAGAAATAACATAGCAGAATATCAAAAAAGGAAACTAAAAGAAAAAGAAAACGAAAGTTTCTTAAATGATCTGTTAAACAGAATGAGTAAGGAGCACAACTCGCTTGACAACTATGGCGGAGAACTGAAGAAAAAAATTGGCCTTTTAAATTTGCATTGTTTGTTCGAAAATAAGTCAGAAAATTTTTACCTAATTAGTGAAGGATGTGCTAAAGCTAATAATTATGTTAATGACAATATATTTATTCACACGAAACTTTACAATGAACTTTTTCATCTAAAAAAGGATTACATGTCTACCTCAGAAAAATCCTCCAAGATTAATATATCTGTCGCTTCCAACTCTTCCAATTATCACAATACAAGTAGTTGTTATAGCGAGTCAACTGAAAATCAAAACATATGCGTGCACAAGATGAAAGAAATATTGTGCAATGAGTGTGGAAATGTTCTCAGAAAAAATCTCCTAAGCGACATGTTCTTTTTCAGAATAACAATTATTAATAAAAAATCATTTTTTTCAAAGCATGTAAAAATCAACATATATTATCAAAGTCCCTTAATTAGTGCAAACTTTACATCGAAGGATAATGTTACGTATTCTTTAGAAAAAAGTATAACAGAATATAAGTTAAAAATTGTTGCTATTAATAAAAAAAAAATGCACAAAAAGTTATCTTTATCCAAGTCAAAGTTTTTTAGAAAATGCCTCGAAATTGAATTAATTAGTAGTTTAGACAATATGGAAATTTGTGAACAGGAAGGGAAAAATGTAATGAGAAGTTGCACAAATGATACTAATGCTCATTTTTCCATTAATCAATCAAATTTGTATAAGCGCAATAGATTGGGGGACCATATCATGGCAAGAAAAAGTTTATCCTATGAACAGACGAAAAATTATTCAAAACGATTGTCAAATGTGTACCATTCCTCCAATGATGCTCCTACTACTTTGTATAATTCACGCTTTGCAATACTAAACTTTAGCATCCTTGATGACAAGAATAAGAAGTAAGAGTTTTATCTTGTTTTGTTATATTTTTATTTATTATTTTATTTTTCTTTATTTGTATTTTTTTATTTTCTTTCCCCACGCACGACTCATTCTACAAAAAGAATTTGCATAAATTGGAACTCGTTCAAAGAATTTATTTTAGTTTTTCAATTTGAGCAGCTCTACAAATACCACTCCTTGAAATTTTTCTACTTTTTTCTTTTTTTTTTTTTTATAGGAAATATGACGTTGAGAGGTTTATGGTTCCTTCCATGCTATTTTACACTAATGGTTAACGAATTTTTCTATATCGTTGAAGAATATATAAATAAGTGGGCGGACAAATAAACGTCCATTTTGCGAAAATGGGTAGAGAATATTAAGACTTACCACATTGTTTGAAATGTATTATCTCCTCACCATTTTTGTATTTTCTTTGCAATATTTCGCTAGCTGTCAACATGTGTTAATTTTCTGGTATTTTTCTCTGTTCGCCTTTCTCCATTTTTACTTATTTTATATGTTTTTTTTTTTTTTTTTTTTTTTTTTTTTTTTGGGTGGGTGGGGGGGTTTTTATTTTCCTTTTTTTTTCCTTTTTACCTTTTTTTTTTTTTGTTTTCTTTTTTTTTCTTTTTTCTTTTTTTTTTTTTTTTTCTTTTTTTTTTTTTTTTTTTTTTTTTTTATTTTTTTTATTTTTTTTATTTTTTTTATTTTTATTATTTATAATATATATATATATTTCACGTTTTCCCATTTTTTGCACACCTTTACGAAAGTTCCATTTTATTTAAAATTTAATTGTGCTTTGTTGCCTCTTATGTTATATTCTATGCTCATGGCCTAAACATTTTTTTATTTTATATGAATAGGCTTACATTTTTCCCATTCCCTTTTTTTTTGCAAACTGTCCCTTTTTTTTTTTTTAAGCCAACTTTGATACATTTATTAAATTTACTTTATTTTATTCTGTTTCAATTCATTTTAAGGAACTTTTTTTCTACTAAATGATAAACATGACAAAAAATGAACATATAAAAGTTCATTTATTCCTTTTGCTGCTTTTATAATACCACTCTCCCGTTAAATATATAAATTTATAATTCGTTTTCTTACACAACATAAATGGAAAGTGTACTACATTATGACAGAGTGAAAAAAAAAAAAAAAAATAAATAATAAATAAATAAAAAATATGTTATCACCTGTCTGCTGATGGATATCATTCACCGAAATCACTTTGTTATTATTATTTAAGAAAAAAAAAAAAATATGAGGAAAAAGCAACTTAGCCCACGCCCTTATCATTACGCAAACACCCCCACTCCCCCTCAAGCAACTTTTAAAGTAAAAGAAGAAGAAGAAAAAAAAAAAAAAAAAATGCATAGACTTACACAACAAAAAATGAGTATCCCTTAATATGAATGTAACGAGCTCTCATGTTGTGCGAATAATTTTCATTATATTTCTAAAAACATACATTTGCAAATTGTGCTATATTAACAAATCCTATGTTAGTGATAAAAGACAACCTACTCAAAATTTTAACAAAATCAGACATCAAATTTATATAAAAAGTGTAAAAAAAAGTGCAACAAAAAGGAGAAATAACGACAAATTAAATCTCACAAAATTAAATGCCACCAATGCTCTTTCACCCAATTGGGGGAAGCGCGAAACGGTAACAGAGACAAATATAAATTCAGAAGAGTTCCTTGAGTCATTATGTAACTCATCTTGTAACTTATGCAAGCAGGATGGTACATTATTGTTGTACACACGATGTAGACACTACAATGATGGGGATTACCCCTTTGCAAAAAAAAGAGTTATCGATACTGCAAATGCATTAATTGGGTCAAGATATTTCGTGAGCAAATATCTATTCTTTAAAAATGGAAATGTAGAATATCATAACCACAGTAAGTGGAATCACAAAAAGCACTCCAAATCGCATGTATCGTCAAACATTATCATACACAACTTGCTTAAATATGAAGCTATAAAACTGCATTTGCATAACGTCTACGAAGAAATAATTCGTACAATAGAAAATACATTAATGAATAAAATATTTTATGTAGACAATAGGGAAGAGTTTCACAAGAGAAAAAACATTATTATGAATATGCTTTACGAAATTTATGCATTAAAAAATGGGGAAAATAACAAAAGGAATAATAATCTCCAAATGGGGAAAAGAAATATTCGCATTCTATTCATCGGGAGTAACGAATTCAGTTTATTGTGCTTTAAAATAATATTATTAATCATAAAATATGTGAGAAATGATGTAATATTAGATCATGTTATTACAAAAAGTCCTAGAAAAAAGGGAAGAAATTTACTTGTAAAAAAATCTCCTGTTGAAGAAGAAGCTGAGAAATATGAAATGAATATATTTTATTACGACAAGATAAAAAATAATATACATTTGTTGAAAAAGAAAATATTTGATTTATGTATTTCTATATCATTTGGGGAATTATTTAATAGCAGCTTTTTTAAAAATATTCATTCCAATATTTATACCTTACATCCAAGTTTACTACCATTTTACAGAGGCGCATCTCCTATTCAAAGAAGTTTACTAAATAATGAATCCATATTTGGATATTCCATATTTTTAACCACATTGCGTATTGATGCAGGTAAAGTTTTAATGAAAAGACAGTTTGCATTTGATCAAAATTTCAATTTTAATGATATAATTACCATATTATTTACATTCGGTACATTACACTTGATGAGGAATATTTCCTTCCTCTCCAATTATAAATTAACGAACAATGAAACAGAAGCACTTAATGGAAAGACCCACCCTTCTTCCACGTGGTCTACGCAAAACAATTATGATCACTTAAACTTTCATCATATGGAACATGAAAAAGAAAATGTCTCTTTACTTAGGAACAAAATTCATGATTTCATGCAACACACAAATGCACAACAGGATCTTATGAATTATTCTTGGCAAAAAAACCACCACATGTATTATATGCCATATAAAAATAATACATATGCACAGAAAATAAAAAATGAAGAAAAATATGTCTGTTTTTTTTGCTCTACCGCCCTGCAAATTCATAATAAAGTGAGGGGATTTATAAACTGGCCGAAAGTAGAATGCACCTTTTTCCTTTTTCAGAATGGCCATCTTAAGGTGATGGAAGTGAAATTAATTAAAACGTCTTACTCTTCGATAAGCAATAGAACTAACGATTGTAGCAGTAACACAAATTACTCTCATCATGTATTTAAACATTTAGGAGCTGTACAGATGCACAAGTGCTTTGATGCCACCCCACGCAAATTTGCAATTTTTGATAAAAAATCCATAAATGTTCAATGCAAGGATAATAGCCTACTAAAAATTTATACATTACAGCGGAAAAACAAAAAAATTATGGATTCCTCATCTTTTTTTAACAGCATCAACCGCGTCGATCTACTATACTAGTCCATTATATGAGCGCGTTTTTTTCGTGCTAACATGTATGAACATTTCAAGATTTTCCTTTCCTTTCCTTTCCTTCCTTCCTTTCTTTTTTTTTTTTTTTTTTTTTTTTTTTTTTTTTTTTTTTTTTTTTGGGGCTTTTAAATTTTGGGGGTCCCCAAAATTTTGAAGTCCTCCAAATTTTTGCAATGTTTAAAATTTCCCAAATGTTCACCCATTCCATTTTTTTTTTTTTTTTTTTTATATTTTCTTTTTTTTTTTTTTTCTTCTTTTTTTTTTTTTTTTTTTTTTTTTTTTTTTTTTTTTTTTTTTGCATTTTTTCGAGCGCTTGAAATTTTGGAGGTCCCCAAAATTTTGAAGTCCTCCAAATTCTTGCAATGTTTAAAATTTCCGAAATGTTCACACATTCGACGATTTCAAAATTTATGAAATGCTTTCATCCTTGTGTAATCATTTGGCCTAAGCCATTTTTCCATATTCTTAAGGATAGCACATTAGTTATGCAAGTTTTTTCGTTTGTTTCTCAATTTCTCAAAATAATTAACACTCCACACGTATGTATATGTACGTATGTATCTATTCATGTATATATATAAATCTATGTATGCTCACTATTTTTTACTGCTAGCACTCCTACATTCGAAACTGCGATAAATGCCTATTTGTTCATTTCATTGCTATACATTTGTTTACGCACTTAACAAAAAAATTTATACTCATCTATCTAATATAGCTTAAAAAAAGTAACACTTTTAATACTTAACAAAATGAAAAAGAGCCCTAAATATGTACTTCACGGAATTACGAAAAATACACGCCTAATTTGGTTAACTTCTGTGTATCGGATAAAAATGAGAACTTTTTTTATTATGTATACATTTTTTAAATCGTGTAACAGGAGAAAATTCGCGTTCCTATATTGTCATTTCAGGGGGAAAAATTTTAATTCCCTTTATTTAAAAAATTTTTTTTTTATTTCATTTAATTTATATTTTGCAAAAAAATATTTATTTTCAAAAAAAAACCTAATTTCTTATTTGGAAGAAAAGGGAGCAGATGCCTATTTGGAAAAAAAATACAAACCTGATAAGCCCTACGTTAAAACAGACAGGTGTAGAAAAAACGAAAGGAAGAAAAAAAAAACAAATGGAACACACAACTTGCATAACTTGGATAAGTTCATGAATACACAACTGAGCATTGCTAAAATGGCTAGCTATGCGAAATGATATATGCTGTGTTATCTGGTGCATGCACACACATTCTCACACATGCGCTTAAAATAAAAAAAAATAAAAAAATCTAACGCATATATACATTCACGCCTAAATGATAACCCTATTTTTTTGATCAAGTGGAATATTGTACAAAGATATCATAGAAGGCGAAGGTGACACTGTAGAAGAGGGAGACACGGTATATATTCACTACCAAGGAAAAACGACAAATGATTTTCGCATAATTCATTCAACTTTCAATAGCATAATTCCACCTAAAATAAAAGCTGGGGAATACGATCAAAAGCACATAAAGGCTATATATGAGATTGTCATTGGGATGAAAAAACACACAAGAAGACAGTGCATCATTCCTCCACATTTGGCATATCCCAATCATTTTCCAAGCCAGGTATTTCAGGCACAATCGTTTTAAAAAAAAAGAAAAAGAAAAAGAAAACTTATTTGTCTTCATTACAGCAACCCTGAACCCTTCAACTATCAACAAGCAGAATGTTTCTATCTCGCTTCTTATTTTTCTTTCTTTTTTTTTTTCTTTTTTAAACCCATCAGCCGCTCATTTACGAAATTGACGTAGTAAAAGTTTTAAAAAAAGGTTCTGATGACAAGTCATTTTTCGAAACAGTTGAAGAAACAATAAAACAGATAAGGGGTGCCATATCTTCATTCTTCTAATTCAATTTTCACCAACATTCCAAAATGTTTTATTTTCCCACTTTTCTTGCCAACTCACTACTCTTTTTTTTTTAAGTTCCATTTGGGAATTTTGTGTAAAAAGTAGAATTCATATTCGTACCGTCCTAAATAGGTGTACATCTTTACTGTTTCTTCGTTATTACAATTTATTCCTCTTTTTTTTTTTTTTTCTTTTTTTTTCAAACCTTATTTAAGTTCTAATTTGAATAGTTCACATTGATTAATGTGTAAATTAATGAATGGTATCATTTTCCACTTAAGCAGTTTTACATAACATAAAAAAAAACAAGAGAAAAAAAAAGTGAAACACATGAAGATGAAGAAAGAGTTACAAACAAAAAAAGAAAAATAAAATAAAATAATTATATTACTTCTTATTCACTTCACATGTGCTACTTATCACATAATTCCTTATTTCAATTCATCTAATATGCATGATGTGATGTAATTTAAATTGTCTTTTCCCTGATCTGTGATGGCAGATACCTCACTGGGCGAATTCTTCGTTTCTTGCTTATTTTTTTCATTTTGCACCATTTTATTATTATCCACATAATCAGAGGATGGTTTTTCCCCCTGTGTGGTAATATCGTCCTTTATTTGCAATTTGGTAAAACAGACCCGTATGTTCGTCAACCAATTTCTTACAATATGGACATTCCTTTCATCTTCCAACATGATGGAATAACCAATGTTATTCCTTCTTCCAACTCTACCACTTAAGTGAATATATTCATTTACATTTTTCGGTTTATTGCACAATAAAACGAGATCTAAATTATTTATATGAAACCCCCGAATACTATCAAAGGAGCTTATAATAATGGGGTATTTATTTATGTATTTTTTCTGTTGCTCTTCCTCATTTTTCAAAGAAATTTCTTCTAAATTTTTTATATCTGCATAGCTTTTGCACATTTCATCCAAATGTTTGTTATTTCCTGTGAGGGAGATTTGTAACTTTTCATGTAGTAACACAGAAAAAACATTTTTTTCAGTAAGATATTTTTTCATATCTAGTAAGGAGTACCCATTTTTAACTAGCGTTAGAACTTTTTTATTTTTAAAATGTTCTATGATCTTATATGCTTCTTCCATTTTATTCCTATACAGCTGATCGTTTACTACAATGTATAAGTGGTGTATATTGTTTGGAACTTTTACTTTTATTACATATTTTTGCAATGTATTATCTTCATCATTCGGGGAAAATAAATTGAACCTTTCATCCTCGCTCTCAGTATCATTGATATCGGCATTGTCCTTTTCGTTTTCTTCATGCGAAGTGATAGCATTTTTTTTCCCTCCACAAGGTCTCATTTTTGCTTGGTTTACATTACTCTCCAACACTTCATCACTCAAGGGCCTCCAAGTAGGACTCATAGGATTGCTGTATTCAGCATTCATTCCTTCATTTGAACTAGCATTATTCTCCCTTAGTATATATATTTTTTTTTTTGCATTATTTCTATTCATATATAAAAGTTTGAATATTTTTCTGTGCAATTCCCTATTTAGGGTACTTGAGCAGCCGATAAAAATTAAGTTTTTTTTATTCATATACATAATCGTTTCTAGAATAAAATATGCCGTTTTTTTCTTCATATTATTTTTTGTTCCCTTTGATTTGCGTGTTTTCATCGTAGGAAACATCCTATCAATTTCGTCAAAAAATACATACTTTATACTTTGCAAAAATGCTTTCAGCTCCCCCTTTCCTAAGCTTAATAGATAATTTTTAAAACACATTGGTGTCCCTACAAAGAAAAGGGCATCCTTGAATTTTCTTGTTTCCTTGGATATGTCAATTTCATTTTTGATCTTCATTTCGTGTGAATCATTATTATAGCTAATAGTAGTACCACTACCACTTTTTACATGTTCAGGTAAAGAAGATATTTCTTCCCTTATCCTTAAGTGTCGCTCATTCCCCTTCTCACCATTTCCCTTTTCTACAACTTTATTTGATAAATTGGAATCCGAAACGGGAGTGGACTGTTTTTTCTCATCTGCCTTATCAATAAAGAGATGAATTATTCCTTCATTTTTGTCACCAACAAAAGACAGAATATTATGCGAAATTTGCACACACAATTCTTTAGAGGGAGACAATATAAGAATTTTCTCCTGCTTTTTTAATAACGTGTTTTTAGCCCTGTCTTCTAATAATAAATCTGTGTCCTCTCTAATATCACGTATTTGTGCATATTTTTCACTAAAAGGGGTATACTTGAGTTTATGCCTATGCACCTTTTTTCTCGCTTTATTTAAAAGTAATATTTTATTATAACTATTTATGTTCTCATTCTTGTTCAAATATTTCTCCCTTTGGATGTCTTCATCGAAAACAAATTCACAATTATAATAAAACTTTAAAATAAAGTAAAATAAACAAATGGTTGTTTTTCCGCTAGCAGTTTTGGCGTGTAGTAGGATGTTATTATTCCGTTCTAGTATATAAATGAAATTTTTTTGTAGATCACTTAGATATTCTATTTCCTTTACTCTGCTATTACTTTTTATTTTATTTCTTATATAAGTTATTCTATTTTCATTTAGGTTTTCATCTTTTTCGATTAGAACAATATTCTTCTTCTTTTTATTATTATTCTTCCACTCATCTCTATATTTTTTTTTTAAGTAAGTTAAGTTATTCTCATTTTTATTTTCATTTTTCAGCACAAATTTGGTTTCTACAGGTAGTGCTAACTTTCTAATGAAGTTTAAATTAGAGTGTTGCTTCCTCGCAATAATACATTTTTTTCCGAATAAAATAATTAAATAAACCAAAAAATATGTGCATCTCCCAGATGGACGCTTTTCAATCCTGTTCAAATTCAATATAAAACCGTTTAACAATAAAAATAATGCAATTATGTAATTTTCCATAAAAATTTATATTTTGCCAGCTATCAAATTATAGTTGCATAGAATGCGTAATTATACATGTATTTTCATTTTGCTCTTCGCACATGGCTCATTTGCTAAAACAGCTAAAATGTAAAACGTAAAATGAATGCATTTTTAGTTACCCCCAAATTCGTGCAATTGTCAAGCGTTTCTTGAAAACTGCATTTCTACAAGTAAAAATTTATAAAAACCCACGTATATCACGAAAGTAAATATATTGGTGCCTACTTCCTAGCATCGTTTTTATACACGCATACGGTACCCACCAGTGCATATAATTGTATTACATACATAAGCTTATGCTAACTTTTTGAAAAAAGTAAGATATGGAAAAGCATATTTGCGAAACTTGTGTGGGGATCATGAATGGGGTATCAAATAATACCAGCCCTCCCCCCCCCCCATCATATTTGCAAAGATATTTATAATATATTATATGTATAAGCACGCAAGTGTACAGTATACACATGTGTTAATAATATAACAACTGATCACAAAAAATTTCGCAAATGTAGTAATAATTAATCAGTATATACAATTTTGAAAAAGTTAAAAAAATTAGGCAAAATTTTGATAAAAATGAAAAAAAAAAAAAAAATAAAGTCACATGGTTCCAAACGATGTGAGAACATCCTTTCTATATTAGTATCATAACATAAGATTCTGTATATTTCGTGTTCTCTTTTTTTTTTTTTTTTTTTCAACTAAAGTGGATGCTTACATATATTTTTAGGCATTCATCTTTTTACACAAATTTAATTCATTTGCTTCCTTTTTACATGGACTATATAACACATATTTAAAATTGAAGATGACACATCTCCTAACTGTACAACACGTTATGGATATTGTAAACTAGTGTTTTTCCTTTGGTACAAATAAGTTTATTACCATATGTATATAGTAATTTATGATGATTCATAATTGCTCATTGAAGAACCTATCATTAATGATGACATCCTTTTTTTTTTTTTTTTTTTACGATTTTCCTGTTATGTGTCCATTATAATCTGCTTCGCATACTGCTTCAGAGTATGTAATCTGTTTTTATCCTCAGAAATAATTTCTTCGCTCATATTTATTTGATTATTTATTTTTTCCAAGTAAGTTCTGGAAGAACTTAAAAGCTTACTGCGGAACTTCCACTGTAACTCTATTTTACGTAAATCCAACTGTAGACCATATATCCTTTCCTTTAAATGATCACATTCTGTTATCAACGTTTTAGATATATCGTTATTACCTCTTAGCTGATCTTTAAATACTTCAAAATACAATAATATGTTATTAGTTTCCTTCTCTGCAAACTCTTTTATTTCTTCATTTAAATATTTCCATTGTTCGTTGCTCAAATGTGTTAAGGTGAAAGTGGAGTAATCTTCGCCTTTTTTACTAGCTATTTTTTTTTTTTTTTTTTTTTCCTTTTTTTTTTTTATTAAAATTAAATAGCTAACCAAAATGGGTGCCAAAAGGGAATATATAAAAATTAAACGTATTAATATTAAATGAGGCAAAACAAGAAATAAAAAGTAAAAAACGTTGCACTTTAAATAAACATCAATATGAACTAAACCCAACAGAGTTAAAATGGAGTATATGAATTGCTGACTCGTTGTCAAGTCGTTAAAACCGTCTACACCATAAAAAAAATAATGAAACATGAAAAAATTAACGAAAACAAAAAGAAAAAGAAAACTACACTTTAATATCTGCTTTTTGTTAATATATAAAGTTTCGTATAATTTTTCCTTTTTAATATAATTAGACGAAAAAATAAAAATATTTATTATGATTAAAAAAAGAAAAAAGTAAAAAATATTTACAAATTTGCGGAAAAAAGAAAACAATTTTATGTATATATTAAAATAAATTCCCAAATTATCAGTAGAATATTCTATCTTGTTAATATATATACACACAGTAAGCCATAACGCAACTAAGGTAAAAGATGATAACAGAATCATTAAATTTAAAACGTCTGATTCGAATAAATATATCAAGTAAACTTTTAATTTGAGCAACGTACCAATTTTGTATTTCTTGTCATTTTTATAATCCCCCCGTATATTAAAATTATTTGGGTCTAGACCGTAGTTATATCCACAACCTTGCATGTTAAACGCTGGATAATTCCCATAAATTCCATAATTCGTGAGACCCGCACCAGAGTAATTTCCGTATCCTCCATAATTCATGGCACCCATATATTCGTCAATATTGTTGTAATCCAAGAATGGGTAACTTCCATAGTTGTAATTATTTGGATTATTTGTATTCCCCATATTTTCAATTGGCCACGCACTTAACTGTCCATTCTGCAAACCACATTCCGCAACATTCTTATTATTCCCCATTAGGAGTGAAATACACGCATTGTAAAAGTAGGTAAAATTTTTGAACATGTACAAATACATTATTACAAAGGAACACAACAATATGGTTATGAATAGGATATTAATTACTACACCTTTGAAATGGAAAATATTAAAGGAATTAAAAAATAAATGGTCAAAATATATATTTTTTGATATATGTCCACTAGAATTGAACACAAAATGTAAAGTCACTAGAACGTTGTGATAATCATTTTTATCAAATAATATATAAGATATTTCAATTTTTTTAATTGCATCATTAATAAGTAATGCTACATCGTTAATCCCATTTTGTAATATCTGTGCTTCGTTGCGTAAGTTTATATAGCAATTTCTCTGCTTATAATCACATATAAGACTATTATTTGACGAATGAATTCTTTCCCTTGATACAATATTTATTTGTACTTGTTCTTGTTTCATGCTAAATATATCATTCCATTGGAAGGTACTACTGTAATTTTTTGAAGCATTTCCAAGGGCGTTTGAATTGTTGCCCAAAAGTGAAATAAAACAACTCTTTAACCACTGAACTAAATCGGTCTTATTCTCTATTTTTTGGAAGTTAATGTTCTCCTTTTTAATGTTTACATTTATGATTTTTTTTAAATGGTGGAATTTCATATTCTCAATTAAAGCATTGTTTGAAAAATAGCCTATACTCTCTATTTGATATTTTAGCAACTCTTCGCTTTCTCTTCCTTTTTTGTAATCATTAATAAGAAATAGCATAATGAACATTAAGAATGATATGTATACAGAAAGAGAAAATATTATTCCATCATTTCTTTTTTTATTCATATTATATTCTTTCGAAATGAATCTTTTTTCCCTACTAGAGAAAGGCATTATGTTGCTACTTTTTAAGTTAACAAATAGATCAAGAATTTTTTCTATATTAAAAAGAGCATTTTTTTTTCTATTACCCATTTTTTTATCTTGTCTCTCTGTATCATTCTTTTCTTGATCATTATGTAACTCCTTCGTTATATTCATTATGTCATTATAGTTTAATTCCTTATTTTTGTCATATTTATTTGGGTCAATTTCATATTCATTTGATTCATCTAACGAATATATACTGCTATTATCAATGCTTAACATTTCTTCATCACATTCTTTCACATTATCAATTAGATCATCATCAAATGAACCATATGTATCTTCGACATTATGACTTTCTTTTTGAACCATTTCGTCTTCTGCACCTGAATATGAAGTTATTTCGATTATGCTGTTGTCATTTTTAGCCCTTTCATTTGAGTACTCCTTTTCGAATGCTTTTTCTCCATCATTGTTTTTAGTATTGATATCATAAGCTTCCAATTTTCCTCTTTTACTATTTTTACTTTGCTCATCCCCCTGGTGCATATTACCACGCTTTAGTGATCTATCGCCATACTGATATATAAATAAGTCATATATTTTTTTATCTCTTTTGATGAATGACTTAATAGATAGGAAAAATAAGAAAGCAAAACTTATAGTAACAATAAAAAAATGAGTAGGGATGGAATAAAAATAAGACAATATATTTTCTTCATTTAGGATGGAAGATATATTAACTCCTTGGAAATTCGCAAATATGATACATACGTTGAAAATAAATGTATAGATAATGCTGGAGCCAATATTTTCATCAATATGAAAAAGTGTATAACTGAAGACAGAAAATATTCCTAAGCACCCAAATATTATGGACAAAATTATCAAAAAGGGAAATAAAAAATCTCTTTTTATATTATTTTCCACAATATTATATTTTTTTATCAACAGACCATTCCGTTTTATGCAAACGAAGCAGCATACGGAAAAGGTTATTATGGTATTATATACAAAAATATTTTTAATTAATTCCATACGTGAGAAGAATATGGTCATACTGTGTAAAAATTCCGTTATTTGTTCTGGACTGCTTAGGTGATGTGTTGTATCCACTTTGAATTTCCCATTCTCATAATTTGCACTAATTTTTGGAAGCAAGGTTTGGTGTAGGAGATAAATACACAGGGTTACCAGGTTCGATCCGAAGCTGACTGAGGGAGAAAAAAAATTGAGAAATGTAATCAAATTGGGTAAGTTAATCAAATTAGGAAAAACAATCAAATTGAGTAAATAAGAAAAAGGGCAGGAATAAAAAAAAATGAGTCAATTCAATATTTCCGGTCATTGTGTGTTGGGAGATATGTGAACATGATTAGCAACTTCCACATGTACATATACACATAAGACTTCTCAAGTGAAATTATCTTCTTTTCCTAGGAGTGGAATACAAAAATGTCTTTCGAATTACCAGTAAGGAGAAAGGGGGTGCTGTATGATTTTACGTAGAGTTTGAATCCAACCAAGGCAATTTTCCGAACATAGATAGTAATATATATGATAAATGTTATGATAAATACAGACAGGGCAATGAGGAAATAAATATCAAATCGGTTATATGAAGCGGATTGTGTTACAACCTCCTTGTACGTTTTGGTATTTGGTAAAAAGGAAAATTTTAAAACGTTATATGAAAGTACATTAAGGAGTGGGTTAAATAATAAAAAATCTATCGCAACAGATGCTATATTATAATTTGTTAATATAAGAGCTGGGATAAAATAAGGATAATCAGTAACATATGAAGAACCCTGAGAAAGACCTTCTTGTATTTTATTAAAGTCCTTTTCACATATTATTTGATATAATCCTCCAATTTTTTTATAGGATTTTTCACGAGAATATGAATAATTCCACTTTTTGTTAAAAAAAGAAGAATTAATATTTCTAGTATCTTCAAAATTTTCTAAAAACGAACTGTCAGGATATATTTCAAATATTTTCCTATAATTATAAATATTTTCTAACATAGAATTATCCTTTTTGTATAATCTCATAGTTACTCTCCAACATTTTCCAATTATAATGTTACTATTTAAGAAATTCTCTTGGGATATTTTCTCAGTGAATGCATTTTTTAGCCACGAGGAGAGATCAAATTTGGTATGTAAATTTTTAAATAATATATAGTCTTTTTTTCTTGGTTTATATGAAAAATCATTGTTAATTTTCTTTATATGTTCACTTATAGATTTATAAAAATGTTCAGAATATGTTTTTGACTCACTTACATTGTTATATATATAATTCTCCAAATTTTTTATTTTTACCAAATCGTTTGATGCATAAAGAACGATGAAAAATAAAATAATTAAAATGATGTCTATATTTATTTTTATTAATCTTTTCCCATCTTCTATCTTTTCTGATAATAGCAGTAATTCGGAAGACTTTTTATCTTTTTCTTCTTCTGTATATTTAAAAAGAGTATTAGAGTATACTTTTAAAAATTTTAAGTTTCCCTCATTGCATATTTTTTCCTTGTTCATTACCATTGTGGAATTTCGGGAACATTTGTTTATTGGTCTATTAGTCGGTTATCTTATCAGTCGGTTCGCTTATCGTCTTATTAACGTATCATTTTTTATCCCATTTTAGGATCATTATGGAGAGTTTATATGTGCCAAAAAATATGTTCTAGAAGATGATCATGTCGATAAAAATTGGAACATCACTATGACGCTAACTAAAAAAGGTGATCTTATTTTTAAGTTTAAAAAAAAAAAAAAAAAGAAAATCACGAACTTTACAGGATGACAAAAAATTTTATATAATATAAGTACTGTATATTCACAAGGTATGGTATTTTTCCTTAAAAATGATTAAAGTAATTGGGGATTTGTCCATGGGTATAATTTGTGTGTACTCCTTATGTGTGCATACATGCATAAACATCATGTTCATGCACTTATGATCTTACATATGTATGTTTACCATGATACAGTTCACTGTTGTAATTTTATTTTGGCACATGCATGATGCCAGAAAGTGACTATCTCATATGCAAAATTATGATAATGATTCATATTATAATAGCTTTTTGTCTTATCCTCTAGCAACTTTTAAAATAATATTACACATTATTAGTAAAAAAAAAAAAAATAAATAAATAAATAAAAATAAATGAATAGTAGCTGCACTATTGCGGCTTCACTATTTCTCTCCATCAAAAAATGTAGTCTCCTGAAATCAAATTTTTACACTAACTTTTGGTACCGCCTTTTTTAAGCAATCTAGTAAACACATAAAAAGGGTAGGCAAGCAATAAAATACCATATTGTAACAAAAGAAAAATAAAATAAAAAAAAATAAAACAAAACTTTACACTAATTTTAGATAAAAATATATATATTTAAAAATTCTCAGATGAAAAGTATATTGTGGCAGAATTAGTCGAGTTTATATCCTTTTTTTTCATGTGTGCACATTTTTTCATAACAAAAAAGAAGAAAAAAAAAAAAAGAAGCATAGCTATCCTATGTAAGAATAATTTAAATGTGAAACTCACAAAAGCTAATCTGATTTAATTTTTAACTATTTTAAGTAACACCCCCAAAAAATGTAAAAAAATTACACATGGAACTTCTGACCCTTATTAAAAATAAAACATTAATGTGTGCCTCTTAGCCATATCTCAAATAGTCCAGAAAACGATTTTCATACTCAGTTTGGAAAATACTAAACCACTGCACACAAGGGGAGGTGAGAATACAAAAAAAAAAAAAAAAAAAAAAAAAAAACATACACATACACGCACGAACAAAAACACTCTCGAGAGAAAAAAAGTGAATAATATAAACGACAACCTTCAAAAAGCTCCCTATATACAAATATCATGTCCATTTTAAGCATCCCCTTTTTATTTTATTTTTTTTCATCACAGCAGGTAAACATTTTCCTCAACATATACTCTTCTTTCTTAAAAATACAAATTTGAGATACTCAATTTTACCCCTTGATTTTTTCTCCTTTTTCACTTTGAACTGTCGAATACACTGGAGGGTGAAAAGAACCACGGATTAGTCACAATTATGTTCGATAAAAAATCGACGTTTTTTACTACATGCTCTTTATGAAAGTTGGAAAGTTCGGGATGTAAATTCACACTTAAGTTTCTTGATTTCTTTTCCTTATCTAGGATATTTGTAAGGTTTAAAATTTTGTTCCCTTCATTATTCAGCAAGTATTGTATATACTCTGAGTACTGTTCATTTTCCGTAATATTGCTTAAAGACTTTACATGAAATAGAATTAGCTGTTTTTGTAGAGGCGTTAAAAAAAATTTAACCAAGTCTATCAGTAAAATCAATTCGGTATGACCACAAGTGCCTTTCATTACGGAAAAAAAAAGTAAATCAAACCATATACTTGGGTTTAATAAACAGTTATAATTTGTTTCTGTTCCCATTTTTTGTTTATTATTATATATATTACATTTGGAATAGCAGTATTTACATATATCATCTATGGTAAAATAAGTATCATCGAATAATATTTTCTCTATGGATACATAATCGTATTCTCGTGTATAACAGTTTCTGTGAAAGAAATTTCCATGTGTATTTTGATGAAAATTGCTAAGCTGAAGATTTAAAGCTCTTCCCCTATTTCCACCTTTATGATTCAAGTGTATATCGTCAAGTATTTCATCGATGCGCATTTCCTCACTGTTATTTTTGTACCATGTGTTATCAAAACAATCTTCTCTTTTCGTTACTGTAGGAAAATCCCTCCTTGTGTTGCACTCATCAAAACACAAATTTCTAAATATGGAAGGTTTATTTTCCATATTAATTCCACCTTTTTTCATTAGCGTTAAGTTTTTCACAAAAGGGGATGAATTCTTTGACAAAATTATACCTAACAATTTAGAAGCCAACATGAATTGTTTTTTCATACTTAAAGAAATTACCTTTATTTTGAGTATTTCTCGTATTATTATGAATATTTTTTCCATATCTTCTTTACCCATATCCTCATTTTTATTTGAACTGGGTAATAAATCATCCTTGGTGTAATAACACCCGAATATATCCTTTGCAAAAACAAGATTATAGTTCTTTTGACTTTTCAATTTTTCATACAATTTTATGTACAATTCGATTGCCTCTTTTCTATATTTTTTATTTTTTTCATTTAAATAATTTTTTTCCAAAATGAGAAAATCGGAAGTCGTAATTTTTTTTTTAATATGAGCATTGGAAACATTGTCTAATGAAATATTTGGGTAAATTAAATCTCTACAACCTATGTATTGTTTCATTTCAGCTAGCCGATAAATTATATATAATGTTAAACTGCGTGATGAGCATGTAGAACTACTTAATGTCTTTAAGCAATCTTCTGTAATTTCAATTGCTTTATCAAAATTACCGTTATTTTTTAACGAAACAGCTAAAAGGCATTTATTTTGCAGTATGAGAAAATTTGGTAGTTTTGCCCTCTCACAATTGTGTATGGATAATGTGTAATACTTTATTGCGCTCTTAAATTTATTCAGGTCCATTAAAATGTTTCCTTGTAGTATCAAAGAAAATATACAAATATAGTGAGAAGAAATATCATTCATTGTAGTTGAAATTGTTCTGTAACATTCTTCCGAATAATGTAATGCTTTGAACAAATGTTTTTTTTTTAATTCCAAATAGTCTACTTGATCTAGTAACATTTTGTCTTTTTTTGTACAATTCTTATTAGTAATATTCTCCCCCCCCATTTCATAATTTTCAGTTTCATAATTTTCTGGGTCGTCATTTTTTCCTTCAGCATTGGATGCATTATCCAAAAATTTTTTCCAGCTTTTACCATCTGTACATTTCTCTTTTCTCTCGTTTGCTATGTCATAGTAGTAGCAAGCCAATAATACGTTACACAGCAACGTACTGATGCTATTAGTATCTCCATCGTAAAATTTGTTGAAAATCACAATTAGTTTATAAATTATCAATGCGTCCTCTATATTCCCTTCCTTTACTTTACACTGCAAAATAAGGATAAGTATGTCCCTTCTGATGGTACCTATATTTGGAGTTATTTTATAAATATAGTAACAAACGTTTAAGCACTTTTTTATATATCCATGTTCAAAATGCAGATAGGCCAAAAATAAAAATCTTTTAGATAATTCTATGATGTTCTTATTTATGCTAAAATTTAGTAAAAGATAGATACACTTTTTAGCTCTTACATAATTTATGCATTTCATTTTTTCATTTAGTATACAATATGGATGGCAGGGAATGTTATATTCATAAACGAAACTCTTTATTTTGTTACATGAACCAACGGTGCATATATTATTCATATGCAAAAAGTCGTTTTCTTTGGGATAAATTATATTTACAATATTTTCCTTTAACATATTTTTTATTTTAAATTTCTCCTGTAACATATTATGTAATGAAAACAGCTTTTCTCTTGTTCTATAGGACCATGTAGAATATTTTGGAAAGCATCCTTTTGTATTAGGGTAAAACAAAACGAAATGATTCATTCGGAAATTATCTAATTGTTTGTTTCCTCTACGATAATTCATATTATCATTATTTGATACTTCCCTTTTTTTTCCCCTACACTTATTACGATTATTTCTTCCTAAAATCAAATATTTTTTTTTATTCATTTTGTCTACTAAGGAATACACATTTCTTAATTTAACGTTGCTACTCCCATTATAAGATGAATCACAACTTATGTTGCAATTGTTCTTCATTCTCTCTTTTCTCCTTATAGTTCTACTGCACTCATCACTTGTTAATGGGTCTAAATTTTTGTAATTCCTGTGTGTACTCTTTTGAGAGAAAGAAATGTAACCTTTGTATGAAGAATTATCTGTAATCCCTCTCTTTGGATATGTTTCACTTGGATCAATTTTGTATTCATAATTATTATAAGTATTTTCACTATACGAATCTTCATAATATATTGAGTCAGTGTTTTCGTCTACTTCATCACTGACTTCGCTCCTCAATTCGAATATCTCCCTCAAATGACAAACATTAGGAAATAAAATTTTTTCCTTGTCAGAAAAAAAGTTAGACATATCATCCAAAGTTAGAGGTAGTCTAACTTTATAATTCTTCTTACATTCATTTTTAAAATAAACACCAATGTGGTGTTCTATACACACGAGTAATCCATATATTTCCATTTCCTTAATTTTTATATGATCATTTAAATTTATCTGGAATTTTTTTATGCATTCTGGTATTAACACCTTATGCCAGAACTTTATTGAATCCACTGTCCTAATATTTAGGGTTAAATTTATCAATCGAATTAGTAATTTATGAGGAATTAATTCAGGAAAATAATCCCATTGTGTAAAACAGTTTTCACAAAAGCAGATAAATTTGTTACATTCTTCATAAGTACATTCTTCTCCACATTCATTATCCCCAGAGTTATGTCTGTTTATATCACTCATTTTGTCATGAATACATATTTTCTTATCATTCTTAAAAAATGTATCGTAATACGTGGTATTGGATTCATCATAATTATCACTTCTACAGTTAGTGATACTATTCCTTTTTCCTTTTTTAAGAATAATCATAAGAAAAGAATGAATTTTCTCATAAAAAATACACTTCAATGTGCGACAAATAAGTTCTCTACATATTACATCTGTAAGAAACTCTGGAGTCTTGTTATCATTGTTTAGTAGGTAACCAAGATTACTCATATTAACCCCATGGGAGTGGTAAACCTCAGTGATGTCAAAGCTATCACTAAAATTTGTTACTATATTTACAATTTTAGGTAAAATGTAATTTTCAATATTATCAAGACATTCCTTACTAGCGTCCTTTAAAAGGTCCACATTATTTTTATGCTGATTTAATTTGTGATTCTTTATATCAATTGATAGCGTGGTGTTACATAATGAATGCTCATAATAATATTTTATAAATTCATATCTTATCCTTTTGTTAAAGCTCATGTCAGTGGAATTAAGTAAAAATGGTGGGAGTATTTCTTCTGCTCCTCTTACGATAAACATATTGTCTATATGTGATTTATAAATTTTTACATTATTTCTTTTTTTAAATATTTTGCATTCATAATAGTTGGAGAATCCTAACGGTAAAATGCAGCAATGGTAATTCATATAATCACTCATTTGTTTTAATTGTTCATACAATTCTGGGTCGTAATTTTCCATCTCTAGAAACAACCTTTCGTAAAAAACTTTTTCCTTTTTCCTCTTTAGGTATTCCCTTTGTTTTAAACCTTTTCTTTTATTTTTGTATGTGCAATTTTTCTCCCTTTGTAAATTATTCCCTTTCTCAAGGTTCTTACTACAGAACTCATCATCCTTGTCTGGACCCTTTCCAGGGCTGTATATACTATCCATTGATTTAATTCTTTTCTTAAAAAACTCATTTTCATCTTCTGTCTTATAATCCGTAAGGTACACTCCTCTGAAAATATCTTTAATTATATCAACTGGAGGATAAGATTCATTTAACGGCATTAATGGCTCAGAAATCACGCGCATTCCCATAAAATCGATCTGGCTAGCTATTGGTAAGGCAAATTTGGAACTGTTTTTTAAATTAAATATGCATTCACATAATGCATTTTTCCCTTTCATATCATTGCTATATATTTTTCTTGCTGTGTTGTAATTAATGTTATTCACTTGGCTACCCAATATAACGGTAAAAACAAGACTGTCAAATAGAAAAACTAAATCATCATCAAATTTGGGTTTGTATATTTTGTAAATATGCGGATATCTTTCCTTAGACACTTGCACAAAGCATTTTTTAAAATAATTTACTGAGCTATTCTCCAATTCTTGATTTTTTAAAAATAAGGAATATATTAATCCACATGCCCCTATCTTACTTGACATGTGAAATAATTCTAGTTCATTAAAAAATTCTTTTTCTCTTTCCCCTTCACTTTTTTCATCATGCATGTATCCCCTTAATGTCCATATGTTACGAAAAGCATAATTTATTCTATCATGCCAATTAGAACTTAAATAGGAATTTTCATTCTTGCATAAAAAGCTGTATAGAGGATGACTTATGTCCATGTTATAACTTCTACAAGGTTTCATATTTCCTATTAGATTATTAAAAATATTTAATTTGTTATTTAATTGCTTTGGAATATCTTCTTCTTTGTCTAATTGTGCACCGACACTACTGCTGCTAGAGGAATTATCAGTACTATCCTCTAACATATTGTATTGGGCGCTGCTTTTATTATTAACGTGATTTTCTGATTCTTGTTCAATCTCACTAAAATTATTTCCTTTATTTGCTTTCAAAAATAGTTTTTGTATGCGTGAAAATTTGGATTTATCTATTTCTACATTGTAACATTCTTCACCTGGTTCATTTCCTACTATGGGCGATATGCAGATTTGTGGTTTAATACCTAGAGTTTCTTCCCTTGATTCAATATTTTTATTTATATAATTATGGGCTAAAGATTCATTATTCTTTTTCACTGAAATTATTTTAGTATATTTAGTGAAATTTTCTTTTTCATTTCCTACACATTTATCCATTTCATTCATTTTCTTATTACTTATTAGACGCTGTGGTAAATTTTCAGTTGGTACATCCTTCAATGCACGTCTAATATCAAATGTTTTAATTTCAGGTTCTGCATCTGTTTCTTCTTTAAATATTAAATTTCTTAAATTTTGTGACTTTAATAGGCAAATGGTATTTTTTTTCTTTCTTTTTAGTTTTCCTTTTTTTCTTTCCTTGCTCTCAATGAGCTGCTGTTCATTCGGAAGCTTGGGGTTGTGCAGTTTTCTATTTGTTACATTCCTATTCGTTTGCTTCCGCTCATCTGAAGTGTATTTTGAGCCATTTATTACTTCTTCAGGAACTCCATTATTGGATTTAAAATTCTCTTCAATTAAGGAATCGTCCAAAGCCTTGAAATAACCGTTGGGCTGATTAAGCATTTCTTCATTTTCCTCCCATTGCTGTCCCTTTTCCTTAATGAATGTGGAAAAGGGGCTTTCCTCCGTACCCATTTTTGTTACAGTCGCTTTTTATCTATCTATATATCTATCTTTTTTTACTTTTTTTTTTCCCTTTTTTTTGGACTATACTTTTTCCTTAAGCGTGTAATATTTTGCATTGGGGTGTCACTTGTATACTTCAAGTTTTATGTGTACATGCTCCTAACAAGATTGTGCCAACATGTACCTTTTTTTAAATTTGTTTTTCCCTATGTTGATTATTAAATCTGAGTGTTGACTCTTCTGTGTGGTAATGCACAGAACAGTTAAAAAAAAAAAAAAAAAAAAGTTGCGAAGTGGACATGGAAAAATTTGGCATTGCAATGTATCTACACGATGTTTATAAAAATTTGTTTGTGGGGAATAAATCAAAAGATTTGTCAAATGGTTGATTCATGCTTCCTCTTGTTATCCATTTTTGATAATATGTTTCATCATGCTACGTTTTGTATATGAACGAACCCATTTTTTCTTATTCCCTTGTTCACCAATAGTATCGAAAATTGTATACACAACATCTGTGCCCCTTATAGCATAAATGTACAACAGATAGGTACACAGGCAGGGAGGGGAAATATATATGTATATGTAAATGAACAAAAAATTTGCACCTTTAGTAATTGTAGGATTTTTTGTTGCACTCATTACCCAATGTATATTAGCAAAGGTCGAAAGGATACAACCCAAAATTAACTACTTGTGTCCATTTCGGCTTGCACACATAGACATATGCATACATGATGCATACATACATATATATATATATATATTTATTTATTTATTTATACATATGTAATATACATGTATGCAGTGTCTTTAATTTATCAATATAAAACGTACGTATATTCGCTAGTAAGATCTTTTCGCACTACTAGTAACAAATAGTTGAATATCCATTAAGAAAAAAAAAAAAAAAAAAAAAAAAAAAAAAGTTCAATCCCTTAAATAAAAGGAATTCATTCGCACATGAAAAAAGAGAATACATTTTCCCTGCACTTTAATGCAATTTTATTTTTCCCTTATACATGTATATATAAATATATAAATATTTTCCCTGTCCCACCCCCTTTAAGGTATATGAAAGCACTTGAATCTTAATTTTTTTTTTTTTTTTTTTTTTTTTTTTAATCATCTCTTATTTGCATTTCTCTTATTTCTTATGTAGTTATTTTGATTGATCTCTATTTTTATTATTTTTTTTTTTTTTTTCACCCCCTTAATTGTGTTTTTTGTGTCTGCAAAGTAGTGCGTGTAATATATATTTTACTTAAAGTTCCTATTATCTGCAGGGAATACTAAAAGAATACATTTTGTGGTGTATTTTCTCCAATGACATGCCTCTTTTCTCATTGCTATATGTGTTGGCAATTTCCTATATTTGGAGTATATCATTTTAAAAAATTTTATTTTATTTATTTCCCCCTCCCCCTCTTCCTTGGATTATTGATTAGAAAAAAGAAAATAGTTTGGCATTTTCTCTACTACAGGGTGAGAAAACATGTTGGGATTAATGATCTATGTAACATTTTGTTAGTGTTCATATTTAGAATACAACACATGGTATAAGATAAAAATGGAAAAGGTTATTTTCTACATAAATACAATAACAGCGTTGACATGCATATGAATTTGCATATACAAATGTGTGGGATATACACATGTCTCTGTGTGTATGCTCTGATTATATACTATAACAAAAAAAAATATATATTGTACAACCCTTTAAATTCTTAGCTGATTGCTCTTATCAACAGAATATTTTACTCTCCTTGCACAACTGAGTTAATGTTTTGGATAATTTATGAATTGGTAATCCCATAACGTTGTAATAACAACCATTAATTTTTTTTATAAACTGACAACCAACCCCTTGAATGGAATAAGCACCGGCCTTATCATATGGTTCATTCGAATTTAAATATTCTGAAATATCTTGTTCTAATAAATTATCAAAATGTACATGTGTCTTCTCAATAAATGTGATAGGTACTTTTGTTTTATATAAAAATATACAAACAGCTGTATAAACACAATGGATATTAGATGATAGCCTTTTTAATATTTCATGGGCATGTTTTTTATTTAAAGGTTTTTCTATTATTTCATCATTTAGTGTAACGATAGTGTCACATGAGATAATAACATTTGGCATAGGGTTATAATTACTATATAAATTTTTGACTTGATATTTATTTACTTTTTCTATATCAGTTTTATTTATGTTGTTCTTATTATCCAGGTCATCAACCAAATGAACATTATTGACGTGTTCACTTTTTCCTGCCTCAGCTTTTGAGTTCTTCTCGTTTTGATTACTTCTTTTGTTTCCAAACCAGACATGTTCTGCCACGTTTAGTCCTTTTTTTATTGCATTTTCCTTAACATATTCCTCAGCAGAAGAAAATTTGTTTTTATCTAAATTTTCTTCAAATCCTGATTCACAAACATGTAAATTTTTTACCCCCATTAACTTCATTAACTCTATTCTTCTTGGGGATTTGCTTGCTAAAAGTATCCAACATTTTTTTGCGTCTGCAAAAAAGTCACCTAGTCCGATCATATGTGAACATTCCTTCATTTCGACTTTGAGAAAAAAAAAAAAATAAATGAATAAATAAAAAATACTAAAATAATAAAATAAAAAAGTAAAAAAAAAAAAAAAAAGGGGTTAAAATTCAAAAATATTGTAGATCAAGGGACTTTTTGCATACACTAAAAGTGCTAATTAGTTGTAAACATTCGACATGCCATTTTTTGTACTTAATTTTTTCCAACTGAAAGAAAAAACATAGTTACTTTTTTTTTTTTTTTTTTTTTTTTTTTTTTCAACTAGCAATAAGTGTATATGGGAACATAGAAAAGGAACCATTTGTGGGTGGAGAAGACCTCTAGGTGTTTGGTGCACTTTCGTAGTGAAGTTTGCCAAATATATATATTTTTTCCTTCCTATTCATTTTGCTTGAATATTACTATTCATACATAAACAAGGAAAACATCATAAAATAGCTTTTTTTCATTTTTGTATTTCTTTGGTTTATACATTTATTTTGCTGGCGTATCCCATTTGTGGAGCACAAAAGTTAAATCGCGTTTTACCTATAGAAATTTGTAGATAATGTGAAAAAATATTCTCTTTAAAACGTTGGCGTTTTTATACAATAGTGATGAAATTATTTTTCACATGACATTAGTATACAATTCACATAGAAAAAAAACTGTCATACAAGATCAGAAGAGGAAGAATTATATAATACATAAGAGGAAAATTACATAGTACACAACGTGTTGCTTGTACATTAAAAAAACTTTGCCACTGTTATCAACGCACTTTTTGGTTTTAAGAAGCAGACTGCCTTTTATGTAAATGTACCAAAGTTTTGGTAATCCAATTACGCTCCTAACACTTCCCTTTTCTCAAAGGAAAAGAGATATTTACCGGTTGTTATTACGATGAAACAGATAGAACCAATCCGCACACGCATAGGCATATGCACATTCATACATACGTCGATACATAAGTCAATACATACGTTGTTACATAAGTCAATACATACGTCGATACATACATCTGTATAACAAAATACAGATTACCTTTTTCTAAAACGAATAAATGGGAATTTTTTTTCGCCATGGAAAACATCTAACATAATAGGTTCCATAAACTCCTTCATATAAAAAGGAATATTTAGCTTAAATAATCTTCAGGCGTAATGCTTTATGTATGTATATCTCTCTATATATATCTATGTGAAGCGAAATCCTTTTTTGAGGTAATAGTTCATCTATGTGGTAGTGACATATGAAGAGCAGTTTCAGAGTTGCAATGTGGACAGAAAAGCTTACGAGGTTTAAGAACACTAAGCAAAGTTCATGCAAAATGGAAGCAAAAAAAAAAAAAAAAAAAAAAAAAAGAACTATAATATCATAAAACGATGAAGATACACAAAATTAAGATTTCCCATGGATATTTTACAACGTGTATGTTAAAACGGAGAGAAAACATGCTGCATACAACCATTATGTACATTTTTGACGTTGAGAAAAATAATAAAAAATAGCATATAACTCCGGCTACAGACGCAAATTCAGTTGTAATTATGGTTGATAAAGCAAGTGGCGGTTAGACATGTAAAAGGCATATGACACAGTTCACATTCATCTGGTAGTTACTTCGGAAAAAAAGGGGGGTTACCCAAATTATAATGGATCATCCAGTTGAAACTAATTTACAAAACTGAAGTCCAATTTTTCTATGCTCTGCTTACTCTTCATCTCTGTCTGTTTTTCCATATCCATTGCTTCTTTGATCAAGTTATATACTAAGATCTTTTCGTCCCCATTAATATCAGCAAGTATTTCCTTAAAAAAAGAGGAGTTCTTAAATGCAAAATTTCTAAAAAGGTTTATCACCTCTTTGAAATATACGGTTATAATATCATTTTCTGTATGTACTACACTTAATTTAACGAAATTATTGTGTATGCACAGATTTTTATCCGGCAAGTTTAATAAACTAATGTTTTCCCCTTGATCTATTTGACATATAAAAAAGGCTTTCATAATGTTCACGTTATTCTTATCACAAATATGAAAAACTTTGTGAATAAAAGAGATAAATGGAATTAGTATTTTTCTTACTAATGCATATCTACTAATAAATAAATTAAAAAATAAATTTAAAATTTTTACAGGATATACAATAATGTCTTCTACACATGAATTTGTTGGTATAACATCTTCGTAATGAATCTTATCAATTGAATAATTAACTACTAATATTGGTGCAATGTGGTTTTTTATTAGATTTTTTATAAAGTAATAAATGATTGAGTCTTCTCTATTTTTCATAAGGGTAAATATATTCTGAATAACATTTATGAATGAATAAATTATTTGACTATTTCTGTACATGTTTTTCGCTTCCACCCTTTTTGTGATTATATTCGCTCTTTTTTTATAGTCACATGCGTAGAGATATACTGCTTTCATCTTGCATGAGAAAGAAATAAAAACGTCCAATATTTGTTGTGTGTAATACATTTTACTCTTTTCATTCATCATATCTGTTGTGTTGATGAAATGTATGAAAACGATTACTTTTACGTAAAACAATTTCAATCTCGGTAAGTCATTTTCATATATAATTTTGTAAAAATAATCTTTATATTTTTTCATTTCCAATAGATAATTATTTATATCATTAATAGAACAATTTTGAAAAAAAAACTTAAGTACCCTACTGCTCAGTTTTTCGTCTTTCAGAAAGTTCATTTTCTTCAGGAAGAGCTCTTGCAGGAGGAGTTTCATTTTTCCCGATAATTTGGTGGGTTCTGTTTTCACATTTTCCAACTTTTCCAACTTATCCAACTTTTGCTCCTTTTCCAACTTATTCAAAAGGGTGTAACAACTAAGAACGGAGTTCCACAAAGGCGTTAGCAATTCCCCTCCTGCTGATCCTCTATTATGCACTCCTACATGCTTATCACTACTGATATTATTACTATTTGCTCCATCATAATTTTTTTTTGTCAAAAAATTATTAACTACAAATAGGTTTAATGTGAATACATTGCAAAGTACACTATACTGGATCCTCTGAGTTTTCATATTCTCCAAGTGTGCATACGCAATGGATATGAATTCAAGCACACTTGGTAGTATTTTTTCATTTATCGAAACTACTAAATGTTTCAGTATATAACTTAGAACTGTGTTTAAAAAAGGGCCCCTTGATATATCCTCATAATTGTGCTTTGTTTCACTATGAGAACAATGTGTATCTGTTTCACAACAGCTGTTACATGTGTTTGAGTCTTTATCCCTAGATGTTTCTTTAAAACTATCTGTGGCATACTCATTGGGTATGGGCTCTTTCTTCTTTTCTATATCTCTATGGTGAGCAATAGAATTGCTCATATGATAAGATGTATCACATGAAAATTCAATCAAACATAAGTAACCAAATATGAATGTAAAGTATATTTCCTTCGTTTCCTTTTTTAATTTCTCCTCATGTTCTTTCAAATGATAACATAAGAAAAGTATTAGTGTTTTAAAAATTAAATAACTTTTCCTACTAATAAAAATATCCTTATAACATATTCTTACAACATTTAAAAATTGTATAAAAATTGAAAATACACTGAAATAGAAAATAGATAAACATCTTGCCTTCTCATTCATGCATGTAAAAAATTTATGTACAATTTCGCTTAGGAATTCCTCATTTTTATTATCTTCAAAAGACCAAAAGTATAAAACAATCGTGTCGTACAAAAGATAACTAATATGCTTTACAACACTTTTTATATTGAACATGCTCAGATTCTTTTGTGCCTTTTCGTTATTTATTATGTAGTTGCTGAACGACTTATGGGAAAAGAGGTAATATACACATGAGTCGAATTCTGAAAAAAATAGGGAGAAATTTATCGCGGATCCCTTGTTTTTTCCTTTCATGCATGTGTTATCACGCACACTCTCCTCATTTCTGGAATAATCACCATTGTTAGAAGCATTGTCATTACTAAACGAATCACTCTTTCCCATGGTACCACACTGAGGATCTTCATTCTTAACTCCGCTGGAGGTCTTAATGGCAAAATAAAAAAAGTACTCAACAAATTTAGAGTGCGAATTGCACAATTCAATTCTATTTAGAAATAAAAACAAATTGTATATACGCATCAAGGGATATTGGAAAAAGTGGGAAAATTGCAGGTACTCATTTTTCCTATCTTCTGCAACATCTAAATTATCCCCTCCTACAGAATTATCATTTTTGTAACTTAAATATATAAAATTAAACGATTCATAATAGATCTTTAGCGAGGTGAAAATATTTATTTCGTAATTTGTGAGCAACATAATTTCATTACTATTTGAAAAATCATCAAGAATAATTTTGGAACGCTTAAAAATCTTTAAGTATCGCACTAATGCTTTTATGGCTACTCTGGACAATTTATAATATCTTATTCCATAATTTATATTATGTAATATAATATTTAGAATTTGTTCAAAATTATCATATAAAGAAAAATTATCGATGATATTTTCTATATCTGCACTGTTAAATTTTTCTTCCCATTTTATGCACTCTCTTTTGGCTCTTTTCCTACGAAAGAGAATATTTTCAATGCAACTAATTTTGTCCTTTATCTTACCTTTCCTGTTACTATGATTAATTTCCTTTTCACATCTATCTCTCCTCACGTTATAGTTATCATGAAACGAATACAGCGTCTTATTCATTTCATCCAAAGCATTTACCTGTTGAGCCATTTCTTGATTACTAGTACTTCTAATACTACTTCTGCTACTACCGTTTCTATCTCTACTACTATCATTAACGTCACTTCTACCCAGTTTGAATGTGTTACTACCTCTTCCACTGCTGAGAGAGAATAGCTTTTTATTGTTATATTCTCGTAAAATGTTTTTCTCATTTTTCACTCTTTTCATGTTAGAGCTGTTTATAATCCGTCCGCTCATTCCTCCTGCAGAATCCACCTTATAGTTGCTCAATATTTGCCCCTTCATTCGTTTTTTCACATAGTTGACATAATAAGGATCATTGTGTATATACACAAAAGGAGAAAGACTTATATTTTTCAAAAAAAATAATAACAATTTCATGGCGAAATGTTTTGTGTCATGAGAAAAAGTGAAATCAGTTTGCCTCATTTTGAAGACGTCAAAAAAATAAATCGATTTTGTTCCTCTAATTGAGTTATTTTTTTTTTGTATATTTTCTTCATTGAAATTTATATGCATGTTAATTTCAAAATTTTTATTAAATAATGAGGTATAGAAGGTTGGACAACTGTTCAGTTCAACACTTAATTGTTTTTCATTTGCTAATAAGTTATTCTCCTTCTTCTTAGAATCCTGTTCAAACGAATTCTTATTATCAATATTACATTCATATTTAGAGTAGGATCCTTTAGACCTATATTTTATGAGATCATAAAGGAGCATATTTTTATTATTTAAAATACTATCGAACAGTTTTGTCCAATGTTTGACATTAAAAAAACCATGCATACGAATCCTTAATTTCAATAATTTCATAAAATAATTGTTCATCTTCTTTTCACAGTAGTTGTTATAAATTACTAAAAGGTAGTAATCAAAATTTTTATGTAATGGAATTACAATATTGTTTTTCAGTAGTTTATATAAACACATAATTGCATCTTGTAGTATACTTTTATCCTTTTCCAAAAATATACTTTTCTGTATCATCAAGGATATTTTATACATAAATCTTTTTAACTTATTCTTCTTCAATAAACTGAACAAGATATTAATAGTCCTGAACAGGATACTGTTTGATTTTTTTTCATACGAATTTAGCAAAATTTCAAATATGCTCAATATTTGGTTTTCAATCTGGGTGCCAAATTTTCTCTGTAAAGCATTCATTGTGCCTTTCATACGACCGATCCTTTGTGCACCATTTTGGTTGCATCTTTTACTACTCCTGTCACTAATTCTACTCTTGTCTCCACTTCTACTGCTCTCGCCACTTCTACTGCTCTCGCCACTTCTACTACTCTTTTCGATACCTCTTTTTGTGCTATATCTTTTTCTGTTTTTCTTTTCCTTTTTTTGTAGAATGCTTAGCAGATTGTTAAACAAACTGATGATGTGCTTCCCCTTCACAATTTCGAAGCTGTATGTATTATCCCCCTCCATTTTTAGTATATAGGCCAAGACGATTTCTAGACAGTTCTTCACCTTGCACATGTTGAGTCGGTTGTTCATTTTTCTTACCACAGTATTGAAGTTTATCAAAACGTGCGTGAACACCTTATTGTCGTGTGGAATTATCTTCAACATGTTCAGATATATAGCGAAGAAATCAAAAAGTCTTTTTTCCTTTTTTTTAACAATATGTTTAGCATTTTCTGCTACTTCGACACAGTTTGGTTGATCTGGTGCATCATTAGGTGCAACGGTATCTATACAATTTCGTGAAGTATTAATTTCGCAATTTGCTTTAACACCCTTTGAGATAATAATACCTGTTGTTCTTCCTTTAATCTGTTTCCAAAAAAAAATTCTCTTCTGTCTTTCGAAATGATTCTTCAGTTGGCATAAGTCCAACGTTTGAAAGTGTGTAAGAGAAAGGGGATAATCATTGAGGGACAAATTTTTTGGTTTTCTTCTTTTAGCTTTGGAAATGCTAGAATGTTCCTGTTTACTTGACATATCTAAAAATACAGTACTATTTAGGGAAGTCGTACTTAAATTACTAGAGGGGAAGAGTTCTTCTTCTGCGTTAAATAATTTGTTTTTTTTTATATTAGTCCAATTTTTCGTTATATAATTATTATTATCTTCAATTTTTATGTAAGATATAATAACATTTTTTATAAAAATAGAAAAAACGACACACAAATAATTTTCCTGGAACATTTGTTTTGAATATGCTTCGTACAGCTTTGTAGCATAACTGAAGATGTACGAATCTACCTGATCATTCTGACTAATAAAATGGGTCATATTTTTTATAAGTAAAACATTTAAGAGTCCACTATTTTTATTCATAAAATGATTATTTAATACATTAAATATAGGTAACATACATTTAAATAATTTCCCTTTTTTTTTGTTATAAAATTTAGCTTTTAAAAATCTGTCTAATATTAGTAAATACATTATTAATTCATTTTTATTTAAATCTACATTTAAAATACATCTGTAAATATTTTTTATTATCAAATTAAAATTTTTTTTTTTTTCTACATACAATTCGAAGAGTTTTATAAAATAAGTTAGAACTAATTCGTAATAAACGTCATAATTATTTGTCAATATGTTTAGGATTTCTAATTCTGTATCATCTTCAAATATATTTTTTTTCTTTCTTTTCCTTGTACAGGCAGTGGCATTATTATTATTTCCCTTCTTTTCCTTGCATTTTGCTTCTTCTCTTTGCAAGATGTTAATAACTGAATTGTTAAAGTTGCCTTTGTCTTTATTTTTGACAAAGTTAATTAATAAACTCAGGAAAAGGTCAAAGTGAACTTCTTCATCAGATTTTTCCTGAATCAATGCGTGCCATATTGGAAGAAACGAAATATTCCCTGAACTACCAATGCTGCTGCTACATTTTTCGTTCTTGTGGAAAGTGTTAAGAGGAACAGACTTATCTTCATCATTGTTGGATATGTTATTTTTATATTTTTCACACATGAGATTAGTGTTAGCCATTTCTCCATTCAAAATATAGCCCATGGGAACCTCATTTTTCATGCTCTTCACGAATTTGACAATTCGGCAGAAAATCTTCAGAATGTATATCAGAAATATCAAAAGAATATTTTCAATGTTTATTAACCTACACATTTGAGTAAATCCATGATCGAAGAAATAAAATGTCATTTCTCTTGCTCTTTTGGAATAACCTCCATTGTTCATGTATTTCTCTTTCTTTTTTCCCATGTGGTCTATATTAGATGTTTGGGATTCGTAATGTTCATAATCGATATCGCAATAATCCTTTTTTAATTGATATATTTTACTCAAAAAATTAAATGACATATGCACAATTTTATAAATTTTATCGAAAAAGAGAAAAGTCAACATATCTGATGCTAAAATGACGTGCACACTTTTCAGTATGTAAACCATGATAAATAAATTATCTACGATGAAAAAATTTGCCGAGTTCATCTTTTTTTTTTTGATTTGTTCTTCATAAGAATTAATAAAACATTGCATTTTTTCTTCTTCAATCTCGTTAAGCATTTCGTGTAGCATATCCATTAGGAGTTTGAAAAGGACATTATCATAAGCCAACTCATATTTCGTGAAATATTTCTCCACATTTTTTACCTGTGTCTCTGTTGCTGAGATTTCTTCCTTTCCATTTTCATTTATAACCGTGTTATTTTTATCGCTATCATCCCTATAGCAGCAGAGAGTATGAGATACATTCCGTATCACCTCATACACAATTGTAGATGTGATAGAATGAATAAGGGAAAAGGAAATGATTTTCCTGAGTTCATTAATAGTTTTCAATGGATGCGTTTGCACTTTTGACAAGAACAGTTTGCATATATCAAATATACACAATATTAAATTGTTCAAATGATACATTTTGTAAAATCCGGATGAATAATACAATATCTGCTTCAAAGAAACGGAGCTTATCATTAATATACTTACTTGTTTTTCTATATCGTCAAATGTATTTAGTGTTAAGGAAGTCATGAAATTAGCATTAATTATGGTTATATAATTTACTAGTAGGGTTATTAAATTATATATATAGTATGGAAATTTTAAAAATATATTTAAAAATAAGTTTATAATGTGTCTAACTAAGTTTATATCTATGTGAATACCATTCATATTATTTATAATAAGTTTCAAAAACTTTTCATATTTTTCGTATTTATCCTTCTTTATGTTATTATTATTTATTATTACTTTATTGTACAAAATTATTAACCCTTTAAGAATTATATCATTTTTTTTCTTTTCATTTACATCCATGTTCATATCATTGTTTTGTATTAAATATTTTTTTACTTGGTTTTCTATGTAAATTCTTACTTTGGTATCTTCTCCCATCGACTCATCTTTATTCCTTTTATTTTTCTTCTTCGCAACTTCTTCCTTCATCATATCTTCCATCTCCCCTTTCATTTCGCTTCCAGCTGTTTTCTCTTCCCCTTTTTGGTCGTATGTACTACTCCTTATGTGATATTTATCTGTTTCATTACTCCCTCTATGCTTATCATTTGTTGAAATGCAATTATCATGCATGTGTTTAGTACCCCAACTAATGGTATCATTCGATTTTTCATTTCCACCATGTGTGGAACTCCTTGTTCCCTTATTATTAAGATGGTGGTTGTTCTTTATAGCACTACTTTCACTCTTATAATTTGTCTTTTTTTCAAAAAATGCAAAATTTTTCTCCTCTTTGGTTTCCAATTTGTCATGCAATTCATTCGATTCCTTGCTAAGATCCTCACGTTTGCTAAATATATAGATTTCCTTTTCGTCTTCATCATATTCGCTACTGTTATTTATTTGACAATTTCCTCTCTTCCTTGCTTTGTATTCCTTTTCTTTAACAATTGTGTAGATATCTTTTTTTTTCTGACTAATTAATTCAGCTACAATGTTCGTGAAGTGAAATAAGATAAAATTTATTTCAAAACTATTTGTTATATTATTCGTATGAAGTGGGCTCTTTGTAATTTTCTTTCTGGCACAAATTGTACATGTGGCATCTAAAAGGTGTAAAAACAATTTGATAATTTTTATAATTGATTTTCCAGTAAATTTCTTCGAAAAAAATAATAAATTTCTAAAAAATTCGAAGAAAACGATTTTTAACAAAGTACTGTGTATTAAATTACAGTACGTCTTGAAAGCCTTTTTCTCTTCAACAGATGCATTTAATTCATTATAACATACATCTTTTTCTTTCATCAATTTGTAGTCTATCTCCAAGAGAAAATTAATAAACATATCGTTATCTCTCGTTTCTACTCCTATCAATGCTTCAGATGCAGAAATCGATGTCGATGTAAATGACGGTGTTCCTGTACATGTTCTTCTTTTCTGCCTTCTGAAAAATTCGTGTATTTTTCCACTACTAGGTATATTCATTTCAAAGTTATGTAAAACATCTGAATAATAACCGAATGTCTCTAACTTTTTTAAAAAGTGTAACCTTTTCAATTCAGAGTAATCATGATGAAAATCCGTGAACATTTTCATTAGTGTCCTTTTAAAATATACCAGAAATGAAGGAAAATTAAAAACTAGTAAGATATCCTTTTTCTTTCTCAAAATTTTTTTGTTAATCTGGTTATTACGAAATAAAAATCCATCAACGTGATCAAGCTTAATGTAATTCTCCATCACCTCTTTTTCTTCTAATTTTATTTTACTAATTTTTGAAACTATTTCATCTGTAGCTATTTTTAAAAAATCTGAAAAAAAATTTTTTTTTTTCCCTTCATTTTTCATATGTTTGCTTGATATGGTGTCCCTCTTTTTTTTTTTCTCATGTGTATAATTTTTTTTGTCTTCATTTTTCATCTCAACATTGTGTTCTGAGTTTTTTTTCCCTTCTTCTTCTTCTTCTTCTTCTTCATCATCTTCATCTTCTTCTGCCCCTGCACCAAATGTACTATTAGAGAAAGGTGACATAACATCTGTTCCATTTTTAATGCTGTTCTTTACTGCATAACGGGCATTGTTACCTCTGTTATACTTCACATTGGAACAGTTACAAAATATGACAGTAAGAAATTTGATAATGCATCTAATATTAGTCAGACTAACATAGGTACTTACACTTGTGCTACCAATTATGTAATTTACAAAAAAGTCATATTCTATGATAGAATACTCAGGGTACACCATGAACATATTCGTCAGACATTTAATAACTTTATATTTAATTAAATCTTCTTTTTGAGCAATTTCTCTTTTAAGAAATTTGTAAATTTTCTCACAATCAATTGTATTTATGCTACAAGTTTTTATTATTTTATTTATGCACTCCAGGTAGAAGTATTTCAATTGTTTGTTTTCCGTTTTTCTTATATTTTCTGATCGAGAAGTAAAAATTTAGGGAGAAAGAAAGAGGAGAAAATTATCAATTGTATAGAATGAGGAATCATCAAAAAGGTCAAATCATAATTAATGATAAGTCATTATGATAGAAGAAGTGAATTTCATAACAAGGTATACATATGTGGGTAAAAAAGAATGAATAAAAATAATCTAATGGGTATATTACACGGAAACCAAATATCACTATTTGCATGTAAATATGTGTTATCAACAAATGTTACACTCAAAAATAGTTATTACTTGAATAATCAATGATTGATGAAATGTTCGGTCCTATCCGTTCATGTATTTGAGATAAAATTAAGGACGTGAAAAGGAATACATTTTTTAAGAAGTTCTCATGCAATTTTTTCACTTCACTTGGAGTATTAACAACAGGTTTATTTAATGTGATATCGATTAAATTGTCATAATGTTCAATTATTTTACCGTTTGTGTGTGTACAAAGCTTTATATAAAATATTGCTAATAATTTTAAAATAAAATTCGTGTTATTTTTTTTTAGTATAAACGTTAATTTGGCATCTATATTTTCAAAGACATTGGTTAAATGTTGTTTATTCACTTGATCTATTAGATTATTTAAAATAAATAAATTTTTAATTACTCTGAAATTTGTTATATTGTTTTGTACACTTATGTTGGATATGTTTTCATATTCTTTTATCATAAAATGATAGTTCCTTTCCATTTCATTTCGATTTTTCATCATTTTATTCTTGCGCCTATTGTATTCCCTTTCTCTAATCATTTTTTCTTAAAAATAGAGTAGTAAAAAAAAAAAAAAAAAAAACGTTTGATTCATAAAATTAGTACATTTTAACATTGTGGTCAAGTGACCAGTATAAAACTAAAGAACATTAAGGTGTGATAAATGTGTTATTGTCCTTAGAACCTTTTTCTGAATACAAACAAAGTGACTCTTAATTCATGCCTTTTTTTTTTTTTTTTTTGGTGGTCAGGTATTTGTATGAGTTATAATGTTCTACAAGTATATGAAGTTCCAATGAGGAATTGGGGGGAGGGGTATAACACCTCCTGCAATCTCAAATGTACAAGCGTGTATGTATATATATGTATATATAGGGATGGGTATATGTATGCGTTTATTCATATATCCGTATGAACAAACTGAGGGTTACACATTCAATGTAGTCCTTGTGCATCGTGCACGGTCCACATGACAGATATGTCACCAAGCATGCTTCTATTCTACCTTGGAAAAGTATGAACGTTCTTATGTATGTTTCTTTTCACGTACGGGTATACAATGGCATACATCTACATATGTACATTCATGTCAATTGCAAAGGACATACGAATAAGTAAGCTATCCCATGTATAAGCTCTTCTTTGAGTTACTTAATCATATGAACAAAACAAGTACAACATATGATACAACCCTTGTTTTCGCTTTGAATAAAAAAAATGAAAACAGAAGAACCTACATTTTTATCAGAGCTGCATTTTATTCGCATATTTAAAGGCCCTCGGGGAATGTTGGTTTTTATTTTTAAGTACTTTAAAAAAAAAAAAAAAATGCACCTTTTTTGTACTTATGCAGAAGTATTAGAATGTATATTTAATGCTGAGCTTGGAAAAAAAAAAAAATTATATAACATATAAAAACATATACATATATGTACATACATATATACGTGCTTCTTTCGCAAAACAACCGCTACTGGTTTGTACCTCTTTTTTAAAAAATGTTAAGCTCGTGATTTCTAACAACGCAAAGGAAATTTCCTTGGATACTCCCCAGCCTAGGGACATTTTGTCCTTATGTCCAGCAATTTAGTACATGTGCAGTGATAAAAATGCTTAAATGAATTATATCATAATTTACACGCATTAGGGGGAAAATCTGTTTTATTTTTTCGTTTATTTTTGCTCATTTTTCTGCTCATTTTTCCGCTTATTTTTCCGCATATTTTTCCGCATATTTTTCCGCATATTTTTCCGCATATTTTTCCGCTTACTTTTCAATTCATTTTTATTTTTTGTTTATCCCCATTTTAGCTTTTTTCATCCCTTATCTTGGCCTTTTCCATAGAGTCGCACACCTGACAGCACTAACTCGATATGGCAATATGAAAATGTAAAAAATGAATAACAATATTACCTTTTGCGACATAACGATTTTTCCACGTGCCTATAAAGGCTAACGTGTATTCGTGTTAGATTTTCATTTTCACTCCTTTGATAAAGGAGAGTTTCCCTGTATCCCCTTCTTTTCCAATGTGTGCACCACAAAGGAATTGTTTCAGGCGCGAAATAAAATGCTACACATATATATATATATATATATATATATATATATATATATATATATATATATATATATATAGTTCTACTCAAATGGACCCTATATCATGATATGTTGTGAAAATATAGTCGATGTTTAATGATAGTTGTAAGTTGTATGCAATTTGAAAAAAAATATATATTATGGTCACGAAAAAATTAGGACCGTGTTACAACAAAGTTGGAACAAATACGCACCAAAAAATTAAATCGAAAATGAGAAAATTGGCAAAACATAACTACAAAAAAGGGACAAAAAAAGAGAAAAAAAAAAAAAAGGGAAAGAATAACAATTAATAATAAACAAAAAAAAAAAAAAAAAAAAAAGATGGGGTATAGTTCAAAATTATTCATAAACTGAAAAGAAATCATAGCTTAATAATGTGATATATCAAAAATGTAAGAATGGAGAGATGTGTTAAAAATGAGGTGTCGTTACTTTTCCGTATATCATTTAAATGTAAGGGGGGGGGGGGGGTAATTATTCATGAGGAAAAAAATATGCATGAAATGGATGCTATACTTAGAATTCGAATTTAGGACATGTAATTTTTGTGATGTTATCATGTCTTTTTACGTTATATCATTGCATACATATTTTTCATACACTTTTTTTTTTTTTTTTTTTTTTTTTTTTATACCACAACATGTGCTCAAAAAAAAAGTCGCCCCCTCTTAAGCAGAGATATAACAAGACTATATATAAATATTGCTGTGAATATTAAGGATACTATGTAGGAAACATATTTGAGTCTTCTTGTTCTTCTTTGCTCTTCTAAGATAAGCCGATTAGCCAAGTCTTGTTCATTCTGCTCTTCCTCTATTTGTGCATAATATTTGTCGAGAGCTTCATAAAATAGATAACGTTCATCCTTACTTAGGTTCATCTTTTTCAATGTGGAATCGTGGATATGTATAAATGCTTGGTCAACATATATATAATTATGTTTATAAAAACGTGGAATTAAGGATTCTAAGTTATGCATTTTGAGAAAGTTGGAAACATCAGTTTTTAACATTTTCTCTTCATAATTTTTCCTTTTTCTAATTTCTCTTTCTTGATAACTTTTCTTTTTCTCTTTTTCTTTCAAAATATCATTTTCTTCATGCTTTTTTAAAATATCATTATACGTTTCCTTTTGATTGTTTTTCAAAGATTCATCAAATTTGTATTTCAAAAATAGGTCGCATAAACCTTTTAAATTTTCTTTAGCTGCTATATGTAACGGTGAATTATTTTCATAATCAAGACAATTTTTTATGTCTACCTTTTGAGTTAATAAAATAATTTGAGCTATATTACCTAAATGTTCTTTTGCACAAATGTGTAGGACAGAATTCATATCCTTATCTTTTATATTAACATCTGCATTATTTTCAATTAGTAAGATAGCAGCTTCTTCTTTATTTCTTTTAATAGAACACATTAGAGGTGTATTGTTTTCGTTATCCTTAGCATTAATACAAGCATTATTTTTTAATAACAGTTCTATACCTTTTACATAATTACATTCACTAGCTATATGTAAACTCGTTTTTCCATTTCTGTTTTTCTCATTTACATCTATTTTTTTCTCAATTAATAATTTGCTCACATTTATCATATCATGACCAAGGGCCATGCATTTCATCAATGCATTATCCTTTTCTTTTTTATCTTTTAGAAATATATTCACATTATGCTCATTTATCAAGTAATAGCAGCATTCAGCACAACCATTTTCAATACCAAATAGTAAGATGGTCAACCCTTCCTTGTTGTGCAAGTTCAAATTCACATTGCTTTCACTTTCTATGACATTCTTAAATTTGTTCACATCATCTTTTAGTATTGCATTCCAAATTTTACGGTTCATCTTATGGAAAATATGTCAGTGCACCAATGAGTGCGTGAATTTACAGGTATAATTCAATTGGGTAAAAGTATAATATAGGATTGGCTTCTTGAAAATAGTTCCAAAGTGCGAGAAATACCCTAAAACAGGGTTATTTACACAGAACTGTGTACAACTGCAGAACAATTTCTCGCAATAAAAAAAAAAGGAAAAAATTGGGAAAAAAAAAAATTTCACGAGCTACTATTATTGAGCAAGCCAGAAAAAAGAACGGATACGTTTAAACGAAATTGTAAAAGGGTACCAAATATAATGATTCCCTATCTATGCACATATAAAAACGCGAGTCCCTAACCTATATTTTTACATAAGGGGGACATTTTTAATCTGTTTTACCCTTGTTTGCCTTGTTTGCCAGTTTTTACCTTTTTTTGTTCTTTTTTGCCAATTTTTACTCATTTTTACCCATTTTTACCCATTTTTACCCATTTTTTGTCCTATCTTATCTTTCTTTATCCTTTTTTTTTTTTTCTTTTATTTTGAAGGCGGGAATTTTTACTTATTAATTGGGAAAATGCTCAGAACGTATTTTGCAAGTATAATCACATAGTGCATTTTTCTGAGATGTTTTTGCATAGAACTTTTATGCCATAGTTATTGTCAAAAATGTTTTAATTTCCATATATTACCGCTTTCCTTCTTCGTTCGTTGGTTTATTTATTTTTTTTTATTATTTTTTTTTTTTTCCCCCTCTCCACTTTTATTGCAAAGAACAGGCACTCATTTAATACATCCTCTACATGTGCACCTTAGGTATACTAACTTTCAAATATTAAGCGCTAATTTTTTTTCTTCTATTATTCTATTATTCTCTTTTATATTTTTATATATTTTTTTTTTTTTTGTAAAATAACTGTCAAATAGGATATTTTATTTTCCCATTACCAGGGGTATTTGTTCTGACATGTTTTGACAATGTCACTCAATCGTTTTGTGTTTACTAAATCGACGTGGCCACTTTAAGGCCACTTTTCAACCAAGAAAAGGTGTGATACTGAGTACACCTTTAGCTTTATATAGCCAAATGATGAAACGATCTTTTATTTCTTTTTCTTTTTCTTTTTTTTTTTTTTTTTTTTTTTTATGAACCTATTTAATTTATCTTAAATATTGTAATCATTTGGAGTTATCCCTGTTCCCCGACTATATTCTTTTTTTTTTTCAATTCTATATAGCTGCTTTGTAACTGTGTTAAGTTTCACGCACACTTAGGTGTTCTAGAGGGATAAACATCAAACACACTAAACATATTAACCGAAATAGAAGACCCTGTAGACTGATCATCCTACGTTAAAAATAACATGATACCATCCAGAAACGTTCTTCTAAAAGTAGAGCGCGAGCTAGCCACATTTCACCAGCTGAAGAGACTGAAAAGGATTGATATTGAGACAAGGCGAATACAAGAAAATGGAGAAAGCACATTTGAAGGAAATAAGCCTTATAATATATACAAGGGTAATAAAGTGTACCTCACAAGTAGCAAAATAAATAAGGGTAACGCACGAGGTAGTAATTCTAATGCGAAAGTAAAGAGGAATAATAAATGGACAGATAATACAGCTAGTTACACAGATAAAATGAGCGTGAGAAAAAATTACGCGAATCATGATAACGAAGGATACAATAGCAAAATTATATCAACTCATTTTGAATGTATGAGTGATAATAATTACTCAATTAGTAGTTACAACCACTTGCTAAATAGTCATCTAAATCGTGGTAAAATTAATTCAAACAGTGGTAGTGGTGGTAGTATTGGTAGTGGCGGTAGTATTGGTAGTGGCGGTAGTATTGGTAGTGGCGGTAGTATTGGTAGTGGCGGTAGTATTGGTAGTGGCGGTAATATTGGTAGCAGTGGTAGTAGTAATAACAACATATCACATGGGAACACAAATAAGAACTTGTATATACACAAATTACATGACTATCTTGATATATCACAGACATCTGAAAATGAAAAAATAAAAATAAATAAAATTTTAAACAAATTGAGAAACGAAAATTTAACCATACATTCTATACTAGATGTCTTAAAAAATTTATGTAACTTGCTGTTAAAAAGGACTTCACACAATTTAAATAATTTAATACCAATTGATTATTTGAACACAAAGAATTCATTAAAAAGGTATAATAGCTATTTTGAGGAATATTTTATACATATAGAAAATTATATACAAAACTATATTTGCTTTATTAATGAGCGAAACATATTTGAGTTGCTTAAATGTATGTACTACCTGAATTATGCACTAAGTCTAAACATAATGGAAATGTTGTTGGAGAAATTTTATCTCCACATGGATAAACTTGATAATTTGAAAATTATTCAGATTTATTACATGATTCAGTCCTTTTACAAAAATTTCTATTTGAAGGATGTAGACAATTATCTCACCTTAATTGTTGATGATAAATTGAGTATGTCCTATAACGATGGATCAACAAACGGAAAAATGAGTAATCTAACGGATTTCATACAGGGGAAGAATAAGTACAGCTTTAGTGATCTATTTGATGAGCCATTTCCCAAAATGGATCTAAGAAGGAATAACATTGAATTATTTCCGGATGAAGGCGAAAAAACTCTTAATAATTCTACACATAAAGGAAACTCATTATGGAATGAGAATCTAAGGAACGATTATAATAATAGTCAATTAACAAATTTAGAAAACTGGAATGATGATAAAACACATCAAAGGGAGAAGGGTGAACACACCCTTTTTAATATACATGAAAACAGAAAACATGAAGAGACAGATCAAATTTTAACACCTACCAAAGAATTTGAAGACCCCCCAAAATATATATATTACTCTATATCAGAGAAAAGAAGAGACGAATTAGAGAATAACGAGATTTTAATAATTTTTAAGTATATCCAAAATTTTCATCATAAAATGAAATTTTTTTATAAAGATAAGATAATTAATTTTTTGAATAAAAATCGAAACCATTTTTCAATCGATACTTTGTTATGTATATTGAATATTTACCAAAATGGTCCTAACGAAATGGCTACCAGAAATTTGGCATACATTTTACACGATCGATTAGATCACATGAATGAAGATCATATGATACAGTTAACTGATTATTTGAAGAGATCGAAAAATGTAGAAAATATCATCCTATATGATAAAAGAGACGACAACAACAATAATGGGATGACACTAATAGGAAAAATACTCCAGAAGATAAAAAACAATAAGGAATTAATAGTTCCAAATAATCTTGCTGTTATATATTTAAATATGCATGAACTTATGAACAGACTAGAGTCTTCCTTAGTTCATGTTATCGAAGGGAAAGATACTGCTTTCCTCACCCATGCTCCAAGAAATCCTAAAGAAGACACAACTTACGGATATCATGAAACCAAATGTGAAGGAATTTCTTCCAGTTCGTTTTCCAAGGAGGGAGAAGGAGAAAATTCAAATTTGTTGAATAATATTCCCATGGACAATGATAAAATAACGGGAGAGAAAAAAAAAAAAAAAAAATCTATAGCGTCATCAAATGAACAAATGGAAAAAACCAAACTTACACATGAAATAATTAAGTTTTGCGATAATTATGTAAACAGCATTTCGAACTTTTCATCAATTTTGAATTTGTACTTATTTTACATTAAGAATGATACGATAAAACATAAAACAATACAAATATTTGAAAAAAAAATTAAAATGAATAAAAATAAATTAACTCAAGAAAATATTTCGAATATAATTTTATCCTTAAGCATATATCCTTACCATACAACCCAAATGTTTACATATTTAGAAAATGTAATAAATGAAAAATTAATGAATGTAAAAAACAATTTCAGTGATGAATATGAAGATGGATGTGTGATGAATGAAAAGGAAAATGTAGAGGAAAATTCCATACATATAGACACGAATTATTTAATTGATATATCCCTAGCATTCGGAATTAGTGGACGAAAAAATTTAAATTTATGGAATCTTGTAGATGTCCACAAAATTATACTTACATGTAACAAAAAGTTGCTGTTATACCTATCATATAGTTTTTTACTGACAAATTATTTTTGTTCTTTGTCATGGTTTTTTATAATAAAAAGGATTGTAGAAGATGTAAAGGCCTTCAATAAGAAACAATATGAATTATTATACGAAATATTAAAATGTTCTGTTTTGTTTAATTATATTGACTTGAATAATTTTACAAATAACAATTATCCTACGTATGTAAATCGATGGAGACGAGGACAACCCGTGGATGGAAATTACAACAGGAGTTATTTTGATAACAACAAGCATAATGAAAATAACTATTTTCTTAAAACGTTTCATTATCTCTTAAATACATCTTATTTTCATTACAAGATGAAATTAATAAATAATCAGCACAATACAAATGTACCGTATGAAGATGTTTTTAATTATTTAAAATTAAAATATGAAAAAAATGTCGAATTTAAAAACTTATATATAATACCATATTTGCTAACTGATTACAATGTAATTATTGACCCATTACCAACAACTCCTATTCATAAATCAACTGGATATGTCATGGGTGAAATACAACTAAAACATAAGGTCTTTCAATGTGATAATTACATCGTATTGTCCTTTTATGATGGTATGTGGGATGAATTTATAAAAACCCCTATTAATGGAAACCAAAATAACTATGATATAAAAGCCCTAGCTGAGCACTTCAAAACATACACAGAATCGCATATCAAAATAAAGATTAACAGATCATCCCTTGTTCGCTTAAGTGATGGAACCTCAACCAACAATACGATTCTTCCACTGGTGCATGTGGAAACAGAGCGATCAAGCCCCCAGACTCTAAATTATCTCAAGTACAGGAAAAAGGACTTACCACAAGAACAGCCGATTAAGTATTTAACTAATAAGTCAAACAATATCAAGAAGAATCAAGACCACAACAAATACTTAAAAATTAAAACCAAAATGGGCATACGAGCACCTTGATGTTACTTTTTTTTTTTTTTTTTTTTTTTTCTACTGAGGAATTTTTTCACATTTACGAGGATTACATGCAGAGGGACACATTATGAAGGGGAAATGATGAAGGGCATCCGCAGATGGTTGCATGTAGAGAGTGGCACATGCTGAAGGTCACCTATGGATACTATGTAAAGAAACCACTTAAAAAAATCACGTAAAGAAACCACGTAAAGAAACCATGTAATGAAAGCAAATGCAGAAGCAGCATTTCTGTGCCTTTTCACTATCAACCCATCTCCGTATGTGCATGTGAACATGCACACATGTACACATGTCTTTGCAGCACCAGTGTCTATAACAGTTTTGTGTTTTTCCTCAGTGCACAAGTCCAAATAAAAACAAAACAAAACAAAAAACGATCAAGCAATTTTAAGGAAAAACATCTGAACATTTTGAATTTCATGCTTCACTTATTTATTTACTCATTTATTTACTCATTTATTTACTCATTTATGTATTCATTAATGTATTCATTTATGTATTCATTTATTTATTTACTTGATTTTATTTTTCATTATTTCTTTTTACCATTGTTTTCCATCTTGTTACCATAAACACAAAATGAACAGCTCAACCATACAAGAAATGTAAAAAAATACAAAGAACTTTGTATCCCACAACAATTTTCCTATTTGCACAACTTTTTTAGTAACTCAAAAATAAAATATAGAAATTTTCTCAAATAAAAGGGGGAAAAAATAAAGTGAAACGTTGTCCACAGTAAAAACAACCACAACAACAATTATAAAAAATAATGAATTAACGAACCTGCACAAATAAAATCACTTAAAGAGAAAATGGGCCTTTCGCCCTGCCATTATTCTTATAGCAGCCTTTACGATAAATGCTTCTTAACTCAAACAATTATATATATATATATATATGTATACATATATGCATACATAATTATAAATGCTGTTTTTTGTTTCCTCAGAATAATACTTCAACACCCACACAGGGAGTTGTTATTGTTTATATTGACCTAAATGTAAGAACAAAAAAAAAAAAAAAAAAGAGATAGAGATTGGGACAGAGGTAGGGACAGAGATAGGGACAGAGATAGGGACAGAGATAGGGACAGAGATAGGGATAGAGATAGGGACAGAGATGGAGATAGAGAAAATGGAGCATAAAAAAAATTTTTTTAAGAGTTCCCCTCTAAAAAAAGGGAACATTTTTTTTCCCCATAAAAAACAGCGTTATAATTGCTGGATCTTTCTTTTGAACAACAAACACCAAAGGGCCAAGCCCCAAATGGCAAGTGCATAAATATATATATATATATATATATATATATATATATATATATACACAAATTCTCACGTGTGAAAATAATTTACATATACAGAACTCACTACCTGAAAGAACCTGAACTGTACATAAAATAAATATCACATTTCAAGCACCCAGGCAGTGCTGCGCATCCCCGTTTTGCTAAATCCACATAACGTTGGATTATCGGATTTGCAGCTGAGGGATATAGTAGTTTGTTAATTTTTTATTCTGGTGATTCGCAAATACATTTACTTTAGCCCAATTCAGCAGTCCTTTTGAGATTTAACTTGAGATGAAATAAACGATAAGTGATTGTTGGGCCACAGGAGCAGAGATCGTTTTGTTAATTTGATGTTATAAATGTTTATTCATCGTATTATTAAGTACTTATCTAGTTTCTTCATACAGGTTTTCCGCGTGCCTATTTTATGCATACATATTCTTCACATGCTTCTTTTCTGCATACCTTTTTTTTTTTTTTTTTTTCTTATTTTCTCTTTATATGCTTACATCCTCCACATGTAGAGTGTACCTAACTGTGTTCCACAACTGAACACATCGCAGATTTTGTACCCCTGCATCTTTTATTTTTTCCATTATATATATATTATTCACATTTTTGCACCCTTCAACTCAACATTGTCACAAAATAATCAACACCTTGATACTTCTCCGACTTTTTGGAAAAACACGTCTAACACTTTCGACATACATATCACTTTCGATATATCTAGCACTTTTGAGATACATAACAGTTTGGGGGGTATATAAACACACTGCCCATTTGGAAATATATATAGAACGAAAATATACTTGCGAACATTTTCAATTCAGCAGTTAGCACATCTGACAAAGGTGACTGTGTAGTCGTGTTAGTACAACGTTCACGGCTCCCTCTTGGACATATAGCTATGGAAGAATTAAAGAATATCATCCCTGATGAGGTTAAAGAGATTCTATCATGTCTACAAGAAGGGAACAGTAATTTCCAGAAATATTTTGGAATACTAAAAAATGAGTATTTAAATAAAGATCCAATTAACAACACGACATGTTTAGTAAAATACATTTTGAAGAATTTAAAAATCTCGGAATTTCAAAAGAATGCATGTCATTATTTAGCGGATATAGTATTATATATTCAAGGAGTAAACAAAATTATAAGGGAAAATGAAAATGAGTTTACTGAGGATATATTAATATTAGATAAAAAAGACGAATTTGAATTCAGAGAAGGACAAAATTATGATTCTGTATATCCACATGATACTATATATCCAGAATATAGAGTAGAAATACGAGATGGTAGATTAAGACAATTCACTTCAAAAGATTACAGAAATGAGATAATAAAGAATTGCACAAAAAATATAAATTATTTAGAATTAATGTATGTCATTAGTACTACTGTATCTCCCCAAAATGGATATGTTTTATACAACAACATTTTTCATAAAGTTGAAATTAGTTATCAATATAAATTATTATCTTTAGAATATTTTGCACATGTTGTTAATAAAATAACAACAGAAAGAGCAAAATATATAGCTCAAATTTTGCCTCTGATTTTAGAAAAATTTTATAGTATAGATGGAAGTCCATATTATAATGACCGTGTAAACAATTTAGATACATTAGTTTCGATGTGTAAATTTGTTAATGTTTTATGTGATGAATCTATAAAAGCACAAGAAGATGATAAGGAGGATGTGGCTTTACACTCAATTGTAGCCTTTATCATGAAAATTTTAAGTTATCACAATACTGATTTACCAATAAACAGAAATGTAGAAAGATTACTTAAGCATATCCATTATGATGATTTAGATTATGAGGAATGTCTAAAGGTGTACACCAATTTATCCTCTAATTTGTACAAAAATAAAAAAGAAATTATTGTAAAAGAATGTTTATCCTGCTTAACATGGAGATTAAGTATAATTAATTCAAATATTCCACGTATTCTGGAAAGTGTAAATATTATAATACCGAATACAAATACATGTGCTTTGGAAAATTCAACTTTAGAAATTTCCATCCTATGCTATCTAATACTTATAGAAAGAATAAATGAACTCTGCTTTCCTCTTATATATTCAGAATTGTATTTATTCAATTTAATGATGCGAAATAGTTACAATCTAATTTTATGTGTCCCCGAGGTGAATGAAAGAATTAAATATAACTTGTTAATTAAAGCGTATCATTTTATATTCGTTTGTTCTGTTATATCCAAAATTATTAGCAAAAGAAGTAGTGAAAATTACAGTAATATTCATAATTTCAAATGGAGACCATTAGAATTTCTAAAAACATTACACCGGACTTTATATGATTATAGGAAATTTAAAACATACTCGAAAAGTATCTACAACAGTATATGCATTATTATGAGACATTTTCATTGGGATATTTTCTACTCATTACATTACAAATTGTTAAATGAAGCCCTTCCAGATAATGCCAGAAGTTTAATTGCAGCATTTGTAAAGGATGAGATATATAAACAAATAATACGTATCATTAAAAAAGAAGATTTAATGAAAGAAAATCTGTATAAAAATGAAAATTTTGCAAAATACACGAACATTCCTCCTAATGGATCCTGTGAAAAAAATAATACAAATTCGCTCGTCACACAAGAAGGGAGTTTAGAAGAAATGAAGATAAACGAATTTATTAAAGAAATAAATAATTTAGGACAGCAAATAAAAAACATTATATATCTCCTCTTAAGTGAAGATTCGGTATTATTAAATGTAGATTCGATTATTGTTGTGCTGAATATGATTAAAATGATTCTACTCAATAAAAAGTTTAAATCCTTTTATAAATTCGTTGTAAACATTGATCAACCGTCTACATGCTTTTTGCAAAGCAAAATTAAACATTTTTATAATCAAATTAAAATTGAAAAGACAATATTAGAAAGAGAAAAACGCGAAGATGGTGGAGCACGTTACACGGGTATGGAAGGAAATGCACTAGTGGACATACCCTACCACAAAATGATAATATCTAAGGATAATTCTATTAGTATGAATGAACTAGAAATTATCGTTATGTTGCTAGGAGACGTTGAAACCAGTATCGAAAATATTAAAGCATTCCAAGAAAGGTAATGCATATTTCTCTTCCCATTTGGTTGCCCCGATTTTGGCCACCCATCATTTTGTTAACCTTTTTTCGCTGTGCTCGATTTTATTTTATTTTTTTTTTGCGCAACCGATTTTTTTAAGACTCATTCGCAAAATTCACATGACTACTCTCTATCTCGTTCGCCTTGTAAAACATTGTATTGTGAAAGATTCAGTTTATGATAAGGTAAATATATTTTTATAACTTCTTTTTTTAAGACTATTCTTGGTTCATTAACCTGCACGTTTGTGTTTTTTTTTTTTTTTTTTTCTTTAAATTTTATTATTTTTCCATATTTTTATCCACTTTGTAAAAGTTGAATATTTGTGTATATACATACATTCTTTGGCATTGGTACATGTCAATAATATGAAAACCTGTTCATTCGAATAATACAAACGTTTGGTTAGTTGTGCATGTTTATTTGAGCATCATTTTTTTTTTATATAGTTTGTCCAAAGAAATTTATGCATACTCGCATTATAAGTATCATAAATGTTATTTTTCGCTACACACATTTATTCATTTGTCTTGTTTTATTGTATTCTGATATTTATTTATATTCAACTAGGTATAAGAATATCAAACAATTTTGAGTGAAATTAGTTTTTAAAAATAACATAAACACATAACGAAATAGAGAAGTATTTAGGTGATTTTTCTTTTTTTTTTTTCGCGGGATTTCTAGGGAGATATTCATTTTTTGTTGCAGCACAGAGATTGTTGTTGTGCTGCTTTGTGTGTTGGCTTGCGCAACGATTTTAAAAATCACTTCACGTGTTAACATCTTTTAACCAGTAAAGATATTTGATGAATTCTTTTATGTACTTTTTCCTTTTTTTTTACACCCTTCTCTTTGCCAAAAACATCATAACTAAGAAAAAGTAGGCCTCGTAGAAGTAAATGTGCAAGTTTGTAAAAAAAAAAAAAAAAAATTAGTACTTTACATTTGGAGGGATACCCAATGGAACAATTTGATCAGCAAGAAAAATTTGCATATGCTTGAATGGAAAAAGAAAAGACCTCTTTTTTCTTCATATTAGGGAACGACAATATATTTTCCATTCGTTTTTGTTTCTTCACATTTTATTATTGTATATTTATGGCGCTTCATTTTTTCTCCACTCTGGAGCACATATATATTCGCTGCTTAAAATTTTGCATACGTAGTGAAAAAGATTTTATTTTTCTCTGTACCTGCACAGCTTGCTGCCCTCAACACTCAATGTATGTGTATATATAACAGCTTCTTTTTTTTTATTTTTTTTTTTTTCTTTTTTTTTTTTTTTTTTTTTTTTTTTCCACCATGGGGGATAACATTTTTAAATGTGTAATTTTGAAAAATTGCCTATTAACACAAACGTAGAACAAAAAAGGAAATTATGAAAAATTCCCCATGTTCACAACACTCAAGGTTTAAAAATGTTGCACTGTTCATGCGACTACATTATACGGTGGAGGCGTAAAATTTTATTAAATAGAAGAAAGTAACGAATATATATAGGTACTTATTTATGTATATGCACATATATGTATATAAATATAAATGTATATATAAAAAAAAAAATATATATATATATATAAATATATGTAGATATGTTTAACCCCCAACCCATATGATGACTTACAACACATACAAAGATAATGGTTACCTAAGAAACGTTTTTAAGTGCACAGACAAGAAAATAAAAATATTTAAATCGTATTTAAAAAAAAAACTAAAAGTGAATTCTTACACACTGGGAGAATATTCACTTAAGCATGATGAAAAATTTCGGAGAATACTTTTTTCCAGTATTTTAAAAGAACATGTTATTGTCAGGAGGAAAAAGGACAAATTATTTTTCATAAACGAAGTAGTTATAAACAAAAGTTTTTTTCAAGAAGATTTTTACTTTCAATATTTTTTACAAAATGTATTGTTACTAGAAGATTTGCTTTTAAAAAAATTAGAAAATAATCAAGATGACAATTTTGTTTTTAAAGAAAGAAAACATGCCACAATTAACTGGAAGCAGTGTTATAGTTATATAAAGAAAAAATTAAATGAAAAAGGAATTGATCAAAAAAGTAAAATTTATAAAAATTCAGTATTACTATTTAATTCCACCAAGTTTTCTTATGAAGATAAGAACTGTTGTGATTATTTTTACAGTTTAAAAGTATGGGATATTTTTTTTAATTATGTTTCTTTTGATTTCTTAAAATACCTCTTGTCTAATACCCTTATATTCATATCAGATTTCTTTTTTATTAACGCTAATAATAAATCAACTGTGCGAAATTCATTTTTTATTCTCCTAAGTCACATTGAACTCAAACATCAAGACAGCAAAGAGGTTCAAGATAAAATATTCTCTAAAAAGAGAAAAATCTTTTACAACACTAAGCAGGTCAAAATAATTTATCAGAGAGAAAAGTCTAGGAGATGCGTAAATCATAAAAATCAGGTAGCCAAGCTCAGATCAAAGGAAACTCTAATTGAGGAGAAACTACAGAGGGGGGAATCTATAAATGAAAAGGAAGAAAATCCAAAAAAGAAATCTGAAAACGAGGCAGACAAAGCGCAAAAATATTCTGAAAATGAGGCAAAAAAGAGTCCAACATTGGCTAGCGCCTTCACAAAATCTGGTTCAGTGGAAAATAATCCTACAAACAGAAATCCCCCAATCCAGCAAAAGGATAGTAAGATAAATGTGAAAACAAAAGAAAATGTATACACGCAAGAAATTGAAAAACAAAAATGGGGTATTCGAGTAAAGCATAACCTAAAAGTGGATCAGGAGAATGTTAATAAATTTGATTGCAGCAGGGACAAAAAAAAAAGAAAGTTCGACAACTGTGGGAGCTATCAAAAAGTTGATGCATGTAGGGAGTGCAAGAAGAAGAAAATTTCCTCACACAGTGATGTAAATGGTGAAGAAGGAGAAAAAAGCCAACATAACAAAAATGACAAAAAAGGAGAGCATAACGAAAATGACGAACATAAAGCACAGCACCCGAGCATTGCAATAAAACGTGTGCAGGATAAAAGAGAGGCAACTGCGAACGTAGGAAACAAGCTGAGGGAAGGAAAAATATATAAATATATATTTAAAAAGAAAGAACAAGGTATTAGAACAAAGGATATTCAGTCGCATGTAAACTATTTATACTTACTTCAGTGTAGTGGACGAATAATTAAAAATGAATTTCTCAAGGAGATGAAGGAAATACAAAAGGAAAATGAGCAGAAAGAAAAGGCCAAACTTGAACGTGAAACAATTTTGGAAGAAACACGAAAAATGACAAATGGAGAGAGGGGAGAGACAATGAAAAAGACGCTACCACAGATTAAGTTTTTTTTGGATGAAGAAATTGAAAGAAAGAAGAACAACGATCATATTGTTGGAAATAGTGGAAGGTACGACACAAATGGAAGGAGAAATGGAAACGAAACGAATTTCAAGGAACAACAAGGTGAGGCAGCTGTTGGAAGCGATAAGAAAAAATGGAGTAAAATTATAATAAATCGAAACAACGTTCTACAACACAATACGACGAATAAGTACAAGAATTTTTTATTAAATAAGAAGATAATTTTTGATAAAATAGAAAACATTCCTTTATTCATCTATCATTTATTGAATTATATTTTCAAGTCAGACCAAAAGTATTTTTTTCATAACAATTTTATAGACGAATATAAACACAAAATTTCGAAACAAATGAAATGCAATACAAAAAAAAATGATATTTCTTTTCTTTTATTGAAGAAGGAGAACATATTGTCACGAAATTTGTTACACCAGTGTAGAAGTAAGGACAAACGTGATGATGTATCCTTTCGTTTAAAAAAAACGAAAATACTCAAGTATGTCTATTGTCATTTTGAAGAATTTATAAACAACACAAGAAATGCTAACTTTGAAAAAATATATAATAAATTTTTCCCAAGAAGTAAAATAAAAAATAAAATTGCCAAAACGTTTAAAATAATTAAATCACAAATAATTAGCAAATACAAAATTATAAATATTCGAAAAAATAGAAAATTTATTAAACAAAAAATGTATGACATTTTTTTTAAAAACTACGATTTTCTTTCCTTTTCTTTTAAAACATTCCAAGTCATCAATTTCATTGTATATGTGACGAAGAAATGTGTACCTATTAAACTTCTTGGAAATAGACATAATTTCAAAATTTTTCTAAAAAATGTGAAAAAATTCATCTTACTTAATTATAAGGAAAATTTTACTATGGATCAAATGATGAAACACATTAAGGTTAAAAACATTTTCCAGAAATATATTTCCAAAAGGAAGTTGACATATATAACTAACTTACATTCATGTGAATTGCAAAATGAGACAACTCAACAGTCCAACCTATTATCGTCTTATACCCTTCATGTCACTACAAATTATAATAAAAACAGCAAATGGTATCCAAAAGGTAGCGGTCAAAAAATACGAGACATTATTGATCAAGAAAAAGGGGTATCCATCTTTGACAAAATTAAGAGAAAATATCTTAACAAGAAAAAAAAAATTAACATGGCAATTCAGAAAAGACATTTTATGAACAGGATAATTTACTTCCTGTTTAATTATTTTATTATGCCCATAATTAGAGAATATTTTTTTCTAACAAAATCGGAACATACTATTTATAAGACAATTTTTTTTGATAGAAAATTGTGGAACTACGTTACAAAGGTTTCAAATTTCTGTTTGTATCATCAAAAATTTCCAAGCAAAAAGATAAAAAAGAAGATGGAATCAGGAGGAAAAACAACTTCATGTCGAAAAAAAAAAAATCTAGCTCAGTCCAAAAGCCAACAGTATATGAAGAATTTGTATCATCTCATTGCCAAGACGAAAGGGAAGAAATTGCATAATTTTCCCGCATTAAATATCATAGATAGAAAAATTGAAAAACGTAAAAAACGACTACTACAAAACACTTCGAAATATGAACTTGGTCATACAAAGTGTACTGTTCCTAGCAAGGAAAGGAGTAAAAAAAATTCACGACTAAGGAATGACGTCACACAAATGAAAAGCAGCCTTAAAAAGAAAGAAGTACAACATAAAAAAGGCACACAAATGAATACACCAAGTTCAAACTTACCACACAAATGTATTGAAGACATGTACCAAATGGATATTTTGAATAAGAAAAATCTTAGACCGTACTTAACCAAATTTTATTACAAAGTGAAGAAAAAATATTTTTCCCTCAGAAAAAAGTATATTAGGAATGGAATAAAAAAATCTCCCCATAGGGTGAATGAGTTTGCAGAGTATATAAAGTTTGCGAATGAGAAGGAAAAGTTGTTAAGGTACATCGGTAAACATTTTTTTAAAAAAACACAAAAAAATTACATTAAAAGGTTTTGTAGATTGATCAAGCGGATGAAGAGAAGAGTGGGTGTCAAGAGAATTTCAAAATGGGGGACTGACGAAAGAGGAGGTGAAACGGAGGGAAAAAGAACAGACAAAATGGGGATCAAAAGGAAAGACAAACTGGGGATCAAAAGGAAAGACAAACTGGGGATCAAAAGGAAAGACAAACTGGGGATCAAAAGGAAAGACAAACTGGGGATCAAAAGGAAAGACAAACTGGGGATCAAAAGGAAAGACAAACTGGGGATCAAAAGGAAAGACAAACTGGGGGTCAAAAGGAAAGACAAACTGGGGGTCAAAAAGACAGACAAACTGGGGGTCAAAAGGAAAGACAAACTGGGGAGTGAACAGACAGGCCGAAAATTCTCTCAACAAGGGGGAGATACTTTTTCTTATGCACAGAATAATCAAAGCAATCTTATCAAAACGAGAAGATCTGGAAAAGCAGCGCGTCCTATTCATATCGCCCCGCTCAGAGAAGTGCACGCCAAGGAAAAGAAAAAAATTTATATACATAAAATAAAGAACATAATAGAGAAACGTAATTTTTTACTAAAATTGAACTCAATTGATAATTTTTTTTCCAAGAAATTAAGAATAAATTGGGTACCTAAAAAAAAAGGATTAAGACCGCTGATAAACCTATCCACATTAAACATCCCAGAAAGTGTAAAAAATAGAATTAAGGAAATTTTAAAAAATAAAAAAAGTAGCGAATTTTATTTTAATACCATTTTAAATAATTTAGAAAGAGATAATAAAGATAAAAATGTAAGGAAGAAAAAAAAATACAATAGAAAGAATTACAACCCAGTATCGTTAAATCATATTTCTAATTTTTCTTTAAAATGTTTGGGTAATTTACGGAATAATAATAGTACTATATTTCAAAATACATTAACTAAGATAAATGAAATAGAATTGAAATTAAAGAAATGGTTAGATTACTTAAGGAATTGGTTTTATCGCAATAAGAGAAATAAAAAATATATAAAAAATAAATTGAAGAATTCAAAGGTTATTTATGCATATGTATGTGTTGGAGACTTTTCTAATTGTTATGAACATATAAATCATAACTATTTGTTTAAAATTTTGAAAAACTTTTTTCATGATATTTCCAACTTTGAATTTATATACGTATTTATAAGATCATTTCGTTTATATAATAATTACTTGAATAATTCTCATCTAACATATTACCCTGTTAACATAAAAGGTTTCGGCCAACATTGCATAAGAAATCTCCGCGAATTAATTATCAAATCAAATTCTAACAATTCCTATAATTTCCTTCTCAAACAGATGTTTAAAAATATGTCAACTACGGATATGTACATTTTTGCAGATTCCTATAAAAGTGTTCAGGTAGAAAAAAGAGATATATTCATGACTATTATCAGCATAATTAGGTATTACTACTTGAACATATATTTTAGCATAAAGAAAATCAAATTACAACGAAAAAATATTTTCTACTTTCAAATTTTTCAGAAAGAGAAAATGAATGAAATATATCACACTTTGCGCTGCAGTAGGAAATTAGACAACTTGAAGAAATTGCAGTGGGTGGAGGAAAATGATGAAGAAACAAATAGCATAGAACAAATCGAAATACAGGTAGGAAGAGAAGCACAAACCATGAGCATTACACCTATTAAACAGACAGTAAATAATGCAAACGCACATGAAATGAGATTTACCTCGTTAAGCAGTAATACATGCAATGTTGATCATGCAGCTACTGACCAATGCGACCATAATGATGATGACAAGAAAATCCCCATTAAGACAGGACGACATAATAAAGGTCAATTAGTGCACTTACAGAATGACAGTAGAAGAGAAATAGCCACATTGGCGAAAAGAGAGGAAGCGAGTGAAACACGCTTAGAAAAAAAAGTCGTAACGTGTTCAGAAAGAAATCTCGCAGCTAGCTCAGAGAAAAGCGTCGCAATATGCCCAGAAGGAAATCTCGAAGCTTACCCAGAAAAAAATCTCGCAACTTGCTCAGAAAAAAACGTCGCAATCTGCTCAAACCCCCCCCTTACAACATGCGTGGAAAAGAACTTCCTAACATTTCAGGATAAAAAAATTATTAGTAATATATGTGGACTACCACAAGGCTTCAGCTTGTCCAATATTCTCTGCTCCCTGTACTATGCTTATTTAGACAGAAATGAAGAATTTCAAAACATTCTTAATTCTGAAAAGGGGTCAAGGAAAACAGAAATAAATGATGTGCTAAAAAAATATGGAAATATGTCGACTTACAAGAATTTAAATTCACTCTTAATTAGATTTATAGACGATTTTTTATTTATAACGCTTAATGAAAAAAATATGAAAAGTTTTAAAAATTTATTGTTGAGAAAAAAAATATGGGGAGAAAATATTAATTCATCGAAGACTAAAATTTTCAAGCTCCCCATTATTTATAGAAGCGATTTCTTGATGGAGAATATATGGGAGCAGGGGGACACAATCAAAGAGGAGAAGCAAAAACGTGTGTTGAATAAGAAACGTGCTCTGGAGATGAAACGTGCGCTGGAGATGAAACGTGCGCTGGAGAAGAAACGTGCGCTGGAGAAGAAACGTGAGTCGAAGGACAAACATACCTTTGCATTCGCATGCCAGTTGACCCCCCAGGGACAATATGCAACCCCATCAATTAGCACTGCAAGCAGTGTGCAAGGCAATAGACAACGAATTTGTGAATGCAGCGTGATAAATCCTTTCCATCCAATTAATGATAACATGTGTAATCAGAAAAATAGAAGGAAAAGAGAGAACCCCCAAAAGATGGGCGAAGCGCGAAAAGGGGACCCCCCCATAATAGGGAAGAAAAAAAGAAAAAAAAATAAAATAACTTACACACAAATTGGGAAACTAATAAAAGAGCTAGTTGAAAAAAAGAGAAGATTAGTAGGAATTAAATCTCGTATCATAAAGGAAAAAATTAAAAAGCATATTAAACGGTTGAGGCGGTTGAGAAAACGAATGCACGGAACTGCAAGATGGAACAGTACAAACCATTGTTATGAAAAACAACAGAGTGGAGTATTTTCCATTGAATGGCTTAACAATGCATACACTTGCGACTTTGTGAACAACTGTGTGCATAGCACATCTTATCAATGGAAAAACAAGCAAGACGCAACGATTCGGAACCATCTACACTTGAATAATGTTATAATAGAAAAATGCAACTCTATAAGTTTTATGAAATTCTTAGTAGAAAACAGAATTATGCGAAATATCATATCAAAGCAGAAAAAAAACAAAATGCTTTATAAAAATAAACAGAATACCTATTTTGCATATAAAAATAATTTTATCCTTTTAAAAAGTTCTATATTAAAATTTATTTGTTCTATTAAAACATTGAAAAAAATGTTCAATGCCTTTTACAATGATAGGTACATTACAAAATTTATATTTCATTTAATCTCATATATGAAAAAATCACTTATAAAAAATAAAAAAATAAAGTTTGTCAAATTGTTCTTAGTCGATACGGCCATACAAGCACTGCTATACGCTAGGGCCTTTAATACCAGTAGCCCTTTATACTCATGCCTGAAACGTCTAAGAAATATTAAAAAAAGGCTCATATGCAGATACATACGAAGAAAAAAAAAACATCTCTTGCTTCAGTATTATTCTTTGTATAATCATATCCGCAAGGAGTTGCATAATACATGGCCATACATGTTTAAAATTAGGGAACCTACTTTCCACTCGGCCAGGTGATACTTTTTTTCAGGATATTTCAAATGCATTGCATGAGGAGAAAAACCGTCAAAGGGTTAAAATGCCTACTAGACATGTCCATTCATTGTGCTCCTCCCATGAGCTGACCTACAAACGGCATGTATCAATGCACAGTTATCTTTATAAATCAATCCATTATTAGCTCCTCTTTCACCCATTTTGCAGGGAATTCTCATTTTTTTTTTTTTTTTTTTACAAATATATACACCAATTTTATAATTAACTTAATTGTAAAAAACAAAATAAATTCCGTTATGTTAAAACTTAATCACCTCTATCAATCATATGTTTGAAAAATATATGTTCCCCATTTTTACTTTACAAAGATTCATATTTCTCACAATGCGTGCAACAGTGTAATGCTGCGTAAAAATGTCATGAGGCGAAGGAGAGGATTCCAATTTTGAACCGTTCGAACCTTCCATTGTGCAATTCATCGCTGCAAGTTTGTGATTCCCTCCCCATAACCACGCATCCATAATTACTAATCCATAATTACTAATCCATAATTACTCATCCATAAGTACTAATCCATAATTACTCAAATACATTTCTCCCCAGGGGTGGTAGAAGAACAGAAGCTCCTTCCTCCGCTACAATCGTGGCTTCGTTTCAAGGGAAATGTTAGACACATTTTTCAAAGCCTGAAGTTTCCCCTTTCTTCCTATGCGAATATTAAGCAACCCCTTCTTGTTAATATTGTAAAGGGTATGTGATACTCCCTTGTAATAGTAAGGCTTGGGTGAATATTGATAAGAACTGGCCTCCCCTGAATTTTGATAAAGGAGAAAAGGGTTGGGTTCAATAACCCTAGATGCTCTCCATTTAAATGGTCTAATATTACTATAATAATTTTGAATTTTGCGTCTAATAATACCATGATATTTTTTAAAAGATATTTTGTTATGTCTTTTACAAAAGTATATAACATTGGATGGAATTTCTAGTAACCTTCTGTTTACTATGTTCCAATATTTCGGAGCTGGGAGAACTTTTTTATGTGGTAAATAATTTCTTGACACATCTTCAAGTGCCTCACTAAAAGTTTTACATGTATTTATATCCTTGTCAACAAAGGATATAGAATTCAAATTGTATAATGGCACAGTACTGTTTAACTGTAGCATTGATTCGACTGCTTCTTCTAATAGTATGCTACTAGAGTTGGTAGGAGTATAACCATAAATACCAGAAGCTATATCTGGCAAGATAACCGAAGATATGCATAACTGATTTAACTGTTTTAATGCATTAGAAAAAGAATACCTTAATTTGTTGGAAGATACATAATTATTTCCTTGCCAAAAATAAGGCATAATTAAAAAGGCTAGTAATTTTACTTTTTCACTAACAGTGTACGGTTTTGAAAGTATAACATCCCCTATTTGTAACGTTTTGGTATTTTCAAGCATTTTTTTGAATTCCCTTTCGCCACTGAATTTGTCTGTGCTATTATAAATATATTCACTCTTATGCTCATTTAATATATCCATTCGTTTTTTAATTAACGTCTTTATAGAGATGAATATTTCTTTTACTAATTCTCTCCCACCTTTGTGTAATATATATGCCCCAAATCCACTTAAGGGTATAAAATTTGAAACCATTGGGATGAGCATACAATCCGCTTCTTCTTCGAATATATCATTATGTATTATTTTGATATTCCCAAATTGGTCTAATGTCATACTTTTCATTTCATGCTCATATTTACATTTTGTTGAAAAGTAGGTATCTAATAAATCTTCATCGTCTTTTAAATTTTCCATTATACATTGTTCCTTATTTTCATCCGAATTGTCACATCTTTGAAAAAACAAATCATTTATTTCGCTTTTCTTGTTCGGGAAAATTTCTTTCATTACACTTCTATTCTTCCCCTCCAGTATATCTAACGATCTCATATAATCTTCATGATACTTGAGTGCACGATCATTTATCGTTTTCAACTTCTTATTCAAATAAGAACTCCCAAAGTTTCTTTTCCCTACATGCGAGATGTTCACCAACTTTCGTGCTTTCATTATATTTGCAACATCAGTGTTTTTCTTTGGTTATTCAAATGAAAGAAATGTTAGATTATCTGTTTTACACTGCGCCACTCCCCCTTCCAGACCTTTTTATAGGTATATATTCCTCTCCTTCCACAAAATGGAATTTCTTCGATGAAAAAATTGCAAGCTCACCTAAGCTGGTAATTGACAACCTCTCATTCTCTTGAATACTGCACAATGAAACTCCTTGGGGAAAGGGTAAAAAAATATTGCCAAAAGATATACAAAAAATGTAGATATAGATATACACAAATATATATATATATATATATATATATATATATATATGTACACCCCAACCAATTTGTACTATTTTTGGCACATTTGAACGCTTATTTGGAACTCATGAAAGGTGGGGTTTACATTTTAGCACAGCTATATTATGACAGAAAAAAGGAAAAAATCTCGGTAAATTTAAAAAGGTTTAAGGCTGTTATGCTACTCAATGGGGAGGACGTAAATTTCTCACATATTTATGGACTATTTTTTTGTGCTATTCCTTCTCCTGTGCTTGTTCGATAGGATGAGGTATCTTTGTGCAATATTTTTTTTTTTTTTTTTTTTTTTTCTTTTTTCTGGTGCTTCACAGTGGAAGGCCGAACACCGATAACGTTCTTTATTATTTTAAGTTAATGTAAGGTACCGAAAGATTGAAATTTAAAAAGTGATTCGCAAAAAAATATATATTGTAATAATTTATTCCGAATGGTATATATATATATATATAGGTATATAATAAGAGAGGGAAGGGGATACACATTCCAATAATGTAGAATTTATGTGACGAAAACATTTTCATAATGAAGAACTGCAAAATGGCCCGGAAAAATGCATTACGTGGGTTAATATAGAGAAGTTATTTTTCAAAAAAAAATGATTATTAGCATACTTATGTATATAAACATATGCGTGTGCAAGTAGGTGAAGGTGGACGCATGCATGATATCCTTAAGCTGTTTATACTTGACTTTTCCGACGTTGCTATCAATGTGTGCAGGTTTTTATATATACAAAAATGTTCGTTAATTGTACCCTTAATACAATGTGAACATGAATAATATAAATGTACACAACACAAGAAAAAAGGGGACGCACTCAGGGAATGACAACTTTGAATTAATCAAACTTGCTTGTATTCGCATAACTACAATATAAAAATCATACTTTACTGATCCAGTACCTTTCTATATCCATTTAATTCAAATACTTTAATAACATCTTTAATTGCATCACTATTATTCAGTCCTTTTATTCCATATTTTGAAAATACCATAGATAGGTCGTGGGACAAATCATTCATTCCATTTTCAACATCTGTATAATTGTAGTCTGGATTCAGGTCAGGGTTGTTCTTGAGTAAATTTTTTAACAAAGCTTCATCTAAGGAAAATGGTTCAATGGGGGAAAAAAAAAAAAAAATAAAATAAAATGTAAAAAAGAAAAAATAAATAAATCAAAATGCATTCAAAGGATTAACAAAAATGTTTTGTCAGTAAATGTATACTAATGTACAAACTGTGAAATACTATTGCGTAAGGCCTACGTTATGAACAGGCTCTACAACAACATATTTGTTTAAGTGAAAATAAAGTAAAATTACCTTCCTTTTTAAAATAAATGGATTCGTCACTGGTTTTATTTCCATCTAAAAACTTCACTCCGCCAAAATTTTTCTTGCACATGAACTTTACCTTAGTGTTAATGTTGTCATTTAGTTTATTTTTGGAGAAGACTTTTCTTACAATTGCAGGTACCATTATATACAGTGTGTATGTTTCTCGAATGTTTTGGTGATCAACAAGGATGTAATAAACTAAAAATACCAACAGAAATTTGGGAAATGCGCGCTCTTAGCAAAAAATGTGGAATGAATAAATTTGACAACAAAATGACAAAAATGGATATAAATTTACATGTATAAAAAATCGCAAATCAGGGAAAAGAGGATCTATTCTTCACCTTTTAACTTAAACACATTTAGATATAAGTATGGTGTTATTTTCACAACTATTTTAACTTGTTCCAAATTTAAAAAAAAAAAAAAAATTTACGTTCATATTTGTCAAAAAAGGGGAAAAAAATGTATTCATAGTAAGCTTGCTAATGAAAAAGAAAATAGGATGCAATAAAAAAAAAACCTATTTTCATACATAAAGAGGTGTAAGGTTTAACTGCTTATGCGTGTTTTTTTCCCTAAAGAGTACCCTTCTGAACAAGTTGAAATTTTTTTTTTTTTTTTTTTTTTCATGAAAGCGTAAATAACTATTTTAATTGTTTTGATTGAGTTAATTTAAAAAAAAAAATTTTGCCTTCCCAATTTTTTTTTTTCTTTTAATGTTGATTTAATATTGATCTATATTTTGTTGCTAAATAGCTATATAGTCATTTCAGGATTTCGGGAAAATGTTTTTAAAAATCACAGGAAAAAATTAAAGTTTTTCAAAAACTATAACACAAAAACAAGTTTTTAAACGGGTTGTAATTCAAAATAAATTATTGAGGGGGATGAGATGAAACGGAAAAGGACCGTTGAAATGTTCCACGAATATATATATGTGTGTGTAGATTAAGGGGAAATACACTTGTGCCAAGTATATGTTTGTGTAATGTATGTATGGACATATGCATCTGCTATGAATGTACATGTGTATCTGCTATGAATGTACGTGTGTACGTAGAAACAGCAAAATTGCAAAACACATTACACACCCTTTCGCGTAGAGAGAAATCATACTAAACGATTGTTTTTATTTCGAAAAAGGACTTTATATAATATATATGAATTATGGTTAAAATAATTAACAGTACTATTTGTACTTCAGACCACAAAATTAACTTCGAATTCATTTTTTCATTAAATTGCTTGTACAAATCCGTTGTTTCCATCATTTTTTCTTGTTCTTCAAAGACTTCAAAAAACTAGCAAAAGGAGAGGAGTGAGATGGGCGATAAGTAAAATTGCAATGATGACCATACAAACGAAGAACAAATGTTACATATTCACATAGAATTATGCTTGGGCATTGTACAAATATGTATATGCAAAATATTGTACCAAAAAAAAAAAAAAAATTTTAACACATCAGGCATGATAAATGCATATATAGTTTCAATTTTTCCTTACTTGTTCATGCAATTGGGATGCATGGCTATTTATTTTTTTTACATCATCAACTGTACCCAACTCCTCATCAGAAATATCGTGACTTTCCTTTACTCTCAACGTGAACATAATTGTTATTTCCACATTTTTCTGGTTTGCATAACAGAACGAATAAATACCTGGTTTTGCAACCTTCAATTTTATGATTTGTTAACGTGAAAAATGAAAAAAAAAAAAAAATTACATGAAAAGTGTGCTTATTTAATATATATATGGATGGATAGAGATAGATAAGACACACACACGCACGTACATAATATGTACACAAGTATGGATAAAACTGTTATTTTCATTCTGCTCTACTCATGTATGATAAATATACAATGAAATATTTTAATAACTAATCATTTAAAAATTTTCTTATTTTTGATTTCCTTACCTTAATCTCAAACTTGTCCTGCACATTTTCCGACTTGAAAATTTTTTCCTTTTTTTTGTCATTTCTGTTGACAATATATATTGAACATGATGCTTTCTTGTCAATTATTTCGTAAGATCTTGTGATTCAAGAGGGAGAAAAGGTGTGTATGCAAAAATATGTGTATAAAAATGCGTTTATGCATATGTATGATTGTGTATCGATGAAAGAGCATATATCTACATATCCATGTTATGACAAGCCTGAACCGAAAAAAAAAAAAAAAAAAAAAAACTCAATCTTTCATGCCTACCCAACAACAACGTTATTCTTTTCAACTCGAAAGTGAAGACAATCTTTCTCCAATGGAGCTATGATAAAGTGGGTGCAGCGAGCTACGTGCGATAGTAACACCAATATCAATAACACAAATGCCGAACTCTTTGTAAAAACCATTTTTAAACTTAACACAATTATCTCGTCACATATATGAACACATGTGTGTATACAAGTATATGAAAATATAATATATCCGCTTTTCTCCTCACGTATGCGATAACACCGTAGTTTGTATAATTTGTGTAATTTGCATAATTTGTGTAATTTGTATAATTTATGTAATTTGTATAATTTGTATAATTTGTGTAATTTGTGTAATTTGTGTATAATTTGTGTAATTTGTGTAATTTGCATAATTTGTGTATTTTGTGTAATTTGTGTACTTGCATAATCTGCATAATTTGCGTAATTTTTTTTTTTTTAACTTCCCTTAGGGGTTTATATCCCCCAAACATAAATGTGTATGTATATATATTCAAATTCGTGTACCACTATATTCTGTTGCGATAGAAAAACTAGACTCAATTTAACTCTGCTGCTTCTGCTTAATTCTATTAGCCTATTTTACATATACGTGAAAATATTATGTTGTGAAAAAGAAAAAAAAAAAAAAAAAAAAAAGGAAATTTCACGAACAAAAAATAATATGCACGTAAACTATTACAAAATACTTAAAAAAACAAAAACACGTTATGCTAAATATTTCTTGCCAAAAAAATTTCTGTTATCACTCAAACAAAAAAAAAAAAAAAATAAATAATAAAAAATAAAAAGGAAAAAAAATTCACTAATTTAATAATTCACTTACCTGGCTAATTAACCAATGACATTGTTATGCTTGCATTCTTTATGCATGCCTGCAAACTACATGAAATGTTTGCACAAAACGCAAAGATTAAAAAAAAAAAGAAAATTCTCACACCACATGTATATATAAAAATGTATTCATAAAATTAGTGTATATGGATACCGCATCAAAACAAGCATGCACGACAAAATGACCTGCACGAACTTTTTCATGTAAATATTTTTCGGAGGCGCATTTGCTCGATTGGCATGATTAAACATGTGTACATTTATGAACTACCCAATACCCCACCCCTCACAACGTTTGTTGTTACATTACTGCTAGTGCATTATGAAAAAAATAAAATTTGGGAATGCTATCTCCATATATGTTTTTTATATCTTTCTAGCCACTACTACAATGACACATTATAATTATTTCCCATCACGTTTTCAATTTCTCTAGTGCATTATTATAGTAGGAGCATTAGCACATTACTGGGGGAACTCTACTAAGAGGCAAACTAAATGTTGCATATGAAGTTATTCTTCAAAAGAAAAGGGTTAACATAAAAAAGAAAAAAAAAAAAAAATGAAAATGAAAAAGAGTAAGAAAAAGAAAAAAGGGGAATAAAAATAAAGGCCAAAAAAAAAAAAAAAAAAAAACGACGCTGAGCAACGAAAGTAAAATAGATCAATAGGGTAAAATAGTCATAAGAATCCGTGCTTATGTGGAACGACAACATCATCCTCTTGCATAGCATAAGTATTTCCCCAAAAATCAGAAGCATATATAGATGACATATGTGCATATGCACATTTAAAGTACTCGTACATTTATGCGACTTCACATGCACAAGTGCATGTACAAAGGAAATTGAGATCGACACTACAAAACAAGATGAACCAACAAATGAAGGGGCTCCTGAAAAGGTGTTACACGATGGGAAAAACGGAGAAAACAAATCCACTAATTTTAATTTCTAACAACGAGAATATTCATTTCAATTTATCGTTAGAAAATTTCCTCCTAAATAACTATAATGATTTATTAAAATATTTAAACGTTAACACAGTTGAAAAGTATGTTGAGCCTGTTTTATTTTTATGGAGAAATAATAAATCAATCATAATTGGAAAAAACCAAAATATATGGAGTGAGTGTAATTTATCAAATATAAAAGAAGACAATGTGTTAGTAGCTCGTAGATTTACAGGTGGTGGAGCAGTATATCATGATTTACAAAATATATGTTTTACCTTTCTAAATAATTATGAAAATAAAGAAAACAACTTTTCTATCATACTAAATACACTAAAAAAACACTTTGAAATTAATGCAGAAACACAAGGAAGAAATGACATTACTGTGAATGATAGGAAATGTTCAGGTTCTGCATACAAGAAAATAAAAAATGTATTCTTACACCATGGTACCATATTGGTTAACCTAGAAAAAGATGTATTAAATAAATATTTAACTCCTGATAAAATAAAATACATAAAACATGGTGTATCTAGTGTTAATGCAAGAACTATCAATTTAAAAGAAATAAATCCAAATGTTACTTGTCAGAATTTATGCACAGCATTAATTAAAGAATTTCATAAATTTTACGAACAAAATTTTGACAACAAGAGAATCAACCAGGAGGAAAACAAAACACAATATTCTGCTTCTGCAAATTTAGAAGATCATATGGACAGTGAAAAAATCCCCGATGCTCATTTATCTGCCACTATTATGGAAAAAGAAAAATCTATTGAAAATTTAATTGATAGTTCTTCTATCATTTCAAATAATTTTAATATCCATTATGTAGATACCAATGAAAACATTACAAAAAATCCAGAATTTCTTAAATATTTTAATATGTTAAAAGATTGGGATTGGTGTTATGGGAAAACTCCCAAATTTCAAAACCGACTTTGCAAGCAATTTAATTTTGGAAAATTCGAAATTTTTTTTAATGTATCTGATGGTATAATTAAAGATGGTAATATTTTTTCAGACTCCTTAGACATCAACCTAATTGATCAATTAAAATTTATTTTTAATAACGATATTAAATATTCAAAGGATACTGTTGCTCAGTTCTTAAACAGTTTACAAGTGGAAAATAAAAATGCCCTCGAGGAAATTGCCTCTTGGATTTTACAGGAACTATGATTTCAGTTTTACTCACTACGAGCTTGTCATTTATCTGATACTTTTTTTTATGAAAAAGGATTTCTGCATAGGGAGTGGGGGTCCAGAAAGTGACCTCTCCTCCTCTTTGTTCATATTTCATTCAGGGTTTTTCTCCCCATACATCCACACATTTGCAAGAATTACTTCACTTGTAACCCTTGTTTATGTACAGAAATTATGTATAGTTTTTGAAATTTTTAAAAAAAATGGTATTAACACCCAACAAAAGAAATTTTCATTTATATTGCTAAAACTTGTAGCTAGTCATGTAGATTGGGTTTTACAAATTAAGTATTGTGTATAATTACATTTTTCAATTTAATCAACATATTTTCCCCCCTTTTATTTATTTCATTCATTTTGGTGCTTTGCTATAATCTCCATATGCATGCGTACAACAGCTAATCATAACAGAAAAAAAAAAAAAAAAAATAAAATAATAAAAATAAAAATAAAAAGAATGCGCCAATATTTATGAGCGAATTGATTTATAACTTATCATAAACGAATTAAAATGGTTCAGGACACAAAAAAAGAATAAGAAAAAGTACGCGATAGCATTTTATTTAAAAAAAAAAAAAAAAATGCATCTGAAACTTTCTCTTGGGTATACCGTGATTATTATAAACCAATGCATAAGCAGCTGCTGCTGCTTATGCTGAAAGATTTTCCTACAAAAGCCTTCCATGCACATATTTGGCTTTTCGTTTGTATGTACATGGGAAAATGTTCATGCCATATACACATACACATATACATACGTATGTACATACATGTATATGCCATTCTGACATTTATCCCCCTTGCCCATGTTAGAACTCCTCTTGGAGGGGATCCTCATATCTTCACCTGCCTTTTCTTTTGGGTCTTCCTTTTTTTTTTTTCCGCATATTTTTCTGACCCCCTTTCGCATCTTCTCCCGGGGCGTCATTAGCATGGACAATACTACCCTTTGCTGCCTTGGCCTCATTCGCCTCATTAGTCTCATCTATTTCATTCGTCTCATTAGTCTCATCTATCTCATTCGTCTGATTCGTCTCATCTATCTCATTCGTTTGATTCGTCTCATCTATTTCATTCGTCTGATTCGTCTCATCTATTTCATTCGTCTGATTCGTCTCACCTGACCCATTCGCGTCCTGCGCCTCATTGACGCCCTCTGTTCGATGTCCTCCCTTATGTTCCGCTTCCCCATCTCGTATTATATCTGGGAAAAATTCATCGCTGCTTTTACTTCCCTCGCCTGAGCAGTTATTACCCTTCTGATAATTTAGTACTCCCGAATCCCTCTTGACAATTCCGTTCTGTGCAGCATCCGTTTTTATTTCTTTCATATCTGTCTCATCCACGGGGTGTCCATAAGAGTCGACGCTTTCATTTGAGATGTTCTTCCCCAACTCGGCTAGTACCTCCAATTCATCTTCATCATCCACTATTTCCATCTCGTCCATTTCGTCCGTCTCTCCTGTTATATGTACATCGTCTGTCTCTCCTGTTATATGTACATCGTCTGTCTCTCCTGTTATATGTACATCGTCTGTCTCTCCTGTTATATGTACATCGTCTGTCTCTCCTGTTATATGAACATCGTCCGTCTCTCCTGTTATATGAACACGGTCTGTCTCACCTGCCGCTTGCACTTCATCCTTCTGTGTGCTCTCGTTCTTCCGCCTCAAAATTTCCTTCAGATTTTGAAACTGGCATATCCATGGTTCTTCCTCAAAGTTCACCTCATAATTGGCTTCCTTAATGGCGTCAATTTTTTTTTTAATAAAATTGTTTGTCTGCTTTTGTAGCATTTCCGTTTTTTCGTTAAATTTAAAAGGGCACCAAAAAATAGTCGGACTATAATTGGTACTTATATAATTTTTCATTTTTTCGTAATGGTTAATTAATGTTAGTTTCATTAATTTTCCTTCATCCGTTTTTATTTGATTGTTTATAATTTTTATATCCTTACTATATGCAATTATTTTTTTTTCTATATCATCAAGTTCACTTTTTTCAAAATTTTTTTTTTCTTCTTGTAATTTCTGTTCAACTCTTTTATTTTGCATTTGCTGTTTTATAATTGTTTTTTTGCTCTTTTCTTCTTCTAATGCATCTTTTGCTTTTCTCAAATGGTCAAAAAGACCTACTTGTAGAAGTCTCCTATTCCTGGTTACTGTTGTTTCGTCATCTTCCAACTTGGGCTGCGATAGGTTGGGGAAGGAGTGGGAACATGGTCACAACCTCAGTCATTGTCCTTCCAATCGTTTGCGTGGAGGGGTAAACAATAATTCGTATGTTTCCTATACGCATAGCTAGGATTAGGTGGTTAGACATAAGATAGACACGTCCCAGCATTCAGACGTGCATGGTAGCACACGCGTGTAAATGTTTAGCAATATGGAACCAATTTCTTAAGTTAACAACTATTTCAAACCCCTCTTGCATCGTACTCTCATCGCTCAAACCGTACCCGTTTTTCTATCCTAAATTCGGGAAATCCTTCCTGAAAGTTGTAAAACGTGGTATATGTATCCCAATGCGTCAAGAAAAATGAACATTTTTTTTTTTTTTTTTTTTAAATTTGTAGGGAATAATGGAGACACATGAATGAATGAGTGATAGAATAGATAAATTTCCCCAATTCTGTAGAAAAGTTCTCAAATGAATATTTATTTATTTTTTTTTTTTTTTGTTCCATAATAATATACACAGCAAAAATTTACATAAAGAATGTTTTATTTTACATATTTGAACTTACCAAGTTGTCTCCAAGATATCCCCTTTTCTGTTTTTCCCTTCTGTTAAATTCATCTTTATCATCTTTCAAGAAGTGTCAAAAAGAAGGAAAATAAGACAAAAAAAAAAAAAAAAAAAAAAAAAAAAAAAAATTCAAATGAGAACAATTTTAATAAAGTATATAAAAATGTGCCATATTTTTTGTTCAAATCCATGAAACAACCAAATTTACAAAATGTAAAACAAATTATGAATAAATGGTAACAGAGGGAAATAAAAACAGGTTGTACAATATTTAGATATATATACTTAAGACCCACTTCATTGTTATTACCTGAACATAGGTATGATAACCTATTTAAATAATTTATAATTTTCGTTTTAATAGCATCTCTCTCTAAGTAGTTTTTTTTTATGGTTAACTTTAGTTTATCTTCCTCAGATAAAATGCTTTTCATCATTATTCTTCCTAATATATAAATGTGTGACTTTTGTTGTTAAGTTATATTTTCTATATATATCTACCCACCTCCCTTCTGGGTACATTTTATAAATGTGGAGAAGAATATGATGCCCCCTGGAGTAATATTCTTACGAAATCAGTTTTTTTTTTTTTTTTTTTTTTTTTGTATTTATCATGTCACGTAATTTTAATTCTGATTTTTATCTTTTTTTTGTTTCCACTCCTCTTTGTTTTTTGTTTAGAAAATCCATTTATCATTTATTAGCATACATAAATACATACATACCTTTGTATATATAATTATAGGCTTATTAGTTATAAATAAAATAATAAATTACTCTATATCATTTTCCTCGCTTATATATTGATATTTGAATTCATGTAAAATTTTTGTATTTTCACATTTTTCAAAATATTTTCCCTCTTCCAGAACGCGTCCTTTTTCTTTTTCTTTTCCTTTTAACGTAATTCCTTTCGTGTTAGTGTAATTATTGGGGAATCGGGAGTAGCAAAAAAAAAAAAAAAAAAAAAAAAAAGGAAGTGTATTTTCATGTATACACATTGGGAAGAACATGTGTTATGTTTATACACTTCATCATAGTCTAGTGTATTAATCCTTGAGCCTTCGGTTCACTCTCTACATTTAGAGGAATATTTTTTGCGACATTTCATTTTAGTTTTATTTTTTTTTTTTTTTTTGTTCTCCAATCTTTTTATTCTTCATAATTATTTTGTTTATTCACAGATATCTATTTTATTTAAGGGGGAATAATCAAGCAAAAAGGGAAGAAACAAATGAGGGGAAAATGCTTGAACAACGGAAAAGGAAATTAAAAGAGGGAGAAAAACATGATTGAAAAGATGGAATTTAATAACTTTTAAATATTAGGTGATCCTACGTAATGAGAAACTTTTTTTTTTTTTTTTTTAAAATCATGAACAATTTACTCAGTGAGGTATAACGTCAGTGTGTCCTTTTTTCAACTGCTGTACACGATGAATATAAAAGTATATATTTTCTAGTTTGAAAGAAAAAAAAAAACTGTATGAAAGAACTAGGTAAAAAAAGGAACATTTCCCCAATAATGCAACCATTTACAATTGAAAAATTTGCGCAAAATCGTCCGAGACTAAGAAAAGAATAAACAAGAAGTACATGTAGTGCCTTCTACTTTCTACCTGCTACATTTTACCTGCTACATTCAACCTGCTACCTTCTACCTATTATATTCTGCCATCCACATTTTACATTCTACTTTTTTCTTTTTTTTTCCTATCCCTCGTCATTTTTACTACTTTTAGGGTTTAAAAAGGGAAAAAAGTTTTAAAATTAAAAAGAAAAAAAAAAAAAAAAAAATCGGTACATCCTGAAAAGATGGGGACATACAGATATGTGAACAATGTACAACAAAACTCTTTTCCACACATAGAAAAGAATTGGTCTCCTTGGTATGTCACTTTATCGCTTCTTAATTGGTGTTAGGATGTATTTTATAATTTATATAGTATTTTATAATTTTTATTTTTTTCATTTTTTCGCTTCACAATTGCACCTTTTTGACGTCCGAACGGGTTTGGCAAGTGGCAAAGGATGATCACAAGGATGCATGCACTTATCACATGCATCTACCACTTGGGCCCATCAAGTCAGATACCATCATCTCCATTCTCTATTTCGGGTATATCCCTTTTATCCAATATGGTGACTAAGCTTTCCCGGGTTAGATTTTCCTCCTTTAACGTTTTCATACTGTTTAAACACTTGCCTGCATATATCAATATCTGGTTCTCTTTTTTTATTTTTAAGCATTTCTCAACTTGTTTGTGAAGTAGTTCTACTGAATCCGAGTAGTTGAGCTCGATGCACTATTGTGGGGGATTGTGGAGAAGGTGTAAATGGAAAAGCAAATGTGCGTTCGTGTGTGCACGTGTGTGTATTGGGATGAATAGATACATGTGCAAGAGCATGAAATGTAATAAAAGGGATTGACGAAGCACGTCATAGCATAAATGTCAGGATAATGTTGTCAACCTTTTAAGAGACTTACGTGCACTTTTCCAGATTTCTGATGAAAGAGATAAATTAGGTATGGCAAGGGAGCTGGTTCAGGTAAAATAAAAATCATTTCATCTGAACAAATTTGATAATGAGCAAAAGTTTTATCCAGATCTATTAGTTGACTTCTAATTTGATATAAAAATCCACCTTTTTCTTTCAATAGTCCATTACGCGCTAACACTTCTCTAATTGTTTCATCTTCTTCATATTCTACTTTTTTAACTAAATTACCTGAACTTTTTACATAAACTGTTTTTATTTCCCCAGTGTTTTTGTCATTATACATTTCTCTTAGTTCGTCCATTGCTCTTTTGGTTGTTTCTTTAGGAAAAATTTTGTACATTTCTCCTTGCGTCCTTTGTACGTATAAGCAGTTTCTGAGGGGTAGAAGGTGTAATAGGAAGAAGAAAGCACTTTTCAGTATTATCTCTATTTTTTTCAACGTAACTTGATATGCATACACGAGAAAAACTTTTTATCTGTCTCTGTTGAACTGAAAATACAATGTATATTTTCTTAATCTGCATTCACAAATACAACATTTTGAAAAAAAAAAAAAAAAAAAAAACAAAAAGGGAGAAGTGGAATAATTGGAGAGGAAAAAGTACTATATAGGTGAATGCATTTGATTCACAAATCTAGTCCTATTATGCGACGTTACACCAGTACAAATATACATAATGAAAAGCAGCATATGTTACACGAGATATTTACACACAGCACAACCGTGATGTCGATACACTGTGATACTGAGAGGCACATATTTCTCTTATGTTTTGCAAAAGGAAAATTTTCTAAAAAGCATCTCTTTCAAATGCCAATCCTCTAGAAATGTATGACATACTTTTTTATCTACGATACGTCTATCTGAAAATTGTCGCTTTATAAAAAGGAAGAAAAAGAAAAAAAAAGTAATGTGTTTCACATTAAGCCTTTTACATCACTTTTTAAACAAAAACTTTTGTATTCTTTACTTATGATCTCATTCTAAGCTTGCAAAAAAGAAAATAATATTCCTGAATATTTATCCTATATTTATTTATATTTTTTTAATTATTACACACATTTTCGTTTGAGACTTACGATGCTGTTTGTGGGCACACAGGAACGGGATGAAAGTGATGATTGGTTAAATACACAAATTTGAGAAATTTAAAAAAAAAAAAAAAAAAAAACCCAAAACATCTAAGTAGAAAAAGCTGTGAAAAAGGTGAAAAAAAAAAAAAAAAAAAAAAAAAAAAAAAACAACGAATAAATGCAAGATGTATTGCTTAACATGCCGCTCGAAGTGACTCCTGAACGAGTACAAGAGAAAATACAAACATAACCCTCGTAATGGAGTTCATTCTTTTTTTTACCATTCTATGTTATCAGACCACGTACGACATTGGTCCCACATCTCTCGCCACACTGCGTCACACACGCAATGACATTTATTTTTAATTTGTTTTATATTATATTGTATTATATTGTATTATATTGTATTATATTATGTTATTTTATATTATTTTATATTATTTTATATTATTTTACTTTTTCTTTTTTTAGTTATTTAAAAAGTGTACTCTTTAGAATCTGTGTAATATATTTTTTTTTCTATCTATTCATAGTGCTTTTTCAACTGAAAGACATGTAAAAGCTATAGAATGAAAAGTAGCCAAAATAGGAATGGCAAAATGATAAATAAATATAGGTAGAATTAAAAAAAAAAAAAAAAAAAAAATTCCCTTGTACCCACTAACAGACATGACACTTCTGAGATATTGTAAAAATGTAAGGAATTATTTCTACTAGGAAAAATATATAGAGGTTTTTTTTTTTTTTTTTTTTTTATAAATTATATAAAAAACAATGCATGTTCTTCACACATGATGCGTGTAAATAATGATAAATTCCTAGAGGAGGCAAAAAGGTTTTTTTATTTTGAAAAAACTTCATATTGTGTATTTTATTTTATTTTTCATTGTGCAGTTTAAAAATAAGAAAAAAAAATATGTAAAACTACAAAGTGATAACATTTTTTCACCACTTTTTAAAAATGAATTTTTCTAATAAATTGTGTCACTAACTAATTCTTACGATTAATTAGAGAGTACCTTTTTTTCTTTTTTTTTTTTTCTTTATCTTTTATGCGATTAGTTATGTGAAGAATATAACTAGAGGGCCATATTTTTAAAGAAAAAAAAAAGAAAAGAAAAATTGGATAAAGAAAGTAACAAACAAGTGCCATTGAACATTGTTCTTTATCTACCATTCATAATAAATAACAACTCGCGTTATTAAGTAATCAAGCTGTTATAATACTCTATAAGTTTTCTCTTGAATGAATTTTTTTTTTTCTTTTTTCATCATTTTACATAACGAGAGTGGGTGAATTTTTTGTTGATACGTGTAAGGAACAATTTATATATCTTATATGTTACATGCATATACATTTTTTGTGGAACGAGATGGAAATAAGGAAAAACTTATAATAATGAACATGAATAGCCTTCGTATATAAAATGTAAATCGTACGAATAAAAAGCAAAACGGAGGTGTGAGATTCACTTAATTTTGTAAACATGATACATAATAAAGAGTATTGTAGCATGTAATATAATAAAATGAAAACCCATCCTAAGACACCAATTTTTTTTTATTGTGTATTTACACCTATGCAATATTGAATGAGAAAACAATAATTGTGATTATCTAAGATCGATTTTATACCTTTCTTTAAAAAAAGAAAAAAAAAAAAAAGGATTTGTCAGAAACATGTTAAGAGTATTTACAGGAATATCGTCTCCCTCTCTATAGAGAAATTTTATTATTTACTTATTTTATTATTATTTATTTTTTTCGTTTTTACTATTTTTTTTAAAATCATGCAACTTAAATGATTAATGACAAAAAATTATCGCAAAATTTTTTCTTTTTTTTTTTTTTTAAAAGTATAATAAAACTGGCATTTACCCCATCAATTTGTGAGGTAAATAAAAGCATATGGTTTAGGATACTTTTTATTCCCTATCAGAAATGAATAAATGAGTAAGAAAGAATAGTATAAAAAGAAAAAAAAAAAAAAAAAAAAAAAAAAAAAAAACAAAACTTTTTTTCATTTTTTTTCGCAAAAAGGTTTATGGTTATTTTTATTAAATGAATTAAAAAAGGTTTCCCTTTTTTTTCAAAAAAAAAAAGGAAAAAGAAAAAAAAAAAAAAAAAAAAAAAAAAAAAACACAAGTATATAATAAATGCACAAACATTTAAGTGTAAAAATTCAAAAATGTACAAATATATAAATATACAAAAGCACAAATGCCATAAACCTGATACAACAAAACACATTGAGGGTTCATTAGGAGGCTTACGTGCAAATTGCAAATAGTGAGAGAACACAAAAAACGTTCTTGAGGAACACGTAAAAAATATAAATTATGGAATTGTAAAATACAAATTCAAAATGTATGACTTGAAGGAAAATGAAATGAAAAACACTTCTCCTTAGTTTTGTTTATACAATGCATAAATCGCAAAGTATAGAAAACAAGGTTTGTTACAAAAAAGGACTAATTATGAAAGCATATTTACATGAACCATAAAACCACCCTCTATGTGTATGCACACAAATGCTGATGTCACATACTTTTTCATTATATCCCGTATATAATCTTCTATCTCCATAGAAAATTTTCACATATGCATATCATTTTTATTGTAATGCAAAATAGACTGTTCTGGTTGAAGAAGTTGTTAGAGATTTTGATAAGAATGAAGTTTTTGAAGAAATAACTGCGAAATTTACCTGGGAACAAGGTAACAAAAGGGGAAACAAAGAAAAAAAAAAAAAAAAAAAAAAAAATTATTATCGTACTCAGGTTCATAGCCATTGTCGTAGTTATAGCTGTATTTAAAAAGATCACGTAAAACTCTTCTAGTACATCCAATTTGGGATTACAAATTATATCATATGCATAAATTTACATAACCACTGACTTGTGCTTGTGCTATTGTTTGCCCATATAGTTGTAACAATTTTTTCATCGTCCACTTTTTAGATGTTGAAAGATCATGGAATTTACTTGTAGAAAATAATGGTATCCTGCAACACATTAGTCAAGAAAATTTCCAAGAGAAAAGTAAACAAAAATATAAAAAGAATCAAGTTTGCTCTTTAAGAAAAGGAATATTCAGGTTTTTTATGAATTCATTTATTTTTAAATACTCTATCGTTTTTTTTTTTTTTCCTATTTTGACAAATTTGCTTGAACGATTTATAAATATTATACACACACACACGTATATATATATATATATATATATACACATATTTTCCATTTTTTACACATGAACAGGCACATAATAATCCTATTCGACATGTCCAGTAGCATGAAGGAGAGGGATTTCAAACCTGATCGTATAAACGTTGCCCTGGAGTGTGTAGAAGTAAAAGCCAGAGAAATATTCATGCCTGGATTGTCTTTTTTTTTTTTTTACGAACGCGAAAATTTCTCGCGCCTTGTACATACATGCATACGCATGTACGAATACATACATATATATACATACCATGTGCTTGCTCCATTTCTTTTTTTTTGCGTGTCCCTCTGAATTCCACCAATGATCCTTTTAGACATTCCTGACGAACTTCTTCTTCAAAAATCCAGTTGGACATGTTGGAGTGGTGGCCCTAAAAAATAGCGCAGCTAAATTAATTCAGCCACTGACTTCCAACATAGATGATATCACAAATGCATTATTGAAAGAAAGAATTGCGGGTCTCCAAGGTTCTCCATCGTTACAACAAGGATTAGAAATTGCACACGAATTGTTAATAGATATACCATTATATGGAACAAAAGAAATATTAATAATGTATGGTTCTATAAGAACTTGCGATAAAAAGAACATTTTAAATATATTAGAATTGATAATTAAAAATAATATATATGTAAATTGCATATCTATAGCTCCTGAAATGCATATACTTAAACATATTTGTGAGAAAACAAATGGATTATACAAAATATGCACAACAAAGAATTCATTGATTAACGAAACAAATAATCTTACAGAAACTCCTCTATGGATGAATGGAATGGAACCACAATTGATTCATATTTGTTTTCCTATAAAAAAAAAAATAAGTACTCAAATTATGTGTTCATGTCATAACAGTTTAAACACGGATACATATATTTGTAACTTCTGCAATAGTTATACCTGTAAAATACCTTCTAAATGTAAAGTATGTGGTATTCACCTAATTTCAATGCATGATTTATCACACATTACAAATAATCTTCAAGGATCTCCATTATTTATCGAAATGAAAAATGAAAACAATATTTATGACAAGTGTTCCGCATGTAATAAGCAACTTTATGATAAGGTATCCCAGTGCACTAAGTGCAAGAACATTTTCTGCCTTGGTTGTGACATATATATTCATGAAGACTTAAATCAATGTCCCTTCTGTTTGATTCACGACACGTGAGTTCTAAATTTTCAGGGCTTAACTCAAGTTACTTTGTAATGAGAAAATTGGGAAAAACCTTCTTGTTAACCAAAGGATGGATATGAAACAAAATTTGTAGAAGACAAAAATGATGGAAACATTCTTTTTCCTTTTTTTTTTTTTTTTTTTTTTTCATAATGGAAGACAAGATTACCTATTAGTTTAACACCTTTTTTGTTTATCTATATTTTATTAAAGCGAATTCGAATTGCAAAACATTAATCATACATATGGAATAACCAATTTTTGTGTGATGCCCACCTGTTGCAAAAATATAAAAAAAAAAAAAAAACATAATGGCAAAATTGTTCAGTAAAGTGTTCAAAATATACCTGTTAAATATGGGTACACCAAATTTATACATGTATTATCTTTCCTTAACCCGTTATAGTTCTTTGTTAACACAAGAAAGAGAAGGAATTGTAAAGAAATTTTATTATCTATTTTGCATGAAGTCTATCATTTAGTTAGGACTTTTACACATCATATTTATATACACAATAGCCCTTTTTTTTTTTTTTTTTTTTCTCCTTTTGATTCGTTATGTGGAAATTCATTATTATGTATATGCATATGTTCAGAATTATTTGCCATTTTTTGTGTGATATCCCTCTGTTTGTTCCATACTTTTTTATTTTAGTCTATTTATATTATACCTTTCCATGCGCACAAAATTAGGAATTCCGTTTGTGACGTGAACTTTGCGCAATTTTATTCTTTTTAGTTTGAAATATTTTCGAATTTACGACTTCTCAGTGTTTTACTCTTTTTGTATCAGTACAATCAATTGTGCAAAAAAAAGAAAAATAAGAAAAATAAGAAAAATAAGAAAAATAAGAAAAAAAGGAAAAAAAAGAAAAAAAAGAAAAAAAAGAAAAAAAAGAAAAACTCTTTTTGTAGGCAGTCATACGGAAGAACAACATGACAACAGAATGGATGTTCTTCATTAGGAACAACATATTGGCATAGACACATGGTATGTAATTACTTTATGTCATTTTTTACACGTTTAACCAATGACAAAATAAAATGTGAAAAAGTAGAATGGACAAAAAAAAAAAAAAAAAAAAAATGTTATCAAAGCGAGAGATGAGCTTTCTAAAAATTCACATCTTCTCACGAAAAGGTTTTTTAAATTTCTCTCAATGTGCGAAAAATATATTCTCATATAATATATATTTACATATAGATATAATTTCAACGGGTCGACTCATCTATTATGATTTTCTTGTTTGTGTGTTTATAAAAAAAACGGGGGAATTTTAATTACGTGTATACACAAGTGTTCATGGAGGCTCTAATGTTATTCTCATCCTCTTCTTTTTTTTTTTTTTTTTTTTTTTTTTTTCATGTTGAATGTGCAATTCGTAAAATACCTACGTCTGTATCCATTAGAAGTAGTCCTTTTTGAAAGGCACACATGATCTTGATACTTGTATATACTTCTATATTATAATAAGGTCAAAACACTACTAAACATGGTAAAATAACTTTTCCAATCTATAAAAGTAGCAACCAACATTTAATATGAAACTGTGCAATGAAAAAAAAAAAAAAAAAAAAAAAAAAAAAAAAAAAAAAAAAATTTTTAAACTTTAAAACAATTTTAAAAGAAAAAAAAAAAAAAAAAAAGATATTTTTTTTTCTTCACCATGCTTATTAAAAAAAATGTTAAAACGAAATTTAAAGATAAATCTTTTTCTTCTCTTTTCTTTTCTTTTTTTTTTTTTTTTTTTTTTTTGCTGCTTTTTAAAAAATGACAAAATAATTTATTTTTTCTTTTTTTTATTTACGTGTATAAAATAGTTATAAGAAAAATTTCTTGCCACACGTAGAATGAGAAAAAGAAAAAAAAAAAAATAAATAAATGAATAAAAATTAAACAAAAAGATAAGCCACTAAATGGACCAAAGGAATAAAGAAGCACGACAGAAAATCACAGCAAGAAAAAGAACTAATCGACAAACGAACAAATGATTGTATAAATGAACAGCCGAATGAATAGATAATAAGAAGGCCCGTTGTGCCATATTTTAGCCCCCCTTTTCAATGATAAATGATAGAACAAAATATTTTGGACTTTCTACATTGGCGTAAAATCATTAAAAATTTGACCTTGTGCATTCATTTTGTCAGTCATACGAATCACATTCGAATACGTCCCAACGGAGGTTATATATATATATATATATGTATATGCATTCACACCCTTACATGTACCTATATGTATTAACCGAAACGCACCTCTTCGTCTGCCACGTTTTTTCTCATTTCATGTGAGCCAATGCATAGCAGCATTTTAGCAACGATTAGAAGCAGAATTCGATGCACAAATTAGCAAAAGAGAAATTGAAGAAGCACTGAATTTGGATAAAATTGTTAAGAATTATTGACACATATTGGAATTTTCATTCATAGTTTTTTGACCATTGTTTATTGATGTAATGTGTTTTTTTTTTTTTTTTTTTTTCCTGCATTTTGTAGCAAAAAAACAACATCATTATAAATCCACATGATTGTTTGTAAAATTTCAGCACACAAGAAAATTCTTCACATTAAACGTTTCACTTTTCCAGCTTGAGGAAAAAAGGAAAAGATGAAGAATTGGTCTTTCTCTTTATGTCGATAAGATATAAAAATGATATATGATAACCCATAAAGAATTGTCATTACATGCACATACTGCTCTTTTCCCTATAGGAGCTTTTCAAAATTTCTTTTTTTTTTCAAAAAAAAAAATTATAAACACATGATTAGATATAAGTGGGCGAATTTAAAGGTAGAAGAAAAGAAATATTTCGAAAAATGGCAGGGACATTAAATTTAAAAGAATTGAAAGATGAACCCATTTTATTTTATGAAAATGCATTAAGCTATGTTTTTTCAAATTCAAGAGATGAAAATAAAAAAGATGTTCCTACATGTGTAATATATCCAAATGAAACTATAAAAATTGGTTTCCCAATTTATTCTATAAAGAACATTAACAAAAATGAAAATATATTGAATGATGTAGATGTTCAGAGTAACAGATTCAATGAGGAACCTTTGATAACTTACGCATCCGAATCAAAGCATATATATCCAATCCGAGTAAAATTTTATTACACTCTTCTGTACATGTTAATAATTTCCCAAATTTTTGTTATGATCTTTTTTAAAGGTAAAATTTTATAAGCATAATGACACAAGTGTGTGAGCACAGGAGAAGAGAGTGACAGAGGGGAGAGAGAGACCCTCATGGCGTCTGTCCTTTTACATTCTACACGTTCTACACATTCTACAACTTGTACCGTGTGTTGCTTCTATATATGTGTAGTGGGGTGGATACGGCTATCTATTCCATTACCCCTATATGATCATGTCATTAGCGCACACATTAATCTTAGAAAGAAAGAAAACACCACCCTTTATATATATATATATGTACCTATTGATTTCCCATCAAAAAAACATAACGCAGTATAACTCATTTTATTATTTATTTATTTTTTATTTTTATTTTCTTTTCACCATCTCTATAGATAATATTAACCGCGTAACTACTGGAGAAATAAATGGAAGCCAATTTTTCGTATTTCTTTTTATGGCTCTCTCACATAGCTTAGTGATGTTGTCAAAATTTCGAAAAGTAAAACCATATGTTTTTGACATATACACATCGCTAAGTTTATTTTTTTTTATCTTATCCATCCTAACCATAAATTGTTTTAGTAGCTTTATGATTTCGTTACTACAGTTTTTTATTTTTTTTTTGCATGCTAAAATTGATTATTATGTGATGCCTCAATCATGTGTGGTTCCCCCATGAATGTACTCCACCCCCCACCCCCCACCCCCCACCCCCCCCAAAAAAAAAAAAAAAAGTGATATACCTTCAAAGGAAATACTGAAATATGTACAGCGAAAAATGTACGATGTAAAGTGAAAAAAAAAAAGGGGATAAACGTAACTGCATAAACCTTAAGTTTTAATTTAAATTTTAAATTTTAATTTTTTTTTTTTTTTTTTTTTTTACGAATATTTTAAAATGTCTTATTTTTTTTTTATATTTATTTCATTTTTTTATCGTACATTTGTTTTGTACCCATGAATGTGGTTACTGCATGTGCGTTTATTTGAGACGTTCAAATTTTAACGAGCCCAAATTGTTTGCAAAATTAAATGCCAGATTTTACATGATCAATTCGTTCATGTTCAACACTCCTTAAATGAGCATTTTCTAATTTCCAATTGAAAACTAATTCCAGGCAAAAATATTTCTATACCATTTTTAAAGAAATAAATAGTGTACATTCATATTATCAAAAATCTGCACCAAAATAAACAATCCCCATGTATTGCACATATTGGGGAAAAAAAAAAAAAAAAAAAAAAAAAAAGAAGAACTATAATAAATCTCATTAACTAAAAAAAAGTTAAATTTTCTGTGTCTTCACACAAGGATTGGGCAAAAGAACTAAAAACTCCTCCTGTCCAACACCACACTTCTTTAATTGTGAAAAATGACCTGACCATTGGATATACACCAAGACAACATCCTTTGTTATATAGGGAAAACTCATTATCTTAAACATTTCTTTTTAACCCATAAAATTATTATGACATATATGACAACGAATTATTCATTTTTAAAATACAAGTGCATGTACTAATTATGTGTAGCACGAAATTTTAATAGATCCTAAATATAAGCAAAAACTAAAAAAGGCAAATTATGATAACGTAGGCGTCTGCTTCATGCAAAGAAATAACAAAAAATAATAGAAGCTAAGGGGAGCGGGGTTACGCATATATATATATATATATGTACCTATGCAAAAAACGCAATCACCTCCCCCAAGGAAGAGTGCCCAGGTTGGACAAAATTCACCCCACATTTCTCTTTATGATAAGCAGAACGATAAAATTATTTAGTGAAAAATATATCTTCTATTGATACCGAGAAGAATCTGCTTTTATAATTCTGCTTTACCCCTCGCATGATGCATCTGAGGGGTGTGGATAATGTGGACGACCATTTCTTGTGGGACGGGGAATACAAACAAGTGTACCTATGCCTGAACCGGAACGAAAACAACGATGCAATAAAAATAGACATAAGTCATGACTATAATATTCATGACATTTTGCAGCTTGTTAGAGAAAAGTACAACATACAAGGGGAATACATCACTGATTCTTCTGGAAATGTCATACATTCTATAAGAGATATAATAGATGGAGACACTTTATATTTAAAAGATGGAAAGGATAAATTAAATATTAATAATAAGTTGAAAAATAATTTAATAGTAAATGATTACATAGTTCAAAAAAGAATAGGTTCAGGTGGATTTGGTATAGTTTTCCAAGGTATACATATACAAACGAAACAACGAGTAGCCTTAAAGTTCATTCCTAAAAGTAATTTTCTAGATGTTACAGATGTACATAGAGTCTTCATAGAAATACAAACATTAAGAGGATTAATTCATAATAATATAATCAAAATGTATGACGTAAATCATTTTCAGAATTATGTTTGCTTAATTATGGAATATGCTATTAATGGAGACTTAAAAAATTATATACTTAAAAATAATGGATATTTATCAGAAAAACAAGCACATGATTTATTTGTACAAATTGTTAAAGGGGTATATTATTGTCATTCCAAACATATTGTTCATAGAGATTTAAAACTTGAAAATATTTTGTTAGATGAAAATATGACATGCAAAATTGCTGACTTTGGTTTGTCTGATTTTGTTAATGTGGATCAAAACATAAAAACTGAAGCAGGTACAAAAGCATATATTGCTCCTGAAATTATATTCAATCAGACAATTAATTATTCGGTATTCAAATTAGATATTTGGAGTTTGGGCATTTTATTATTTATTATGACTCAGGGATTCCCCCCCTTTAAATATGTAGAAAATGATATCAAATATTTTGACAGTAGTACACTAAATTATCCAAATGATGTTTCGGACGATTTGAAAAGTTTAATTTCTCTTATGCTTAATGTAGATCCTAATAAGAGACCTATTATCGTGGAAATTCTAAACCATCGCTGGTTTTACAATTACGCGAATCAGGGATAAAGTTGGAGATACTATCAAACGGTTAGTTGGAAAAGCTCATCTAATCTATACGCCAAAAACTGAATTAGGAACATTCCAAACAGCAACACAATTATCTCTGTTTGCAAAAGATGTTATCAGTTGTCTGCACCTAAGCATTGTCAGCCTGTGTTTGCCTGGGAAGTGGAGAAGTACACCCGTGGAGAAGTAGGAAAACATACATAGACATATCATTCAAGCAGCATAACAAGCATGCACAGAAGAAAAAATAAATAGCCAAATGGGGGAACTCTTCAAAGCCTCATATAGTGTGACAGATCTCACAACTGCGCATACAGTAAATCAATTCTATTTGAACGACACTCGTTCCATATGCTGTGAAGTAAATGAACTGTTTTGAAATTCTTTCGCTTCAAGTATCTTGACTTGAGTACACTCTCACCCAAGGGATACCCATCGGAAGTTGTATTCAGCGCACTGTACAAAAACACTGCATAGTTTATATTCTTATATTCAAAATATATGTCAATTAAAAAACCTTCATAATCATATGACTTTTTAACATATTTGAAAATTTCACTCCGTTCATCTGTCCTTGCTTCTTCCATTGTTTCTCTTTTTTTTTTTTTTTTTTTTTTTACCCCTATCAAATCGTTCTCCTTACATATAATATTCACCACCTCATCTGCAAAATTTGCAAGATATTCCAAACTCTGAAATTGCCAATAGTGCTCACTTAGTAAATGAAAAACACGCAATGTGTTACTGGAATCGAGAATTGAAGAATCGATCAGATTGACATACGTCAGACAAGAATATAACAAACAGCAGCGAGAATCTCCTACCTTTTCAAAATCAATAGCTCGTAACATACATTTCCAAAAATTTCCATCAAAAAACTTATTAACACAATAACACCATAAAATATCACTTATTTCGTAGTGTGAAAATTGGTGTATCCTTTGCAAAATCTCATACTGTAATGCACTTAACAAGGTATAAGATGCATAAAAGTACATACTTCCATACGTATATGCTATTCTGGCAATATGCTGAGGGGATAGATCATTCATCTTATTTAATATTGCTGACTGGATCAAAGTATGAAATTCTTTGCTTCCACTTCGAACTATTGAATATGCATAGCACATATTTGCCAAATCTTCTGATGAAAACATATTCAAAAATGTCTCATTTGAAGAGTTTATTTTGTATTTTTCTCTTTTAATAGTTCGTTCAGTTACAGAGACATCAACATTGCTATTGCTCACAATACCCCCTCCTTGTAACAAGAACTTCTCGACAGCCTCATGAAATTCTGTATTTACACGATTCTCATTGCTCACAGTCCTTCCCACAGTTGTTGCCAACCCCAGTAAACTATTTGATAACTGTTTTGGAGTCATATTTTGATACAACTCCATGGCTCTATCTTTCAACTGGAAATATAAATCGTTACTAAAACACAATTTTGTGTTTTTATTTTCGACTGTGCTGTAGGCCCATATGAGCATGCTAACAGTGCTGGCGCTAAAATTGTTTATATTTTTCAAAATGTTTTTTTCGCTTTTTATCAACAAAAATGGGTAATCCTTAAAATATTTGGCACTCGTCCATATACCGTTCAACAATACTGACAAGGGAATGACAACCTGATCCCTATCATTTTTTCTATCACCTGTGTTGCCATCATCATTATTCTTATCATCATGCAACTCATATTTCCCTCTTGGAGCCAAAGTCATGGATGTATGTTCAGTTTGTGAATTTGTATGTGAAAACATATTTACTATGGCTTTCACGAAATTATGCATCAAAGCATTGTCAGCCGCATTAATATTTTGGGAGTACAGAAAAAATAACTTCATTATTTGTACTTCTGTGAAATTATTATACCTTTTATATACTTCACTTTTTATTTCTCTAAAAAATTGGATATGCTTATAATTATTATTACTTATATATTCTAGCATTTTTACAAAATTTTCATTATTCATTGATTTTATTTTACTCTGGACAAAGTTTATATAAGTTTCTAAGAAGTTTTTACTATTGTATCGATTGATATGACGAATATGCTTCTTCTTGTTAGAGTTATTCAAATATATATAACCTATCCTCACTAAATAGTTCTCATCAAGGTATTTTATATTTTGTAAAATTATATTTTCTCCTAATATGCTTATTTCTTTTACTGATGAAAGGTTGATTCTTTTTATGATGTAAAGGTAGTTAATAATATCCTTACATGAAAAAAAAAAAATTTTCTTATTTATTATATTCAATATATCTCTATAAAATTCTTCGTATTTCTTTTTCATAAAAGAAGATGCATAACTCTTCCACGTATTTTCCTTTACATTTAGTTGTTCTATATATAGTATATAGTTAAGATGTAGCTCCATTAGAGTACTAAGCATAGTGTGGCGTACATAATATCTGCTAGCATGGTACTTAACAGTTCCGTCTAATTGTGAATTCTGAGAATAATCAATGTCTTCTGTTTCATCTTGTACGCACATATTTTCCTTCATTTTTTCTTCCTTGTTAGTTTCTTTTATATATACACACTGAGATACATTTCCACCCGGTGTTGCTTCTTCTGCATTTTTGTAATTATTGTTTGTAGTAGACTCCTTCATACACATATCGTTACTCAAAAAATGGTTTATTCCACTGATCGGATTATGTCTGCTCCTCTCGAATAGTTCATCATATATATCATTTCCATCATCATTTTCAAAAAATAGAATTTCATTTTCCTCTAAATTCGATATTCCCATCCGATAGTTCCTTTGACTATGATTCTGTGCCCACTCATCTATATATTGCTCAAGAGTAATGTATCTAAAGTGCGGGTTGTCCAACTTCAAAATATCACAGAATTCATGCGTTTTATAAAAATTATGAAATATTATTTCATATATTTTAAATAACAAATAAACATATTCATGATTTTTTATTTCGTTTAAATTATTATCAAAAAAAATTTTCATATCATCCATATTGTTTGAAAAGTATATACCTCGAAGCTTTTCATTACATTTACTACTGGTATGGATTTCATCATGTAGGAACTTTGGTGGCGATGTTAAGTTGGAACTTACACCTTGTGCTTTATCACTTTGTTTTACACTTTCGTGAAAGGTGCTCCATTCATAAATGCTTTTTGAATGTGTAAAATTTTTCAATCTTATTTTAACTCCCCTTCCGTAATGAATTCCCAATAAAGATATGTTCCTTATCCTTCCTACATGGTTCACTTCAAACCTCTTATTCAGAAGGTACATTTTATACTACCAACTTCTTCGTAAAAATGGTAAATGTGCAAGTAGTGAAAAAAAAAAAAGAAAAAAAAGAGAAGAATAATTTGGGGCTATTCATTTGTTAATACAATTTTTAAATTTCAAAGCATTCATGGTCCTGGGTTATTGTTAGTGCATTCTCCTCTGTATAAAACTCATTCTGTTTCTCTATGATCTACATGTCATTTTGGTATCGCTGCATTCTTTTTTTTTTTTTTTTTTTTTACCATACATTTTTATGCATACATATTTTGCTCTCTTTATAATTTATAAATAACCCTTTGGTGTAAGTATGATGATCAAATTAAAGGGAGATACTAAATGCTCATACTTCAAGCCTACAGAAATAAAAAGCATTAAAATAAATAACAATGGTTATATCAATAGCAATGACATAAACAACAGAAGCAAATGTTCGACAAATAACAACAGGGATGCTTATTTTTTTAACTTTTCTGCACACTTTAGAAATTCATTAAGGGGGCTTAAAATAAACTAATTTCTGAACTCATTTTTTTTTACATTTTAATTAAATTTCTTTTCGTAACATATGAAACAATTATTTTTCAATGAAATATATTCAGAAACTGTTTTGTGTGCAACCGTTTGCGGCGTTGCTTAGAGGAAAAAGGATTAATAAAATTCTACAGCATGTGCTGTGTCCCTATATTCATTAAAAGTGCGTTAAAAAGCTTTATAAATTGTCCTGCGAATATACAAATATGCACACATAACTGCAGATACTTGAATAACTTGAAAAACACTATAAAAAAAAAAAAAAAAAAAAAAAAATGCGCGTAAAATAAGATAGACATTTCATAGTTTATTACATTTTTTCTGAATGTAGTATATTTTTATTGCGTTTCTCATAATCCTTTCAAAATTATATGTTGTAACGTCACAACATATGTAGCATCGTCAAAACACGTGTTAACTAAAATAATCCAAAATAAATAAAAATATAAAAAAAAAAAAAAAAAAAAAAAATGATAAATCAATGGAAATTAGGTATATTTCCAATCTTCTCGTACAATTTAAAATGTTCACGGGTTATCCTTGCACCTTCACATGTTTAAAAAAAAAAATAAAAAATACACTTTTGTGTTATACACATTCATGTGCACATGAAAATTAAAACAACTCTTTATTTGTTAACATATAAATATCCTTCCCTTCTAGCTGTTTTTTTCTCTCTTTTTTTTTTTTTTTTTTTTTTTTTTTTTCTGTTCAGAATAAAATATACATTTTTTTTTTTTTTTTTTTTTTTTTTTTTCAAAATAAAATACACATTTTTTTTTTTTTTTTTTTTTTTTTTTGTTCAGAATAAAATACACATTTTTTTTTTTTTTTTTTTTGTTGCTGTTCAGAATAAAATACACATTTTTTTTTTTTTTTTTTTTTTTCTTTTCAAAAAAAAAAAACAATTTTTTTTTTTTTTTTTTTTTTTTTTTTTTTTTTTTTTTTTTTTTTTTCTTTTCATAATAAAAATTATATTTTTTTTTTTTTTTTTTTTTTTGCTTTTAAGAATAAAATTTTTTTTTTTTTTTTTTTTTTTTTTTTTTTTTTTTATAATAAAATATTTTTTTTTTTTTTTTTTTTTTTTTTTTTTTTTAAATAAAATTCACATTTTTTTTTTTTTTTTTTTTGTTGCTGTTCAGAATAAAATACACATTTTTTTTTTTTTCCTAACACTCAACATATGCTATATATAATTATCTATTCAGATTAAAATATACATTTTTATTCACTTGATTTTTATCAATTTTTTTTTACCTTTTTATATTTGTTAACAATTTGTTTCAATATTATTTTTCTATGTTTTGCTCAAATGTGACATTAAATAGCATGCCTTAATTACCACCTAAAATGAATTTTTAAGTAAACTGAACTTTTTAGAGAGGACATAATTGTTGACGATTTTCCTAATTGTAACCTTTGCTATTCTTACCTCGTCTGGCGTTAATGGAGAATTATTCTTACAGTTCTGGTTCAAGAAAAATGATACTGCCAGAACAAAGCCATAGTAACGTAGTAAGCATCAAAATAGAGAGATGTAAAAATGCAGTGACATGAAAGTGCAGAGATATAAAAATAAAATAATGGAATAAAAGTACAAAAAAAAAAAAAAAAAAAAAAAAAAAAAAAACTTTTTACGCACAATTAGATAGATCCACATTTTTAAGATTAACAGTGGAGAGAGCATACACACATTGTAATTGCTCTAAGCGAATAAATTTAGAGCTTCTACAAATGTAATGTGTGCACATAAGTTTGCGAATTCACACACCCTCCAAAAAAAAAAAAAAAATTACAGAACTTGTAAAAAGTAAAAAATATGTAAACTGCGAAAAATGTATAAACTGCGAAAAATGTATAAACTGCGCAAAATGAGTAAACTGTGTAGAACTTGTAAACTCTGTGTATAACGGTTAAAACGATTAAATCGGGTACGCATGGAAAAACCTGCGTAAATGACAAAACGGTTCCAATTATCTACGCAGAGTGCCCTATCCACATACCCCTCAAAAAAAAAAAAATTAACATATTTTACTGTCTTTCACGTCTCTACAAATTCAGGAAAATAAAAACACTAAAAAGAAGTGTGATAGCATAAACCTACATGATCCCAAGGAACATGTTGCTTACAGTTTGTATGATCGTCCAGGGGGGATTAACTTGATGGATCAGAATGGATATTTGATTGATGACGTTTCTTGCTACAAACCTGGAGATATAAACGCCTCCTCAACGAATTTATATAATAGAGGAGGTATGTATATAGATGCCAATAACGATAATGGAATAATAATAAATCCAAATAGAACTTTTAATATGGGAGCCATAACTCCAGGGGGCTCAGAAAATTATGACTACATAAATTCTTCTATAAATCTGAATCAAGGGAACTATTATAATCCCTATGAAATAAGTAAAAATTTTGTCTCAAGTAGCGAAAATTTAAAATATGAACTAAATAACGAAATTGATAGGGCTCAAGTTATTCCAAAAATAACCACAAAACTGAATAATTCCTATATGACGAACGTAAGTAATACGAGTAATATAAATAAAGAAATTCTAAACAATGAATCCATTAATTACATTGATCCAGACAGCTATACGAATTTGTATGGTCATTTAAGCGATAATAATATTGGTATGGTGAATGGCATTGCCAGCAAATCATATAGGGGAAATATAGCAAGCGCAACTAATTCGAAAGACATGAGTAACATAAAGTATGACTTGATAATGCAAAACTACCGCGCTTCATTATGCAATAACGTAAATAGTGTGAGTAGTCTCAATAGTGCTCATAATATGGCCAGAATGGACCATTTGGGTACCGATAACGAATTAGGAAATATCAATCAGCTGTATAGGACGAATCACTTCGCTAGCTTGAACAGCGAGAACGGTGTGGATGTTATCCCCTTGAAGGAGCAGACATACGGAACCAATTACAACGATGCCATCTTTACGGGAGGCAATTATAGCGGTGTCAATTTAATAGATGCCAATTATAACGGTGCCCATTTAATAGATGCCAATTATAACGATCCCAATTTAATAGGTGTCAGTAGTAACGGTTCCATTTATAACGCTTCCAATTTAAGCGATGCCAAATTTATGGATGTCATTTATAACGGTTCCAACTTAAACGGTGTCAATTTTCATCCCTTCCCTATGGAAGAGTTCCCATCAATGCGTCATTATAAAAGAGGAGCGCAAAATTTTGGAGAAAGAGAAAAGGAATTCGCAAAGCTTAGACTCGTAAATAGTGATATGAACATGGGAATCCACTCGAATGAAATTCATAGCCACAGACATCCCTCTGATCAACTACAAGCAATTGTATGTCTACAAAAACTGGAAGAAATTCCAACCCCATTTTTAAATCTTAACGATATAAAATATGCAGTGAGTGTTTACTTCAATTCATATGATGATATATTAGAAAAATACCGATCCAAATTTTATAACTGTAAACTGAACGAATCGAATACGTATGCGAATTGCGACTTGAAAAATGAAATAATTAATTTGCCATTTAATAATGAAGAATTTATTTATTTAAAAGTAATAGAATCATCGGTGTACAAAACAGAAATTACAGGACGATTACAACTAAAAGTTAAATCTTTGTCGCAAGAATACCCTTTGAGAATACCCATAATTGGAGATGATGGAAATTCCAAAGGATATTTAATTATGAATTTTTTTGTTACTTCATCATATTATGATGTAAAAAATGATACACTAATTACTGACCGATCAAGTTTACCCAATAGAACCAAATCCACAAGAATACGCAGAAAAAACAATGGATTCCATTTTTTCGAAAATTTCACAAAATGGTGTTGTGAGATTACAGATCATCATATAAACTAGCCAAACGATCAGAAGGAGGAGGGGTGCATGATCCTGTGTCAGCATACCGAGTCTCAATGACACCTTCTCAAAACCACATGTACATCCCTATTCATTTGTTTGTTTTATTTCACCCATCCATTCATTTGGTATATACCTATACATATATATATATATATATATATATATATATATATATATATATGTACATATATTTATTCATTTTTATACATATTTGTAGATTTTTTCGTTACTATATTTGTTTTACTAATGAAAATATTAATTTATTGTACATTCTAATGACTCTGTCACTTGTTTATAATTAAATTATGAGCATTAGAACGCTTTCCTCGCACTTTCGTCCATTCTCATGATGTCTGCTTGTGAATCCTATTAATATAAACAAAAGTACACATGCCCTAATTAGGAGATAAGAGGAGCAAACAGGTTTAGGGTTGAAATGGGAACCCCCAAAGGGTGTACGATGCATACATATATATGTGTATGTAGTTATATATGCATGTGTATATGCTCTTTTGCAAACGTCAAATCAACATCATTTGAGATAGCTTTTTTTAGGAAATTTTTAGGATTTTTTTTTTTGTTACGTTATTTTTCTTGCTTTTTTTTTTAAGTTCTTTTTTCAATGTCACCTACATATTTAGCATTGAATATTTTTATTGTTGATTATAAAACTAATTTTTTTCTTTTTTTTTTTTTTCATTATCCTGTTTAAATTTTGCTAATAAAACGAAATAACAAGGCGATGAAACTATTCACAATTAGTCTGTTTTTCTAATTTGACAAAAGCTTTTTAAAAACGTAGTTATACCTATGAATATGTGCACATATTTTATGTATATGCCTTCTGCAGGGTAGTACCTACCCTCTATCTTATGTTTCCACTTTTTTTCATGCTTTCTATGATGTATCAAATGGTAAGTAGGCAATAACCTGTTCGTGCTGATGAAATATTATTCAAAAGACTTGCCAAGGAGGAATACAAAGAGTGATCGTTAAAAGACCTATGCGCATAAATAAATCTGTTATACAACGTCTCGAAAGGTGATTTAAATCTAGTCCAAACAAAATGTTTGCTTGAGTTTTTCGAAAATTACCAAAACACTGTAAAACTTTTGTGCATTAACCATTTTTGGTATAACGTTCATATATATATATATAATTGCTTGACTTTTTAAAATTAAAAAAAAAAAAATTTATGTAATTTATAAAGATGTCGGTATAAATGCAACCGCTTGTGAGCACGTATATCTGCACAAGAACGCATAGAACTGCATGGATATGCGCCTATATATTTGTATACGTATACATGTGTTTTTATGTGTATGCACATCGACGGGACATGCAGACACATACTACCAGTATACGCAATTACAAGATACTATATGATAAATATAGTTAGGATTTTCATTAAAAAAAAAAAAAGGACATTAAAAAGTGTACCATAGACGAGGTGCAAAAAAAAATGGGTGCTATGCGTAACCTTATAATTAAAAAAGGGTTACTATGGCTGCTTGGAAAAAAGAAATAAAAAAAAGGGAAATGAGAGAGAGTCGAGGAAAACTAAAACTTAGTCATTTGAAGTTTCCTACAATTTTTTATTCTTTTACTTTTTTATTCTTATACTTTTTTATTCTTATACTTTTTTATTCATATACTTTTTTATTCTTTTACTTTTTTATTATTGTATTTTGTTTTTTCTCTCTCTTGAATTGAAAACAAAATCTGGGTACGTACGCACTGCATTTATATTGTTATATAAATGCATACTCAATATGTGTGCGCTCGAGGTAGCATAAATGCAATATAAACTGTTCTTGCATATCAACACATTTGAATAGCACAACTCAAGAAGAGGAAGGATTAATTTGTAAATTGTTAAAAACAGGGTTAATTTTATCTTTTCAAAAAAAAAGAAAAAAAGGCAAAGAAGTGAAAAAAAAAAAAAAAAAAAAAAAAAAAAAAAACACGAGCTGTGGTGTGTGTGCGCAAATAATACATTAACATAAATACATAAGTACATACAAATGTACTTGCTTGAATCTATGCATATACATAAACAGATAAAAAATTCTCCACGTCGGTAGGAAAGATACAATCTTGAAAAAGCACAACCTCTTCTTCTCTTCTCATGTTACTTAAAAAGAGAAATTAATCTTTTGATTCCCATTTCCATACTTTCGCGTTGCCAGCTGCAGGAAGTAGGTAAAGTATGGTTGCCCGTAAATATCACATTCATGAGGGAAACATGTAGAAACGTGTAGGTGTCACGGAGTCAAAATGTTACAACGTCAAAATGTTACAAAGTCAAAAAGATACGACGTGAAAATGTTACAAAGTCAAAATGTTATGAAGTCAAAATGCTACGATGTGAAAATGTCACGAGGTAAACATGTAATGACATAAGCTTGCACACAAGCACGCACATTAGTATGCACAGGCGAGGACCACAGTCTTTCATGGTCTCCCACTCTTGGATCCCCATTTTTGCAAAACTTACCATTGGAAAACACCACAATAAAATAGGGGCCAGAAAGAGGCAAAATAAAATCGGGGTCGTTAATATTAAATTTGAGGGTCATTGATTCTCTATCTTTTAAATATCCATACGGATTAAATTCAGGTAAAGAAAAAGTATATAATGCTTTAGTTGAACCATATATAAGTATGGGTACATTTTTATGATTCGTTAAACCAGCCATACAATAAATTGGCAAAGTATTCATTTCAAAATTATTATCTCCCTTTAGACTGAAGGCTAATATTTTACCTTCACTCATAGCAGTAATTACATTAGCTTCATATTGCATTACAGATACTACACTTCCATATTTACATTTAACAATGTTAACGATTTCTAAATTTAACAAATTGATTATTGTTATACTATCACCACATACCCATAAGGTTCTACTGAATTTATTTTCTTCGACATTCGAATTAGTATTCACATTAGCTGAAGAACATTTACTTGAAATTATTTCTATCATTTTATAAATTTTGGTTTTCGTATCAATTTTTTTAATTGTCACAAAACTTAAATATGATTCTTGGTATTTCCAGAATTTAACTTCTCCATTTATAGATGAAGATATAATGATTCCATCTATGCATACTATGCTGTATATAGAATCTGTATGTGCATAAAGAGTTGAAGAATCAGATGATGGCAAATGCATTATTTTTATTAACCCATTATCCAAACCAGCAAATATACATTCTTCTGCATATAAAAGAGATAAAACTCTTTTTTTTTTTTTCTTTATTTTCTTATTATATTTTAATTTGTCTTCTCCATATGATTCTTCTTCTGGTGTTAATTCAAATTCAATTTTTTTTAAATGCTTAATGTCTAGTTCCTTAGACCCTTCTCCAGGAACAAAAATCCATACATTTATTGTATACGGAGATATGGATGTAAATAAATATATTTCGTTGTTTGGCCCATGTACTATAATTGCACAATCGATATATGATCTTTGTAAAAAAAATGTATCAACTAATTTCAAATTATGTAAATTTCTGTAAAGAGACAACAGAGGAGAGGAGCCACCCAATTCAGAAAAAAAAGATAAAAAAGGGAAGAAGCAGAAAAAGAGTAAGGGAAAAAAAAAAAAAAAAAAAAAAAAAAAAAAAAAAGAAAAAAAGAATGGATGGATGAATAAACAAAGTAATGTTTCATCTTTCTCATCTGCCTTATGTAAGAGAAGGGATGCGTGGCTATGACAACATCTCACTCAAGTCGGCGTTCGAAAGTGACACGAAAAAAAAATGAAGAAAAAAGTGACAAAAAAAAGTGAAGGAAAAAGGTGACGAAAAAAAGTGGCAAAAATGGTAACGAAAAAAAGTGGCAAAAATGGTGACGAAAAAAAGTGGCAAAAATGGTGGTAAAAATGGTCATAAAAAATGGTGACTAAAAAAGGTGATCAATAAGTTTCCCCCTCCAATATGCGCAAAGTTAATAGGCAAAATTTTGAGCAATGAAAAAAAAAACATACACTACGGACGTAAACATCAAACGGGAAATAAATGGATAAACAAATTGTCTTTATAAAATGGGTTTCAAGAAATGGTTCTACTTTTTATTATCAAAAAAGTGTATGCAGAACGGATATGTCTGACTTCTATGCACACTTCAAATAAAAGGGGATTATATATAAAAATGAAAAAGGGAAAAAAAGGAATTCAAACAAGGAAATAATGGGATACATATAAGAAGCATACATTATGCAGTAAAACGTAATGAAGAAAAAAAAAGAATGAAAAAAAAAAAAAAAATCAGTGCAATAGGTACAAAATTTGTTCTTTTTTTATTTTAACTGTGCAATTATTGTTTTTTCACACTTTTTTTTCTCCATTTTTTACCATTTCCCCCCCATTTTTTCTCTAATTTTTCTCCATTTTTGCTTCATTTTTTCCCCCATTCTTTTTCCATTTTTTCTCACATTATTCTCACTTTTTTCTTCATTTTTATTGCACATTTTATTCTTTTTTTTTTTTTACTATATTTCTATTAAAATCATAAATGAGTGAATGCACAGCATGTACTCATTGGGTGTAGTATTATGTAGACACATACATCAATCACCTGAGCACTCAGTTTTTCACAAATATTAGCATATAGAATAAATATAAAATGAAGACGACTTTCACATTAACGCGAACAAACGCGCGCATAATATATATATATATATATATATATATATATATATATATACGTACGTACATACACACATACATATACACGTATACACTTGTGTAAACACTCATCATGCAGAGTTATGGTTTACTTGCAATCGTCTACAAAACGGCATAATCCTGAAATGGGAGAAACACAAAGAGAAGGAGGAATGAAATTGAGAAATAAGGTCCATTCATACATGAATGAGAAGTATATTCACAAAACTTGCTAATAAGACCTCTCCAAAAAAAAAAAAAAAAAAAAACACTTATGAGAATGTCATCACGCAAAAGGCATATAACTCTAAAATACAACAGTAAGCAAAATATGTTACTATGCAGGAGTAAACATACATAAATGGAGTGCACTCAAGCGAAAGGTACATACACTCTCATGAAGAACATGCGTTAATGAAACATAAGAACAAAATTCTTAACCCCTTAGTGTATAGTGCGGGCAGAAGGTTATTCCTTTATCCCTGTCTTTACTTGCATTTTTCTTTTGATAAAATGTTCTCCTATTGTTATAATTGTTTTGCGTTTTATTGTTTCCATCGGATCCTGAACAGGAATGCGTGCATATGTATATAAATATATATATGTATATATATTTTTATTAAGTTATGTTTTCTTAGGAGACACACGACTCTTAATTTATATACGTCCTTTTGGAGAGACGAAAATTTACACCAGTCGTGCATACAAACTCATACCATTTGTATATCTGTGCTGAGATTTATACCCATCTCGGAGATAATTACCTCTCATATTTATTTCCTGCGCGAGGGAAAAAAATAGTATGAACAGTATGAATTGTAAGAGTAGTATGAGCTGTATGAACCGTATAAACAGTATGTGCAGTATAAACGGTGTGAACCGCATGAACAGTGTGACTTCCTGTCCGTCACTATATATACGTAAAATCATTTATACATTTGATAAACACATTTTTCATACAACAACGCAACGAAACCTTATTGGTCTCTTTAACGAATTCGTATACTTGTCCATTCGACAAGAACGTGTTTCTCCTAACGACTAAAATGCAGCTAATATTGTTATTCCTATGTGTAATATTCTATTATCGACCTTGGACATGTACTTATGTATAGCGTTGGATATGTTATATATATGGAATATGCGTTATCATTGCTTTTAGGTCGTTCAAGCCCATACACGTGAAGTTGCAATTTGCGCTGTCGTACGTAAGCATATATACAATAAATGGATTAAGACATATTATAAATGCACATATCAAAAAATTTGTAAAATGTGTTTTCACTCAATACACGAGCTCAGGAGCGTATACAATTTCCTTATATGATGCAGTTCTTCTTCTCTTTCACTTTTTTAAAAAAAAAAAAAAAAAAAAAAAAAAGTAGTTTTCAAAAGCTCCTAATGCGACAAATTTTGTGTTAGTCGCAAAAAATAATCATTACTTTTATTTCAAAATAGTCTTCAAAAGGGCTTTCATGACATAACAAGATTTGCTGCGCTATATTGCTTGTTGGAGCATGACATCAAATAATTCTTTTCTTTCTTTATGTTTTTTTACTTTTCACACAAATGTGGTATCATATACGTATATATGTTGTATATATGTATTTAAACACGCTTCGTCACATATACAAGTTTTCATTATAAACACTCCAAATAACACACGTTTGTGCTTTACTCACAAACCTGTTTTTTCATGTTACTAGGAGTTTTTTCACTTGTGTTTATGTATATACATGTTTATATATATAAATATATATATGTATATATATACTTACATATTCACGCATGTACAAACGCATAAAATTAAGTATACCCTGAAATATTCATTAAGAATGTTTTTTTTTTAAAAAAAGGGAAAAAAAAACAGAAGGTCATTGAAAAATTGGGTAACTAACATAAAACAGATAGCCTTTTCAATAATTCTTTTTTAATATATTCAAAAAAAAAAAAAAAAAAAAAAAAAAAAAAAAAAAAAAAAAATGGCGTTAAATTATTAATCAGAACATCACCAACCCTTCTTTTTTTTTTTTCTTTTTTTTTATAAGCCCCTTTCTTCTTTTAATAAGTGACTTTTCCCATATGATCTATGTTTATATGTATACATACATGGGTGTATATATATGAGCATATGTACGTTTACTACATGTATATAAAATTATATAAACGTATGAATATATATATTTTATAGCACCCTTACGAGAATAGCTTTGGGGATGACTTAATATGTCATCTGCCCCTAAGCATTGTTATGTAGTACGCATGTACATATATGCATGTATTGTATACTTATATGTACATGCATAAATATATTATATATATATATATATATATATATATATACATACCTTTATTATAGGGTTTTCACATGTACATTATATGTGCCGATTTATAGCACAATTAATAACTTTATGTTACAAATCTCTCATACCACCATATTTTATGCACATAATTATTCGGATTGCTTCGTTTTTATTTTTTGTGTATATTGAATGAGCGTTTTATTGCATCAAGCATAAAACATGTGCAAATTTTGTTCAGATAAAAAGAAATAAAAAAAAAATATATGGGGCTCGACGTTATTATGGTGAGTGTATGTACTGTCATGTATACCACAATGTAGAAATGACCGTTGTGCTGAAACTGAAAATCCGTCAATTGGGAAAATAAAGGGCAAGAGGAAAGGGCAAAATTTATGCTGGATGTTGAGACGAAAAGGTAAATAATGTTTATATTTTTAAAGGAAAATATTTAAAAAATATATAAAAATAAAAAAAAATGAATGCAAAAGATATGGATAAAACATATACCCCCATATCATATTGCCGTGTACACATTCAGGTTGGGGGTTTATTGACCTCTTCACAGTACTGAAATTATGAAATGAGTTCTTCATCCTTATATACATTATATAATGAATCATATAAAACATAAAAAAGTCTCAGGTTAGCTCAAACCTATTTTTACATTTTTCTTTCTATAACAGCTGCTACACGTAAATAAACCAAGACGGTACACAATTTTCACTTGTATATTTGACCCAAGTATATATTCACAGTGCATATAAATGCACACATATGTACATATATACACATGAGCGTGTTTTAGCGTAGTTTATGTCATCCGTACAACCGCATTTGTTGCATAACACAAGAGAACATATTTGTCAAAGAAAGAGTTTCTTATTACAAGTATATAGAACGAATAGTAAAGCACAACATTTTAATGCTCTTGCTTTGAAATAAAAACATTTAAATATATGAATGTTATAGGGGGGTTTTAAACTTAAACAGGAGTTTTATATGCATATGTATATAAAAGCATGCATATACATATATACAACACATAATTACCATTTGGCACTCTACTCAATTTTCAATTTAACATTTTTCTTACATATGTACATTAAATTGGAAAATGCCATTTCGATGGCAATTTTTAACCTTTGCGTTAATCACTTAGCAAAAAAAAAAAAAAAAAAGGAAAGGAAAGGATAGGAAAGGGAAGATAATTTTTTAAACATGCACGTTATACTTTGCACCTACACAACACACACCCGTTACGTGCACATTTAAGGTGCAAAGAAAATTTTTTCCTATTTTGCTAATTAAATATATAAAAAATAATGTCTTAACAAAAAATTTACCAAAATTTCACGACACTAAAATAAATGTTTCAAACGAATAGGGTTATATTTAAGTCCTGTTCTTATGAGCGTATGTCGAATAGAAATTTATTTCAATTTTTACAAAAAACCATTCAATCAGTTATAGCAACGCGTGTGGGTCACACAGACAAAAATACATACATGTAAAAATATGAAACTTAAATGTTGATATGAACGACATCAACTAAAAAGAATTGTAATGATGATTAATGAAAAAAAATCGATTGTAGTGGAAAAGTGTTAAATAACTGAAAAATTATGTTACTCTCTGGTGGATTTGCTTAGCTGTGCAGTACTTGTTGTTTTTACGCAGTTATTTTAACCCATTTAACTTACAAGCTCGCTTTTCCCAATTTATGATTTCAAGTATAACTTTGGGGAGAATACTCTGGTATTGAAAAACCAACATGAACGAATTGTCCATGTAATTTTTTTTTTTTATACAACTAATGTATTTATGTGTCCATTTAGCTAGTTTCGCCTAATTTACAACGTTACAAATTTGTGCTTAAAATAAATTAATTAAAATAAAATACGTTAAATTAAATTAAAATAAATTAAAATGAACAAAATGAGCAAAATGAGCAAAATAAGCAAAATGAGCAAAATGCGAAAAGTGCACAAAATGGAGGTGAAAAATATGAACCAAAATATACAAAACATAAACAAAATGAATTAAATAGAATGCTATTTAAAACTCAAATTGACAGTTTGCCCTTCGAATGAATGGTCTAAAACGGGTATACATATTTTCATTCTAAAAAAAAAAAAAAAAACTACTAAAAAAAAAAAAAACGTAACGTTTGCTTAGAGCAATGTGGGGTATTGCTTGTAAACGAATTATTGGGGTAAATATCTGATAACAATTGGTATATATACGTACACACCAGGATATAAGAATACACGTTTTTTCACAAATTTGTACATTAAGTTAATATGTATATCCATATAAATCGTCAGAGTTATACTGATAAAAATAATGCCCTAGCAAAGAGCATAAGGCAAATGAGTAAATGACGCTCAAGGTGCTTCCTACACATAGGGCCCTACTGGCATATTTACGTCTTGGTGATGATTCATCATACTTTAAATTCAGCAAATATGAGAGACATCCTTGGAAGAAAGTACATAAGGGAAAGATGAATAAAAAACAGATAATAATAGGCATGTATGCATATACGTGCACACATATGTGTGCGCCTCATGTACATTAAGTCATAAATGTGAAAAAAAATGTATAATACATGTATATATATGCATGCATGCGTATTTTATTCTTTTTGCCTTCTTTTTAGCAAACCTATAAAGGGCATGAAAAAACTTAAAAAGATGTGTATTCGAGGCATTATAGTGCTATCCTCTTTTCTTCTTTTTTTTTGTGTCTCTTTAGACTCCTGCAATATGAAAAAAAGTAATTTCCATCATAAAACTCATTCATGATATAAAAATTGTTAAAAATATTAAACCATATAGGAATAATCTTCACTAAATCGGCGTTTCAAAAAAAAAAAAAAAAAAAAAAAAAGGGAAATTCATACCGATAAATTTTCATGCGCAGATGGTTCAGACGTAAATTTGGGCTCATCAGTAATACGTCGTGAGTTCAAATTAAAAATTCTTTTATATTCACTTTTTTGGTACTAATAGGTAATAAAGATAGTGTAAAAAAAAAAAAAAAAAAACAACTATGAATTGATCATTTTTCTGATTTGTTCCGGCAAAAAATAATATCCTAAGGATACAGAATTTACAGATACACACATGGGCAATACTATATATGCATATAATATATACACACATAGGCACCTTTATATGTCATGCAATTACCTTGGTTAAATCCATATTGAACAGATCGATATTTCTCCGATCCATCAGTATTGCATGCGGGTAGAACTCATCATCCTTGCCATTATTAATTGTCAATGTATTTTCCCTATTTAGAATACTTAGATTAAAGGCGTCCTTTAAATTAATTATTTCCTTATTTTCCTCTGATGAGCTAGCCATTTTTTTTTTTTTTTTTTTTTAAATCTAACTTCCAAAAAGATTAATACAAACTCCAAAAATTTACAAAATTTTTTATTTCAAAGTGTTCTATACAACATTTATAATATATACATGTGCATTTTAGATACTAAAAGAGTTGCATATTATTTAATTTATTTTTCCAACTTTATTTAAAATGATAAAAAATAAAAAAAAGTAAGAAGGGGTAATAAAAAAAAAAAAAAAAAAAAAAAAAACTATGAAAAATAATTTCTATTATTCAAAATTTGTGAGCAAGTTACACAAAATTATGTAAATTAAAATTCGCTTGACATTTAAAAAAAAAAAAAAAAAAAAAATCTCGCATCCCCCATGAAGATGAAAAAAAAATGTATTAATAAACAAACAAGAGGGGTGGGAGGTGGATGCTAAGTTCATTAGTTTTGTTATTTTTTTTATGCTATATATAAATAATGTAGTGTTAAAGAATTTGTTGTATTTTATATATTTTTAGAATTATTAGATAATTTTTTTTTTTTTTTTTATTTTTTTATAATATTTTTTTTTTTTTTTTTTTTTTTTTTTTTTTTTTTTTTTTTAAAACTAAAAAAGCTATTGCAATAAAAAAAAAAAAAAAACTGCTATCTGTGATGAATAATATATTTTGTTATTGTTAAATAAGCGCAGTAAAAATATATACATTCATTGCATACACATATATGCACCATGTGTTATAAACCCCATCAAACTTGTGCTCCATGTATAAATATATATGTATATATGACATTACTCAAATATATATTTTTTATGTAGAATTTAAATAAAAGAAATCACTCACATCAAGTATTATCAAAAATGCAATTTCAAAAGTATGTAAAAGGTGTACCCATCATTTCTCATTTTCTTTTCTTCTTAAATAATTTATACTCACACAGACATTTTTCCTCTAATTCAAATTGTGTATATGATACTATAACTACTTTTTATTTTTTTTACCTGATTTTGTCACATTAAAAAAAATATATCATTATGTTAGCAATAGGGTAGTAAATATGAAAAAAAAAAAAAAAAAAAAAAAAAAAGGAATGAACTAAGAATGAACAAGGAATAAACAAAAATGTTACAATCCTGTTATAACAAATAATGAATACGCAAAAATGAATAAATGAATGATAAAAATTATATAAATAAATCAATAAATAAACGTACGTGCACTACACAATTAATAGGTAGAAATTTGTTTGTGCGATTTACTTTTTCATTTTTGTTTGTTATCCATATTTACTAGGCATTTTGCGCCATGCATTCCCTGAGAGATGTTCGTGAACTAGCCATAAAAAAAGAAAAAAAAAGTACAGTCGAATGTGTATTCATAGGTATATTTCTGTGCAATTTCATACTGTGTATTCAGGCCTCCTTCAGGCGAAAACGATATATCAAACACAAACTAATGGATGTGCAAATTTTGTGTTCATAAAGAACATAAGGGATATATGTGAAATAAGGGGCCAAGCACAGATGTGCGAGTGTAACGCTGGATATAAATGGAATTTTCATTTTCATCTTCTAAGAGCTAGTGTACCATTTTGAATGCAGCCAAGGGGGATGAGATTATCAGGGCATAGTAACCTTGTGCAAAAAGCAAAAAAAGGTTATAATAGAATAAGTAAAATATTAAAAAAAAAAAATAAATAACAAAATAAAATAGAGAAAAAATAACAAATAAAACAGTGAAAAAATAGCAAATAAAACAGTGAAAAAATAACAAATAAAACAGCGAAAAAATAACAAATAAGACATTGAAAAAAAAAAATAACGAATAAATAAGAAAAAAAAATAGAATAAATAAGAAATGTGGAACCAACGGCAGTTAAATGTCTCATTCGCAAAAACTAGAAGTAAAATGCAAGTTTTCCTCAATTAGCTAACATGTTTTGTGCTTTTTTTTATTCATTTTTTCTGTATTTTAATTTACCAATTTTATGAAAAAGGTCATTTTTTGGAGTAACCTTAAAAACGTAAGCAGCAAACCAGAAGGATTCGTATGCTATTATACAAATTACCATAACAACTGCGCAAGAAAAAAAAAAAAAAAAAAAAAAAAAAAAATATAATACAGATGCATGAGTATTTTTACGTTTTAACGAGTTCCTAATAGAGAAATGTTAGATACTAGCTTCCATTATTAATTGGATATACACTAGTAAACTTCTAAAACATCTTAGCAAAAAGGAATTATGATCGAGCAAACGGATTGATCGTGTTCTCACAAAGGATCTATACCTTTTTTTTTTTCTTTTTTCTCTCCTAAACACACACACATGTACATATGTACATACATATATATGTATATATGTACATATTTATTTGTAGATATGCACATACCTGGCCTCTCGTAGTACAGTTTTAGCAGCCTATTCCCCTTTTCAATTTTCTTGTGTGTTTTATTTCCTGCTATGGCACATCTGAATAATAAAAAAACGGATTAATAATTCACAGTGATTATCTAAGCATGTGTGCATCTGAAAGAGATTTGTTCATGTTTACATCTAATCTTTTGATCGCTCAAAATATTTTCCTTCTTACGATGATGAATGAAAATAGTGCCCTCCTATATCTGCAATCATGATTAGTCCTATCGCTATATGATAAAAAAAAAAAATTATATATACACATGAAATGGATCGTGTATTCATACATGCGTTATGTACATATATGAGTGTATATATATACATATGCCATGACGAATTTTATGTTCCAGAAGGGGATATATTATGAACATAGTTCTCTCCTATATATAGTATTGTGCTAACACTATTAGATTCAAAAGTAGGTTCATTTTTTTTTTTTTCTTTCTCTTTGGCTAGTTTACCAATAATGTATTCATCATAAACGTTTCCATTGAGGAGATATAGCAGAGTTGTTGATAATCTAAAAAAAAGAAAAAATCACATGATGAAAAATGAAAAAAGCATAAGGTAACAGTAGAGCGACAAAAAAAAAAAAAAAATGCAAATTTTAATATCGCTCCCTTGCTTTCCCATAGAGACATAACAGAATTAGCTAGTTGTGTTTTTTCTTTTAAAAGTAAGAATAATGGGTAATGCGTTAATGAAACTCAAAACGGATAAAAATACCTGTCTGTGATTTGATCTAATACTTGGCCAAAGACGGATGCTGAAAAAAAAATATACGCACATATATATATATATATATAGATATGTATAAACTTCGAACGTACAAAAATTTATGACGCGTATGATAGTTTTTTTTTTTTTTTTTTTTTTTTCCTCTTTTCGTTGCACTTACTCTGATTGAACTTCCTTGCTGTCCATCCATCGAATGCATCGAGTATTTGGCTAATGCTGTAAAAAATAGCAAACAGAATGAGACTCTTCCTACAAATAATAAATCCTCCCAGGGCTAATATCACTCTAATGTAGCCTTTAGACAAAAAAAAAAAAAAAAAAAAAAGAATAGGTATGTAAATGTATTCATATAAATATGTATATACATATATGTACATACAGGCAGGGGTACACACCAAAGAAATACCTGTACATATGCATACTACATTTATTGGCCTCTATTTTCTACAGATATTCGTATCATATAGATGTGGTGAAAACACTAATATACATACACACACGCACTCGAATAAACCATGGGATGTTACATTAAAATTCTCAAACGCACACATAAAGTTCTCTCATTTAACCAATTATATTCGGTATATAGAAATACACGTTTTTCTTTTTCATTTTAGCTGATATTCACGTTTTGGCTATGAGGGTTATTTTATTCAAAAATCCTAGATTCTATTTTATTCAATGCTCCTAGGTTCTATTTGATTCTAATGGCCTATATTTTTGTACATTTATTTATTTTTATTATATTTAGCTATCCTCTATGATGGTTGTTATCAGCTGAATGTGTCTCAAACAGTATTGGGAAGAACGTCTGTTTATGTTAAGTAAAGATTTGACACTTTTATAAACTACGGCATGCTTGTATTACATTTACAAATATACAGAGATTACACAAAAGAGAGTTGGTGTTATCATACTCATGTATGCATCATGTATTCACTTTAACATGAAAGTTTAAATTCACATGTGTAAAACAATATGATGTGCCAAAAAAAAAAAAAAAATAAATAAATAAATAAAATAATAAAATAATGAAATAGTAAAAATAAAAAAGGTAAAAGAAAAAAAAAAAAAAAAAAAAAATCTTCTATCTGTTGATTATACGAAATATGATGCGAAACGAAAAAAGAAAAATTGGAAAAGTTTTATACAGATATAATGCCCAATGAATTTTTGGTGAACAAAAAAAAGCTACAAATTATATTTTTAAATGATCTTTTGCTTTTCCTTTTTTTAATAAAAATATTTATATGAATGACAAAATGACAAAATAAATAAAAAAAAAAAAAAAAAAAATTAATTTGTGCTAAGGAAATTGTTCAAAGCACCTCTCTACACATGGATCAATATTTTAATAGAAATCGAGAGCCTGCTTCTGCCTTCCTTCATGTGTATATAAATGCACCAACATATAGGTACAAGTATATTATGAACCAATATACACATATGTGCCCTTCACACGTGAGAGGTGTATACTTAATATGCAGAAAAATATTTGCCTCAGTCACACTACCTCACCGATCCTGCAAATAATTTTCTCCATCTTCTTTCTCTTGTGCATTAAAAAAACACTCAAATAGAAGTTCAATGCCAGATCAACTTCCCTCAATGAATAGGGACTCATTTTGCCTTAAGAAAATGTTTCACCAAAAAAAATAAAATAAAAAACATGTACATGTATCATATGCATTTGTAGTTTCAGAAAACCCCCGTTTTGATGCACTTTTTTCAAAAAAGCAAAAATGCTAAGAACTAAATTATATAAAGCATGAAAAAACAAAAATGTTAGTAAAATAATCACGATTTTTTTTTTTTTTTTTTTTTTGTTCCCCATTTTTCTCCCTTTAAGAAGTAAACATTGTTTATGTACCATCCAAACCCATTTCACAGCACAGCATCATAATGCAGAAAAAAAAAGTTGTTTTATGGTATTAGAAAAACAGACAAAGAGGAAAATTCAAAAGGTAAAAATAGAATACCGGGAACAAGTCTCATTACTGCACATTTGTGACAAGTTGTAATAGAACAAATGGTTAACATGTATTAAGGAAGAGGTCATCCACAAATAGAATAATAATAACGCCATGATTGTGCTACTCAAGACGATAGTAAATAAGAAACATATATACATGTGCATGTACACATATATGTATACACATTTTTTCGCCCCTTGCTAATACTAACTTACATGGGCTGCTTATCACAAGCAAAATAAAAAATACATACATATACAGATACATATATATATATATATATATATATTTAGGGAACAGTGTGTGATGCATCTAAAGGAGTTCCCAGAACACATAATCGCATATATCACTACGAAGTGTGCGATAAAATGCACGTAAAAGAAAACGACAGCGTAATTCTGTACACAGATGAAGAGAACATTGAAATTGTTAAGCTAAAAGGAGAAGGTGGCTTCACAAACAAAAAAGGGACATTTTTACATAAGGATATAATAGGAAAAACATATGGAAGTAAAATATATGACTGTACATGTAAAAGTTATATATATGTATTGAAAAGAACACCAGAATTAATAATAACAGGTTTGAAAAAAAAAACACAAACATTATATGAACATGACATTTCGTTTATCTGCTTACTATGTAATGCTTTGCCCAATGCAAAAATTATTGAAGCAGGAACAGGAACTGGTTGTTTAACATATGCATTAGCTAGTTGTGTGCTACCAAATGGAATTGTCCATACATTTGAATATAATGAAGAAAGATATAGAGAAGTAAAAAGCGAATTTGAAAATTTTGAAGATATTAAAAAGAATATTAAGTTTCATCATAAGGATGTTATAAATTATACTTTTGATGAATTTACATCTGGAGAAATAGATTCTGTTTTTCTAGATATGCCTAATCCATGGTTATGTGTTCATAATGTAAAAAATGTACTAAAGGAAAGAGGCACTTTTGTTATTTTTCTACCTTGCATTGAACAGGTTTACAAAATTATTGATGCACTCGAACAAAACAAATTCAGTGAAATTGTAACCTACGAATTGATAAATAAATCTTGGGAAATTATAATTAATAAGCGTTCCAAACAAGAGACACATTCTAATGTACATGCTTGTCAAGCTGCAAATGCTGATTTAGGAAAAGATAAGGATTTTCCTCAGCAGTCTTTTTTAAACCCAGTTTATAGACTTCGGCAGAAGGAAAACAAAACGCACACTGGGTACTTGACCTTTGCAAAGAAACAGCTTAATGATGAGGAGGAACAAGTGGATATTGAATTCAAGGGACTTTTGGAATGACACTCAGATGGGGCGAGGCGGGAAACGGGACAGCTTCAGATGTTATAGGATGGAGTGAGATGATGTCAAATAAGGTAAAGCAGCTTCAAAAATGTTAAGAAGCTTCAAAAATGTTAAGAAGCTTCAAAAATGTTAAGAAGCTTCAAAAATGTTAAGAAACTTCAAAAACACAGACCATGGTGAAATAAGGCGAGGTGCCTTCAGGTGCAGTTTCCACTCCTTTTGATATCCTTTGCGACTTTCCACCCAAACTCAATTTCCAACCTGTTGTATCGTTTGCTTTTTGTGTTTAACTTCTTTTTAATTTTTGTAAGATTCGCTAAAATTCGCGATATATATTCCCTTTTTTTTTTTTTTTTTTTTTTTGTGATTTATCATGACCCGAATTTTTTTTACCTGACCACGTTATTTATGGTCATCTTAAAATATTAAAAAAATTTGTCCGTGATTGGAAAGAATAAAGTAAGAAAAAGAAAGAATAGTGGGAAAGATAGGTGAGTAAAAAAGAAAGAATCGGAAAAGTGGGCGTCCTTGCGAGGAAAAATTTATGCGGTTCCCATACACACACACAGGCAACTGACACAATAAATACATAATACCTTGCACAAAATGGCAAAAAAAAAAAATAAAAATAAATAAAGTAGCAAAATATAAAATAAAAATAAAGTAAATTCGCAATAGGGGTGACCAATCAATTTTGTCATTTTGATAGACATAGGTTCCCTCTCTGATTATAGTTACGAATGGGTAGTAATGATTAACATATGAACACAATTTTCTTTTTGTTCATTTGTGAGGTGTAGCCTCTGTGTATGCATAGTATAATTTGCACATTTTAATTTGAAGTGTAATTTGCATGTATTACCACTGTAGGGTTAGTGCACTCGAGGCATAAGCTGTGTGTGTATGTGTGTCAGTGCAGGGAGAGTCGGCCACGAACCAAGCGCAGGTAACGACGCTTGTAGGATATTTCATCATTGAGTTTTTTCTTCGTCTTTTTGTCATGTTCACCGGCATGATAATTGTAATTTTTTCTCATTTGAACACGTCTGATGTTAGAATTTAGATTTTCCATGTGTCGTTTCACTTCATACCAATTTTTGTCACCAAGAATGGAAACCAAAATTTGCAACTGAATATCTTCTAAAACGTTGAAACCTATTCTTTCAAGTTTTATTTTTTTTTCTGACTGTTCATACATTTTTGTTAATTTTATAAATTCCATAAAACAATTCAAAGGGCTTCTATTGGTATTTAATTCTCTAGCTATGCATATCCATTCTCGTTTATTATGTTTTTCACACAAGCTTAGCAATTTATCTTTTTCCTCAGGATGCCATTGTTTCTGCTTGGAGTCATCAAAACAACAGTGATATAACCATGTTTTTTGGCATTCTCTTGCTGTCTGCATATTTGTTAAATTTGATGATACTTCATGCCAAAATATGCTTGAAAAATCAGAAAAACTTGTAATTTCTCTATTATCAATTGTGTAATTTTTTAATGCTCCAATTGGACGAGCTGTATCAATATTATAATTGTTATTATCCTTTATAGACAACTTTTGAATTTCATCAAAATGCAATTTAATTTTTGATAAAATGATTTTCACATCATTACTGTTTTCTTCAATTTCTTTTCTTTGTTGTTCTTTCATTTCGTATGGTAAATTCAAATCTATTAAATAACGAATGGCATATTTTTTAGCAACTTTCTCAATTACATGGAACAAATGTTCAATTTCTTTCTTTGTCCATTCATTTTTCTTATATTCATATTTTTTACGATAATTTGTTACACTTAATTGAAATTCTGTAATTTTTAATGCATCCTCATTAGAAGGCACAAAACCATGTTCCTTTTGATAAAACATAGACATGTGTGTTCTTCCTTCTGCCTTTTCCCAATTTATTCTAGTTGGTTTTTTGCTAGCCAAACTTTTTATTTCATTATATGTTTTGTTTATATAATTATTCAGGTTTTCTATATTATCTTTAGTTATTTCGATCAGCTTTTCAATCGTTCCTAACTCCTTCTGAACCTTTTCCTCCAAAATACACAACATTTCCATTTCCTCCAATTCATATTGTATCATATCTCTGTGCATTATATTTTAGTAAGAGGAATGTTCCAACTTTATGATGCACACATTTGATAAGTACGAATTTCAGGATTTTTCTTCTTTGGACCCGAAGGCAGGTACTTAATTAACGTTTAAGTATATATACACACACATACACACAAAAAAAAAAAAAAAAAAAAAAAAAAAATTCTGGGTTCCACACACAGGATTTATACAAAATGAGACCCAAGGAAGAAAACTGCAAAAAAGGCTCTTCATCCCTTGCTGTCCCGCTTAGTGTATATAAAAACATTCTAAGTTAAGCAACTCTAGGGAATATCCCGGACATAGTTAATTCGAACTTGTTCACGAAGCACAGATCGTAATTCACAGTTCACAACTCAAGAATAATATTTTTGTTCTTTTTTGGGGTCAACGTATGAAGCCAATTGACACCATTTATCCGTTATCTTTTCCATAGAGAGATCATGTGGAATAATGTGACTTTTCATTTTTTTGGAAAAGGAAGCCCTTGTATGGAACTTAAAATTGAACAAAACAATATTTATAACATGTTCGTTTCTGTATATGTTGTGCACTTATAAGCGTGGTTATAAATATACATAAGAAATTGTTAAAAAAGGAAAAAAAAAAAAAAAAAGAAAAAGCTCCAACTGAACACCAAATGTTACTAAGCCAAGGGGAATTCATTTAATATCAATGTGGATTTTTATATTTTTTTCTTTCAATGAATTCGTGCAGATGTTCCCACCTATGCTGCGAGATACGAATACATATAAATAAATAAATATATATATATATATATAAATACATATATTGCATGTGTATTATTATTTTATTTTATTTTTTTTTTGTCGTTCCGAGAGTATACTGTACTAAAATTCTCTCCTGGTTGGGACATCAAACGTTTGATGCGTAACCTTTGAAATATATGCACAACTGGCCCCTTGCATTTACGTGTTTGCAATTTTTTTTTTTTTCCAAAAGTTGTTAAAAAATAATGATCCAGTACGTTGTCCAACTTATGCCTTTTTTTGTTGCAAACATTGGGGACGCATTAAAGTTGTATAAGCGTGTGTATATACAAATACATATATATATGTATATATATATATATGTATATATATATATGGTAGCACACATTTTTAGCCCTTTGCCTATTCTTTTGTTCTTTCTCCTTTTTATCATCAAGTGGAAGTTATATAATTCTTCAACGAGTTCGCTAATTTGAATACTCGCTTAGTTGGCTTTTCAGCTGTTCTATATATATATATATATATATATATATATATTTTTTCTGGCAAAATGGTAGACTTTTATATATTCACTTAAAATTATCCACAGGGGGAAAATTGAAACTATACAAAAATTTTAAAAAAGAATAACAGAAACCATGAATGTACCTTTTTTTTTTTTTTTTGAAGAAAGATAAACAATATGAGGTATTTATAAAAAAGAAAGAAAAAAAAGTATTTTATCCATTTCTAATATCTTGCAACTTTTTCGATTTAACAACTTCCTTTAAATATCTAGAAACACATTGAAGCATGTGTGAAGTTTCCTCTATATTATTATGCATGCGTTTTTATGTACTATGGATACAATGCTTTTATGAGCCTTATTTCATATTTGTGGGTTTTATAGGAGTATTCTGTAAGGACTAGTAAAAAAAAAAGAAGAAAAAAAAAGAAAAAAAACCTCACATGTTTATCGACAATTTTCAAATATTTTTACCTTCATGCATTTATCCAAAATTGTGCATTTTTTTGTTTTCTTTTTATTTGCATGTGTACTGAAAAATAAGGACCAAAAGTTAAATACTTTTCCCAACACATATTTTATACACCCCACCCTTGGAAAATATATATTTTTTTTTTTTTTTTTTGGTTTTCTTCTCCTTAACAAGCATGAAATATAAGCAAACAAATTATAAGTGTTGTTTTAAATACCCTCTTTAGTATATATATATATATATCATCCAATTTTATGACAGGTGGTGCTGGCCAATTTTCTACATAAACCAGCACAGCAGTCACTTTTTTTTTTTTTTTTTTAGGGTAAAATACATTTTTGAACTTTGGATTTCATTTAAAGTGCAAAAATGTTATGAGAGTTGTGAAAATAAGAAATGACGATGCTTAATTAATCGTTCACCATGGGTCGCCTAGCCTATAAATACATTCACATATAAGCATATTATATATACATTTGCACGTAAACAAATATGTACTTCTAATGTACATGTACAAATAATCAGGACATACGCATGCTTGCTAATTTTTTTAGTTGATTAAATATATACACTCGTGCTGTGACAAAACAAGGAACAGTGTCGTTTATTGGGACTCATATCAACGGTCTCATCCACTTACTCAGGTATAACCCCTCTAAGGTATACGTTAACGAGTATCAAGGGTTGCGACATAATATACCCACATATTATTTCTTCCCTCCCACTACGAACAAAAAAACGGTGTTTGCATTTATATTTATATATATACTATATATGCGTATGTATATATGTACAAATATGTATGCACAAAAATGTATACATTTTTTACATGCATATTTACATATGAGAATTACCTAATTTTTTTTTTTTTTTTTCCCCCACATAGGAGTATTTCTGTTTTAGTTAAAATATATTTTTAAGAGGAAAACATCAGCACGAAACTATATGTTGATAATGAATTGAATTCAATGTATATGAAAATAACCAACTGAAAAAAAAAAAAAAGAAAAAAAAAGCCAAAGCTAAAGGAGATAGAGAAAAATAAGGGAAAAAAAAAAAAAAAAAAAAAAAAAAAAAAAAAAGAAAAAAAAAAAAAAAAAAAAAAAAAAAAACAAAAACAAAAAGAAAAAAAAAAAAAAAAAGGAAAAAAAAAAAAAAAAAAAAAAAAAAAACACAAGAGGACTATAAAAACAAATAAAACACAAATTAAAATAAATGAAATGAAATTCTTCAAAGTTCGCATGTAAAATTACTCTTTAATCTTAAAAATATTTATACTGCATTTCCTGTACAGGAGAAAAAAAAAAAAAAAAAAAATGCTTACATTAAAAAGTAGCAACTCCTAGTGAGGAACACTTTTGAGGCGGCCATTGCTTGCTGACTCAGCAGGTTCATAAATGTATATATTTGAATCCTGCATCCATTTGAAAACTCTTCTTGTGTATGTATGTATGTATGCACGCATGGACATCTAAACTTCGTATTGCACAGAGAAGCACGACCATAGAACTCTCTGCGACAACTGTTTAACTCCCCGGAGAGGCAAAAACATTTATGTGAGAATTACATAAAATTTTTGTAACATACACAGTTTTGTCATTTTGTCTGTGTACCACTCTACTATTGTGCCATTTTTTTATTCGTGTATTGCTTTTTTTTAGCCTTACCATCCTTCCCCTCGTCTTGTACACGTATACCAAAATACTTTCCATTTCATGATCAACACACGTGCTGCATGAGCATATGATACGATAAACATAACTAATGCATTCTCCACAGTTGTTAGCAAAAATACATTGTAGTTAAGTAAGAGAAGAAATTAGAAAAATAAACAATCCAACAGATGCAGAGGTAGGGATATGACAATTTCGGCGTCTCCAATCGATCGCACCATGTGTCAAACAGCGAAATGCAATTGTGTTAGAATACAATCGTGTTAGAATACAATCGTGTGAGAATACGACCGCGTGAGAATACAATCGTGTGAAAAGGAACATTAATTACAAACACTTATGCCGTTTGTCTGGAAAATTTATGAAGTAGAAACAACTACACATTTGTAGATCATACCCACATTCCTGACCCCCATACGAGTTCCCAAATTTTGATAAAGAAAACCTTCACAATTTTGCATCACGGGGAAAAGAACAATCGAAATAGAATAAAGATACAAATACACGCACATATATATATATATATATATATATATATATATATATATATATATATATATGCATGCTTTTGCCGTATTCACACATCCATTGTTGGAAGAATACACACTTTTAAACATTTCGATCGAAACAAAAAAAAAAAAAAAAAAAAAAGACACGTGGAACAGAAGCATTCTCATCTTTTTATATGCGCTTGGTACAGAAAACCGGATTACCCGGTACTATACACACATATTAATTAGTGCAAGGTTAGGGCACTTTTTACTTATATGCTCTTAAAATAAAATTCTCAAGGAGGTGTTCAAACAATTACAGACATACACACCTATACAATCACACCTCTCAAAGCAAAACAAAAGAGGGGAAAAAAAAAAAAAAAAAAGTGCAAACGGAATCATAGAAACTACAACGCTTGAAGTATACCATGGATGAACTGGAGGTTGCCATTTTGTGTCTATATGGAAATGAAAATGCACAAATCAGTAAAGGAGAAGCGCAAAAGTTCTGTGAAAATTTTCAGAACAGTTCAGAAAGTTGGAAATACTGTATTGCTAAATTTGTAGATTCTAAAAGGTTGGAGATAAAATTCTTTTGCATTCATGTAATTATAGAAAAATTAAATAGTCTAAAAGGAGAAGACTTGATACTTATAAAAAATTCCTTATATACGTATTTGGAAAATAAATATGCTGCCGCCAATGATGACCCTTGTGTCGTTAATAAAATGGTTCAACTTTACTTATCCCTAATAGAGTACCTATACCCAAACAATATGAATGATGCATTTAAATTTATCATAAATTTAATTACAGTAAATAATGATGTAAATGTAAAAACTTTGTATATAAATTTTTTTTTAAAACTAATGAATATGCTAGATACAGAATATATAGATAATTCATATTCAAAAAAATGCATTCAAGTAGTAACGAATTTGAAAGAGACAATTAAAAATAATGATTTACCAATTATCATTGAATGTTTTTATTTTATAATGAATTTGAATGTGGAAGAAATTAGTGCATTGAGTATATTTACTCTTTCCAAATATGTAACGTGGATAGATGTAAATTATGTGGTTAATGACAAAATACTTGCATACATCTATCAGTGTATCAATGTGCATAATAATTCCATGACAGAAGCAAGTTTTCATTTATTAACAATCCTAGTACGTAAAGGTATGAATCCTGTAAATAAAATTCAGTTTATAGAAAATATAAATATAATATATATCCTTCAAAATATTCCGAAAATTATGGACATTTCATACGATGCAAACCAAAAAATTATGTTAAAAAAAGGAGAACTCATAAACCACATTTGCCTGGAACTGGTAGAATCTATTTATGAAATTAATAAACTCAAAGACTTTCCTCTTAACAGTTCTAAATATAAAGAAATATGTGACAAATCAGCCAATTTATTATTTCAAGTAGTACCACAAGCTCTGGATATTTATGCTGTTGACGATTTTTCTGTAGCTAGTACTGTTGAGAAGTTTTTTAGTCTTCTATTCACAAAATTTAAAACAGTTATGGATTCTACAACATCCACTGAAAGGACAGTTGGAATTAACACTAATGGATATAAAATTCCACAGGAAAAACTAAATCTTTTTATTGATACTTTAATTTTCACAACAGTTAACAAATTTCAATTTCCTTCACATATTGAAGAATTATATGATGAGGAGAACGAAGATTTTATTGCATTTAATACATTTCGAGAAAATATAGAAAAATTGTTCCAGCGTTTAATACTCTTTAATAAATTAAAAACTATTGAAATTATCAAAAATGCTATTATATATCTAAATGAGAATTTTGCTAATCTCAAATGGAACACTATAGAATCAACTTTATATGCCTTTTATGTAACTACTTCTATTTATAGTGAATATAAAGGGAATACAACACAAGCGACAACAAATACTTCTAGAGATAATGTCACAACAGGAGCTGTAACATTAAGTGGAAGAATAACTGGTTTATCATCTTCCACATGTATGGGAAAAGGAGATGCAAATTCAAATATGCAAAAAGATATGCAAGACCTGCAGAATAGCGAATATAACGATTTACTTTTTAACTGCTTAGTAGAATTATTAAAAAATGGAAAAATTGTAAATTGCAATAATAGTCTTATAAACATAAATCTTATGGAAATATTTCAAAGATTAAATTTGTTTTTTATTAAAAATCCACAATATGTAGAATATTCTTTACACGTATTTATCACAAACGGTATTAGAAGTAGCAAAAATAAAGTTATTAAAAAATCGGTACATATTTTTAAGAAATTCCTCAGAACTAATTCTTCTGTAATAACCAATTACATGAAAGACATCCTTCAGATGTTGGAGGGATTCTTAGAAATTCCATGTGCATATCAAGGAATCAATAATAAAAACACATCCAGCAGCAACAGTAGCAATGTAACAAATACCTTGTCTGACATTCTAAGTTATGATCAAGATAATATAAAATCCATATACAAATACCTCTACGCCCATGTGAATTATACGTATGAAGATCAAATCGATATCTATGAAATTGCTGGTTTGTTATTACTGCACTATGATTTTACAAGAGGAAAAAGAACAACCAAAGGAGATGTCAATGACCATGGGCAGATTCTCCAGGGTCAAGGAATGCAAAGTGGAGGAAGAAATAGCCATTCCAATGTAAACTTCAATCAAACAGACAACATGAATAGTATGAACAATGCAAGTGGTGCAGAAGGTATGCTTAATTCGAATATGCAGAATAACTTTACAGATCTAAATACAAGAAATGAAAAGATAAATGAACAAATTATTCCAAATTATAAGGACAGAATTTTTTTCTTCAAAGGGATATTAAATAAGCTATTAGAAAATCTAGCTAATATAAAAAATGTATATATGAATTCACCCAAATCACAATATGATATTTTATGTTTAAGCTTTACATGTAGTGTCGTTATAAAATGTATTGGTGCACTATGCAAAAATGTAAATATTAACATGACTGATGAACTCATAAATGATCTAGATAATACTTTAGGAATTATAATAAGTGAAGCATTAGAATTATTTTATAAAAATTATATAGTAAGAGATTCTGTGTTGTATACGTACAGAATTTTATCTAACCTTTTTAAGGAACTTTCTCTAAATTATACGACCAAAATTTTACCTTACTTTTATAACATATCTTATAATATGATAATAACGAAATTGCAAAAGAGTAATAATATTAGCGATAGTAAAATGCATGGTAATACTTCTATATCTTCCCAGCTTAATCAGAACAATCAGAACCCATTATTTAATTTTAATATGATGACCCCAGCATCTTATCAATCAATTACAAACGTATCAACAAGTGAATCTGCAGCTTGTTTCACCAACTCACAAGAAGAATTAAAATATTTGTATAATGAACTAAATGAATTGAGTATATTAGTATGCCATTTGATATCTACCTATAAGGAGAAATCTTACGACACATTTGTAAAGCCATATATAAATAATATTACACAAATATACCTTACTATTTGGAAATGTATAATTGTTCAATCGTTAGAAATGCAGAGAGAACAAAATTCTGTATTATCTCCACTTATATTAATATTATATAATATATCACTTAATATTCCATCTTCAATTCATAATTTTGTTTCATTTGATCTTATTGCACTGAATCATAAGGAATTTTGTCAATTTTATCCCAATGATGAAATTATTAAGTCAAAATGTGCAGAAGCAATTACAAGTATTTTACTTGTCTCTTTAAATTACAGCAATACTTACGATTTAAGTATTTGTCTCTACGCCATTCAGACTATATCCAATATGTTAAACAATGCAACATGCCTTCCAAATGCACAGGAGGTATGATAACTTGATTTGGATTCACATTCTATTGATCTTCATATTTTTTTTTTTTTTTTTTTTTTTTTTTTTTTTGGCATTGATCATGATGATTTTTTTATGCCCTCACCTACTGAGCCACCTTTTTGCTTTCTCTCTTTTCAGGTACTCAACAAATATCCGCTCGTTCAGATTATAGACTCCTTGTGCATAACATTGAAGTCCCTTGATTATTCGGACCCAAAGAATAAGAGGGTTATACAGGCATGCAAGCGAATACATGATCATACGATCGTATGCGTACATGTGTAGATGAATATCTAGATGCGCACACATATAGATGCATATTAGCACAGATGCACATGCAAACTTACGTATAATTCCATTTCTCCATTTCAGATAATCCAAGAAATAATGAGTACCTTTCGATTATTCTGTGGGTTCAAAGTGAACGCAAATTGCTTACCCAGCAAAGTATTAGAAAATGCACAAATGTGTTTGCAGAATTCCCTTCTCTCAGTCTTTAGAAATAATCGAAATGACATAGGAGTGTTGCTACAGGTAAGTTTGGGTACATGAATTATTTTAATGCTTTTTTTCCCCAACTTATTTGCTGTGTGTATGCTACTGAAAGTGGGTGAGGGGAAACCCGTACATGCATTATATTGAATTACCATTACATGGCATGCGTAGATGATGTACCCACACTATGCTTATTTATTTACATCTTTATTTATGTCATTGTTTATTTACGCCTTTATTTATGTATTTATTTTTTTAATTCCTGGTTTAGGCAATCAACGCGAACAATCAGCAGCAGTTCAGACAAATTTTGTCAAATTTTGTTGCATAAGGGTAGAGAAGGACACAGTATAGCAGTAATAATGGAAAGCAAAATGTACAGACAAAATGACAAGCAAAATGGCAGGCAAAATAAAAATCATAATTGCATCAAACAATAAGAAACAAACAACAAGGCACTAAGCAGCAGGAAAAACGCACGAACACACACAAGAAACTAAAATATTGCACGTATGCAATGTTTCCAAAAGCCCAGAATGCAACTTTGTCTCATTATTGCATGTAGCGTTCATGTAAAGAAGAAATAAAACAATAAAAATGAAAGAGAAAGAAAAAATAAAAAAAGAAAAAATTCACCTTTTAATATTCAAAAAAAAAATTATGAAGTTAAAAAAAAAAAAAAGTGAAAATTTAGGTATATTTTCACACCTGTTTGATACATAATTTAGAAACTTTTGACAACTTATGAATTTCTTTACATGTGTATATTATAACTCCATTTTTACGCCAGTTTTATGACAACTTTTTTTCTTCTCCTTCTTCATATTCTCTTTTTGTGTACGCTGTATTTTTTTATTCTCCTCCATTCATTCCCCTTTTTTTATGCAACCGAATTGCCTATACCCTTAATGTATCAAAGTAAGGGTTACTCAAAACTGCTCCAATTTTTAATCGTTCATTTGGATTCCTTAAAATAAAAAAAAAAATAGAACAGATAGATCAGATAGATCAGATAGAACAAATAGAACAAATAGAATAAATAGAACAAATAGAACAAAATAAAACAGTGTAATTTCTTTAAAAAGACATTGTGAAAAAAAAAAAAAAAAAAGTATAATAATGAAATGCCCTCACGTTGTTATACACCTCTATAAGTTCAGTGTAATAATATCTACGCACTCCACATTGTTCGAATGTAGCTAACCATTTCAAAAGACCATCCACAATTTCAATTAGCTCCTGTTCACTGCAAAAAAGAAAAGCATATCATTTTTTCTATTTTTTTTTTTTTCACTTTATTTTATTTTTTTATGTTTCAAAATTTATACATTTGCCAACTTGCATAAGTGCACCTTCATACTTTTCAAACTTCTGCCACATCATGAGTTACATAAAAAAAAGAAAAAAAAAAAAAATCACTTTTTGTAAAACCCCTAAACCTTGGGTGAAATCCTTTTTTGTTTATTTTTCACCTTTCCTCCAATACATCCCCCAGAATGGTACTCCATGACAAAGACCGAATTTTTAATCCACACAATTCCTTAATAAGTCTATTCTGAAAAAAATCGGGATGGGTAGAAGTATCCAAATGGTGACGTGATGACGTAATGACGTGATGGCGTAATGACGTAATAACGTGATGACGTAATAACGTGATGACGTAATAACGTGATGACGTAATGACGTGATGACGTAATGACGTAATGACGTAATGACGTGGTTTAGTATGCTAAATAAAGAGGAAAATTTTATCTGAGGAAAGCCCACAATGATAAAACAAATATATTACGTTCTTGTTACTAGTTCGATCCTTTATAGTTTCGTAGAAACTCCTTAAAAGAAGGGGAAAAAAACGGGGAAATGAATAATTTGTATAAAATATAAAATAATTTAATTTAAGCGATTATTTCACTTTGAAAAAAATTTTGGTCCTATGTAAGGAGAAAATGTTTATTTTATTTTATTTTATTTTTTTCTTGCATCAGTTATACATTCGAGGTGACCCTAACACTTCAATTAAATTTATTATCTGTGAACACTCTTCTGAAAACCTTTCGAAAAAAAAAGTAAGAAAGAGTAATATTACTGATTTCATAAATGATAATTACAAATATATTTTGTCATTAAAAAAAAAAAAAAAAAAAAAAGAAAAAGAATCCACATGTTCAATTTCGAAAATTTGCTACAACTCGTCCTTTTTGAACTTTCCCGGAAATAGTGGGCACAGGTTTATCAGCTCAAAAATAATACATCCTAAAGCTGTAGTAAAAAAAAAAAATAATACAATAAAGGGAAAACAAAGGATGCAAAGAAAATTCTTAAAAGGCTTCCATTTCTTAGGAAAAAACATAATGAAGAAAAAAGAGACTAACACCATAGGTCCACGTCTGTCTATAAATTCGTGAAAAAGTGCAGTGGTGAAAAATGTCTAAAAATAGAGATTACTTAAAGGGAGTAAAATTGGATTGATGGAATTATAATTGATCCAAAAAAAAAAGAACCGAGCAAAAACACAGATCATCCATGAAACACAAATATGTATTCCCATACATAATATTCTTATTTTAGCATGCATATCCTGAAATAAAAACTTCAAAAAAAAAAGAATGTAAACGAACCGTGTAATACATGGAACCGCACAGCAATTCAGGCGCTCGATACCATCTAGAGCATATGTAAGGAATAGAGATGATATTTTCTTCCACTTTTTTTGCAGATCCTTCAGAATAGTAAAAAAAAAAAAAAAAAAAAAAAAAAAGCGAATTTATAAAATATGATAAAAAGGAAAAAATGCAAATGTCTTATTGTTCTTTTTTTACCCAAATCACATATTTCAACTTTAATTGGGGAAGAGCTAATATCGACCTTTAAAGTGAAAAAAAAAAAAAAAAAAAAAAAAAAAAAAAAATGAAAAGCATTCTGTATATACTTGTTGTTAATTGTTTGTTTTCTTGATTACACGTCAGTACCCATTACTAAATGGAGTATTATATCAATTTTTTATTATTACTAATATGTTGTCTGGCTTTAAATCTCTGTGTGCGAAATTGTGCTCATGTAAGTGCTTGATTCCTTGGCAAATCTGACTAAAAAGTTGTGTTGTATATCAAAAGTGAATGTCAAAGGGAAGGAAGAGGAAAAACAGGTGGATTAAATTGTTTTGGGATTATTTGTGCATTTGTATAGGCCCGTGATTAATTCATTGTGATATCCTACATATGAAAACACATATAGGAAGTGACATAAGCACAACACGTGATTGTATCTCCATCGAAGGTTCATTCGTTTTTTTTTATTACTATATGATGCTTTTCAAGTCAGATGGTGCAATTCTGTTATACCTGAGATGGGGAGAAAGAAGGCTAATGTGTAAGATGCCGTCATTCCCTTTTTGAAAACACACAATTCCTCATGAAAATAGAAAATTCGTGTGCTCTTCATTGGAGTACAGGCAACTTGAGAGGAATACCAGTTATTTAACGTTATTAGTGGTAGTACAGGCAGAAGTAGCGACAACAGTAGTAGCAGCAACAGTGCTTCATTTTTTTTTTTTTTTTTTTTTTTTTTACTTACTTATTCTCCCTCCTTTCCTGCTTCTTAAATCTAATGAACTTCCCCAAACTGTAAGTCATATACTTAAATACAATGTTCTGGATTCGAAATCCCTTTTCCGTGGTGGTGTAAAATATGGACTTTATTTTTATTATGTTTTCGCTGTGCTTCATTTTTTTGAGCAAGTCAACTTCCCTCGAGACTTTATTCCTCCTTATTATAAAAGGTGCAAAAAGGGGATATGTTGGTGTGTGCAGTTTGTCCATTTTTGCCCAATATATATACATATACATATATATATATTTATGTTTGTGTGTGCGCATAGACTTATATCCTGAGCACAGTCTGCCATACTACGTAATTAAGGGAATTCATTTTCATCGAGAAAATGACTCATAATATATATGCATGGTTGTTATATATTATTCCCCACCCCCCATGTGGAGGTTCTTCCATTTCGCTCGTACCACTTGGGAGATCGCTTAATCGCGACAATTTCCTGTGTGCAGAGGTCAATGGCATAGTAGACTTTTCCAAACGTTCCCTTTCCAATAAGTTTGACTAACTTGTATTTTGGATCATTCTTCCTGAAATTTTTTATTTTATTCATTTTTTCTACCTCAACGAATTTAAAGAATTTTCTATGTGCGCTTTGGAGTGTGCATATATGTCTGCATAAAATTTTCACTCTTTTAATTTTCCTGTATGTATATATATATATATATATATGAAAACTAAACCGAAATGGATTCCAACTTATGCAGAAGGCAGGAATACATCGTATACAAAGGAGCCAATTTTGTCATGCGGGGAATTATCACAAAGCATGAAAAATGGTAAAAAAGCAAAAAAAAAAAAAAGAACGAAAGAAAGAAAGAAAAAAAGAAAAATTTTGGAAAAGACAACAAATTGATTGGTCAAATGATTTCAATATGATTACATTGTGAAAATTTCAATTCAGACTTCGCTCTACACTCTATCTCCAAATTTTAAGGTTAGTAAAAAGATAAAAAAAAAAAAAAAAAAAAAAAAAGATAAATGACAAAATGGGGAAGAGAAGTTAAGAAAGTAAACACTACAACAGACATGATCCGAGTCATAACTTTATATGTAGGTACATAAAAAGTTTAAAATATTTTCTATCCCTGTTTTTTTTTTTTTTTTTTTTTTTTTTTTTTTGGCCATCCCAATTTTGTTAGCAATACACTAAAAAAAAAATCTATATTTATGTTCCCTCTCTTTGTAATTTTTTTCACTCATTGATTTTGGTTAAATTTTATTTTTATTAACATATCTTCCATATGAACATGCACACGTTTAAGCTGAAACTCATGCTGCTTTATGAACGTGAATGAGAACTCTATTACAATAGAGAATAACTTTGTTTTCTTTAATTTTACAATTTCTTAGACAAAAAAGAATGTAATTGACAAGTTTCGATGAACACATAGAGTACAACAGAATGGGGTCTAAAGAAATGTGTTTAATTCTTGGAGTGTCAAATTGGTCTGAAGAATTGTGTTCACTCCTTCAAATTTTTCATTCCAAATGGATATAAATGTGTATAGGACAAAAAAAGAAAAAATGAAAACCGAGAAAAGGGTAATAAAATTATTTTCATCTGGTATGCATCCTTCTCTTCTCTTCGTTTCGTGTTTTTTTTTTTTTTTTTCCAACTTGACATTTTATTGCAATTAATTTATTTGTATGTTTTCACATGTCCTCATTTTGGATGCACATGAGGAAAAACTATGACGTTCAATGATTTCACCCAGATGACAATAAGCATCAAAAAACGTTTAGAACGTGTCACATGAGAATTACATCTCACAGAACTATCACTCACAGGACTTCCTCTCAAACAATTAACTCATTTTCTGGCAATAAAATTATAACAAATATGGTTTATACATCTGCATAATAAGTTTTATGAACAATACGGTAAATGACAATGGGTCAAGCGGAGGAATTTATTATTTACTCATTTATGAGTGTGAGATACTAATCATGTTCCAAATTTTGTAACATAATGTAGTTTTTTCTTCGTATCTCGAAATAAAGAACATAAGATAAAAATATATCAATATGATAGATAGTATTAATTAGTTCCTGTACTATGTTTACAACTCCAGCGATAGCACTTTATGTTAAGACCAGAAAACAAATATAAAGTGGAAAATTTAAAAAAAAAAAAAAAAAAAAAAGGTGTGATTTATAGAGGTATTATTTTTTTATGTTTTCATACATATGAAAAAGGGGCATATTTAGAATTTTTTTTTTTTTATCTTGTAATATATTTGCTATTTGCAAACGGCTTGTACATGTACGTGTATGTGCTTTTATTTCATTTTCGCAATTTTATTTTTTCTATTTTCCACAAGGAAAATATAACAAAAATTGGAACTAAACATAAGTTTTGACAACTACGTATAATTGTCCTTGGAAGCACAGTCCAGTAGTGTGCATAGATCATATATATGAAAGAGAAGAAGGAAAAAAAAATGTGTAAAGAGGTCATATGAAATAAAGCAATTTGAAATAGAACAATTTTTTTTTTTTTTTTTTTTTTTCTCTCCTTTTCTTCTTCGCTTGATGGGAGTTCTAAGCTTTAGTGAATATCACGTGGCTTTTTGTGTAGGAAAAATAGGAAGAGATACATAAATGCAACATGGCACAAAGGTATGTAGGGTCATAATGTCACTGAATTGTGAAAAGTTCTTGTTTTTTTGGGATCGACAAGTTTTGTAGCAATAACATAGGTACTATACATACTACTGCATGTGAACACAATGTGTGCATATAAAGGTAGTATTAGTTGTAGCACAGCATTTATGTGTTCGTGGCATGCAATCTTTCAACTTTCAATATTGTAGCAATGTAAAAAACCACAACAGGTATTATATTGTACTTTTTTTTTTTTTTTTTTTTTTTTCCATCTTTTGTTCAATAAGTACAGAAATAGAATTTCACATTATACATATATGCAAATGTGTATATCATCGTTCCATATAAACTTATCACATAATAGAGGGGAAAATAAATAAATAAAAAAAAAAAAAAGAAAAAAACACCTTTGTGAATTAAAAACGAAATCATTTTGTGAAACATGTATGAAAGAAAAAGTCGCAAATGAAGAATAAAAAAAAAAATTTCCTTATTTTCAAATGGGTAATACATTCAACTGTTATTGTGTTTAATCGTTTTTTCTTTGCCATATTGTGTTGCATTTTTTTTTTTTTTAAATTTCTTGTTTTTTCACGTTTTTTTTTTTTCAAGCTTTTTATTTCCAAGTTACTTCTTTTCAAGTTTTTTTTTTTTTTTTTTTTTCCCAACTGAATGTTAATAAAAATTATGAACAGTCAGAACATTTTGGCCTTTTAATCTTTTCTCATTCTTATAGCTTGTGTGCCAACCCTTATTTATTTTTTATTTTTTTTTTTTTTGCGCACGCACTTTTATATGATACTGTTACACTTTTTCAATCATAGATAATTATTTTTATTCTTATATAATATATAGATTAACATTTGAAGAGAAAAAAAAACGTATAGGAGAACTTTTTGTGGAGAATATTTTTGTTCATTGTGTGTAAGTATATTTTTCGGAGAGAAAACATTAGAAAAATTCCAATAATCACGCCCATAAACTTGATCACATATTTTGTGTTTACGTAAGCATATTTACAAATGCATATTCCCACCTGATTATTTTCTTACATGACTATATATGTGTAAGTATACACCAGATTATGTAGATCCTATGTACACTCTTTAGAAAGAATGTTATAATGAGAAACCATGTGAGTGGTGGAAACCTCTATAACTTCAATTCATGTTGGACTCCCTTCACACGCATGTACGATTTTTCCCTTCATTTCCAATAAGCATGTATGGCACATAATACATGTGCATGTAAAAGGTACGTACGAATATGAGCGCGCACAAATATATAAATATGCATCAGTGTATTCGCCACACTTAAATAAATGAAATCCCGTTGAGAATATCATATGGTCTAGAAAAATCATGCAACTCACAGAAAAAGAGGAAGGAAATAAAAAAAAAAAAAAAAAATAGTGCACATACATATATATATATATGTAATAATAATATATATATATATGTAAACGTGCTAAGAATTGCACGTATCAATCAGGGCTAAGGGGAATAAGCAGGTGGAATAAATTATGTGCACGAAAAAAATACGAAGTTTATAAATTGTACACATGCAGAGAGACTATAAAATGTGAAAAAAAAAAAAAAAAAAGAAGCAAACCTTCTTTATTAATAAAAAAAATAATAAATAAATGAGGTTTGCCTTTTCGTGCAACACTCGTTACAACTTCCATTTCGAGGAACATTCGGACGTCTCCACAATTTGTACATGTAAATTCTGAATTGCCTCATGGATGGTCAGGTATTCGGTATATTGCTTAATCGAACACCTTGTGTGTAAGTGTAAAATTTCCAAAATAGTCTCTGCTTCGTCTTTTCTTTGTCTCACGTGCCCCCATCTTTACGCACAAATCCAAAATGAACGTAGAAGAATACAGACACCAAGTTGGAGGACATTGCAAATTGATAAAACCAAAGGATTCATCAAAAGTATACAAACCATTAATCGAAAATGAATATATTTTTTATGAAAAGTTAACAAAATTTGGCGCCTCTTCTGCAGAATCAGGGCCGTTACATATTTTAAAAAAATTTATTCCTAAATTTTACGGGGTAACAGAAATCGTCGTTGAATATTCCTCATCGTCCGAAGTGGAAGATAATTTATTTAACAAAAAAAAAAAAAAAAATGAAAAAGCGGGGGAAGCAGATGTAGAAGCAGAAGTAACGGGAGAGGAAGAAAGTAGCCATAATGGTGGAAAATATTTAAGTTTTGATGGACACGAAAGTGCACAAAAGAATCCGGAATGGCAGAAGACGGACGAGTCCACAGGAGCGAGAGAATATGGAGATAAAAAAAAATCACAGGAGGTAAATAAAACATTTGATGAAGGAAAAGCCCCTGTGGAAGAAGCGAACTGGGATATTTACCGAACGTATGAGAAAACAAAAAATGAGAAAAAAAAGCAAAATAAGGAACTGATAAAAATTAAGAAAAGAAAGAAGTATATACCGCATATAGTCTTAGAAGATTTGGTATATGGATTTAAAAGACCATGTGTATTAGACATAAAAATGGGAAAAAGACAAAGAAAGATAGGAGCATCATTAGAAAAAAGGAAAAGACAAGTAGAAAAAAGTTTTAGAACAACTAGCCATTCATTAGGATTTCGATTATGTGGTTGTCAACATTATAACAAAATAAATGATAAATTATTTTATAAAGATAAATATTGGGGTAGAAATTTAACAAAAGAAAATATTCCATGGGCTATTCGAAATTGGTTCTGGAATGGAAGTTTATTGTATGATGAATTGATTCCATTACTTCTTGAAAAATTACATCGATTTTTTAATTGTATAGTTGAATTACGGCATTACAGATTTTGGTCTTCTTCTCTTTTATGGGTATTTGATGGTGGATTGAGTGATAAAAAAGCAAGATCAAATTCGTTAGATATACGAATGATCGATTTTGCAAATACAATTTATTTACAAGATAATCCATCTGTGGATGATGAATATATATTTGGACTTAAAAATTTAATTCATTCTATGCAGATTTTAAACAATACAATTCACAGTATGCAGTTTCTACCCCATGAAATTAATACTTGTTTTTATTCAGAAAATTATAAACTTACACGAAATTCAAATCGTCCAATTTTCAAAAAATCAAATTCTGCCATTTTTGAAGAAAATGAAAGAAAAAAAAAAAAAAAAAAAAAAAAAATTGTATACGTAAATTTTGATTTTTTAAAAAATACAAATGTAAGACGAAAAAGAAATAAATTATATTCAGGAAACATGATAGGTGCATTTTCTGCAGAATTAGCAACCACCTTGTCTATCGGAGAGTCACAAAAAGGGACAAGTGACGATGGGTTAACATTTTACTACATTAACAAATTTACTAGAAAAAAAAAAAAAAAAAAAAAAAAATTGAATCAAATGCAATATATGAGCAACTCAGATTGTCCAATCACAAATGATTTGATTTTCTCTCCATATAGCAATCCGGTAGTCATATTAGATGACGATCAGAAAAATTTTAATGATTTTCTAGATGAGCCTCTCTCAACAAATATTTTCCCATACCCTATGTTAAATTTTCTCGAACAGAACAATTCAAACACCATTAGACAAGTTAGACAGAACTCCAATCTGATAATCACTCCTGTACCATTTTCTAATGTCGATAACAAGGATGATAATCCAGCTTCTGGTAAACTTCTTGACAATGTTGAACTCTTAGAAAATATGAATATCCGAATGCTTAACGAAAAAGGAAATTTTCACAAGTTGGATAATATAAAGAAGTTAAGAGCACATCAACTGGAATTGGAATCACATCGAATGGATGATTATACGTATAACCCATTTAGAGGTAGTTCTATGAGGAAGAAAAATTCTGTTGATGTTACAGATTCAGATGGGAAAATAAAATATACATATCACACATGTGAAGCCGAATATCCAGAGAAGATGAAGAAACGAAGCAGTAAAAGAAATTGGAATGAAACAACTGAGAATGTAAAAATAGATAATTTCACAGAAAGAATAAAAATCGAAGGGCACAAAAATGAACCTATTTTCACTGATCAGGTTACTACTATGACACATAAGAAAAATTTGGGATATTACAAACCTGACACAAATGATTCAAATATAGCTAGCAAACAAAAAAAATTATTTTTGAAAAATAAAAATGGAAATAAAAATTTCATCGATCTAGTCAAAGAAGAAACAACAGATGCAATAAACAAAAAGGGAAAAATTATCCAAAACAAACATTACCAAAAATATATGAACAAATTAGAGGAAAAATATGCATCTGATTCTAAAAATGCAAAGATGAATGTTTTGTTATTTCAAAATAATGAAGACAAGTCTAGCATATCACGAAAGGGAAAATTATTTAAAAAAAGCAACTCAGGGATGAAGTATAAAAACAATTCACATGAACAAATTATCCACGATGTTATAGTAAAGACATTGAAAGTTGCATCTAGAATTAGTGTAGATGAACAAACCAGGAGTACATTCATTACCCATGAGAATCAGCCATATGAAAAGACAAATCAGGTAAATATTAACGAACGTAAAAGTAAAGGAAATGCACATTTTAATAATGATGAGGAAAAAAAAAAGGAAAATATGTTTATAAACTCCAATAATGCAGCTGGGAAAATATTAAGTTACAAACATGAGTATACCTCTGCAGATGAAGCATATCAAAATACAGTTGCACAGAATGAGAACGAACACAAGGATCGAGCGAGTAACAGATGTGATTTTATAAATCAGTTTGGTGTGAATGAATTGTTCAATTCGGTTGTCCATGTCCAGGTTCCGGAAAAGGAGGAGAAACGGGATGGAAAAAAACATGGAGGAAAGGTGGAAGTGGCAGACGGAAAAGAAAAGGTAAAACAGGACGAGACAACACAATGCGCATATGTTGAAAAACACCAACAAAGGAGTTTGATGTATAATATGAAGAAACACTGGGAGAATCAGAGAAGCAGAACAAGTTGTGGAAATATACAAAATCATTCTTCACTCAATGAAAAAAAATTAGACCTGCTTAGCAGAAACATAAACTTGAAATTGTTCATTAATCATTCGATTAATACAGAAATAGGGGAAAGAAAAAGAAAGAAGGAGGAACACTATTTTTTCCCTTTTACCAAGGATAAAAACAAATTGAATTTCCAAAGTGTGAATAATGATTACTTCTCCGATGACAACAAGGACACAGTTCAAATTCAAGAAAAGTTTCAGCGCTTGCAAGGGGTGCATGGAGTCAACAGAATGGACAGAGTAAGCCGAATCAACAGAAGAAAAGAACATAGAATTAATAACATTTTTGCAGAAACAGGAAGGGGCGAACTGATGCCAAATCATAGCGCACTGTGCATGGAAAACAGCTTCAGCTACAACTCCGATTCAGGTATAATTTATAATAGAAGCTCAAAGGAACATGATATGAAAAAGACACAAAAAAAAGAAACAGAAACGATGTATAAAAGATGCAGCTCTTGTACAGATATACTACTAAACATAAGAAAAGGAAAAACAAAAAACAACAAAAAAAAATATATTAAAAAAAATTTTTTTAAAAAAATTAACTTTACATCCAGAATGAAAAAAGATATAATTAAAACATATAAAAAATACATATTTTTTAATTACACTACCCATAGTAAACATTGCATTACACCTATGACTGATCATTCACAAAGGCATGATCCTACTTATCATATATCAGACGAATTTAACCTTTTTAACATAGAGTATGAAAGCAACCGATTTGTTCACTCTGTTGCAAATCAAAGGAACACACAAAAAAGACAAAAAAGACAAAAAAGACAAAAGATGCAGAGCATATTCAACAATCACAACATGATAAATAACAATTTCCCTTGTAACCAATTTAGGGAAAAGAACCTCATAGTACCACTAGCAGATACGAACCAGAATTATAAGTATCTTCGAAGATCTCTATCTGAACCAAATTTCTACAAATTTGGATACTTCAGGTGTGTGCTTAACGACTTTTATGGTACCAAGATTAATTATGATAACTTAATTAAAAATAGATTAGATAAATCCAGTAAGGTTCCTATTTACAATCAGATATATGGATTTACGTCCAATTCAAGTGATATGGATTCGTCAGAGGCATCTTCTAGCTACTAGTTTTACCATTCGCATTAGACAAATTATTTTAGGGACTCATATGCAGATGCATTAGAATCCACTCAGGAATACCAAATGAAAATTCTTTTACACGAATGCATAATTTTGCAAAAAAAATAGACTACCAACATAAGCAATTTTTTTTATATGCGTAGAAATTTATGCCACCATATGTATGTTTTGTTTGTTTTGTGTGATTATTGTACACCACCTATCCATCCGGATTATCGAACGAATTTGTGCTTGGCGCATTTTTGTAAATTATATATCTCTACGTTTTACAACACTCATATTTATTTACTCCTTTTTATCTCATTTTTTTTTTTTTTTTTTTTTCTTAATCAGCTTTTTAGTGTACTTTTTTCTTGTCAAATTGTGAAACTTTTTTTTTTTTTTAGCATTTTACCAAATGGTTTTATTTTTTTTTTTTTTTTTTTCAGTTAAATTTTTTTTTTTTTAATTTTTTTTTTTTTTTTTTTTTTTTTGCTTAATACAAAAATTTTTTTAGGAATTTTTTAATTCTTTAAGAGAAGTTCCCTTCTTTTTCCTTTTTTTTTTTTTTTTTTTTTTTTTTTTTTTTTTTTTTTTTTTTTTTTTTTTTATTTTTTTTTTTTTTTTTTTTTTTTTTTTTAAATTTTTAATTTTTTTTTTTTTTTTTTATTTTTCCAAATTGTTTTTTTTTTTTTTTTTTTTTTTCAGTTAAATTTATTTTATCTTAATTTTTTTCTTTTTTTTTTTTTTTTAGCGTAATACAAGAACTTCTTTAGGAAGTTTATAATACTTTAGAGAAGTTCCCTTCATTTTCACTTTTTTTTTTTTTTTTTTTTTTTTTTTTTTTTTTTTTTTTTTTTTTTTTTTTTTTTTTTTTTTTTTTTTTTTTTTATTTTTTTTTTTTTTTTTTTTTTTTTTTTTTTTTTTAATTTTTTTTTTTTTTTTTTTTTTTTTTCATTTAAATTTTTTTTTTTTTATTTTTTTTTTTTTTTTTTTTTTTTTAGCGTAATACAAGAACTTCTTTAGGAAGTTTATAATTCTTTAGAGAAGTTCCCTTCATTTTCTCTTTTTTTTTTTTTTTTTTTTTCAACTTATATAACCCCGCTTCCACTATTTTTTGTTGTGATTTTTATTTTAAAAATAATTAACAAAACAAAACCATTTAAAAAGTTGTTTAACTATGTGTGACGAAGAAGAAAATTATTTCTGTGAAAAGCTGTTCAAGCGAAAAATTGCAGAAGTACGAATATATACCCACCTTAAGAACACACGGAAAATTCCCCCCTCCTTCTTTTCCATTTTAATATCATTTGGGATGTGTGCTGAATGAATACGAAAGTTAAACATATAGTATATATTACTTTCATATTCCATTCAACGCTGCATTCATTTTTTGAATTATTCTAATAATGTTGACTGTATTACATTTTCGTGCACACACACAAATGATTTTTTTTTTTTTTTTTTTTTTTTTTCCTTTTCACTCTGACGCATTTATGTTACAAATAGGAGAAATGACAGGTTTTAATGTAGGTAGTTTTTTTTTCTCTCCATTTTTCGAGAACATTTCGAAAAGGTCCCAAACGATAGGCTAAGTTATCGTTAGCAAATATTTAGTCAAATGTTAATCGGATTGATTGGTGGAAAAATATCACCGCACAATGACACATAGAAAAATACACCTCTTAGCTTTCAAATTAATGCACGTGCTTATTTTCATTAGCTCATATTAACTGGGATAATTTGAATGATAATGGTAAATTTACTTGGCTCCATTGAATTAAATGTTGATCAACTTTGCATTTTTCGTCAATTATTTTTTAATATTTGGTGTTTTTTTTATTTTTATTTTTTTTTTTTCCCCTTATATTTACTTGTACATAAATTGATACACCATGTGCAAGTTTTTACACGTACAGAACTTGTCACTTTAAAGCTTATTCTTCTATCTTTGGTAATTTATAAATTTTTTCATTTTAACATTTGGAGTTTGGAATACAAAATTTTGAAATTAGAACCTTGCGTTTAAAAATTTACACTTAAAACTTTGTATTAATTCATGGAACGAATAGGAATACGGACATGTATGCACATTTGTCAAAATATGTACCCATACATGTACCTACGGAAAAATGCCTTAGACTGAGCACAGACTCAACTAATTATGCATAAGACAATTTGACGTTATGATAATTTGATCCTACGCCCATTTACACTTACGCCTGATTAGACACACCCATATGCACACACAAGCGTGCACCTACTTTCAACATTTTTCAACAGAAAATGCTTAGTTGCAGAGAAGAATCAAAGTAATATGTATGAAAAGATATACCTTTTTGCATAAATTAAAGGAAATGAATTTTTTTAGAGTTTTAAAAAATTGTTTTATGCTTGTTTTCTTCATGTTATACCGACTTTTTAGTTTAAAATATCCAACAAAAAAAAACTTCATCATTTTTGGGTTGCCATCATCGGGGAAAACGTCCATATTATATTTCTTCAAGCTGGGGTATCTCATAACAACGGTTAGTGCAAGTTTAGGGAAAAGAGACACATTTCATATTTCAAGAAAAAATCTGTGTAAACACCCTTTTCACATTATACGATTGCCCTCATTATTTGCCTTTTTTCTATCTGTGCCCTCCGCTTCCCAATTTTTTGCAAAGAGTATAGAGAAGGGAGAGAAGAAGAAGTAGAAGGAGACGGAGAAAAAAAAGAAAAAAAAATTTCGAAATGCATGTTGCATTATTTTCACAAACTAACAAAAAAAAAAAAAAAAAAAAAAATTAATTACATGACATAACGTGTACACTTGAATAATCAAACACATGCAACAAAGTCGTGTAGATGTGCTCTTGATAAAAGATTGCAAATATTTCCCACCTGGAAATATATTTTTACTCATAACTGTTATCCTTATTTTATATCTTATGAACAGGTAAGAACACTTTTCATCAACGAAGAAAGTTTTTATTTAAAAATAAAAACAGACAAAAACAACTCGGATGAAAGGAATTACGAAATAACTTTTTTTGAAATAGGAACAGATTGCCCATATAGATTAATAAAAGAATATGCAGACATTTCAAATGATGTTATTTATATAGTTGACAGTGCGCACAAAAGTGCCTTAAGCGAAGCAAGAGAAGAATTCATAAGAATAATATATGACTTTCGATTTATATATAGAAAATGTAAATTTTTAATATTTATGAACAAACAAGATTCTAATGGATGCCTAAAGTCAGAAGAAATTATAAATTACTTCGCTCTACCAAAAGAATTGCTCTATAGATGTAAATTCTTTTCTTGTAGTACCTTATCAGGTCAGGGGTTAAAAGAGGGTTTAGAATGGCTTGTAAATACAAATGTTTTTCCGGATAAAAATGATGATGCTATTGAAATGCGTGAAAGAAGATTATACCACTAAAAAATTCCGTTAGAGATCTATTTTTTATAGAATTGTTTGTACACAATATGCATTAGTAGATTTATGCTTAAAAAGGTCACATTGGAAATCCAATGACAAATGATATTTTTTTTTTTTTTTTTTTTTTGCTTCCATTTTGTTTTCTCCAGTATTTTATGCATAAAATACGCCACACGCTTAGATATGCACTAGTTGGTATTTTTGTTCAGTTATCTTACAACATATTTTCTAAACATTTTCCTTTTTTTTTTTTTTTTTAAGTTTTTAATCATTGTAAATGCTTTTTTTTATTTTCTCTTTGGTAACAAAAAATTTAATTTGTAAAAAAAAAAAAAAAAAAAGCAGGCAAACACATAAACAAACAGACAAAAAAGGACGGGATGGAGGAAGGCATGCTTGTTCTACAATTGTCAAGGTATCAATAAAGAAAAGCTGAATATAATGGACACTTGTACATAAATTACAAGATGTGTGTAATTATCAGAACTATCACTTTCTCAATTTTTAAAATATGTTAAAACGTAATGTTCTGTCTCCTATAATGTCATTAAGCTTTTGGAAAAAAGAACAAGTAGGGTATACATATATGCAAGAGAAGAACATGTTAGGGGTAAGCGATAATGCACAAAAAAGAAAATTATATATATATATATATATAAGTAATAAAATAATGAAATAATAATCATAAAATAGTAATAAAAAATTAGTATGAAATAGTAATAAAAAATTAGAAATAAAAAAATAATAATAATAAAATTTAAATAAGGTGCATACGCTGTTCTTTTAATTTTCCCCTCTTTGGTTCTATTTTACATTCCTCATTTTGGTAACTATTTTATGTTTTCATTTTTAAAATTAAATTACCTGATCAAGCTCTTCTAAAATATTCTGGTCACCCTCCTCTATGTCTTTGTGGTATCTCTCAGCTAGCCTCTGAAAAAAAAAAAAAAAAAAAAAAAAAAAGTAAAAAAATAAAAAAATTACTTTATTAAAAAAAACAAAAAAAAAAAAAAAAAAAAAAAAAAAAAAAAAAAAAAAGTGAATAAATAAATAAATTACTTTATTCATAACAACCAAAAGAAAAAAAAAAAAAAAAAAAAAAATACATTACTTTTTTTCATATGTACCTTCAAGGAATTTTCAGAATGTTCCTTTTCCTCCCCATTCTTGATATCCTTCACTTCGTATTCTTACATTGTAGAAAAGTAGCAAGTAGCAAAAAATATATAAAAATAAGTATAATATACATACAAGGGTAAAACACAAAACGGAAGATGTATAAAAGATGGGAAATAATGAAAAATGATGCAAAAAAAAAAAAAAAAATAAAAAAAAGTAGAAAAATGCAAAACTAACCTTCATTATTTTTATCCCCAGGAAATGCATTGACAGAATGGGAATTTAAAGGCTAAAGAAAAATAAGGCAAAATATTTTTTGTACATGTGTGCAAAAAAAAAAAAAAAAAACTGATTTCTAGTTTAGAACTAACCTTGTATATATTCAGGACTTCGTAGGGAAGTTGTGCATAGACTGTATACATCAGTGCGAATAAAAGGGTAAAAAAGTTTCTCATTTCACAGGAAAATAAAAATATAAAATAAAAAAAAAGAGCAAATATAACTAGACAAAAACAGACACAATTAACAGCGAATGAGATAAATAAATTGTTCTCAAAATGAACATAACAATGAGGAAAAAGACATTATTTTACTCTCTTCTGAACAATAACTATTTATGTAAAAAAAAAAAAAAAAAAATTTCAAATTCAGGAAAAAAAAAGGTTTAATTTGACGCAGATTGAGTTCGTCCCTATTTTTGCAGAACAAAACGTGCTAGCTATTTTATCATTTTTTTTTTTTTTTATTTTTTTTTTTTATTTCTTGGCTGTTTTTCATTCATAGTGTGTACTTTTGCACACGTTCCATTTTTATGAGGTCGTTGATCAATGTGTGTAAATACAACTAATTGGAATTCACACCCTTTAATGTCCCTAAATTATGGTGAAAAATAAAATACATAGTGTATCACCCAGTTTAATTATGCTCATATGTATATATATATATATATATATATAAAACTAATTATAATGGGCTTTTATCCACCACGCGGTTTAAATAAATCCTATTCTTACGATAGCCCAAATAGGCATGCATTTCTCATTGTCGTAAGCAAAGATAAGACAAATAGTGTATACACTCATTTCCATATATACTATCGAAAACCTTTTTATTTAGTAATTTATTTTATATTGTTCTTGTAACGCAACTGGATTGTTAACTTTTTTATTATTTTATTTTTTTTCCTCTCTCCCCCTCCATTTTCTTGCTTATTAAATGAGCTTATTTTAATGACATCATTAAGAAGGAACGGCATACAAAATGAAGTAGGAAAACAATGATTTAAAATATGTCTAATGCTAATTTAAAAAAAACACTTCCTATTTCCTGATGACTTACTTGAGAGAATATTTCATTCATTTTCATCTGTGCACATGCACATCCTCTTTGTACTCTTTATAAATTGCAAAAATATATATTTGCGTTGATAAAAATAAACATATATGTGCAGCATGCGCACAACTTCACGCATTAAAATACCTTTGGTGGTAAAAGTATCACAATCTATAAAAAAAAAAAAATGACAAAAAAAACACTTAATAAGAAAGTAATTTTTAAAATATTATTTCTCTCTTTTTTTGAAATACATCAAGTACACACTGCGAGTGAAAATACTTTTTTTCTCCTGTAACACGTTCATTCTTTTAGTGCAGAAAAAGAAAAAAAAAAAAAAAAAAGACCGCAAAGAAAGGAAAACAAAATAAAGCAGAACAAAACAAAACATTTATAAAATAAAACGTAAATTTATTCCTCATTTTTGTAATCAGAATAACTTCATGTTCTTCCAGCTTCATTTTTAATCATTTTTTTTTTTTTCATATAACACTGACAAATAAGATACTTAGAGGAACAATAAAAAAAAAAAAAAAAAAAAAAATGATTAAAAATGAATAAAAATGAAGCAAGCGATTTTTTGTGCCAATTTGACTTCTCCTCATTGGAGGAACTAGATCCTTCATTAAGTAGCTTTAAAAACGGAAAAGAAGGAAAAATTCAGCAAAGAATTTTTTTTTTTCAAATTATCCTCATATAGAGATTAACATATTAGCACGTTTGTGTCATACATATACACAACTACTTCTTATTCGTACATATGTTCTCAACTTTAACAGCGGATGGTTATAATGCATGTTACAGAAAAGAAGTCCCATTCGAAATAAAATTGGAGCACTCGAGCAACGTGCCGCAAGAAATAGGTTCATTAGAAGTTATAACAATTAAAATTTTTGTTTTGGTATGGCACCGGATATCTGAAAGAGTGTGTGTGCTTATTGCTTGTGTACATGGTTGAATGAGGCAGCTAATGTCTTATTTAATTCTTAACTTTTCTAGGAAAAAATATGCCACCGTTTTTGCTACGCCCTAGAGAAGTGGCATACCTAAGGGTAAGAGACTCCCTTTCGAATTTCTTCTAGCACTTGCAAAAATATTTCAGAAGGCCCTTTTAACATTTCTCTACTTACAGGGGGACGAATTAAATACAAAGTGTATCAAAACAGAGTTGACATGCGAAGCCGACTTATTTTTTCATTTTACACAAACGTAATGAATGACAAAAGATGCCTCTTTAGGAGAACTTTTTTTTTCATTTTTATTCAAATGAATTTTTTTTAATTTTTTTTCAATACGTCTATTTTAAGTCAATATTTTACCTCTCCATGTTTCTACTTTTTTTTTTTTTTTTTTTTTTTTTTCTTCTCCTCCCCCACTCCCCATTTCCAGTGTAGATGAACGCACATTTGAAGCCATGCAGACAAGCCAAAAACTTATGATTAACTTTTCTGAATATATGGAAGTTTTAATAAAAATGTTCAATTCTTGTGTACAGGATCCACATAGGTAGAGATGGATTACATCGTATTGGATGTTTTTTTTTTTTTTTTTTTTTTTACCTAATTTTATAATATTTACCAAGCAGTAAAAATATCTTCCTTATACTATAGTAAAATTTATGCGACCTAAACCTTCTAACCTTTTTGTATATGTTATTTTTTTTTTTTTTTTATGTCCACTATTTTGATCGCTTAGTTTTCTTGCTATATTTACTGTAAAACAAAATGGAAAGGCTCGATTAGATTTCATAAAGGTAAAAAGATAAAATCAAATTGTTGCATGGAAAGTATTTACCATTATCCTGAATTTTTTGCTTTTTAAAAACACATCATTTCATTTACTAAGTCGATTCCTTTTTGTTATATTTGTTTATTTTATTTATTACTGTTATTATCATTTTTTATATTTTTCTTCTTCGTATTCTTCTTCTCCTTATTGTTCTTCTTATTTTTCTTATTACCGTTCCATTTGTTCTTATTATTGTTGTTGTTCTTCTTGTTGTTCTTCTTCTTATTATTTTTCATTTTTTTATTTTCCCCAAGAACATTGAATATAAGTTCATCGAACTGCTGGTGTGTGAGTTTGTCCAGTCTTCAGAGGAAGTTATAAAGGAGAGCATTTCGTACAGGTACAATGTTATGAAGTCGAAAAATATTATAATGCGTAAAAGACTTCAAGTAAGTGAATAAATATAAAAGTTTTCTCAAAATATGAAAATAAAATCTTATACGTATGTACCATTGCTACAAAAAAATATTCACATGCGTATCATATCGTCTTTTAGTCCCGCCTCGCCTAACCACATAGCAATTTTTCACTTTCCTAAAAATTTGCAGGATATAAACCTTTTAATAAAATCGAAAAATCCATCCCTCCTAATGCAACTTCAAAAAACAGCCAGTAGACAAATGGAAATTATGAAGAATAGAAAATGTACGAGAAATATATACAACTAGAGTTTGCGCAGAACAAGAAATATATTCTGTTTTTTTTTTTTTTTTTTTTTTTTTTTTTGGTGAAAGGGGGGAATATGAGCAATTCCAAATAGTAATAAAAAAAAGATTAGAGGGATGATGGTCAAGTTTACATATGACATCGTTAAACCTTCATCATTGTATTATAAAACGAAATATTATTAGAAAGGCTAATGGTAAATACAGCTCAGAACAGAGTTATCTCCCCTATTTTTTTTTTTTTTTTTTTTTTTACCATAAAATGCACTTTTTAATGTACTTCCATGAGGAATAATTTCCATTATCACCATATGCATCCTTTAGTGGGGTTGTTTATTAGTGTTTATGTTGTTTGATTATTTTAACGAACATTTTTTTTTTGCCCACAAAATTGGGGCTGCACGCGAACTATATCGCATTTTAAAAACAACCCCTGAAAACAAATATTAAAAAAAACAATACGAGTAAACATGTAAATGAAAAAGGTGCAGATAAAATTAGGTCTTTTTACTGTTCACATATTGGGAATGACCTAGCACCAAATAGGATCTAATACATTTATAGTTAGTTTCTTTTTTCTTTCTGTTCATTTTTTTTTTTTTATTTCCACTTCTTTCCACTTGTATATGTATATACATATATAACAATGCTATTTCAATAGTGGCACATATTCTTACACTTTACATAGAACAATATGCCCCCTGATGCTTGTATTCGAATTCGTTTCTCCAAAAAATCTAAGTATGAGGTGAACAATTTGGAAATTATCAGTTATGTTGCACCTCTTCCTGTTACATATCCTCTAATGTTTCATTTTCATCATATGAACAAATTGAGGGTGGTAATGTAAAAAAAGACATGTTATTTTATATTTCTTCACAGCATGCTTATGCTCGGTTGCACATTCAAACGGACACACCCACAGGGGCAATTTCTTAGAGTTCTATATGATCCGTTATATAAATAGAAAACCTGGCCTATTAAAGCACGTACTCATGATGTGGCATAACTTTTGGAAAGAAAAAAACATCAAGAAGAACGAACCCATATAAATATATATGTATGCATATTTGCATGGTAAAACACTGAAGCAATTTACATATCCTGGGTCTATGCTTTTCTGCGGGTGATATCGCTTTGCAGCTTAATTTTTTGCCTTCAAAAAGGAAAAAAGGCAATGAAGAAGTGTTGTTGTGCCCATTTATTATACATAATTATTTTTTTTCGTACAAAAGAAGGAGAATAGTATAAAATTAAAAAAAAAATATCCTTATCCCTAATTTTGCAGAAATAAAAATTAGCATTATTAAAGGGCTTTCAAACATATGTACACACACACCCACATGCTATTTTATTTTATTCTTTTTTTTTTATATAAGGTGGAGAAATATCTCAAATAGCCAATTGGGATTGTACTCATTATAAATGCAATATTGCGCTATATGTCATTATTTCAATTTTGCATTGTGCAAGCAGTAGGAACATAATATAACTATTACGGAAAAATATATATATATATATATATATATATAGCTATTCGAAGTTATAAGCACACTATACATACATGTGTTTATGTATACGTAGCCAGCATATGGTATAAAACTTATACATTTTAACCTTTGTTCTTTTGCATGATAATGTTAGCAATGTGCAATTTTACCTTTTAGATTAAACGCCACACAGCACAACTGCAAAGGGATTTTTATGGAACCAGGGGAAAGAGAAAATAAATATATACATAAATATTTCCATATGTACCATATTCGTGTGATATTCATAAATGCCTACATATAAGTAACTCCAACATATATATGTACACTTGCGTTTATATTTTACCTTAAGGCACGCCAAAAAAAAAAAAAAATCGACAAAAGCTTTTAAATTCACTTTACATAAAACTGAATTCACAATTAGTATATGAAAAAATTTCGCACCTGAGAGATAGAAGAGGAAAAAAAAAAAAAATTGAAAATACTGTATTCCAACATGAAAAGTAGTAGGTAAAAACTTTTGATGCTGCTTTGAAATGATTTTTTATAGGATTTGTAATTTTTTAGCACCAAGGAGATCACTTGATATTTTCTTTTCTGCTGTTCACTCAATATCGCACAAGTTCAGCAAACACCAATTCGACAAACGCAAATTCGATAAACACAAATTCGATAAACACAAATTCGATAAACACAAATTCGATAAACACTTGTTCACTATGCACACTTGTCATTTAAAAATGTGACAAAAAAACCTCAAGCTTGATATTGAATATTTTCCCATGACATAAGCTCTATAGCCATGTCCACGTAACAAAAGGAAGCAAAACGAGAAAAAAAAAAATAAAATAAAAAATAAAATACTTTTTTAGAGCTATATATACATGTATAAAAAGAAAAAAAAAATATATATATATATATATATATATATATGCACGAAGGTAACCCCGCATGTCCATGCGAATTCATTTAGTGTCACTCTTGAGGCTCTCATAAGAAAAGAAAAATAAAATAAAATAAAATAAATAAGAAAGGGCCAAAATTGTCCAGATAAGGAAAAGAAAAAAAAATCATAGGCAAAAAATTTGAAGCCAAAAAATTATAGGCAAAAAAACCGCAAGCCAAAAAATCATAAGCAAAAAAATTTGAAGCCAAAAAATCATAGGCAAAAAAATCTAAAGCAAAAAAAAAAATAACAACCTTCAAATACGCAAGCACATATAAACCTACACAACGGTGTGCACAATTATGATAAAGGAAAAACTATTCAAGCAATTTTTCCCAATCTAATAATTTGTAGCAAGATCTCACAGATCAACCAATGTAGAAATAAATGCTAAAAAAATATGCAGAATAAATCCAATACATCTGGCGTTCCGGGCCTGCCCGGAGGTCCAGCAATACCGGGCCTACATGGTATGTCGGGTTTACCAAATATGCCATGTTTGCCAAACATGCCAGGAATACCAAACATGCCAGGAATACCAAACATGCCAGGGGTACCAAACATGCCAGGGGTACCAAACATGCCAGGGGTACCAAACATGCCAGGAATACCAAGTATACCGGGGGTACCAAACATGCCAGGGTTACCAAGTGTACCAGGCATGCCAAGCATGTCAGGCATACCTAATATAATTGGCCACCCAATGAACGGCCAAAATATGAACAGTCAGAGTATGAACGGTCAGAGTATGAACAGCCAGGGCATGAACAACAGTGGGCATTACATGAACAACAATTCTATGAGCCAGTTACCAATGCCGTATCTCCCTGGAATTATGCCTACCATGAACTCATCAGATTATTACGGAAAAAATATGATGCATATGAACGCAGGGGGAGGAGGATACGAGAATTACAACTCCCTAATGTATGGGCAGCATAACAGTATGAATATCCCCATGCCTCCAGGAACAGTAGACTGCTTAAATGACATGTCATCAATGAATATGGGGAATCCGAATATGATTAAATTGTACAACAAAGATTTCGCACACAATAATTCTCAGAAAATGATGAATAATAATATGGGAGCACCAATGAATGGAAATATGATGAACCTTCCTATGAACATACATATGAATTATCTGAATAACTACAATGCAGAAAATCATGGATGGTGTGAAATGGTAGCAAAAAATGGAAGGAAATATTTTTACAATTCCATAACAAAATGTTCAAAATGGGAAAAACCAGATGAACTAAAATCAAAGGTTGAGTTACGTATTTCACAACAAACCAAATGGAAAGAATACTCTTGTGGTGATGGCAGAAAATACTGGCATCATGAAGAAAAAAATATTAGTGTATGGGATGAACCAGAAGAAATTAAAAAAATTAAATTAGAATGTGCTGCTGAGGATGCAAAAAATGAAACGGGTGAAGAAAACTATCTAAACAGTAGTACTACTACTTATGGAAGTGTAACTAAAAAAAATAACACAAATAACTTATCATCGAATGATCTACCCAGAGAGGACGGAAATCAAACCTATGATGATATTATGAACAAAATAAATGTGGAAAATACCAATGGAAAGGAAAATAAAAACAACAGTAACATAGACATGTATAACAATCTCCAATCTAGAAGTGGGAATTATACCGAATTAAATAATAACAATGTTATGATGAACAAGAATGTGGATGAAACAAACCAAAAAAAAAATGCATCACACAGAAACAATAACAAGCCAACAGTAGTATGGAAAAAATTTGAAAATAAAAATGATGCAAAAGAACACTTAAAACTTTTATTTGAAGAAAAAAATATTAATCCCAAGTTAACTTGGGAAAACGCTTTAAAAATTCTAGAAAGTGATGATAGATGGTTCAGTCTTGCTCTCCTGACGAAGGGAGAAAAAAAGCAATTATTTTCTGAGTATGTTAGTCATGCTGCCAAACGGGCAAGTGAAAATGAAAGAAGAAAACGACAAAAATCTAGGGAATTAATTTTTCAGGCTCTATTAAACTGGAATAAATTAAACGAACAAACATCATATGTTGAATTTGCATCAGAATTTTATAAAGAAGAATGGTGGAATTGGATTACAGAAAGTGAAAGAGATGAAATATTTCAAGACTTTTTAGATGATTATAGACCCAAATTTAAAGAAGCTCGAAGAAAAAAAAGAAAAAAGACATCAGAAAATTTAAAAGAAAAATTTCAACAGTATGCAGATAAAAAAAATCCATTAAAATGGAATGATATCAAAGAATACTTTAAGGAAGATGAAGATTTTAACTCATTGCACAAAATTGACGCATTAGCTTCTTGGGAAAGTTTTTACGAAAAATATCATAACGATGAAAAAATGGAGTTGAAAAAAAAAGTATTTCGAATTTTAAGAAAAAAAAGAGATGCTTTCATTGAATTACTAAACGAATATCATAAAAAAAGTGTCTTAAATATGAAGACGCAGTGGATATTTTTTGTATCAAAAATTTATAAAGATGAGCGTTATACAGATTTATTAGGTCATCAAGGCTCCTCACCCAAAGTTCTATTTGACGAATTTATTGACTCCCTTCAGGAGCAATATTTAAGGCATAAATCATATGTCAAGAGTGCATACAAAGAAATGGATTGTAGCGTAGATGAAAACACCACGTTTGATCAATTTTTAGTGCTTTTTACAAATGTGCAACATAAGTATGACATCCCACATACAAATATGAATTTTATTTATCATTCTTTGCAAAAAAAATTAAAAGAAAAAAAAAATAAACAAGCAAAACATATTAACAAAGTGGCCAAATATTTTACCAAAGTGCCAGAACTTAAAACTAGCATGTCATATAGCAAAGTTATTAGCATAGTTAAAAATTCCAGAAAGTGGCCTGTGTTATGTGAGCTTTGTCCCAATGAGGAACAAAAAATAGCTGCATACGATTTGTGGAAATCTTTTTCAAATTCAACGAAGAATTGCCTTTCCATTGATTCATCAAATTCCAATTCAAATAAAAATTTTAAAAATAGTAGACAAAGGGATTCTCTAAAATATAGTGATGATGATTCTGAGGAAGAATACAATAATAAAATTCATTCAAAGTATAGGAAATACTCCAGAGAAGAATCTGATTCAAGTGGTCAGACAATAGAATCTCTACGTACCATTGATCATAATGCATCGAACTAGCTATTTTGCAATTATTTTATTTTTTTTTTATCATATAGCTGTTTTTACAATTTTAGCCTGAACAGTAATATATTTTGTTGCTTTCTGTGCAAAACAAATAAAATAAAGCAAAAAATAACAAAAAAAAAAAAAAAAAAAAAAAAAAGTGCACAATATGTGGAAAACTTAAACTATCATAGGCCATACATAAACATAAGAATGTAGTATTTACATTACACAAGATAACAAACTCCCCAAAAAAAAGAACTGTGACTGTGACACCATGGTTGATAAGACGTACAAGTCTGACATCAGTTTTTGCGGAAAGTATGCCAAGATGGAAAAAAGGGCTAATACGTACATTCCAACTTGCTCATATTCCCTAGTATAATTTAAGGGATATATATATATATATGTATGTACGTTTGTGTATATTATTTATCCCGCACACCCATAGATAGGCCATGCTTTATGTCATTATATACGCAGAGCCCTAATTACATTTTTCATTTTAAATGGCATATTATAAAAAAAAAATATAATGAATTACTTTTATTTATTTATTTATTTGTGCTACGAATTAACCTCTACGTGTAACAACACATACACAGTTTGATTGCATATCAACACATTTGAAATTTGGTTCTTGTTTTTTTAAACTGCATGCATAAATATATATGCGTATGTACATATGTACAAATATTTTTATACATACCTAATTTAGCCTATATCCGAGCACCTTACAAACCCATGTAATGCTTACAATGTATACATACACATTGTGTATATACGTGTATTTAAGTTTTTTTTTTTTTTTTTTTTTTTTAATGTGTTTGAACAATAAACATTTGTGTTATTCCTTAATTTACTTTAAAACACAATTCAAGTTTAATGTTTTGCTTATACGTTTCGCTTCGTGCAGTAGGAATAATAAAATAATATAGTACTGTTTCCACCATAAGGAGAAAATGTTTGAAGATAATCTAAAGGTATATTGTGCGAAACTACCTATATATATATATATATACACATGGACGAATAGAACCATCATCTATATATATGTAAGTTTGTTCTTATCAAAAGCGTAGAGTTTTTAGGTTACCATTCGATCTTCAAATGTATTCATTAAATTGCTACATTTTTCTTTAATACATTTTTAATACGTTTTTTTATAAATTATTCGGTTATAACAACCCCAATAGAGTTTGCTTATTTTATTCAAATATTTAATAATAAAACGAGAGAATTATATGGGCATATCGTAAAACTATGAGTGCATATATATTATATCTCATTATTAGGCATGAAATCCACTAATATATCAAAATATCTCTTCTTCGTATTGTGCTACATTTTCAAAATGTTGAGTAAAACTAAAAACATTATTTGATAGCGTTTTTTTTTTTTTTTTTTTTTTTACGTGTATAATAAATTCACATTGTTACACTACCTTCTTCGGTTAAAACTTTGCTTTTTGACACGCGTCATATTTTTAGTATCCATTTAATAGGTATTGTTTTATTTGCTATAGGTCGTGAATAAATAATAGTGAGATTGCACAAGCGCAAGATTTCGTACCAGTGCGACGCTATGGATTTGCATACTATATATATATATATATATATATATATATATATATATATACATGTGTTCACATATATATACGTTTTTATCCAAGACTTTTTTTTTTTCTTTTTTTTTATACTAACAAAAAGCATAAGGGAAAAATGCCGAAAAAGTGAAAGGCTAAAAATAATTGCATTAGGTAATTTATATACGGAAGCAATTCTTTGCGCTATATCATTTTACCCCTCTGGAAATTAAAATTGACTATATTGTGCAATACATACCTATGTATACATATGAACATGTATTTTTACGCACAAACGATTTGATTATTTGAATATTTTATACACATATACTTAGGCCCTCGTACTAAATAACCCTCTTTTTTATTATATGCTTTCCCTGTTTTTACCTTTTTTTTTTTTTTTTTTTTTTTTCAGTCTAATTTTTAAAAAGTTTTCTAAAAACAATTTTTAATCTTTTACTAATTTGATTAATATTTGTCTGAAAGAGAGCTAGTAAAAAATGTTTACATATAAACGTACGTAACATCATGCTTTGGGCAGTACAGTGTTACGTATGTATGTATAATTTCGCAATTATGTACATGCATATATATGGCGTATACGTATTTGTACTTTTTTTTTTTTTTTTTTAAAACATACAAAACATTTGAAGTGAGCGCTTATTTTATTTTTTTTTATTTTATTATTTTTTATTTTTTTACCTTTTAAATATATTAATGCCGTTCCTTTGGGGTTGAAACATATTGTATACTCCTTTTAACAAATATTACATATGTAGCGTTGCAATGTGAAACATGATGTGTATATAAGCATATATTGTGCATCCTTCATTCATACGTATTACATTATAAAAACAATCAATTTTCTCCTTTTATGCATTTTACACATTTGAATAGTAATAATACTAGGGTTTCATTTTTACACCCTTTTTTTTATTTTTATTATATTTTTTTTTTTTTTTTTTTTTTGTTTTTTGCACCAACTTCTGTATTGCAGTAATCATTCTTTCGAACAATATAACCTTAGGATTTTTTTTTTCGCAACACATGCACAACAGCAATTATAGCATTGTAGGCTGAGGAACATGCACGCACTTCCCCCAGTGACAAGCGGGCAGAACATAATTCACCACTTTTCAATTATTAAAACTCGCACGAACGCGTGTCTATGTATATATAATACATATGTAAACATTTTTTTGAAATTGCAATTATTAAAGGATTCCATACCTTTATTTTTCATTCCCCATTTTGCCAATTTGTGCACTATAACAAATCAGTAACAGAAAAAATATATATACATATATATAGACGTACGCTGTATATATTTTTGATTTTATAAAAGTTCTCCACACGTTCATATTTTAATGACATAATAGATGTTTTAGTGTACATATGCATACGCACATTTGCACATATGAACACACGTTGTGCACGGCACATGTTTACAACAAATGGAATACACATTCCTTAAACAAGCAGACATTGATACTGAGAGAGGCACATACACACATATAGACAACATTGCTATCAGCCTCGACCATTCCACTATTATCATCCATCTTAACTTTAAAATCATGAGTTAATGTAAAATGATAATTAAGGTCAACTCGACTCAAACATTGGAGGTAAGATATAAGACCAAAATACCAAACACCCCAATTTCACAACCCTTCCTTTTTTTTTTTTTTTATTTTTTTTTTATTTACACTTGTATAAAAGTTAATGTATATTCATTTATCACCCTTTTCTCACGCTCGATTCTATAAAATTCTTTTCTTTCGTTGCAGAACCAAGATTTTAATAATGTTCAAAATAGAAATGAATGCAAAAATGAAAAAACTGTAAGAATATACGCCGATGGTTAGAAAAAAAATAAAAAATTTAAATTATAACAAATAATAAAAAATATAATAATATATAATACAAAAATAAAAATATATAATAAAAAAAATAATAATAACAAAAAATAATAATAACAAAAAATAAATAAAAACATAACATAACAACACAATGTCGAAACACCTTGGTGATCTCAGTCATGTGTGTTCGTTAGAATTGGCTACATCATTTCAAGGGGATAACTCGATTAGAATTATCAGGGTTAGTAATCCCACCATACACTATATATATTTTTTCTTTTTTTTTTATTCTTCGTTTCTTTGTAGGGATTTACGATCTCCTACACTTAGGCCATATGAGGCAACTGAAACAAGCAAAACAAATGGAAAAAGAAGTAACACTAATTGTTGGTGTTTGTAGTGATATAGATACAAGAAAATTTAAAGGACAAATTGTGCAAACCTTGGAAGAACGAACAGAAACATTGAAGCATGTTCGATGGGTGGATGAAATAATTTCTCCATGCCCTTGGGTAATAACACCTGAATTTATGGAAGAACACAAAATTGACTTTGTTGCACATGATGATATTCCATATGCTAATAATCAAAAGAAGAAGAAAAAAAAAAAAAACAAATCAAACAGTATTGAAGAATCAAGTGATGATATATATGCATGGTTAAAAAAGGCTGGGAAATTTAAAGCTACCCAAAGGACAGAAGGAGTTTCAACCACGGATTTAATTGTAAGAATATTAAAAAATTATGAAGATTATATTGAACGATCATTACAAAGAGGAATTCATCCGAATGAATTAAACATTGGTGTTACTAAAGCTCAATCAATTAAAATGAAAAAAAACTTAATTCGATGGAGAGAAAAAGTAACAGATGAATTAACCAAAGTTACCTTGACTGATAAACCACTTGGTACAGATTTCGATCAAGGGATAGATATAATTAGAGATAAAGTACATGGACTATTCAAATTATGGAGACATCATTCTAAAAAATTACTAAAAGATTTTGCAAAATCTTTTGATCCAATGTTTATAATTATTAGAAAAAAAAACAGAAAAGATAGCATTTCAGGTATGTATATGTCAGATTCTAATTTCTTATTAAGAACTGTAAAAGAGGATTTAAAAAGGAGTAAAAGCTTAAGTAACACTATAAACAATATTGATGAATATTATTACTCAGCCGATGAAGATGATGATACTAGTAAGGCTACTAACGTCCACAGTTTCATAAGTAAAGTTGCAAATAATACCTATAACAATGATATCGATAATTATGAAACATGTTTTGAGTTGGAATCTTGTTCCAATGATCGACGCAAGTGGGTGATGAATAATTCCATTGCACAAAGTGGCAGATGTGGTAATTTCAATGGATTTAGTGAAAGAAATGAACACAAATGTAACTTAAACCAAAAATTAGGACCTGATGAATTACACTTCATCACCAGTGAAACACAAATAATAAATGACTCTCTGTCAAAACACTCCAATAAAAATCAAACGAAACATTTATTGAACACAAGTAGTACAAGTAGAAAAAGCGATTGCAACATATACCATAAATCAACATATCATGATATAATTGATGAAGGAAATATCCCCATTCATAATATAGTAGACAAACATAGCGCAAAAAATTTGTGCAGTTCGAACAATATGAACTCATGTGAAGAAAATCAACGTAACATTTATGACAAGGAAGAATATAATATTTGTTCGGATCATCATTCTGCAGATGGTAGGTGGTATGGTCACATGAAAATAAAAAGGAGGAGTAACAGTAAGGACAAATCATCATCATGTGTGGAAAAAAGGGAAGAATCAGAGGAAGAAAGTCATTTCAGTTGTAGTGAAGGAGAAAGTAGCCATAGCAACAGTAGTAGCTACAGTAGTGCTAGTGAAGGAACAGGAAACACTCCGGAAGAAAGTGATACATCAGAATTTTTTAAAACAAAAAGACAGCCGGAATTTTCCCAAGAAAAGAAAGGAACAACATCCAATGAGAAGAGCGAAACGACTAGTGAACTTATGAAAAAAGAAAAGGATAAAAATGATGACATGCAAGAAAAAGACAGTCCAAGTGATATGCAAGAAACGAGGAAAACAGCAAATTGCGATCTGACGAATAAAAAAAAAATTGTAATTTATGCAGACGGAGTGTATGATATGTTACACTTAGGACATATGAAACAACTTGAACAAGCCAAGAAAATGTTTCAAAATACTACTCTCATAGTAGGAGTTACAAGTGACAATGAGACAAAGCTTTTTAAGGGACAAATTGTGCAGACCTTGGAAGAACGAACAGAAACATTGAGACATGTTCGATGGGTGGATGAAATAATTTCTCCATGCCCATGGGTAATAACACCCGAATTTGTTGAAAAATATAAAATTGACTTTGTTGCACATGATGATATTCCATATGCTAATAATCAAAAGAAGAAGAAAAAAAAAAAAAACAAATCAAACAGTATTGAAGAATCAAGTGATGATATATATGCATGGTTAAAAAAGGCTGGGAAATTTAAAGCTACCCAAAGGACAGAAGGAGTTTCAACCACGGATTTAATTGTAAGAATATTAAAAAATTATGAAGATTATATTGAACGATCATTACAAAGAGGAATTCATCCGAATGAATTAAACATTGGTGTTACTAAAGCCCAATCCATTAAAATGAAAAAAAACTTAATTCGATGGGGAGAAAAAGTAACAGATGAATTAACCAAAGTTACCTTGACTGATAAACCACTTGGTACAGATTTCGATCAAGGAATAGAAAATCTACAGATAAAATTTAAGGAATTATTTAAAATATGGAAAAATGCATCTAACAAATTAATTAATGATTTTACGAGCAAACTTGACACAACATCATATTTGTCATCCCTACAAAATTTCGTAGATAATGAGTACGATTTGTATGACTCTGCCAGCAGCAACTGTGACGAAGAAACCAACAGCTAATGGGTATCAAGCAAGATCTTAGTTATTCCATTGTTTGTAGTATGTTCCTCCTTTTTTTCTTCTTTGTTTTTTCCCGCATGAACTGTGTCACATTGTATAGAATCATTTGACCGTCATTTGATTGTCATTCGATCGTTCGTCCGTTTTTTTTTTTTTTTTTTTTTTTTATTATTTTTATAAGGATGTGCTTATCTTTTTCTTCATGCTGAGTTTTCTTCGACTCCATGCACCCGATCATGCAATCACATCAACACACTATTACTATATTGATGTTTGCCTCTTACTTTTATGTTCATAATTAGACGAATACTCCCTCTCATTCTCCCTCTTTTTTTTTTTTTTTTTTTTTTTCAAGCTAAATTTATAAATATCCATACTCTATTTGTGCGCATAATTATTTCCATATTTATGCCATTTGTATGTCATTCATATTTCGTCTTTATGGCACCCTTATTCACCACCGCTATGTCGTATTTTTATGCCCATTCTTGCATTTTTTTTTATTATATTTTTTTTAAATCCTTATAAAGTATGAAAAATTAATGAATCCTACAAAACTTAATTGTGACTATATATTTTATTTAACCTATTAAAAGGAATCATTAAAGGAGCGAAATATGTGATATATATATATATATACATCCGCATCGCGTATGAAAATAAATACAGTTTTATTTTAATATTTTTTTTTTTATTATATTTTCAACCTGAAAGCACATAAATTTCAGAGTGCCTTAAATCTTTTAAAATATGGAAAAGAAAAAAGTAAATGACAAAATTTTTCATACTCTTTGGTTGAGCATAAGCAATGAGAGGTAAAAGAGGGGAGGGGGAAGAAGAGAAGTGTACATTTACCCTTTTGTGTTCTCAAGTATTAGTAAACAAAATGATGGTCCTTAAGAATAAGGAGAAAAATTATTCGTTCTCAGAGTTACAGCTTACCTATTAAATTTGTACACATCTTTAAGAGGAGGTGATGTCTGTGTCACATATTTTATCCTTTTAACATTTGCACAAATATCCGGATGATATGTTTAGACAAGTTCGTGTAAATTTTGGTAAAGCAAAAAGGAATTAGATACCCATTTTTGTTTGTTTGTTTGTTTTTTTTCTCAAAATTACCATTAGTCTAATTGACCTTTTTCCCCACAGACACACACAACGCAAAATATTAAAGCCAAAACCGAGGGTGTATGTACATATAAATTAATTTTTCTTTTTGCCAATTCCAATGGCATATTTCACAGGTGCATAAAAATTTATACATATATTCTTTAATAAATTTCGAACACATGTAATAAATTATAACCATTGTTCTATTCTTTACATATTTACATTTTATTCATTTCATACATATACCAAATGTTCTAACATTCACCAAATATATAACTACACAAATAGGTGTATAAAAATAGAAAATTCCTTGTATCCTATTTAGAGCTTTTGTAAAATTTATTATTTTTTTTTTTTTTTTTTTTTTTTTTTTCCCTAGCAGCACACACGTATTTTCCCCTCTCTTTTATATCCCAATTCTTTCACCTTATGAAAAATGAAAAAATATTTAGTTGTTCTTCACATTGAGATTATATTACTATTCATCCAGATAGTAAATATATTCGCCTTGATTAATGTTAAAGGGGAATTAAAATTGCTGTCTCCGATACTTGATCAAGGGCATATAACAGACGAAATAAAAAATTACAAGAATGAGATAGAGACACAGGTAGATTCAAAACAAATAGAATCAATCCATCTCCAATTAATTACATCGAATGTTTATATTTATACAGATTTTATTTTTTTCCAAATGAATATGTGTTGTGTGACTTCGTGCCACACTTCATGTGTTACTGTGATTTTTACGCTTGTTCAAAATGGTCTGCAAAATGAGACATAGAAAAATGTGCACACATATATATGTATGTCTATATATATGTATGTCTATATATATGTATGTCTATATATATGTATGTTTATATATGCGTATGCTTATATATACGTATGTTTATGTATATGTATGTTTATATATATACATACACACAAGCATAGTCGAACTGAGCAAGTGCACATTATTTAAATAAAAATATACACGGGAGTATTGTTCTTCGAAAACAGGTTTTAAATTTGAAGCAAAATGATAAACTGAACAATGATGTAGATTTTCAATTGAAGGAATTAGCCAGTTTAATGAGTCTCGTGAGAGATACACAAGATCAACAGGAAGAGGAATTAAATGATTTATCCATTTCTTTAGAAATAACGAAAGATTCTCTTTTGAAAATGTTAAGTGAATATGAAAACAGAATTGATCAGCTGGAATATACCATAATGGAAATAAAAAAATATGATCCATATATGGAAAAATTTAATTATCCTATATCAAAATATTGGCTTAAAATTGATTTTCATAATTTTAAATCATTATGGAAATATCAGAAAAAGAAACATTACACATCCATTGTACAGGTTATAGACATGACAAATTTTAAGTATCCTTCAACAATTTTATTGCTAAGACATCACAAATTAATTGAAGGATATATAAATGTCGAAGTTTTACAAAAGAGTTCTTCTCTTCAATCCAATTTAAACAATTCATCATCTGGAATTATATTCGATTTTGTAGATGTTCACAATTTTAGCTTTGTAGAATTGTCCATTCTGCATAACCAGGTGGTTATTTCCCTTGGAGTGATAGATGACTCCCGTTACAGCAGGTACAACAATCGGGATTTCTCTACAAATGCTAGTACATGTTTGACCATTTGTTCTAGTGTCTATTTTTTCGCATGCTCCTTATTATCGTGCCCGTCTAAGTATTCCGTTTCTAGGGATTGTCACTTTTGTTAGACTTCCCTGTATGTCTATGTGTGTCGTCCACAATGTTTTGGGGTATTATACTCATATTGATCCAATTTGTAATTTTTTTTTTTTTTTTTTTTTTTTTTTTTTTTTTGTTTTCCTCCCTCGCCCATCCCTGTGAACACAAATTTTGAAGAATAATTTCAAAGGGAGTAGAAGCAGACGGAAAGAATTTTAACGCCCTAATATGTGAATTTGTATCTAACAAAATGAATATATTTTTGAATTACAAAAAAGTGATTGAGGTAAATTTCATGAATAGAAATATAAGCGACAGTAGTGGTGAGAATCCAAACAAATCTATAGGATTGTTTACAAAAAGTGGCACAGCAGAATTTAGGAACTTCTTCACAGGTTCACTACAATTTGAGAAAATCATGGAACATAAATTGGTAATCCCCGATGAGAAAGACATTTCCATAGCAACTGTAACAAATTCATATCGGTTCTCAAATAAGGAGACCAAAGACGATTTAAGTGTTTATACAATACCTTATAGCAATAAGGATTACGATGATTATTTTGAAGAGGAGATAATCAATGATGTTTATCCTGTGCCTGATTCAAATTCGCGCTATGATAATATCTATGATAATATTAATGTATCAGAATATGCAAAGAGAAATAATGTCGATGTTTCTAACGAACTAAGTTTCAACTCGTGCAAAAATTACACAAGCAAAGATTTTAACCTAAATGAATGGATAAGCAATAATAAGGGAAGTTCAAACAATTGGAATGTTATTTCCCAATTTGGAATTAAAAAAATGATATTTCGAAATAGTTACAAGTTTCCACTTTTCAATTCAGCATTAGTTTATAAAAATATTTTATGTAATTCTATAATAATGTCGTCTTACATTAAAGTTGAAAATGATACAGAGGCCGGATTCTTGTTCAGATATGAAAACAAAGATAACATGTTTATATTAACAATTTCTACCCCAAATAAGGAAATAATATTGAAAAAAAAAAAAAATAACATTGAAACAGTTATAAAAAGTGAATATGTAAAAAACATCAATTCGATTCAGCGCCATCAGTTACTAATTCAGGATTCGGGGGAAGCAGGTGTCATTCATGTATATCTGGATACTTCCAAATTGTTTTCCATTGATCAGGAAAATTATTTTAAGTCAGGGAAAATCGGATTTTACGTTGAGCATGGTTATGCTGCGTTTGACACCTTAAAAGTTCAGCAGCATGTGTAAAAAAAAGAAGAAAAAAGAAATAATAAGGGGATGAAAAAAGGAATAATAAAAGAAGAAAAAAAGGAATAATAAGGGATGAAAAAAAGAGTAATAAAAGAAGAAAAAACGAATAATCAATGAAGAAAAACAGAATAATAAGGGATGAAAAAAAAAAATTAATAAAAACAATAATAAAAAAAACTAAAAAAAAAAAAAAAGAAAAAGAGAATTTCCAACACATACGGTTTATATTCCCTGTCCATTATCCTAAATTCCGTATTTGTACACACACACACAAAAAAAAAAAAAAAAAAAAAATGTGTGCACAAAAACATGCATGTATAAGAATGACCATTTGTAATGTATGTTCAAATTGTCCGTATTGGGGTAACATGCATGGCATTTGTTTTGTTCCAATGTGTTTGAATTTTTACATCTTATTCATTACACTAACCATTTTTTTTTTTGTCTTCCATAAGTACGCTCTTGTTTTCTTTTCAATAATGATGCTATTTTTTTTCAATAGTTATTCTACTTTTTTTTCAATAATTATGTTACTTTTTTTTCAATAATTATGCTACTTTTTTTTCAATAGTTATTCTTCTTCTTTTTTTTTTTTTTTTTTTTTTTTTTTTTTACGACATGGCTTTCCCTTCTTTTTCACAATTCACTCATGGATGGAATAACCACAAGTCCTTTCCCCAAATCGTTATCCTCATTTGTGTCCTTTCTTGTATTATAATCTTTCTTAAAAAAAATAAATACTCCTAACACAAATTTAACTAAATACAGTAGGAGCGAAAGTAAAAACTTAATTGCCTAGAAAAAGAAGAGAAGAAAATGGTATTATCGTTTTGCTTTTTTTTTTTTTTTTTTTTTTTTTTTAAGCTACGATTTATTTTCATTAAACATTGTTTTTATGTGGAAATACAAATGTCTATTTGTATTTCCATTTAAATATTATTTACACAATGCAAAATAGTGAAAACAGGTTTCTAGATATCATCGTCTGATTCATTCTTACCGTTATAAGGGCCCTTATGAAACCCAACCTACGTAGGATAATGTATGAACATACACTCAAGAAGAAAAAAAAGGAATACCAAACATATCTTGTGTCGTTTTGAGCTCTAACAAGGGGAAGAAAAAAAAAAAAAAAAAAAAAAAAGAATTAAAAATGTGATATGTTTGAAGTGGGAGAAAGTGTTATAAATTGTAATTTTACAAAAAAAAAAATTTTTACTTTCTTTTTAAAGAAAATATCAACTGCGTGCTAGATTTTATTTTGGATTCAAACACTACGAATGGGGAATAGGAAAAAAAAAAAAAAAAGAGCCCATGTGTACCATTTTGTATTCATAATTTGTACATATATATATACTCCTTTTCATTTTATTATGAATACGAATTCTCATGTGCACTTCTTCGTTCTTTTTTTTTTTTTTTTTTTTTTTTTTTTGTGTTCCTCCCTTAGTATTATTACTGTTGAATATTTCATCTTGTTTTCTCAATTTATGAGATGATTCCAACAATTCTGATCTGACATTCTTCATTCTGTTAATTTCTTCTATCATCATTTGTTTTGTGTCTTTTAAATTTGTATCCGTTTCGTTTTTTTCACTGATTTCGGCATGTTCTGCATGGTTGTCACTATTGGTAGGAATCAATTAGGGGTAGAGTTTTTTCTTATACAATTTTTTTCAAATTCAATCGAAAATGCAGTATGTTGTGTAGGAGTACTAGTTGCCACCTCTTATTTTGCATGTATACACATATACATTTGCAATGGTTATCACATATATATATATATATATATATATATATATATGACTACGGTTAAAAATAAAGAAGATATAACACTCCAGAATATATATGCACATTAACCTTTTCCGCTTCGTCAGAAATACATTCATACATATACGGTGATAGTTTTTCTCATTTTTGTTCCACCAGGTACTTAGCTCTCTTTTGTACCTAAGTAGAAATTAGTGTTGCCAAAAAAAAAAAAAAAAAAAAAAAAAAAAAGATGAATGAGAGGAAAAAGGAAAAAAAAAAAAAAAGTTAACTAATCCTTTCAACTTAATTCTTAAAAAGAGTTCCACACACAGACACGCACCATTACTTTTTCACATTTCCTTGATGGTACTCAAATTGCCTCCTCACATCTTCTATATCTTCGTCAGAAATATCGGCACACAGTATCTTGTCTTTACATTCCGCAATTAAACTGGAATAATGGACAATTCTTTTGGCAACTATTCCTCGAAACTGTTAGAGTGCAATATGAAATGGAGATTACATATGTATACAACTTTTTATGTATTTAATTAGGATGGGTAAGATGCTAGTGATAACGATGTCATTACACTAGTGCAACCTTAGCCTCTCTATATATTCTCCCCACAAATTATATTTGTTATGAGCAAAGGGGTTATTTTAATGACATCATAGGAAGTATAGGAAAAAAGGGGGAGAAAACGAATTTCCCTAATGCAATGTGAACATGGAAAGGAAATTATACATGAAGGTCTTTTCATTTTGCTAAACGTGTAAAATGTTTGAAGGGGTTATTCCAAGACCTGTGCGTATGATGGAGCATCGGGTTAAACACCAGCTTCGTCGGCTCTTTCATTCGTTCGGTCGTTCCTTTCCCCGCCCCTCAACTGCTTCCCACACAAGAGCATAAACAATGAGTTTGCAAATATGTGTACGAAGAAATTACCAACAAAAAGGCGTCATGGTTATTTAGCTCATGATCTGATTGGAACAAATTTTTAAGACTATCATCAATAAATTTCATTTGATTTATCATAGAATTTATTTTATTCAAGTTCTCTACATTTTCTTTTTTTTTCCCCAAAATTGGTAAATATGTTTTATTCATTTTTTTTTTAAATGTATACAAGGACTTAGGGAAGCAAAAAAAAAAAAAAACGAAAAAAAAAAAAGATTCACACGTGTTAAGGTTAAAAGCAGATAAAAGTTAGAACGAAAGTATCATATAGCATCCCCATACATTTTAAGAAAGCAACGAATTATTACCCTTTTTTTTTTTTTTTTTTTTTTTTTTTTTTTTTTTTATTAACATAAGGATTGTGCATTGTTCTTATTTTTGCAACACCTCAGTTTTTTTTTTTTTTATTTTTATTTTTATTTTTTTTCTTTTTCTTTTTCTTTTTCTTTATCTTTATTTATTTTAAGTTTCTTTAACTTTTACTGCTTTCCTAAATTGGAAAATAAGGTCATTTTACTAATGATGGGGAGAAATATAACAATTTATGTAACTTATATGCACTCTCCTCCATTAAAGGCTATACTTACTGCGAGGTTGTCAATTTTTTAAAGTTACTCTGAACGGGTTTGTGTAAAAAATTCACCATATTAATTTTCAGTACAAGAACTGTGTGTTAATATTCAACATTTTTTTTTTTTTTTTTTGTTCATCATTTTAAAAAAAACTTGGGGTTAAACTAAATTAAGTTTTCATTAAAAGTGTTACAAAAACGACAGAGGACGATGTACCATATTTGCCTTGGCATTAAACATATGCTACGTTTTTCCTATAAAATTGTTAGTAATGAATGCAAGAAAAATTGTGCACAGTGCTCACATTGTCTTGTGCATGTAACCGGAGGAATCAAGTATGTTACATACACATATATATGTAGTTTGGCACGGATGTGTGAACACCACCTCACCATGTTGAGCCGTGCACATACGTACGTACATACATGCATACGTGCACACATACATGCATGTATGTACATATGTATTATATACATATTCATATTTACATATATATGACTATGGTCAATCTCAAAAATAACGTGGGAATTTTTATGTGTATACGAACACAGATGGGGCATCAGTATGTAGAAGTCTCAGGGGTGGAACATTCTTCCCCTAATGAAGCGTAAAAAAAATAAAATAAAAAAAAATAAAATAAAGAAATGAAATAAAGCGAGATGAGAGGAGTTGAAGGGGACCTAGAGCATGCAAATCATACAAGAAACGTTTGTAATTGGTGGATGTGGATGAGTATGACTGATATGAAGTTTCCATCGTACGAAATTTTTCTTCGCATCAAATTTTTTCATTAGTCCAAATAAATCCTCATTGGATTTCGTGGTCACCACTTTCTTCTATTTTCTTTACATGCGTGCAAATATGAAAAACTGGTACTGACTAATGTTAGTAATGTTAATATATTTACCGTGGCATGGACGTCAACCTTTATTATCTACTTTTTCCTTATAAAGCATTTCTCCTTCTTTATTAATCACTCCCTCATTGTGAATCACTTCTACTTTGTCCAACATTTCACCCTGATGCGTGGGATCCTCATCCCCTGGTGTAATGGTAAAGGTTCCGTGTGTTGCATTGGGATTGGTTTCCTTTTTCTTACTTTTAAAATTGAAGTTATCAAAATTAAGTAAATTTTCGAGATAAAATAAAATTCTTTTCTGAACACATGCATATTTACTTAAGCAGAAAATGTAATTGTGTTTATTTATCTGTGGGTTGACCAAATCGTCAAAATGAAAAAGACCTTTACTATAACTTGATTGATTACTGCTTTGCACCGAATTTGTCCTTTCATATTTGTTATTTGAATATCCATTATTTATCGCCTTTGAATTACTCAACAAATTTTCTGTTTTATCATTCGTAAGATTAATTCCTTGCGGTATGTTTTCACCGAGTCTGTTTTCACCCGATTTATCTGCAAACAGTTTAGTCCACTCATTTGATTCGTCTTGCATATTATATTTCCCCAATAGAGGGGTACTCTTATCTAGTCCTACATGATCCACTTTGCTGAACATAGAATTCATTAACCGTCTATCTTCTGTTTGATTCCCGTTTTTTGCAGAGTAATTAATATAGTCATTACATTGCTCCAATGGTGCAATGTTGTTAAGGTATGTTTGTTTTTGCGATTCTTTTAATTCATCTTTCACTTGTTGTGCGGAGTCGAGGGCATTCCTATGATCGTGTAAGATACTAGAAGAACCATTTTCAGAATCTTTTTTTCTTTTCCTTTTTCGTTTTTCCTTTTTCATTTCTTCGTATTTCTCAAAAAGTATACCACCATCATCATCTCTATCGTCCAAGTAGTATGCACCGTTAGCAGTTCCCCTCCCCTCTTCTCCCTCTCCTTCTCCACCTCTTGCCCCTCCTCCTGCTCCTCCTCGACCTTCACCCAGTTCTTCTTCAACGCCTTTGAATTTCCCATCATTTGGATGCTGGTTAGCATTTCTTTGATTGCTAAAAATGTTTAGATCCAAATTTTTAATATCTCCACTTTTAATTCCTAATTTAATGGGTATATGTTTCTGCTTTCCAGATATATAATTGCATAAATCATCTTCATAACTCTTTTTCAAATTCAGAGACGCCTCAACAAAATCGTTGAATGTGTAAGATAAATCACAGCAATTCATATCTTCATCATTCATTTCATTCACAAATTTTCTATCAACCCAAATCCTATTGCCTCTTCCTCGTCTTTTAATTAAGACAATGTTTTTATATTCATTTTGATTTATTTTTAAAATATTCATTTGTTCACATAATCCTTGACTCTTTGCCCGTTTGTTAATTTTCCTGCTAACTATGGAGTCATTGTGAATATGATTACTCGAATGATTGTTCCTGTAATATTTCAAATGATCATGAGAATGATGTCCCATCATGTGATGACCGCTATAATGACTAGAAGTGGCATGATTATCAATCATGAGTTGATCACTGAGTCGATGATGTCTGCTCATGCTCACGTTGCTGTACAAGCTTTTGTAATACTTATCCTTCTTAAACTTTTTGTAAATTTTTTCCATTTTGTAATCCTTGAAGTAGTTCCACATAGGACAAACATATGTCTTGTCTTTTATTTCATTCTTTCTTTGATCAAAGAGAATTGAATTCAACTGCAATAGAAGTAATTTTTTTTCATCACGCTGTTTCATTTTCCGCAGAATTCGATCTAGTCTTCTAAAATCTTCTATCAATTCTTGCATTTTTAAAATGATTTCACTATTTTTTTTTTTATGTTTTCTTAGGGTCATTTTTTCTTTAACTCTTGATCTGAATACAGAATAATGTGGTAAAATATTTTGAGAATTATTCCAAAACATTCGAAGTAATGGTCTTCCTAATTTTTTTCTTTTGCTTTTCCAGTATGTGTGAATGTCTTTTATTACATTACTTTTTAGCGTAATCTTCAAATCAGAAGCAGCTTTTAATGCGTCCTTTAAATTAATTTCTTCTTTATTTTCTGAATATCCTGTTAGTTTTTCAAATTTGTCCATTAACTTACAGAAATCTTCATCATTTACCTGAATGTTTATATATGAATTCAGACTTTCTAAAAATATTTCATCTTCTTTTAACAAATCATAATGTATTATAGAACCATCTGTTAATTTAATACCTGTGACTTGATCTCTATAAAGTTCGTACCTAATATAATGACACGGTTTTTCGAAGGTTTTCAATCTACTGCTATAACTTTCATCATCTTCACATATTTTAAATCTTGGAATCACAATATTTTTCTTTTTCTTTTTTTCAGTTTTTAATTTACTACTTTCAAGTACTGTTTTTAACTCTTTTACTTCTTCCTCCGTTGGATTATCATTTTTTATAAGCTTCTTTATGTCTTCATTGGATTTTACAATAAGCAACTTTTTGTTTATCAGCAGGGTTTTGTTCTTAGAGTTCCTGCCGTGATGACCTCCCGTTGTCCCCTTTGTCATCTTTCTCTACTCCCAGTAAGGAGGGGAAGGGGAGGGTGGGGTGGGTAACGTTGCAGTTGTGATGTAGTAGTGGTGCACCTCACACTTTTCAATAATTTACAGTTGGTTATATACAATCAATAATGGATTTTTATGTCTAGAAATTTTCCTTCACAGGATGGCACAACTTTAATAAAGTAAAAAGGACATTACACGGAAACTTCTCGGGTTTTACAAATGTTCATATAAGTATGTGTGTCTGGGTTCGATGGCAATTATTCAGTATTACCTTAACTAGTAAACTCTCTTTATTTTTGTCACTTTTTTGTTGTATATACCAATAAATATGTTCATGCAGAGGTGTATTATATTTTCTCTCCTAGATGGGTAAAGGACGCATATGTACTTTCATTTATTTTCTGATCTATTTCTTTTTTAATATCAGTAAACGTCAATCTGTATATTGCCCTTCTGTCCGTTAAAGGTGTTAAGGGTGGGGGAGGGGGTATTTTTTCCAGTTTCTTTGTTTGTCAGCTGAACTGTTAAGCAGTTATACAGTTAAGAAGTTAATCGGATAAGCAGTTAAGTCGCCTATGAACTTATCAATCTATCCACCTACCTGTTTGTGTATTCTCCTTTCTACGGTTACAGAAGTAGAGTTGCATAAAATATAGGAGTGCTGTCAAAGGGATGAGATCTTTCACTCGGTCCATTTTATTTTTTAACAAAATCAATCAAAATTTGTTATATAAGCAATCTGGAGGCTGGACGTGACGTTAAAAAATGTTCCGTGTTCATAAATAAATGCGTCTATATATATATATATGTACATATACATATGTGTACATTTATATGATTCTCCAATTTGGACCATCGGAACAGTGCAATTATGCGTGCAGAGAGAAAACATCAAAAGGGATATTCAAATATATATATTTATATGTGCATAATCATGGGCTTATGATGTGGAGGAAAATTTGGGAAGCCTAATTTGTATATTATTTTTGTATTATCATTTTCTAACTTTGTTCCTCTTCCACCTTCTCATGCATGTTTACCTTTATATAATATTAAAGGTAAAGCAAAAAAAAAAAAAAAAAAAAAAAAAAAAAAAAAAAAGGGGAAAACAAAATTTTAAAACTCCATCATTGGATTCATCATATTATCTTATTTCAAAAACGTGGTAATACTTTAAACAAATTTTAACAATATTTGGTCATTCCATTTTGCGAATTTTTTTTTTTTTTTTTTTTTGTTTTATTATATTTAATTTATTTATTTTTTTTTTTTATTTCTTTTATATTTTTATTTTTTTGACAAAGGTAAATCTTTTTATGAGACTTCTTTACGCTGAGCTTGACAATTTTTGCATGTGGCAAGTTTAAGAGGTGGCTTATATAGTACTGCATTTTGTAAGTGTACAAATATTATAAACGAATTTTAAGTCCAATAAATGTAGCATTTTTTATAAATATGAGAGAAAGAAGGAAGCATAGGTGTGTAATTCTTTTACAAATTATCACATTTCCAAATGGTTATTATTCTTTTTTCATGAAAGCCAGATAGGCTTTGTGCCTAGTATGTATATATATGTACATGTACATTTTTTTACGAATGAGACTAAGCTACGTAACAATTTTTTATTTTAAAACATTTCACACCTTTGTAGGTAAATACATAAAGTTGTATATATACATGTAATTATGAATCGGTATTTACTTAAGTATATACTGAATATGTTGAAACGAACGAGGATCAAGTTAAACTATTTTTTATATAACTATAATTCACTCCAAATTTAATCCCATACACCACTATTGGGTGATAATGTATAACGTTGGATGACAGTGTGTAACATTAGATGATAGTGGACTATATCACTTTTTTCACGTTGTCCTGCTTTGCTTAAAACGATAAATTGTGTGAAGAACTTTTGACATATAACAAGAAAGAAATACTTTCATATGTTTGTGTTCCTCTATCAACAGTAAAAAAAAAAAAAAAAAATAAGGAAAAAAAGAAAAAAACACACACACATACACATGTACACACATTCGAATTTTTATTGTTTCAGAGCATTTACGCATGTGCACGTGGAAACTGTAAATTGAGAACAATTCAGCGCAACATATACAGTGGTTTTAATTTGCCTATATTCATATATACATATGTATACACATATACAAGTGTAGCATATATATATACATGTACATCACGTTGGGAAGCAAAATTGTCGTAAATAGAGGAAAGAAATTGTCTTTTCCATTATCAACGTATTTTAAAGTTAAGAAAATATTAAAGATTGCCCCATTTCATGCTTTATTATATCATTCGTATAGTTTATGGAGATTTCTATATGTTTCTGTTTACCTCCACCACGTACTTATATGAACACAAAGTCATTTCACAAACATGTTCATGTTGATAACAAAATAACCATATTAATAGGTAGCATAGTTTTTTTTTTTTTTTTTTTTTTTTTTTTTTTTTTTACATTTCCTTATGGTACATATTGACCTATTTATGATATGTATAAAAATGTATACATAGATATATATTGTGTGTGAGGGTGTTCCTTTGACTACCCTCACTTTGACACATAGACGACATTGTTACTTATGCAAATGTTCACGCTATACTTATGAAATTAGTTCCCTTCATTTTTGCAATTCTCTAAACTGGGAAATTTTCAATTTTTTTATTTTTATATATTTCTCTGTTTGATTATTATTTTAAACATTCTGTTATATCACAAATAAGGTACCAATTAGTTACTTCCGCTCTTTTTTTTTTTTTTTTTTATATATCTGCGCATGCGTAATAAGGCACAGCTTTGTTTTTAAAAAAAATATATATGTATAGTATATATATACATATGATGTAAAATATGCAACCGTGAAAGGTGTATCATTTTTGAAAGTATTTCATATGACTGATCATTCTGGTAGTACATTGTGAAGTGTACATTTCATATATAGAGAGCCATAAAAAAAAAAAAAAAAACTCATTAGAAAAATAAAATTAAAAAAGTAACCATATTTATAATTAAATCATTGCAGCAGGTTTTAAATCAGTACTTTTGCCCATAAATTTTGTGTTAAATATGATGGATCCCAAGAAATATGTTCAGTATGTAGTAACTAAATGAGACATTCAGAAGAATAGACATGGATTTACATTATCTGGTATTTATATCACATTTTACAAAAGTGTATTATATGTATTTACGCCTGTGTATGGAAAAGGGGGGTCTGTGAGAGGTCTACTTAAATATGTAATACTCATTGTTTGTAGGAAGCTAAGAATTCACACAAATGCATATGTAAGTTCATGTGTGTACATGAATGTAAGAAAAAATATATATATTTTGTTTGGGTATTTTTTTTTTTTTTTTTTTGTTATGATCTGTTTGTGAAGAGGCATAGCAGGGATAAATTTTGCATAAGAATGTAAATTGCAGAATTGGAGAGATGAACAAATATTTTCTCCCTTTTTATTGTTATGAATGGACATAGAATAATAAAAAAACTTCCATAAATGTGTGAAAAAGAAATAATTCATCTTATGTTTAGAAGCAGTTTGTATGATGGATCTCTTTCTCGTATTATCTTATCGGAGGGGAAAATATTGTTTTTTGTTTTATACTTCCATTTGGTCGTTATCATCCATATTTTCCTTACATAGAATTTTTGTAACGGAATTGTCAACATATTTTTATAGCTTCACATTGTTATTATAAACACCTTTCCATGTTCTAATATATTTATTTCCTATTTCTTCTTTGTCTCTCTAACAATGCCCCACCTTTTCCTCCCTCTCTTGTACTTTTTGGTTTTCGCTTTATATTTATTTAACAAGCACTTTCGAATAAGTATAAAATTTGAAAGAGGCAATGTATATCAGATTAAGTGGAATAATGAGCTTCAAATAGAAAAATAATAAATTAATAAAATTACAAAAAAAAAAAAAAAAAAAAAAAAAAAAAAAAAAAAAAAAAAAAAAAAAAAAAAAAAAAAAAAGGTAAGGTACAAAAATTGCTTCCCCTAAGGAACAATTCCTGTTAGGCCTACTTAACAACAATATACCCTTTTTGAAAAAAAAAAAAAAAAAAAAAATTAGATATATACTTATGTACATATATGTTACGTGTGTTTTAGTCGAAATGACTACACGAAGGAAACGCTTTTCGTCATGGGCTCAAAATAGTTGTTCATTCATGTTTTGACAAGTGCAGATTGTAGGCATATCTTAAAAGCACAGTTTAATGTAGATCATTACAGTGCGGGAAAAAACCTAAGTAGTATTGTCCTCTTAGAAAAAAAGAAAAAGGAAGCGACAAACGGAATACGCCATACACGTACATACATATATTTACCACATATACCATTTTATTACTTTTGCTAAATATACATGCACATGTATTACACATATTTGTAACGATGCATAAGAAGGGAAAAAAGAAAAACCCAATTGACAAGGCTCAAGTTGGTAGCAAGAGGAGGAAAAAAAAAACTGAGAATAGCGTGGAGGACGCGAAAGAAGTTGATGAAGTGAGAGAAGATGACGAAATGAGAGATGGCCAAGTGAGAGATGACCAAGTGAGAGATGACCAAGTGAGAGATGACCAAGTGAGAGATGACCAAATGAGAGATGACCAAATGAGAGATGACCAAACGAGTGAAACACGAGGGAGAGAAACGGTCGAAGCCAAGGGAAGAAGCAGAGTATGTCCATATTTACGTACCATTAACAGAAATTTGCTGGATTTCGATTTCGAAAAATTGTGCAGCATCAGCTTGTCAAATTTGCACGTATATGCATGCCTAGTATGCGGGGTATACTTTCAAGGTATAGGGAAAGGGACATATGCATATACACATGCATTAGAAAAAAATCATTATGTGTTCATCAATTTGGAAACATGTAAAACATGCTGTGTTCCAGAGAATTATGAAATTGAAGATGCATCATTGAATGATATAAAATATTTTTTGAAACCTGTGTATAGTAGAGAACAAGTAGAATATATATGTCAGAATTCAATATTGGGAAAGTCATTGGATGGTGCAGATTTTTTCCCCGGATTTGTAGGATTAAATAATTTAAAAAATACAGACTACTGTAATGTAATTATTCAACTTGTATGTAATATTATCCCGTTAAGAAATTTTTTTTTATTATTTGACAGTAGGAAATACATGGCCAAAAATATCATTTCATCTTTATCTGAATTAATTAAAAAAATCTACAACCCCAGAAATTTTAAAGGCGTTGTTTCACCTCACGAATTTTTACAAACAGTAGGTATTGAGTCAAAAAAAAAGTTCAAAATTGGTTCCAAAAATGACCCATTGGATTTTTTTTTATGGCTACTGTGTAAAATTCATAGATATGAGGAGAGGGTGTTAAGGAGGCAGAAAACTATTAATGTAGGCAAAAGGGAAAAAACAGGAGAAAATAGAGAATCCGAAAAAATCGAAAAGAGAATGGAGGAGGAGGAGGACGACCGACCGGATGGGCAAAATAAAGGACAGAAACAAAGAAAGAGAAATGAGCAGGGTGAGAAAGATAAAAAAAAGATACAACCGAGTTATGAACATTCCCAATTTAACGTAATCTTGTCATCATCAAACGAGACAGACATGTCCGAGGATGGTGATACAGACATGCAATTGAGAACAACAAGGAAGAAAGAGAATAAGAAGAATAAGAAGATGAAAAAGAAAAAGAAAAAAGGAAAAAAAAAAAGATGGATGTACGATGAGGTAAATATAATTGACTACTGCTTTGATGGGGAATTAATTATCAAAACCAAAAAAAAAAAAAAAAAAAACACGGAAGAAGATGAAAATATGAACATGACAAATGTTCATAATACAAAAAAGTCAGACGGAAATGAAATGTATGATGAACCTAATGCACATGAAGAAGACAATTTTTCTCACAAATTAGATAATGAAAAGGAGGAGGGAAGGGGTGATGAGGATGAGGAGGCGGATAACGTGAGTGACGAGGACAATGAGGACGATGTGGATATTGCGAATGGTGGAAAATTGAGAGAAACGAAAAATTATATAATAGAAAAAATTCCATTTCGAACGCTTTCTTTGAAATTGCCTAATCCACCAATTTTTAAAAGCACAACAGAAAGTAACATAATACCGCAGGTGTCTATTTTTGAATTGTTGACTAAATTCAATGGAGAAACTGAATCCTTTTTGAATGAAAAATCTGAACCAAGTACTTTAATCATTTCCAAATTGCCAAAGTATTTAATCTTTACTATTAAGAGATTTTCAAAGAATAATTTTTTTGTAGAAAAAAATGGAACCATTGTTAATTTTGTCATTAAAAATTTAGATATGAAAGATTATATTCATGAAAATTATCTTGAACAAAATCCCGTAACAAAATATAATTTAATTGCAAACATTTTTCACAATGGTTCCGTCAATACAGGTACTTACAAAATTCACGTTCTCAATCAGGCATCAAATGAATGGTATGAAATTGAGGACTTACACGTGATTACCGTTTTACCCCAACTTGTTCTTCTTCCCGAATCTTGTGTGCAGTTGTATCAGCGTCAGGATGTGCAACTGAATGGGGAGATCATCTGACATTGAGCACCCTAACCCCTGCACCTTCTCTCACTTTCCCTTATTTCTCCTCCCGTTATATTAAGTCCTTCTCCTTTCATTAGTGTTTCCCAGAGGTATTCTTATCTTACCCCATCTTGCATTCTCCTACTCTGCTCTGTGCCTGTCAGAATTCATACACGCACACTAATACGGCACATATGCGCATGTGAATTTCTTTCCTCATTTTATAACCCCCCCTAAGTTACATTTATAATATCCCAAGCAGCGTGCTAATCATGTTTGTTAAGTTTTTTTTTTTTTTTTTTTTTTTTTTTATTTGTCGTTTTTCCATTCTCCGATGTTCATTTCGTTTCCCTTTTTTCTGGGATAACTTTGTACGTAAAAGCAAACAAAATGGCAAAAAAGTAGAGAATTTCTTTTTTTCTTTTCGACCTTTCGAATTGTCAAAAAGTGCAGCTTTCTCTCGATAACTCTCTTGGTAAAATGTACACCCCATGGGAGAAGGAGAAGAAGCGAACCAGTAAACTACCTAATTACCACGAAACGATATGCGCTTATGAAATGATAATTACGCATTTTTCTCATCAAAAAAAAAAAAAAAAAAAGAAAGAAAACAGCACAGCATATAAAAAACACACAAAAATGTGCATAAAAAAAAAAAAAAAAAAAAAAAAAAAAAAAAAAAAAAAAAAAAAAAAAAAAAAAAAAAAAAAAAAAAAAAAAAAAAAAAAAAAAAAAAAAAAAAAAAAAAAAAAAAAAAAAAAAAAAAAAAACAACACAGCATATAAAAAACACACAAAAATGTGCATAAAAAAAAAAAAAAAAAAAAAAAAAATCGCAAAATGTAACTTTTCCTTTTTTTTTTTTTTTATCATATTTTCATATAAAAAAAAAAAAAAAAGAAGAGAAAAGTTATGTCTTCGATAAGATATTATTACCAATACGAAAAAGAAATACTACTTAATCGATCAAGCAATGTTTACGTATAAGGAAATACACAGCACACCATATTGGACGTATCTTTAGTTTTTGAGCACACGAGATATGTGTTTTATTTTTTTCACATTTTCTTACTTTTCTTTTCTTTTCTTTTCTTTCTTGTTTGTTTGTTTGTTCTTTTTTTTTTTTTTTTTTTTTATTTTCACCACTTTAAAACGTATTACGCGTAAACTGATTCACAGTACACAACCATTTATGTGACAAAAAAGAGGAAAGCTTTGATCAGGACGATTACATTTTTTTCTCCATTTCATAGACAAAGGGAAAAAACTGCACAGTTTTCTCTTTTATTTTTATTTTTTTATTTTTCCCTATTTTTGTGTAAGTGTAAGAATAAGTAAACAAATTAGCATGAAGTTTGTGTCAATAGGTCGGTTAGCAACTTTCCAGATGTTTGCGTAATCAAGAAGAGCACAGTAGCACACAAGTCGCTTATCAATTTCCTGAATCGTTGCATTTTTCTTCCCTTTTTTTTTAAGACCTAAGTAGAAATTGCCCAGTCCGCGTTCTCTTCAAAATTTCATGCCAAAAAATAACTACCCTCGCACTTAGCCTTTTCTATGCACTTCTTCCACTTCTTCCACTCCTTCCACGTCTTCCACTTCTTCCACTCCTTCCACTTCTTTCTCGTTATTTACTCCCTCCACTGCATAACAAAATGGGAACCCCAAGACGCAGAGCTGGGCAAAATGCAAGCCCATACGGAATGAGCTCCTCGAACATTTTCGGGACGAACAACGAGGTTTTTGGAAGTAGCTTCATGAACACTCCACAATCGAGTAGAAGAACAAAGAACAGCAAGGGAAGTTTCCTCAATAGCATGCTGAATGAATCCAAGTACTTGAATCAAAGTAATACAGGTTCCCAGTTTCTGAGATATGGACACACCCCACTAGCCATCAGAAGAATAAAATGTGCAAGAGCTGACATAGGAGATGTGGGAAGAGAAGCTTTTATGGAAGACGTAGAATCAGGAAGGCTTCCTCATTTTATCGATTCAAATTTAGAACAAATAAAAGAATTGTTTAATCAGTTTTTTGATGAATTTAACATAACGAATTACAGTGATGTTTTACAATTCACAGATGAGGATAGAAGTATTACTGAATATATTTTATTACACAGAGATAATTTAAAAGTATATCTGGCATATTATGGATGGAAAATGATAAAATTTATTGAAACAGGTAGACAAAATGAATGTAAATTAAATAACGAAATAGAAGAAAATGATACAGATGCTGTAAAAAATTTAGAACACATAAAATCCTTTGAAGTAGATCTAACACACATATATTTTTTTAATAAAAAATTGTATAAATTGATTGTTGAATATCCATCGGATTGTATTAGTGAAATTGACAAAATTATAAGTGCCAAATACAATTCTCTTTTAGCTTTAGTACTTGAAGGGGACGCAATGTCAAGCTCATCAGATAAATTTTCTCTAAACGTAGCAAAGCAGGATTATTGTAGAGTTCGATTTTTTAACAAAAAACATAAGGACACTCCTAGAAAATTAGGACCAAACCATATAGAAACATTAGTATGTATTAAAGGAGTTATAATTAGGTGTTCTAATATTATACCAGAAATGACAATGGCAGCATTTAAATGTACATCGAAAAAAAGAATAGGTGTTAATAATTATGAAAAATGTAATGAAGAAGTATATGAACATGTTATACAAGGAGAAGTACAAGAACCTTTAAGTTGTACAAATTGCAACAATAAAAATACATTCGAATTATGGCATAACAATTGCTGCTTTTCATCAAAACAACTTATAAAATTAAGTGAAGTCACAGAACATCTGAAACAAGGAGAAACACCACAATCCATATCCATTTATGCATATGACGATTTGATAGACTATACAAAACCAGGTGATACAGTTGAATTAACAGGAATTTTAAAGGCATCTCCAGTTAGATTGAATCCAAGATCACGATGTTACAACAGTGTTCACAGAACATATATTAATGTTATACATATAAGAAAAGAAAACAAACAGAAAATGAAGTTAACTGAACAAAATGATACAGGATCCGTAATTTTAAAAAGAAATGATGATGGAACAGTGGAAGAAAATTTTGAAAAATTAAATGAACAAGGAAATCTATTATTCACTAGTGAAATAATACAAAAAATGCAAAAATTAAGTACAGATCCGAATATCTACCAGAGACTGGTTGATTCTGTAGCTCCATCTATTTATGGAAGAGATGATATTAAAAAAGGGCTCCTATGTCAACTATTTGGTGGTAGTAAAACAACTGACAAATATAAAAATAAATATCGATCTGAAATTCATATTTTATTATGTGGAGACCCATCAACAGCCAAATCACAACTTTTACATTATGTGCATAAATTATCCCCAAGAGGTATTTACACAAGTGGTAAAGGTAGTAGTAGTGTTGGTTTGACGGCTTTCATTTCGAAGGATTCTGAAACGAAGGAATATATTCTCGAATCAGGTGCCGTTGTTTTATCAGATAAAGGAATATGTTGTATTGACGAATTTGACAAAATGGATGATTCTGCAAGAGCTATTTTACATGAAGTAATGGAACAACAAACTGTCACCATTGCCAAAGCAGGAATTGTTGCAACTCTCAATGCACGTACATCGGTTCTTGCATCTGCCAACCCAATTAACAGTAGATATGATAAAAATAAAGCTGTAGTAGAAAATATAAATCTCCCACCATCATTATTTTCTAGATTTGATTTGATATACCTTGTCATCGATCAAGCAAATGAGGAAGAAGATAAAAAATTGGCTACTGTTCTGTGCAAAAATTTTTCCTGCAGCGCAAAGGACGGATCGGATACTGAAACAGATGATGAGGTCGATGATGAAACGGATGATGAGACAGGTGATAAATTCGATTCACAATCAGAGATAGACATTAGGAATCTAACTGACAGCGGTATAGACTCACATCAGAGGGAAAAAAGGAAAAATGTTGGAGAAAATAATGCCTACAAATCTTCTAAAAAAGGTTCAAAAAATTACTTAATTGATTCGAACACCCTAGCATTATATATTGCATACTGTCGTATAACATGCAATCCAATCATTTCACTAGAAAGCAAAAAAATAATTATTGATGAATACATAAAAATGAGATGCAAAGAAGGAACAAAGTCTCCAACAGCAAGCCCAAGACAATTAGAAGGATTAGTTAGATTGAGCCAAAGTCTAGCAAGAATGAAACTGAAAAATGTAGTAACCCCTGAGGAAGCTAATGAAGCTGTACGTTTAATGAACATTGCGACCTTTCAAAGTTTAATTGACCCCTTAAGTGGTAGAATTGATTTCGATCAAGTAAACCTTGGACAGACATCACAACATAAAAAAAAGTCCGATCTCATAAAGGATATCATAATGAATGCCCTTGTTTTAAGAAACATGACAAAGGATGAATTACTCACACATTGCAACGAAACAATTATGAACGACAGAAATTATACAATGTCTATGGATAGAAAATCCTTCGAAGAGGCTTTTCATGATCTCGAAAGATCACAAGAGATTACTCGAATGTCTTCTGGTCTCTACAAGAAGAAGTGAAGAGCATTTTTTTTTGCTCTAAAAGAAATATTTTATGCAGATAAATTTTATATGAATACCTTACAATTGGTACGGATATGCACATATAACGACATGTATATACATTATTCTTATATATAAATGGACGTTTTTCCTGTTTTATTTTTTCTGTCAAAATTACCATTTTCTCGTGGCTTTTTTTTTTTTTTTTTTTTTAATATTGGAGTCTTGTAAAGGGAGGTAATTATGCCCTCATGTGTTTTTTTCTTTTTTAAGTTTTACATATAAATAGGGGTAAAGAACTTGAATTTTTTCTGAATTACTATGAAGTCCATACCCCGACATTTAACTCTGCGCAAAATAAATGTGCAAAAAATGTACTTAATTTTTTTTTTTTTTTTTTGCGCGATACTAGTGGATATGTAATTTTATAAGCTCAGATTATATGAACCTTTCAAGTGTATCAAATAAATCATGGAAGTATATCTTACGAAATTTACATTTGTGGATAATTATATTGTTGAACAATTGATGTACATTGCTTATTGTTGACATATTCTGTTCATATATGTATCAGTAAATGTATGCAAACGGAAAGAGAGAATATTTAACATTGTATTAAACGGGTATATAGCCCATGTGTTATATCTTGTGCAATCGAAAAAAATACAAGCCCCAATTAGGTGAAGTCGATGTAATAAATGAAGTTATCAATATTTTTGGTATAAAGATGTTTGAGTTTAAAGAAGAGAAAATTGATTATTCAGACAGAATATTATGTCCTCTCTCCTCCCCTATTGCGCATACCCCATCGTCAAGTTGAGCTTAATGCAATACTTTTTTTTTTTTTTTTTAAAACATTTAATTAATCTATTTTCAATTTACGAACAAACTCAAAAATGGCAAAGGGTAAAAAGTATTGCCTCTTTGTTTTTCTCCCTTAATTTTTCCCTGTGAAATGATATTTATCCATTTGTCATTTGAAGGAACGGGCAATGATATTATCGGGGTTCAATTATTAGGAATTTCTTAACATGGTCTATTTTTATATATAATCATGGGTAGAATAGCATTGAGGAAAAAAAAAAAAAAAAAAAAAGAGCACAGCAAAAGAGCACAAAACAAGAAAACACATAACAAAATGTTTTAGGGATATCTTCACAGGGAATGTCACTTTGAGTACATCATTTTGAAACACCTTAACGTGATGATACACTTTATTTTTATTCTTTGTTGTGGAAGGTATTAAACAAACTGGATTCGTGTCCGTTATGCAAATTTTATTTTTCTCATTTTTATAAAATTTCAAACTTGTGAATAAAAAAATCATCTCATTATTTTGTGTTAATTCTTTTAAATATTATGTAATCCTCTTAAAATTATACAGCATTATTGCCTTTCTTTTTTCTCTACAATAGGCATTGTATCCCTATATATACATGCTTAATCGTTTATGTATATAACTATGTACTGTACCAATTTCTTTTCCCACATAAGATTACCCGTACGCATAATATATGGGTAAGTTAATGTCAAACATGGATACTAAAACTTTGTTCTTATAAAAATGTGTAATTGAAAGTTGTGTTTATGTGTTATATATACATGTATATATAATATTGTAATAAAACTACACATGATGTAGCATTATTTTATTTTTTTTTGCTTTTTTCTTCGATTGAAAGAAAAGGCATTTATATTTATGATTACAAAAACTGAATCAAACTTACACAGTCTGAGAAATCGTTTTCTGGATTCATCAATAAGAACGAAAAATTATTTTATTTGTGACGCTTTGTTATATCTCTGATCGAGACATTAACGAGGGCAAAATATATATATATATATATATATATATATATATATATATATATATACATAAACACATATGCATAAACATATACACATGAGCATGTATATATATATGTGTAGCCTTGGAATGTAGAAAACACACTTATAATAATCGCTCATCACAAATGAAGGGGTAAGGTTGCATATTAATGCTCCACTTCCCCTGGGATAAACAAATATATATAAATATACACGCTAGCAAACTTCAAATATAAAAAAAGAGCATTTTAATTGCATAAATTTTTTTTTTAAATTATTTCTTCGAATCTATTATTTCGTATGGAGATACATAATATTATTCTCTCCCATAACACACGTTCTAGCTTTTTCAATAACCCTAATACCATAATGCACAAAAAAACAATTTATTTCACATTAAAAACTGCCATGAAAATAAAAATATAAAAGAAAAAATAAATAAAAAAATAAAGGCAAAATTTAATTGTTTATCTTTTTTTTTTTTTTTTCCATATAAAAGTGTATATTTTTTTTTGTAACAGGATTTTTTTCTTTCACTTAATGTTCTTTCCTCAAATGGATCATCTAGGTGAAGTTAAATTCGACACACTCATGTCACATTCTCGTTATAACAATTTAAGTTTTTACATTTTGCAAAATTATGTACGTAGTAAAACGTACATGTACTTAACCTACATAGCACGACAGCATAGATAATATATGTTTATATCATATACATGCTTTTGCTTGCTTATATATCACACACGTAACTATTAAGCTGCCATATCTTTACTGCTACTGTGACAACTTTTTATGTTTTGTATGACTACATGATTGCTACGCTTATATTATTCTTATGTTTAGGATATGTTTCATATATATGCTTAGTACATATTTCGCTTATGTTTCGTATATTTTTAGCACTTATTCGCATGTGCGCATATATTTTTGTACACATTTAGTGTATTTTTTCATTTATTTTTCGTGCATGCTTTTTTATTTTTACATTTAATGAGTATAGTTTTTGTTGCCTCTATTATATGTACACTTTGTTAATACACATATGTGCTTAATGCCACGCATAATATGTCAGTATATAAGGTATATATATATATGTGACATTTTTGGGAGAACATATATCGCAAATGCAAGTATATATTACTACGCACATCAAGCAAATAGAAAGAAATGAAAAGAGAGAAACGTGAATGGATAAACAACACAGCATCTGTTTTGGAATGTTTCAATACACCGCATGGACATGAGTGTTAAAGGCTAAAATAAGAAAAGAAAAAAAAAAAAAAGAAAAAAAAAAAAGACATTTTTTCTTTTTTTTCCACACACTTATAAGCTAAAATGTGATTATAAAGAATGATCTGCTTTCATTATTTAGTACATGAAAATATAATTTTTTTTTTTTTTTTTTATTTTACACTTGTTGAGTGCATGCCAACTGAAAAAATGTTTTATTTATATGAATCATTAATGATAAAGTTCAAATATTCAAAAACTGAACCTTTCTTTTGCTAATGAAACTTATTAAGAAGTATGGACATATGTGTGAGTTTATTTTCGTCTGCTTTTTTTTTTTTTTTTTTTTTTTTTTTTTTTTTTTTTGCGTTTTTTGCATGAATGGGAAAATAATTATGTTTTGATATATAGTGTGTGACATAAATTTTCTTAAATGCTAAACCGTATTAGAAGAAAATATATGCATCTAATGATATATGTATATACAAACTCACATCAACAGAGAGAATGGAATATGGAATTTGTGAACCATTTTTTTGAGAGAACAATAATATTTTTGCATATGCACACGTTGGTGTAAATACTGTTTCACGTGGTATTAATAGACAGCAAAATTCGCTTGTAGACAAGGTATATATTAGGGGATTTGAGCTATTTTTTTATTTATTACTTTTTTTATTTTATTTTATTATTTTTTTTTTTTATTTTATATTATTTTTTAGTTGTAGATTAAAATTTTTGTGCACATTCAAGCAATTATCTGTGCAGAACTATATACATAAAAGAGAAAAATAGAAAGTTGTGCTTTTTTATGTGTTACTTATTTATAATTTTTTTTTTTTTTTTTCCATATAAATATGTTAACTATTATGAGTTACAAGAAAAGGATTGAATTTTATTTTAATATGTTGGATATTTAAATTATATTTATTATAGTGAAAAATTACATAAAAACATCAGCAGTTTTAACGATAGCTTATTTTTTATAATTACCCCCAAATTTATATACTAATTTCCTTTTATTAAGGAGCATATGTTTATGTGTATGTTAATTGTAAGTATATATACATATAGTTATATTTGTGTATATTTCTGTTTTTGTATACATTTGCATTTTTGTTGGTATATATTCGTGTCTCCATGTGTATATATTTTTTTTTCGCCTTTTCGCAAATATATATATCCCCGTCTATATTTATATATATATGTGTATGTACCTTTATAGTGATTTTTATGTTTATATTAAAAAAAAAAAAAAAAAAAAAAAAAGTAGAAAATTCCGTTGTAGAAAAAAACATATATCAACCATCATGTGAATCATTTATTTTATGGCTTTATATATGTCCTTAATTCTTTTTATTTGGTCCTTAGCCTATGATTTTTACATATACATGCTTGTTGTTTTTAAATTTTATTATATAAAACGTTACATATTTACTTCTTATTTTTTAAGTTAATTTTTTTTTTTTTTTTTTATGTTATACATTAGTAGCATATTCATCAAAAAAATTAAGATATGGCACTTTTACGCTTGTAAAGTGTGTGTACCTTTTTGGAAATGTTAAAAAGGAGAAAAAAAAAAAAAAAATAAAAATAATAAAATCAATTTATGAAATTTATAAGACCTTTTTTTTTTTTTTTTTTTTTATAGCTATCCCTTATTTATTGAGCTTTCTTGTCTTCTTTTTTATTATGCTATATTATATTTACCTTTTTGTTTTGTTGTGCGGTAACATATATGCACAAATATGTGATGTTCATGAGTTTCACATTTGAAGGAAGCATTTTTTTTATGAACCTATACATTTTGGGCCCCATGTTAATGAGAGAATAGCCCGAAAGCATATGTTTATTTTTAATTTTTTTGCATGCATGATTAGTATATATTATATATCGAGCACATTAAACACATTATTTTTTTTAAATTAAATAAGGGGCGTGGTTATATCCGTTTTAATGCT